TTGTCTAGACCTTAGAAATAAATAAAGCATTTATAGCTTTAAAACAAGCTATAACAGCTAAACTAGTACTAAAGATGTACAACCTATAATTAGATATAAAGATCTATACAGACGCATTCTTTAGAGCTAGCGGAGCTGCGCTCTACTAGAAGCAGGAAGACAGAAAATAGCACCTAGTTGCGTACTATTCTGCTAAGTTCTTAGGACCTAAAGTAGGCTACAGCATACTTAATAAAGAGCTAAAAGCAATATTAAACACTATAAGAGTTTAGGCTATAAAGCTACATAGAATAGTAAAACTATTTAATGTTATAACTAACTATGTAAACTTAGTTATGTTCTTAACAGTAAAGAAACTATTACTAATACACATAAAATAAGCTATAAAACTTGCCTAGTTTAACTATATTATTAAGCATGTTCCTAGAACACAAAATTAGCAGGCTAACACTCTTAGCTAAAGACTAGATTATTTTAATAAAAAAGAAAAAAGAATAAAGAAATTTACACTTTTTAAAAAAACTAATAAAGAATAAATCTATAATAGGCCCTAACCTATAGAAGAATTCTATATGCTTATAGCTAGTAAGCAGGGATAAAAAAACTTAATCTAAGAATATTATAAATCTCTAATGTTTAAACACCTAAGAATAGGCACCCTCTAGAAAAAACTAAAGGCTGCTATACTATAATAAATACTAAAAGTAAAGCAGCTATGCATAGAAGTGCTTAGAGAATGCAACACCTGTAATAAAAATAACTTGTAAAGGCATAAGTCCTATAGATACTTTTAACTAATTAAAGCACTAAAGCTACTATAAATAATAATTATAATAGACTTTATTATAAAATTACCCCTATTTAAAGAACTAGAGACAGACAGGATGTGTAATATAATTATAGTAGCCCTAGATAAAACTACTAAATACTTATATACTTAGCCTTTAGAAAAAATAATAACTGCTAAAGAATTTATTTATAAATTAAAATAAAATATAATATTAGTATATAAATGCCTTAAGATTATTATTTCTAACTAAGATAAGCTATTTACTAGCAGTTTCTAGAAAGCAGTAATGCAGCACTTTAGAATAGCGCATAAGCTATTAACAGCCTACTACCTGTAGATAGATAGCTAGACTAAAAAAGTAAATGCAGAAGTAAAAAAATATTTAAGAAAGTACATTTCTTATACTTAGAATAATTAGGCAGAATAGCTTCTAATAGCATAGTTAGCTATTAATAATATAGAGTTAGCTATAACAAAAGAAACACTGTACTAAGCTAATTTTAGGTACAACTCTTACTTTACATTACATAGAAATTAACCTATAGACCTACAAGAGTTAATAGATTAGCTAACAAACTTATGTTAGATACATAAAAGGTTAGCTGTAGAAGCTAGGTCTAGTAGGGAAATAATAGAGAAGTATGTAAATAAATTATAATAACTAAGACTAAAGATCTACCTAGAAGACTATGTGTATTTTAACATAAAAAACCTTAAGACACCTAGACCTTCTAGGAAGCTAGCAGAAAAAAGAATAAAACTATATAAAGTTCTTTAAACCTAGTAAGACAACTATAAACTTAAGCTTCCTCTGCACATAAAGATACACCTATAGTTCTATATCTCTAGACTAAAAAAAGCACTTAAAGGAATTTCCTTATCTATGTAAGAATAAGAAGACAAAGAAACAGAATATAAAGTTAAATGCATTATTAGTAACTAAAAAAACTAAAAGAAATTTTTAGTAAAATAAAAAAAGTAGCTTACTAGTAAAAACACATAAAAACTAGCTAAGAATTTAAGGAATGTGCAGCTGTTAGTATAAAGGTACCTTTAAGCTTGTCTAAAAGAAACTAGCTAGGTAATAAGGCACCTATATTAAAAGGAACAGCTATATTATTACTAGATAGCAGCAGCCTTTAGAGACAAGTACTAGCTAATAATAGTTAAAAAAGGGAATAGCCCTTTACTTTAGCCTTAAAAGCTTCTATCTTGTCTAAGAAGAAAAAGTCCTTCTCTAAGTACTTTACGCAACAAGCTTTTAGCAAATCTAGTAATTTTTAGATATAATTCTGTTTAGAACACTCTTTATCTATTGCCCTTAATATCTTTTTTTACAAGTAGAGTTGTTTCTAGACTTAAGCCTACTACTTGTCCTATAATAAATAATTCTAGGCCTATAAGGCCTTAGCCTTTTAAAAAAGTGTTTCCCTTTTCTTCTCTAAATAATTCTATGTAGTGTCTAAAATAAAAGTGTTGCACTTACTGTGCTTTTTTACACATTTAACACACTTGTCTAAGGATAAAGTTAACACATAAGACAACTCTAAAAACTAGTAAGCGCTATAGAGCTTTATCTTTATCTAATAAAGAGGATTAAAATAATAGGTAATATAAGAATAGCAAGATAAACAAGACTAATAAGCTATTTAGTATAAAAAAAATAAATATTAAGGATGCCTTTTAGGGGGCAGGCGCTTACTTTATAAATAAACCCTTACTAACACAGTTGTGTGAGCAGAGCGGTGAGGACGCTGCTAGGGAGAAGGGGCAGCGTGTTACAGTCTACAGTTAGACTAGCGTAACTCCACTAGCAGTGCTCCACAATCTAGCTAGATTAGGGCAGGGCTTGCTTACAGATTAGCTGGAGGACGCGGAGACAGCACAGCTGCCTGCAATCACAGAAGAATGCATTGTCTAATAAGAAGGCAGGCTGCGAGTTTAGGGAGCCTAAGGGAGCTTATAAGAGCCCCTCTTAGTAGGCTCCTATAAACTCCTGTTAGCTCCCCTTAGCATCTCTAAAACATGTATATAGTTTCTACATTAAATAACCTTTAAAAGGTGTGTTTAATGTTTAGTTTATTTTTTACATAGACTAAGTAGCATTTAGCTTTTTAAAAAGCTGTAATACTATTTATATATCTTGCACTATATATACCTCTAACCTTGTCTAAAAGGACTGTTTAACCCTAGCCTCCCTACTGCCGCACATAGGGCAAACCACGATCTGGTTACTCTATACCATCCTCCCTTAGCCCAATAGCCTGTACGTAGGACTGTACACCCTACCGGATTGGCCCCTACTATCCGTCCTACTCCCCCCCCTAGGAATACCAAAAGACCCGAGTGCTTCTTGAAGCAAGGATTGTAACATGTAGGTAATGCTAGGTTGCTAAGCTAGCTATAATTATTACTAATTTTTAAAAAACTCTAGGCAGCTAGTAAGGAAATTAAGTAGATCCTTATTAGTCTGTTTATGCTAGACTAGGATTAATTAGATAGCTGCTGCGCATCTAGAGTTTACATTTAAAATTGCTAACATAAAGTTATAGTGTAGTTAATATTCTGTTACATTTAGCAGGTAGACTAATTTAGCATTAATATATATGTTTCTATACACTGTAATCTATTAGTTCTATTTTATTTTTAATAACTAATTCCTTACGCAGTTATATGCTGTTTATGTGCTCTACTTAAGCTACTTATTAAAAGGCTTTAGAATTACCCTTAAGGCTTTTAGCTTTTTATAAATTGTTTCTTTATCCTTAATAATAAAGTAGTTTAATGTGTTAATAGTGCTTTTAATAAGCACATAAATATTTAATAAAGCTTTATGTTAAGTTTAAAATAACTTTAGATTATTATAGTAGTCTTTATAAGCTATTATATAGCATTATTAATTGTTAAGGTTTAGGTTAGAGACTATAGGATTTAGACTAAGCTAGGTGCTGCCTGTATGAAACTTTGTAACCTTAGGCCTCTATAGCATAGTGTTAACTAGGAGATTTTCTAGTAAAAGATCTAGATTAATATACTCCTAGACACATTCTCTAGTTGCTTATGTCTTAATGTAACTAAACTAAGGCTGCTAGTTACTCTTTTTAGTAAGCTATATAGAGGCATTAATAGTTAGAGTTATTTTTCTATGTGTTAATAGAGTAGACTAAAATAGTTATTATTTAGTTAATTAGGCTTAGCTAGTAAGCAATCTGTAATTAGTATGTTTTAAAATAGATAGAGAGTTATTGTCCTGTTAATTAGGCTTAGGTAGTAAGCAATCTATAATTAATATATGTAGAATAGACAGAAGGTTATTGTCTAGTTAATTAGGCTTAGTTAGTAAGCAATCTGTGATTAATATGTTTTAGAATAAACAGAAGGTTATTGTCTAGTTAATTAGGCTTAAGTAGTAAGCAATTTATAATTAATATGTGTTAAGGTTTGCAGGGCCCTAAAGCTAGATGCAAAAGCTAACTGTGCAGTGGTGACTAGAGGACTAGTTAGGAGCGCAACTCCAGGCTCATAACTCTTGCATAAGCTGAGGAGGGGACATATGGCAAACGACTTGACAAGGGAGCGAGATCTAAACAAGGTGGAATGAGTGTATTGTAAGGTCTGAGGAGCTCGATAGAGCTCTGAGCTGACTATATACTGTACGAGATAGGAGCTATGCCTAATGAGTGAATAGTGCAGTACATGGGTATGATATCGCGTGAGACACGTGCGACAGCCACCGCTGACCCGAGTAAGCTTGGCCCACGTACTGCGAACCATAACGCCGCAAGCGACATTGAGGGCGCTGAGAGTTTGGTGTCCGTTGATGATACTGAAGAAGATCAGGAGGACGCACATGCTCCGAGAGTAGGCAGCAGAGGTAGGCGCAAGAACCAGCTCGTTATCGAGTTGACTGATCAATACTTAGGCAAAAAGAGGAAATGCGATGACGGCCATTCGAGCTAGGCCGGGCATAGTCTGTCAAAGCTGGAATGAGAAGAGAAATATGTCGAGAAGGTGATTTGTCAGACCATCCGAAAAACATCCTTAATGCTGAGCGAGGATATAACCAATCCTGCTCTCGCTGATATCAATAGTATATATCGGGACACTGTCCAGACTTGCCAGGGCACTTGTAGCGTTGCAGAACAGGGAGTAAACTGAGTTATCTGAATGCCTAGACAGATTATTACATACAATGGTTGCCCAATTTGCACTACTGTCCTTTAGCAAGCCTTTTCCTGGGCCTCTTCGGCGCGCCTCCGCCAGTGAAAGAGGTGTTAGGGGTAGAGTCCCTTGCGCCGCTGCCAGTACTTGGCTGACTGTTTCCTTGTGATTGAGAATCAGGCTGGCTTGATCTAGAAAGATTATGGCGCTGAAGGTCTTCTGAAAGCCTAAAACTCTGGGAAAGTTGTGGAACGCTGAAATCCAGATCTGCCGGGATTTGATCTATAGCTGAACATAGCCGTTTGAAGTGATTCGGCATCCATATTTCGTAGACATTCTTGGTGAATTTGTACGCCGTCCATTGCTCCCTTCCATCCAGTTCTGTGAAGCTGAACTCATGTATTGGATGGCGGTAATACTTGGTATCCTTCCCGTCAATGACAGGGTAGTGTCCATAGATTCTCACCAATTGGTGGTCATGCGAGGTTGAGAAAGCAAGAATCTCCCGATGAAGCTCTCTCTCACGACCAACAAGTCTAAAGAGCTCAACAGTAGCTCTCACCGCAAGCGTCATGCTGTGGGCATTCTGTCGGTCCGCGATATCGAGCGCTGCAGCACCGCACTTCACCTCAGAAGTAAGGAACGGGAAGTATATGTAGTACGTGGCCATGAAGTACAACTAATCGCTGGAGATAAAGTTGCTAATAAATAGGGCAAGCTTATTAAGCTGCTCTTTAGTGAATGCCTCCCGCTTAAATCCCACAGAGAAATCAGGCTGTGGGCGCGTTCCTGTCAAGGGCAAGGAGTTGTTCTAACCTTTATTAGTGCTCTTAATTAAAATATTAAGATGATTAGCGCCATAGGTAGCTAGAGTCTCCGCTAAAGGTGTGATTAAAAGAGAGATATCCTAGATAACCCTGGTCTTATTCCTGTCCTGTATCTTTTAGCATGTCCTTTTGAAAACATTGTTGTGAAATAGCGGATAACAATTAAGCGATTCTCCATGATGCAGCCAAACGTGCACGTGTGACCTAAGTGGGCACTTGGCTGCAGCCAGCGTGGCAGCCCCTCTGTGATCAACACGAGGTCAAACGGATATCAAAGAAGAAAAACCCTTGACGTCACCTTCTGCTGCGGGAGTGATGGCGCCGTCGCATGGGCTGTGCCGGTGTAGGTAAGGTTAGAGGAGCACGTGCGTGGGTCTTGTCATACATCTCACTTTTGCGCTAGATAACTCCGCGACAAAACCCGGCGGCAACACATAGGCGCTCGATATCTCGACTCAAACGACATGGCTGTCCGTTCGAAGCCTCTAGCCGCCCAGCAAAGATTGCCTATGCCATCCTCAGAAGATAGAGGTATGTAAATGCACCCTGGTGTGCGGTAGCAGTATCAAGCATGTTCTAATACCGCGAAGCGCATCCTAGGAACCGCAAACGACTTCTCCCCCTCCGAACCTCCCGTGTTGAGAAGACGTCGGCGATTGGGAAAGAATCTACAGTTGAGACGGATAATAAGCAACAAGAGGCAAGCGTGCGACAGCATCTGTTGTTAGAGATCTAACGATACACAGGAACAAGCCCCTCAGGGCAATTCATTGCGAAGAAGCTTACGCCCCTGAACTGGCAATCGCAATCAAACAACTACGTCCTCTGCTCAGAAAACAACGACACGAAAGCGACCTCGAACAACCGAAGCCAAGCAAACCGCTGAGCTCAGACGATCTAAGCGGTCTCGAAAACTTGCCCAGCAGCCCTTACCTCTCCAGCAATCTGAAGGGAGGAAGCGACGCCTAAATATCTCAGAATCTGGCGCAACTGGTGCTTCTCACAAACGGGCACGACACAATCCTGACAAAGCTGCTGTTGACAGCTCAGCTGAACAAGAGGAGGCAGACAACGTCAACAGCTAAAAAAATCCCATACTGTACTGGACAAAGACAGGACATTGGCCTGAAGGATACTCTGAGCAGAGTGACAAAAACATGAGCCATCTACTTGCCAGGCAGAAGTCTTCGGGCTCCTTCGCCGGAGGAAATCTGCACTGGTCTCTGTTAATCTAGCTTCTGTCGCGCCAAGCTCTACAACACCCAGCGACCAAAAGCCAAGAGAAGTCAAGAGTGCTCTATACCAGGATCCGCGCTATAAACTCTTGCTTTCTACTAAAGGCAGCTTTATAGAAGAATTAGTGTTGGAGATAACTAAGAAGAGCAAGAAGAGCTTCTTAAACCTGCTTAATGCGAAACAAACAGTTCCTAAAGACTTGCTATTTTAAATATTACAACCTAGCCTTATTATTTCTTAAATAAGAAGTACGTACAGCGCCTAAGTTTTTACTAAAATTAAGAGATGTTAAGTAGTTGTAGGGTTTTATAGGCAAAATTTTAAGTTCTTATACAAATTTAGTGGCGGAAAGCAAAGTTTAAGGTGTCGCCAAGACATTGCACGGATTAACGCACACAATAGATGCTTGCTATCACCGATGCCGGACCTTGTTCTGCCCAAGTTCCTCTCGACATGGATGACTACCATCGACATGATGCTTGATACGGGGTCAATGTCTCCGCTGCCTCCGCTTTCGCTGTTACGAAGCCCTCGAGATCACTGCTCGGTGCCTATAAAGGTCCCCCAGCTTAGCCCTTGATCATTGGCTTGTGATAGAGCTTTCTTTTCAACAACCAGCACTCTGAGCTAGGTCACTGACTAGAAGAATCCCTACTCATTGTCTCTGATAACTATTCATACATTTGATACTTATAGAGCAGAAGGCCAAAGCCCCTTTGTACTCCTCTGATTCAAAATGTCGAAACCCTACATTCACGGCCACCATGCATCCGTACTTCGCTCGCACTCGTGGCGCACGGTTGAGAACTCCTGCCCACACCTGCTCCCTTACCTGAATAACCCCTCCCTCAAGATCCTTGACGTAGGATGCGGTCCGGGCACCATAACTGTGGATCTGGCATCACGGGTCCCACAAGGCTCTGTCTTCGCCATTGATCCCTCTCCCGCAGGGTTCGAGATAGCCAGAAAATACGCCGAAGAGAAGGGTGTCACAAATGTGCGATTCGAGATTGGAGATATATTCAACTGGAAGGAGTTGGAGGGGGTTGAAGAGGGAGGCTTCGACATCGTGCATGCACACCAGGTGCTACAGCATCTTCAAGACCCGCTAGGGGCATTGAAGGAGATGAAGAAGCTCACAAAACCTGGGGGCATCGTTGCAATAAGGGATGTAGATTATTCCGCCATGACGTGGTACCCTGATATTGAGGGCATGCGTCCTTGGCTTGATCTCTATATCGATGTGGCGAAGACACTTAAGTGCGACCCGAATATTGGACGGAGACTTCATGCCATAGCTATGGAAGCTGGATTTCTAAGGAGCGATATCGATGCTAGTACTGGGACATGGACGTTTAGCACGCCGGAAGAGTTGGCACACTGGTGTGGTGTCTGGGCGGAGAGAACCGTACAAAGCAATTTCAAGAAAAGCACTATCGAAAGCGGTCTTGCTACTGAAGCCGATTTGCAAAACATCGTAACGACATGGCGAGAATTCGAGAAAAAGGAAGAAGGATGGTTTGCTGTAATCAACGGGCAGATAATCTGCCATGTCGAATGAAACACCCTCTCACTTTCAAACACCTCTTCTAATTACTGCAGTTATCGAATAACCCCCTCCCCCTGTGGGCAAAAAAACCCACCGTGCCGAAACAAATTCAACTGATTAGCATCTCAAGCCTTCCTCCTGGAATCTATAAACTTATTGTCAATATGGCACTATTCTCTATCTATGTCTTTCTGGGATACTGGGCCGTAGCTAAAAATAAATACGGTGGTCTTGGCTATACTCTCAGCTAGTTCTTTCAAGGTTCTGGGAGCGCTCAAGCTTCGCCCCCCCTTATGGATGATGGATTGTGGAAGCTCTTTATATTTAAGAATAATATTTTGAAAATCTCACGAAAGAAGAATATTCTTTTATACTGTTATACCACTCAGCCCTCAGTATCAAACATTCCGAGAGTTTCGCTAATAGGAGTGTGTTTCACGTCAAGATAGTGACAAGAATGCTCACTGACTTACAGCGTATTGAGACTTAAGCGAATTGTATTGTATTATACACTATACTAGAAAGAATGGCAGTGTGGCATAGGTTTCTAGAAGTGTCTGACGTCTATGGCAGGTGGCCTGGAGTTTTGCGCACAAGGGGTGCATGTTGACCTTGACGATATTGGGCGCGGGGACGATCCTGTATTTGCTAAGGAGGATGTGCTTCACATGGACAGAGTGCGGGCAGTAGGTCCTGGAGAAGATGATACTGTTCTCTGTTAGTAATGATCTCAACAAGGAGAGATTACTGGGGACGCGCTTGCGCTCTTCTTTGGAATGGCATTGGGCTCTAGCTCAGCTTCATGATCCTCCTCGGTCTCGTCTTCGCAGCCTCTTTTTCTCTTAGTCTTCTAACATTAGTAATACCCGGGACTTTCTTGTCGCCACCCTACCTATTGAGCTTCACACGCCCCACGATGATTGCAAAATCCGTACTAGAACAAGATTACGGCGACGTCGAAGCTAGTAGATATAGCTTATTCGGAAGCAGAACCAGAGCGCACAATGTTATTATAGGCGTACAATCAAGAATAGGGACGACGCGGACTCAGTCCTTGCAGCCAGAATGCGAAAATACTGCAGCATACCCTTAGTGCGAGAAACAACACACCGCTTATGTTATGAATATAGAGCACGTTACTAACTCTTCTCAATCTTCATCGCTACCACCGCCTCTCACCTATACCCCCCGAAGCTCCTGTTCCTAGACTCAAGATCTCGTTCCCACCATGCCAGAACTCTGCCTATTCTCTACATCTCTAAAACCAAGTCAATCCGAACTTCTGCGCCTCTCTGCTATATACTCTTCGCTAAACGAGTAATCCACATACCCCGCCGGCGACCCAGCGACATAAAACGTGCTCCTATCATACGCATTAAGCTCCAGCCCCTGCCTAATCCTAAACACAAGATCTGGATTCGCAATAAAGTACCGACCAAACAAGACCAAAATCTCCTTATCTGGATACATCTCGTCGACAAGTTCCTTTGCCTCCTGCGGTGTATACCCGCCAGCAACAAGCAACGGGCCGTCCCAGAGCTTGTAGGCGAAATCGAGCTGCTCGTGGCCCTCATAGTCGTCGCTGCCGGAGATGCGCGACTCAACGAGGTGGAGATACTCAATGTCTGAACGGCGGGCTTTGACAATGATATCTGTGAACTGCGGGATCGGATCTGCCATCCGCATGCCCTGGAACGTGCTCCAGGGACTCAGGCGGAGCCCGACACGTTGTGGGCCGATGGCGTTGGCGACAGCCTTGAGCACGTCGTCGAGGAGGCGGGACCGGTTCTCCACGCTCCCGCCGTACGCATCGTGACGTGTGTTGCTGACGTCTTGAAGGAATTGGTCGAGGAGGTAGCCGTTAGCACCGTGGATTTCCACACCGTCGAAGCCCGCTCGGATGGCGTTCTTTGAAGCGCCTACAAATTCCTGGACCGTCTGCTGGATCTCTTCGATCGCCATGGCGTGTGGCACGGCGGCGCCTTCTTCCATTGGAATGGCACTAGGTGCCACGATGGAGAAGCCCTCCTTTCCGGCCGTTTCGACATCTGCAGCACGACCCATGGCGAATAGCTGGCAGAAGATGAAGGATCCTTTGCTGTGGACGTCGTCGGTGATGGTTCTCCAGGCAACAACTTGGTCTTCGCGCCAAAGTCCTGGTGCATTGGTGAAGCCGCCACCAGCGGCTGCCGATATCAAGGTTCCCTCTGTGATAATCAGGGTGCCGGGCACAGCGGCTCGTTGGCCGTAGTACTTCTTCATCAGAGGCGTAGGTACTCGATCGTCAGTTGCCCTGAAGCGAGTGAGTGGAGCCATCCCGATGCGATGCTGAACTTCCGCATCACCTATTTTAAGTGGCTTGAAAAGGCGTGATTGAGGCATGGTTAAAGATTTCTAGACGCTCGTTCTCGAGTATGGTAGGAGTATGAAGGTATTGATACTTGGGCTTCGAGGATATCCAAGTATTATACTCGTCGTTTAATAGAAGGCCTACCGCAGTTGTCGGGTGAATGCGATGTTCCTTGAAGGAGTGTTCTAACCAATTCGGGCAGAGAGATAGTTCCTAAAAGGGAATATTGATAGCCACCCAAAAGCCCAAAAGGGAACAGAGACACTTCCACTTAAGGAAAGTGGTGACTTTACTTACCCTTTCCAAGTATGGTTCTGCATGTCTAGCCAGTTAACATTCAGCTTGCCCGTTGATTTTTACGTTAAGATCCGCGTCATCTGTTCAGTAAGCAGTTGATTACAAATAGGAAGACTAAACGGGTCGATACGTCAAGTTGTACATATACTGGGTTCTGCCATTTTGATTCTACAAGTAGAGCGGAATATATTAGTATAGAGCACATGAACTTACTATGACTAGCTATGGTTGTGGTTGATCTACACGACTGTGTAGTCTTCCGAGACAGAAGTCCTCCTCGCCTGACTAGGACATAGTCTAGCCGGAGATTTCTTCCCAGAACGCCTTAACCTGTGACATGAATGCCTTTTCTGACCAGATGAACTGCTTCAGAATTGTAAGTAATTCCAGCCATGATGTATACAAGCCTCTAAGTCTTGTGCTCCGGTTCAAGTGTAATAACACCACGTAGTTTGATCGTATAGTTCCCGTGGGGGAAAAAGCCCCGCCGATGTGCAGGAGCCAAGCTAGCAAGTCAAGTCGGTCGTCCCATACGAGATCGTTGTTCGTTTGTTGCAGTTTGCAGAGTAGCTGTAATGAAAGGTGGGACTATGCCATTCAAAGTTAGTGCAACCGATAAGTGACTAAGCTATCATATGGTTGTTGACTTACGGGAACGGTCGAAGCACGCCAAAGCTTGCAGCGCAGCATTGCTGAGCATAGATATGCCGCTAGGTGGCAACACTCAGATATAGAGGAATGATTCGGTAAGCTCACCAGCCGCGACTGGATGGATGCTTGGTGGTTATCAATATGTGCCATTGATATTACATCCTCTCTGCCGAAAAAGGTAGAGTCTCGGATACATTGCAAGGCAGAGATGTCCTTGAGCACCTCAACGAACCCTTCGCCAAGTAGATAGGACTGGGCTTGAAATCCAGGCGGCAGGATAAAATCTGGAGAAAAAGGATCTCTGCACCACTGAAGCTCAGAAAAGGTTGTGTGATCAACAACACGACTCGACCCTGTCAATACTGAGGTATTCAAGTCTTGCCTGTTGACCAATGTAAGAATGGGCGGCCAAGAAACGTCGCACTATCGCTCACCAGAATATGGCACGTTTGATACTGTCACTCAAATACACACCATTCCTTCGACATATGTCAAGAAGCCTCTGTATTGCCCCCATGTGAAGTTGGACTTGACGCGGCATTCCAAGCCGAGCCTGTAACACTAAAACGTCAGCTTTTGCGGCTGCATGCTTGCTAAATTTGGGGACATCAAAGAGAAGAATTGCAGACCTCTATACCGGCGAGCAGCAGAATGGCCCCCATTGTCGATTCTGAAGTAGCACTATCCAGAGAATTCATCCTTTGACGAATGGAGCTCAGAGCCTCATTCTGGTATCTGAGATACTCCCTATCTATGCTGCTGGCAGTGACGGCAAATTCAAATGTGAGCATGAAGGCACTCAGAAGAGCGTGATCGTCTAGCCCCTTTCGAAGAACCGAGCGAAAGTTCTGGAACACAAGCTCATCTGAAATGCTAAAGAGAGGCTCCGCAACTTGCTGGGCCTTATCTGAAGCATCCCATGTAAGCCTGTGCCGGGTAGTCCTGAGTGTTGTGAAGATCTTACGCTGACTTAGCAAAGCTTGTAGTCTCGGCGACTCTGCAGCAAGCATCTGGAACGGGTCGGGCGCATCTGTGGAGAGGGAGAGTGGTGATGCGGCAAGTGTTTGGCTTCGTTTTCTTTTGCCCGCGGATCGGCTAGGATCGTCTTTCGAAGACATAGCACGGAAATTATGACCCGACTCTTGTTGAAGCCTTCGTTTTTTCTCGAGGCCCCGCGCTACAGCATGCGACCGAGCTAGGCGTCTCGCTTTGCGGTCGTTCGCGTCATCTGGATTTTGGATGGAGAAGAAATGAAATTGGCTAGCTAAAAAAAAAATTGGCGATTAGACACCGAATCATCTGCCATGAGGCTTCGTCCTACCTAAACTGAGTTCGTTGCCGACTTCTCGAAAGGATGACTTGTTAGCACCTTTGTGTCGGGGCATTGCAGAATCTGTGTAATTTAGCTTGGAAATACAGAGTTGTGTGCAGCATGCACAACTTCTCTACAAATAAGCGATGAGATGGGAAAATAGGAATCTTTTCGATGTCAATGATATGGGCGACGGATTACAAATCGGAAATGTTTGGAGGCTAGACAGTCAGTCACGTGAGACCGAAACAGCAAAGAGCCGTTTTGGCGGCAGGAAGCTGCCTGATGGAGTGTGGTTCACTAAGAAACAATAGTGATATTAAAATAGTGAGAGTTCGCATGTGTAGGTTGGCAGATGGATCTGTAATGTGAGAAAAATCTGGGGTTTTCCGGGGCTCTGAATTTGTTGGCTTACACGCCTCGTTGAGTAGAAAATGCTCATCTGTTGAGTTATGCATCTAACTCAAAGGGTTGTGAATTAAACCCCAGACCCCACGGAATCATGGGCATCGTGGAAAGGCAGGCATATTAAGATATACTGGTTGTATGCTAAAGCCGGAGACGCAGAATGACGCAACTGATTGAAGGGACGTCTTATTTATGAAACCTGCAATGGCGAGCTGGAGACATAAACATATCTCGAGACGGATGTCTTGATAGTATGGAGCTAGAAGGTACTTCATTGGTGTTGCGCTGTTGGAAATGCACCGGCTGGGGATTTAGAAACAAGAAATCAAGGCTAAAATCGGATGTTAGTATAAGAGTCCTGGGAAACCGTATCCACTGAGCATATGAAAAATTGGAAAGAACAATCCTCAGGTAAAAACTGGCAGAATTAGTGGCTTGTCAAATTGTTGGAGACAGAATGGGCTGCGGCTTTATTGACACACGAAGCGTCGTGTACACTGATGGTACATTGTGGCGCTCTGGGCGAGCTTCTCGTACAATCCGTGATGGTGAGGACACAGTGTGAAAACTGAGGCACATCGTGATTAGTGAAACGGAGGAGTGTTTGCTTGCGATTGTGGTGACGATGCCCAGGTGGTGTTTGAGGTGGAGACTGCGGTTAGTGTCCCGTGCCTCTCCAGGGTCCGCCCATTCTTCACGCCTGCTACCCAAACTCCAGCATCATCACTCACGACTCACAACACTTAAACCTTCGCTCATTGCTACATCAGTACCAGGACGGAGATATCTGTGATCCAGAAATCGCCTTAAATACGGCTTCATGAAGCATTGAATGCGCTCTCTACACACTCAGTTCTCGTCTACCTGTCGTCTTCTCCGCGATTGCCGGCCAACTCATGTAGCAACTCCAATTCTGCCTCCAATCCTACCTTAGCAGTCTCTGTTAGCATTGGCATACCAGGTATAGACGGTCGGCACCTGCCATAGCCTGTGTGCTTAGCTAGCTCCCAAAGTGTAGGGTTGATAACTCGCTTTTGAGTATAACAACTTAGGAGTTAATTTCTGCTTTACTTTGGTATACCTTAGTTTTGTGACGTAGGAGTTCGAAAGTGGTGCGGTATAGTTGAGTTTAAGGATGGCGAATTTGCAAGCGGCTAGTGAGAGTGAGTATACTGAGAAGCGGCCGAACATCTTAGTGACGATAGCAGGACGGCTGGACCACCCTTGTGAGGCGACGTTTCTGCACATGTTCTTGGAGAGTTGAGAATGTCAACTGCAGAGGTGAATTGCAGCTCGCATGCCAAGGCCCCGCACGCCCAGAGGCCCAACAGACACTTTACATAAATTTCACACTGAAGATTAATGAGATGAGGCGGGTCCCGCGCTAGCCCAGATTGGCGATCGCTTCTAATAGAGGGACTGACCGCGTAGCGATGATGCACGAATCTGCAAACCACAGCAGACACAAGGCTGATGATAATATCTCAGTGTTGTGGTAAGACTCTGACGCTCAAATAATACCCTTTTACGAGTACTGTGAGTAGCTAGAGCGTAATAATGGTGCTGCGGTGAAGGAGCTTTTTTGCACTGGAAAACAACGCTCCCTGTAAAATCGGCGCGAGGACGATGCGAGCACAATGTTTAGGCAGGATCCTACATGTTTATGAGTAGCTATAGCACACGACTTCTATAGAACTATGGTAAAGATTAACGTGTGTGCAGATTTCGAGTTGCCTCCTTATATTTCTTTGCACGATGGGTTTCTCGCCACGTAAGGAGGGCCGTTACCTTCCTCACATTGCACTCCCAATCAAGACAACCCGGAAAAGCAAGCCCTACCGTGTACCCTTACCCAATCACGATCTTTGGGAAAGCTCGTCATCTGATATGTGCATACATTAGCTTCACACACCCTGCAGAAGCCTGAGACCCTGGATCTTTATCAACCCCACCACCCCGCTCCCAGCTAGCGTTCAGCCTACGGATAATCAACTTCACCTCACAACAAGACAGCAAAGCAACAGCCACTACACCAATCCATACCATTCTCGGAGCGATCGAAGAGACCAGCTAAAATGCAGTCCACCATCGTCCTCGTCGACAACCACGAAAACAGCTGCCCAAAGTGCGGTGCTAGCATCACCGACGGGTCCAAGACTTGCTCATCTTGTGGTAGCGTAAGTGGAGGCTTTTGCTCTTGCTAGGTGGCCTTCATGACTGATGTGGTATCAGACCTGCCCTGTCTAAGCCCCTTCGAATTCCATTGGCATAGAGTGAGGCTGGAGATGGAGATGGACATAATTTGCATGCTTCAATACATCATTAGGGAAGATAGCATGAGATATGGTGTGGCAGTCTGATATCGGATTGAGAGGTTAGGCATAGGATGAGCTTTGGATTGGGTAGTCTATATTAAGTAGGATCCTCACCTTTTGAACTTGAACATGTATGCTTTGATGTCGTCTTCCCGTGCCACGTCTGGCAAGCCTTCCTTCCAGAAATGTAGCAAACCCTCAAATAATCCTTGAACTTTTCAAGAAAAGAGCCGGCGGCCTGCAGCCGGTTTTTTAACACCTATCTGCCTAACACTCGGAGAATCGAACTTCCTCCACATCTCGCACAAGCACACTGGGCGATGCAACATGCGAGTTGGCCTAATCCAGCCTTATACTTATCCCTCGGAGATGATTGATTCACCGAAGGACTAAGCTATCGGACTGCAGAGTTTGTTTCATATTGTGTCATGTTGTGTAAAATCGTGGCTGAGCCTTAGCGCGAGGCGGGAAATAACGTTGCAAATCATTCCATTGACAGACTACCAGAGTGGAGAGATACTGGTTAAACTGCCGCCGTCGCGGAGCTAAGTATGCACTAAACTCTTAGCGCAAGTCGCCTGATTATAGTGGCCTCTTGATCTCTGCCTGAAATTCCCTCCCGTCCTGCACCCGCACCCTCGCTTCTGCGCTCCGAGTCCCGTGACTAACACTCCCGCACGTGGATATTGACTTTTGTCGGTATCATAGGAAAACTCTCCTCTTCGCTGTTGATAGCTCGAACGGAATGAATCGTTTCGAAAACTAACCCGAACTTCTCGTTACCTGTGTGGCATTCTACCCACGCCTGGTGAAGGTGAGCGCTACATCACCAAGCTGGAGAACAAAGCTAATGATCTGGAAGCTCGCATCCTTCGAATGAATCTTGCATCTGGCAGCAAATGATTCCCACCCGTAACAGCTAGCAATAAGGAGATTGTCGAAATCGTAGCTGCTGCAGGCAGCACCCTTAGTTTGATGAAGTTAGCCTGTTACTGCGAGTTAGTAGTTGTACGGAGAGAAAACACGAGAGCGCCTAAAGCTAGGAAACCTTACAATTATATCCGCGAGGTAAACACCCCATTTAAGAGATAAGGCCAGTCATGATGATGCCTTGAAGCGCATCAACCTATATGGCGGCAATACCAATGAGATCCATTGCCAGGCCGAAGCTACCGGTAACGACAGCATACTTCAATACCACAAGAGGACCAGTTTCGATTTTCGCTACTGGTCTTTGGTCAAGGTGACGACGAGGCCGAAGACAACAGCAGCGAAGACGATTTATACGCCACAGATAACAAGGAAACTAGTGCCCAGAAACCGCCTATTGGGAGGTGAAGGTTCTTTTATACCTAGCTAAGTGTAGCACTTGCAGGATGAAGCACGGGTTAGTAAAAACCCTTCAATGGGAACTGTTGTCAAGGACGTGGGGAAACCCTTTGGTGAGGAAGCACGCGACGGATATATTGTAATTTGGGTAACTTTCAATACTGTGTGCGCTTCGAAACCTAACATCCTCCATATGGGAGCTCGTGGATTGGGGAGTTAAACGAAACGAATGGTTTGATGAAGGAAAGTTACAGCTCCACCATTAGACTATTGAGGTTAAAATGACGTCGCATCAAGGGGATAGGTATGCCTAGAAACGTCTCTTGCACCGCTCGATAGATTTAATGCCACCCCCCAAGCTCATATTCATTAGCGTTGTGAAACCTCATTCCTCATACTATTCCCTCAAATTTGTCTTTTACACTCCCTCCACCGTAGGCCCTTCTCTTAATGTCAGCAAAAGTGCTCATAACCCACTCGCAGACCCCTTCCAACCTTCACCATCCGCGTGATCACTTCTTCTTGAGCTGGATAAAAAGCATAGCGACACAGGCAGCCATAAGAAGAACGGACATGAACATGAAAGCTGCATCTGCTTCACTCTGTTTGCATCGCGCATTCAACGTCCCTGCTCTATACGTATAATCATCGTTCTCCGTGTACCCGCAGAGAGTGCGGCCTTCAGCTTTCTCACAGCCTCCATTGAGCAAATTGTTGCCGGTCATCTTCTTTCGAGTGGCAAAATCTGATTTGGCACAATTGATGCCGCGAAGCTTGTACGCAATGATCTGTTCTGCTGCATCAGTGATATACAAGAACTAAAGAAAAGAAAAGGCTACTTACAACTCCGCCGGCGAGATAGAAGAAGGCGACAGCGCAATCAATGCCTGCCATGAGAACGGTTTGAAGAATCTCGACCCAATTCGATGCTACACCAATGCATGCGCAGACAAGGCCGAATGCCCCAGTAAAGATCGCGTACGGGATCGTGGATGGGAGCTGATCCTTGACCACCTGGCCTTTGAGGAGACCAGCGGAGAGACCAAGGATGATAATTGCAAAGAGCGCCTGGCAGCCTCGAAGGGCTAGACTGATAATTGTACTCGCCATGATGTTTGAAGGTGTGTTGGGTGACGGTTCGAAGGCGAGAATGCAAATGGGGTGTGCGTTGATGTTGAGAGCTCTGGTGAGGGCTCAAATATTCGAGACGGAAGGACGACACACTTGAGTTTTCTCTTCGCCGGGATGGTGTATTAATATATGAAGAGACGTCCAACTTTTTCTTGAATCACGTGTTGTAGCCTAGCGATACCTAGGCATACGGGACCTTTGGAAGCGAAGTGGCTCTGCAGTTAGTCGCAACCTAAAGTCTTCAGAGCAATGAAAATACTGGGATAGAAAGAGAAAAAGAACAAGTCTCAAGCACCAGGGCCATGGCGGATATTTCAAGCAATCCTTCCTCTCCATTGCCGCCAGGCCTCCTACCGTGCCACCCTCAGCACAAGAACCTGACCCCAAGCTCTCTGGATCCATCGTGCCATCTGGGCGCAGTCACAGCCGTGCACCAGTCACGGATCCTCTTGCAACCTCGTTTGAAGGATTCCCTTCGTAGCTGTTGCCTTGCAGATCCCTCCACTGACAGCTAATCGAATTAATGAGGAGAATAGAGTTTCACCGGTATATGGCAGGGCTGATACCCTTCACAACGTGCATGCCTAGACCAGACGGATGGCGGATGCGACATGGAGACCTTGAAACACTTCTGTCACCTTTCGGAAAAAGTGGTTATTGAGCAGGTGATGGGGGCGAAGGATGGGGCAATACGACTGGTTTTAGATTGCATTCGCTTGGCAACAGGGGGGCTGAGTCACCAATGCTCTCTCTGAACGTCCATGCGATTGGCCAAGAATCCTTCAAAATGAGCTGGTTGGCAGGAGAAAGAGACTTCACCAAAGTATCCCAGGTGTGCCAGGTACCCGTGTCATGCGAGAGCAATTCTGACTGGCCTCGGCATTGGGTTTGTCTTTGAACTGTGAAAACAAGCATTCGTCTACGGAGCTTCCTCGGAAAGTTCTTGATACTGTAGCGTAGCTACTCCAAATACACTGGAATACCATACACCACTGCCGCCGCCCCATTCAGATACCTTAAGAAACATGCGTCCCTCGCCTCTCTCACAGCCTCATCTAAGCCCACGCCTCTACGCCTCTCCTTCCTATTGACTCCCATTTCATCCTTATCTTCACAAGGAGGGTCACGGGCCTTCCTCCCTCTCCTCACTGTCTGTGCACCTCTGGCATTTTCTACCTCTGCAACAAGCTGGGCAACTTTCCCTTTGCCCTTTGATTTTTTCTTAGCCTTGGGTTCCGCATCGTCTTTAGTTTCCGGCCACAGGCCCCATAGCTCTGCAGCTTTAACGGCAAATCTATCACAGTCCTTATCCGTGACATCCCAGAGCATGCCTAACACAGCAGGCGCACCCGCAGTAAGATACGAGGCCAGCATTCCTGATGGCTCATAGAATCCATTCTCGGTAAGATGCACCGAGGAACATCCAAAGAGGAACGTAGTAGCGCATCCACGTTTTTTCTTATCTCCGATTTGGCGTCCTGCATATAGCCTTCTCACAGATTTTGACCGTACAAACTGTGCACCGCTGCCATGGCCAAAGTAAAGCACGAGTTCCTTTGCTTTCAGCGAGCTCTCGAACTCCTTTTCAGTTGGGGCGCGATCGGTGATGTGGGTCCATGGTCCCTCCATATTCTCTAATCGTGGCTTAAGAGTCTTCGAAGTATGGCTCAAATCTCCAGATGGATTGAGAATACTTGTTCCTCCAGCACTCGCCGGGATGTAGTGGCCTGGGCGATCATCCCGCGCATTATCTGATGATCTTGCGGCGAGAATTCGTTCACGAAGAGCGGCCAATGAGGGAAGTCGAGAGATGGCGATTGACTGAAGACAAGGCATAGACTCCCATGGGAATCTGTGCAAATTCTTGTCCAGGATAAGGATAGTGTGCGCCGGTTCCGCGCAAGGGCCTTGCAAAGCGCTATGGTAGGCGCGGAGTGCGTCGAGTGTTTCGACCACTATAGCGTCAAAGTCGATCTCGTCGTAAGCGTTGCTTTCTCCGTTGAATTGTAGAATGTCAACCACAAAGTAGATGAGATCCATCAAAGCCTCGTCTAGATCGAGCTCGTCGTTTGTCGCATCACCAAGTCCAACAAATAATTCCAATACTCTTGTATCCAACACTGTCCTCTTTTGCTGGGACTTTCCTCGTCGCGAAGGTAAATACTGATTCAAGATGGTCTCGAAGGACTTGCGGAAACGTGCGAGCAAAGTCGGCTGGCGAGCGTGCTGTGAGAAGATTCCCTTGAAGCCCCCAAGCCAAATATTTTCAATGTTTAGAAGCAATTCGCGCAGCCTCATGTCCAAGGCTTCACGTTCATCCCACCATTGTGCTCTTGCTTCTCTGGAGGTCATGTCCTTTGCATTCCGAGTGCTAAAATCACTAAGCTCGATGATTTCGTTAAAGTCTTTCCTGCCGTCTTCAAAGCTAAATTCTTCTTCGTCCATATCGCGTGATGTATGACGACTCATCGGCAATCTGAGGACGAATGGCGATTGGCCGGATTGGTATCGCGTAATGTAAAGTTCATCGTGAGCATCGTTAAGAGCAAGCGATACAGTTGTCCACGATTCGGGGATAATGTCGATGTAATCCTTCTGGAAATCCGCCACAGAAGACGCCGAAGATCCTTCGCATGAGCCCAATTCAGGCCATTTTAGGAATTCTTCACGAGAGAGGCTTTCCTGTTCGACTTCGATTGATTCTTGGCACAGTTTTAATGCTTGATCTTTTGGAAGTTCTATTGATGATTAGTACATGGCTGGAAACTACAATGGCTTTTAACGTACCGTTCATATAAGCAACATAGAGGGGATGAAGGGACCCTCGCAGGTCTCCGCAAGAAGCAGCAGATAAGAGAACTGTGACATGCCCCAAGGCGTTCGACACCTGCTGGAAGTTGGAATTTGTCCCCATTTTGGAGCACAGGGCATGTGCTTCCACAAGGGAGTCACGCGCTTGACGAAGCGTTGCGATAAAATCTTCTTTGTTGGCCTTCTTCCCTTTACCGCTCATGGTCGATGCAGAGATCACCCTATTTGCGCGTTTGGCTACAGCTGCTTCCACAGACTTGCGATCCGTCTGGCTGACTGCAGGGAAGGCAATGGTCGACTCTGGTAGTGTATTGAACGTGAAGTTTTTGGCAAGTTCCTTTATACTCTGCGAGAGCAGCGCCTTCGCAGTGACGAAAAGGTGGAGGAAATCCCGCTCGCCACTCTCAATACGTTGTGCCCAGTCTAAGAGTTCGATGGCTTTCGGCGAATCCTCCTGTAGAACATATGCGAGTGCTTTCCGACGTGCTACTTCTGCTTGGAGAGAGTTGAGAACAGAGCATACGTCAGCAATGCTGGCAGGCTGTGAAGTTGACTGCTGGATGGGATTTCGCACTGCCTTTGGGGGGGCCTTTGGAGCCACCTTTGGAGCCGCCTTGGGTGTTGGATTGCGGGCTCTTGTTCTTGTCACTCGTGATTTGTCTTTCTCGAGGGGACCATCCAAGGATACTGCTGACATTTGCTGGGCTAAAGAATCAGCAGCGGATGGAAATGCGTCCAAGGACCTGATGAAGTGGCCTCCGGTAAGATCCTTCAATAAACGTTCCAGTGTTTCGTAAACAGCCAACTCTTCCTTGCCCTTCTTATTCGCATGGTGTATTCTCGCGATTGCCAAACAGTGCCGAACTATCGACAAGTGTTTGTGGCATTTGGGTAGATCGACTTTGTCTAAAACATCTTGAGCCTTGTCTGGTCTGTCACCTTGAGCCCAGTATTCGGCGCGATGGCTGCAGTTCTCGACAAGAAGGAATCGGGAATGAGTGGCGGAAGCAATCTTCTCCGCTTGTTCTGCAGCGTACAAGGCTTCTTGAAGGAGCCCTTGATGCGAGTAAATCAGTGATTGCAGCATCAAGCCACGATATAGCGGAGGCACAACAGGCCAAAACTCTGGTCCATTCAATGTGTCATGGGTGATAGACATGACAAGGGACACCCCCTTCTCGTTGCGGATGGAACTTAACGTGTCAAATGTGCCGTTGCCTGCACCTTCCCCATCTGTTTCGCTGCCCTCGGATTGTGCTACTTTTCTACAGTTAGACTTATTCTCCAAGCAGGCCCATATCCGTCGGTTGAGTGCCACACATCGCTTTGCATATCTTGAAGCTTCCTTGAAGGATCCGGCGTTAATGGCAAGAAGCGAATGGACATAACAAGCATCAGCCAAGATTTTGTTGAACCGTACCCTCCCTGATAATGTGGTTGACGCTTTCGTAAGCTCCATGAACTGAGCATCGTCAAGCGCAACCGTTTTTGCAGATGAGAGAGTACCTTGGCTGCCTCACGTTAGCAATATTGCATTTGCTCGGAAAGATTTTCTTACCATTTCGTCAAATTGCCAATTTTGAGGAGGTACTCCGCGTAGGCCAAATGCCACTGTAACCTTGCTTCTGTAGAGGTATTCGTGCTGGATATCACGCTCTCAGCTTTTGCAAAAGCCAACCCAGCCTTCTCAGAATAGCCAAGTCGGAGCAGGTGGAGGCCGAGAGCGCAAAGGTTTGATACGAGACGCGATGTATCTGGGTTCTTTTCGAGTTCCATTATCTTCACAAGAAGGCGGAGTGCCGGAATGCAGATATTGTCCTCCCCTTTCGCCGCCAAGTAATCAGCAACTGCTTGCATCTGCTGCAGCCAGGGCTCAGAGTCGTCAATCCAATCAGTGAGATCCTTCCACGACGACACCGAGTCGATCATAGATTGCCATGTAAAGAGGCATTCTTGCATGATGACTATGGAAGGCAGTCCGTCTCGCATAGTCGACTTCAGCTTCAGGAAGGCTTTCAGATGGTCCCCATATCTTGACAAGCCCTGATCCTGAGAATTCTGGAAAGACTCAGCTCCCGGCACCGTGTTAATATGCAACATCCCTTGTGGTAGAATACCCGGATGAATCTCTGCTATCTGCAGAAGTATTACAAATACTCTTTGGCGCCGAATGGGGAAGGTTGCTTCTGTGTAGAGCTCAAGCAAGCACTCACTCATAATCTGCAGAGAGGCATTGAGAGTTGAGTTCCATGGTCGGTTCCTGGCAAGCGCTTTGGGAAACAGATTCAGTTGCCATTCTAACAGGATTCCTCTCTCAGCGATAGGAAGGGTGGAGTCATCGAAGAAAGCCAGCTCGTTGGTACGGAGCACTCCATACTTGAGGAAAGACCGATGGTACATTTTCAAAACTCTCCCTAGGGTGTTGGCCGTTCCTTTCATATCGAAGACGTTCCTAATAGGATGATTCAACGCCAGTTCAGCCGCTGTCTGCAACACCCCACTATCAAGCAAATTCTTGATCGATAGATAAAAGGCGTTGCGGGAGTCTTCGCCTCGATCAATCGAGTCTAGAGTGTCACCGAGCTTTTCCGTTTTCATGGCTAGAAGACCAGATTGCCGCTCGGGTTTCGGCCGTGACTGAAGGAGTTCGACGGAACGCTGCATCGCTTTGATCAAGGAACTCGGACTACTGTTTGCCTTTCTCAGCTGCAGGTACAGTGCCCAGTAAGCGTTCGAGAGCTTCACCAAGGGGAAGTGAAGGTCTGTAGGAAGTATCGAGGTGCAACTCAGTTCTTCGCCCAGGGGCTCTTCGAAATGCTGCAAGATCGAAACACAGTCCTGGACAAGGTTGTCGAAAGATGTCCACCGATCGTCCGAATCCACCAAGAGTCTGGTGCAAGCGAGCACACAGTCAACGATACTCTTCATACTCTTAGCTGTCATTAGAATGCGCTCACCGTATCGAACATGAGCTTTGGTGTCCGAATTTGCTGAAGGTCTAGTCCCAACAAACCGCACAAGAAAACGAATGCTTGCAGCGACGATTCCTAACGAGTGGTTATGGGCTATGGATCCTAAGGAGCTGCTTGGAAGTGCCGAATGACCAAGCGATATTGCCCTCGATGCTATGCGTCGCAGTCCATTCACCTCCGCGAACAGGATATCTAGATCTGATGAAGACCCACTAAGGCTTCCGGAAAGAGCCTCCATGGCTTTGGTAGCGCTGTCCGCCAAACCAGGCGTTGGTACCTCTTTGATTGAGGCATCAATTGATAGTGTCGCGACTCTGACAAGTCGAGACGCCGTCCGGGCAGCCGAATCTTTTGAGTCCAGGGAGCTCGGTTCTTTCATCCAACGCAAAGCTACATCGGTCAAGCCGGCAGCCTGTGCTAAGGAGCTGAGGATTTTAGCAGCGGACTCCCCAGGAGACGCGACTTGCTGCAGTGGGATCGAGTCTTCGGTAGACTTCAAGAGGTCGACATATAGGGTTTCCGCTATCTTGTATTTCTTGAGGGCCAAAAGTTTTGAACGCCTGCTAAACGCAGTGAGACATTTTGCGAAAGGCTCCATTAACTCCTTCTTTTCATCCGAATCATGGTTGGCCAATGTCCACCAGCTTTGCCGGACCTTGAAGGCGAGATGCTGCAACCGCAGAACGATCTCAGGAGACGGCTGGAGAATATCTTTACCCTCCACCGGGTCATTGGAGCTCGAGATGCTGGGACATAAAGAAAGCACGATTTGTGAGAAGGACTCAAGTTGCCTGGTGGCCTTTGCTTGTGCACTTGGAGCCTGGGCGACATATAAGACAAGATTTGGAAGGGAAGACGGATTCGAAAGCTTCAGGAAGTCCCATAATGCCTCAATAACGCGGGGATGTCTTGTTGCCGCAATCAACCGCAAAGCATAAGTCTGGTGGCTTATGATTAGAGGCAAAGCTGGAGTCTGTTTATCAATGTCTCCAAAGTCGAGGAGCGAAGTCAGGCTTTCCTTCTCAACCGGTCCTGAAGGCTTTTTTGCATCCAATTTTCTTTGAGCAGTTTGGGCTCCTCGGCCCTCATTGTCCCACCCTAGAAACTGATCCAGCCTCTTCTTCAATATCCGCAGTTCTTTGATAGCGAGGCTATCCAAGCCGTGAGCAAGTAGCTTCCCGGCAAGTGCCAGAATACCATTCTCTAGTTGTAGCTCAGGAGCGTCTTTGCCCGTAACTTTTGCAGCCTCTGGAGTCCTCAAATATGCAAACGCTATCCTTGCACATTCTGCAGTCGCCACCAGCCCTGGTGCAGGTCCTGTTGTCAAGCATGCCGAGTATGAGGACGACCGGCGAGGTGCATACCGCTTCTGTGGTGAATTGACGACTTGGCTAACGGATCGTTCTTGGAGAGGTTTCTGAGAGTACGATGCACTTCTCACATGTGCGCCACTTCTCGGTGCAGGCTTACTCTGGCCTTCGGGGGCAGGAGTCTTCGATTTCGACGGCTTCGGGCTAACTTTGGAGGGTGGTGGGGTTTTTAGGGCGTCGGCGAGGGATTTCAGGGTTGTATTAGCAACTTCTGTTGCCAGTATGTATTTCTCTTTCGCCGCAAGAAAGTCTCCAGCCGGTTTTGCCACATCAACAGCTATGGTAGAGACTTTGGTCGCGACTCTCGTCCTGCTATTGGGTTGGACGCTGAGCAACCGAGAGCCTTTGCTTCTCAAATTTTCCTTCTGAGCCACTTCTTGGGCCTTTTCTGCCAGTATCTCTTGTAGTTCCGAAACCGTCGTTGAAGTACATGTTGTGATGGATCGGAGGCTGGTTTTGATGTTTTCGATACGGGAACGCGTAGTGTCTTTGGCTGTCGCCATCGCTCTGGGAGCAAGAAAGAGAAGTGGGAGGGCGTGTATAAAGCTTCACCAAGGCCCTAGATTATACATTATTAAGAAGACCCGGGTAGATGTTGCGTAGGAATTGTGTTGTTCATGGCTCCGTCGCGACATCGAGACACCGCAACAGTAAGCATCCTACCAAATTGAGCCTAGTGTGACCAACGTCTCCACGTGAGCAGCCACAGACACAACCTTAGAAAGCAAGCTTCAAGTGCCCATCGCGATCTACACCGCATCTCTATCCTCCCCACAATGCTCTTCACCAACTACGTCCCGGGCTGAAACAGCATGTGAACCTCTCCTTCTTGAGACCGCTTGATCACCAATCTAACTGCAGCTCTAGCCCAGATCCGTAGGCAGAAAGGGCGCACCTGCACCACATTCATCGTTGCGCCCAATGATTCCAAGGCTGTCTGGAAACATTGGCGATCAAATAACACAAGATACCACTAGGAACTTGTTAACCATGCAGTGTTCAACTAGCTGTCGCATTTCTCGGTTTCCCTTTCGATGATCATGCAACTTGGGTGGGATCGACCTCGTATTTCAACGTTGGCTGACCCATCTCCATGCAACATTCCTGCCATGGGCCTGCTCGTGAAGGTAAAAGCAAAAGCGTAAATAAAGCCTTTGCAAACCCAAGCGAATTTTACACTGCTTAAACCTGGGTTACTATGGGTCATTCTGAAGGCCCATCATCAGCGGAACTCCATGGAGAGGCTCTGGAATCCCTCCCTCATATAAAGGATCTATTTCTAGAAGCGGTTCAACAAAACCCCGACATTGAAGCAGTCGTTTCTCTACATCAGAGCCCGCTAAATCTCGCTGGAATTGATGAAGGGCACGAAGGCGCGCTACGGTGGACCTATTCTCATCTCTACCGAGGAGCAAAGCACCTAGCCTCCCGATTTGAGGCATCTGGAGTACTCAGAGGAAGCTCGATAGCATTCTTCTGCGAGAATCGTGCCGAATGGGTTCTTTTATGCTGGACTTCGGTTCTCCTAGGATGTCCATTTGCCCCTCTAGATCCTCGTCTTGCTAACAACGAGGAGGAGGTTAGTTACGTTCTCGGACAGATATCGCCTAGTGTTATTGTGACAGTAGGCGAAAAGATCCAGTCATTGCTTCAGACCAATGCGCATCTCGCCCTCAAAAAAGCATGCTTGCTATTGTCGCTGGAAAGGCAGGAGGTCCCAGCAGAGCATAATTTTCTCCCCTGGGTTTCTTTACAAGATCTCTGGGCAAATGCACGGCAGCCTAATCATCATTGGACCGGAAGTGTATTTGAGGACACCACGGTAATCGGGTTCACAAGTGGAACAACGTCGCATCCAAAGGCCTGCCCACAGTCCAGCGTTAACCTCATGACTTCCGCCGTCGCAGTTCGTCATCTGCGCAAAATTGTAATCAAGGACCGTCTTCTACAGCATCTTCCTGGTTTCGCTGCTATGGCTGTCCTCATCTCCTTAACATTTGGTATATCGGGCGCCACCATAGTTTACCCCTCTCCATCATTCAGCGCTTCGGCTTCACTAGACGCCATTGAGACTGAAAAATGCACCTACACTTTCGCGGCTCCAGCAATCGTCAAAGCTTTAGCCATGCATCCCAGTATATCCAAAAGGTCCCTTGGTTCGCTTCATATCGTCGAACTGGGGGGAGCCCCAATCTATCCAGAGATTTTAGAGCTAGCCACGTCGAGGCAGGGCTTGAATTGCGAGAGAGTGGGTTGTGGGTGGGGAATGACAGAGAGCCCCGCTCCACTTCTTGCTCAGCCTTGGGAAAGGCACATCCCATTGCCTACGGACTCTATCCCAGTGGGCAAACCCATTCCGGGTACTCGAGCAAAGATTTGTGCCCTAGACTCAAAGATACCATTGGAAAGAGGATGTGAAGGCGAACTGCATGTTGGCGGACCTCAGGTTGTGAGAGGGTATTTGAACACTAGTAATGAATCGATTTACGTAGAAAATGGGGTACGGTGGATCAAGACTGGAGATATGGCTCGCATTGACGACAATGGCAATATTCATATTATTGGCCGATATAAAGACATCATCATCCGAGGTGGGCAAAACATATCGCCGGCTAAAATTGAGAGATGTCTCGACAAAATTCATGGAGTCGAAGCGCAAGTGGTAGGCCTCTCCGACGATCTCGCTGGAGAAGTACCCATCGCAGTACTGAAATTTTCGGACGAAGAAGACCCAGATCCCAATATTACTCTACAGCAGCTTCGAAACATCGCTCTCAAGGAACTCGGGCCTTCAGAGACACCGCACGCTTACGTCACGTTGAATGAGCTTGGGCTGGAGTCCTTTCCTTCTACTCTTTCTGGGAAGATACGGAAAAGCAGTCTGGCTAAAGCTGTGGCTGATCATTTCAGCGAGATGGATAATCGTACTAATATAGCTTACAACAGAGTAACGACAAGTGATATTCTACTAGAATTGTGGTCCAAGGTTTCGGGAGTGGCAGCCAAAACAATCGATGTGAAGATATCGGTGTTCACATTCGTAGATAGCATCACCGTCATGCGTTTCTCCACCTTGGTAAAGAAGCAGCTTCAGAAGGAATTGTCTGTCGACGACGTCATTTCTCACCCTAGCATTCAGGGGCAAGCAATTCTTCTCGACACTCGCCCAATTCAACACACAACCGGATCACTCAATGGTCGTCAAGGACCCCCGGAAGCAAATGATATGGCACACTGCCAAGATGATCCAGAGAAGGCCTCCCTCACTAAGAACCTTGCCAGCCCTTTCCTGAAAAAACTCGGGCTATCTTGGACCGATGTTGAAGATGTTTTCCCCGCTCCGGATACAAGTTTCATATACTTGAACCGGCAGCGACCACAGACGTGGAATCAGCGAGTTATCTACCTTGCTCCTATTACCGCTGTACAAACTCTCACCAAAGCCTGGCAAGATATTTTAATCCACCACCCCATGTTCCGAACTCTAGCGATACCCACGAACCCAGAGCCAAGCCTCTGTGGCTTGAAACATCTCTTCATCGTCCTCCGTCCAAGCAGTGCATTCTGGAGCTGCTCAACCACCACAGGACTAGAAGTTAACAGTCCAGAGGACCTCCGTACCGCGTATCTCAACGAATGGTCTGACACTCTCAATGGCCCCCTCATCCGGATAGCCTTCGTCAAAATCAAAAGCACAACTTCCTCAGCCTTCATTCTAGTTGGTAACCACGCAGCCTACGACAACCTTTCCATGGACATGCTTCTTGAAGATCTAAAGACAGCATTAGCCCACAATCTAACCCTCGATAACATCCTCCAGGCTCCAGGCCACATCCCCTTCAAGCAATTCGCGGACACGTATTTCTACTACCGCTCTGCTCGCCCGGCAATCGAAGCAGCAACATGGCACGCGACTAGGCTCTGCGGTCTCGCCTCGCAGACAGCAAGTCTATGGCCCACGTCCCGTGCTCCGGGATTCTTCAAAGGCAGTGATACCGGCTGGACATATGGAGATGGAAAACCAGGCGACCCAGCTCTCCGCACGCCCTTGGATCGGCCTGGAGACCAGCACGGCCTCGATGGCTTGACTCGTACAGCCCGCGTTAAGACTCTGCGGGATATGCAGACAGAGTACGGTATCCAGCCGCATATCATTCTTAAAGTTGCTGTGGCGTTGTTCAACATGTCACAAACGTGTACTTCCACCGCGGTGTTTGCGAACGTTGAAGCAGGACGGAAGTGGCCGGCTAGCTCTCCCCCTCCCACTCCCGGAAAAGAACTCGCAAATCCGTTGGATATCGCGGGCCCGATGTTCCAAGTCGTTCTTAATAGAATCACTTTGAACGGCAAGGAAAGCGTTATAGGCCTGCTGAATCGCGTGCAATCAGAACAACGCCTTCTAACGCAACATTCTCAAGCCCCGTTATTCCTCATACATGAACTCCTCGGTGAAAGGGATGCAGAGACCATGAATGACGCTCTCTCGAGACAAGGCTACAATTGGGCCCCCGGGATCCAATCTTCCTCGCACAACCGCAGAAGCTTTTTAGAGGGAAAAGCTAACGGAGATAGTGACTACGAAATCTTAGTCAAATTCAATAGACGCGCCTACGACGACATCGGGCTAGCCTGGACATGTGGGTTGCTAGGCCCAGAGACATTGTATGTCAATGGGAGCTATGATGACTGCCAGTTAAGCAAGAAAGAGGTGTTTGATGCGGTGGGCAAAGTGTTGAGTGCGGGTGTGTGGTTGGCGGATCCGAGAAACGCGGAGAAGGGTGTGGGTGAGTGCTGCTTTGAGGGAAACGGTATGGAGATCAGTGGATTAGTTAAGAGTCTTGAGTAGATCAAACCTGTCCAAGATTAATATCCAAGGCTATTTGTGAATGCTAGAAATGATTAATATCGAGAGTTCAGAAACTAAATTGCTTAATGCAGCTTTATGCTTGATCTTGATTTTCTAAAAGGTATCTACAAAGGAAAAACAGACCATCTACGATACGCTCATTGTCAGCGATGTATGTATTTCCCTCTTTCTCTCTGTATGAGTGGATTTCCTTATGTATCCAAGCCCTCCATTCTGCTCCGTCTTTCCACCTCAACCCCGAACGAACGAACGCCAAATCTACCAAGCCCAAACACCGTATACATGAACAGTGGTGTGAAGGGGTATTAAGAGCAACCTTGCCAAGCCATATCCGAATCCGCACAAACAAGACTCCAATCAATGACAATGACAAGGACAAGGACAACAATGCGGCCTCCCAAATGCATCTGCATCCACATGCGCATCCACCCAACCTCCAGACACCCCGGCAGAGCATTTTTGTGGATGCTTAAATCCCGACATTAGCCCCAGGACTGGGGCTCCTCCCCTCTACGGCAAACTTCCCCTCTCGTCCCGCATTCTCTATTCAATCACTTCAGCAAAATTCCCTCAAACCCACGTCCTCCTCTCGTATCATTCCGGGCTCAAACTATGCAGTCACAACCTCCACCCCCACCCCCAACCCCTCACAAAGCCTCTTCCTCCACATTCCACAAACTTCCTCAAACCCATCTACCACACTCCCACACGCGCCCTTTGCCTCTCTCTCCTTCAACCGTCTATCCCAATCCCCGCGCTCAATCCACCTCACCCCCTGCTCTCTCAATTCCGTCTCCCGCTTCCATTCCCCCAGCTGGTCTTTTGCCGATTTCAACCTCCGCGCAGCGTTACCGTTGGCCTGGCGGCTCATGTGTAGCGAGTCTGAAACGTTAGAGAGGTGTTGTAGGAGTTCGCGGGTGGAGGATGTGAGTTGGGAGAGAGAGTAGAGGGGGTCTGGGGAGGAGTGCGGGAGTAGGTCGAGGGTGGTGGTTATAAGTGGGAGGAGCGATTCGATGGTTTCGAGGTCCGGGAGGACGGCGCGGGGGCCGCTGAAGGAGGAAGAGAGGGAGGTAAGGGTGCGGGATTGGTGGGTGAGGTGCGTTGTTAGGGCATCGTGGGCGGTTTTGAGTCTGTTGCGGGAAGGTATTAGGTTTGCAGGAATTAAGGGGTTGGGGGAGGGGGAGGGGGAGTGGGGGGTGGGGTGAATTTACCTCGTTGCGCCGTTTTCGATGCTGGTTTGGCTCCCTAGATCACGGAGCCGCTCTACTACCCGTTTGACGACCTGGTCTGCAGAGCTTCCATTCTCCTCCATGCCTCGCCGCGCTAAGCTTTCCACGGCTGCCATCCGAGCTTCGAGCCCGGCAGAAATCCCCTCGTTGACTTCCAAGTCGGAGTCGTCTCCATAATCAGACCCGTCGTACAGTGATCGCGCCCTCTGGTGTCTCCGTCCCGTTTGACGTGCTGTCTGTGGACTCAATGTAGTCTTTGACTCTTGAGAGGGTGACGATGACTGCATCGCGACCCCACTGTCACGCACCCCGTTCACAGAGTTCGGCATAGTGTTGATACCAGCAGACCCATCGTGATCGATCGCAACACCTATATTATCCAAATTCCTCTGCGGAAGATCCACATCGTCCATTTCCTCCTCATCCTCGCTGTAAAAATCGCCCAGCTCATCCGCCAAATTGCCCAATCCGCTATCTCCCCCGCCGTCGAAATTATGAGCAGGGCTGCTGTGATCAAAATCGTGAGAAGAGCGCGGCGTTATGGGTGAATAACCCGAAGAGCGGCGGTGCATCGAGTACCGTCTTGAGGGGGTGTTGTTCTGGGACATATCCAAGCTCGAGGGGTGTCTCCTGTGCGAGGAGCTCGGACGGGTGGGTGTTCTCGGCGGCGAGGACATGGCGAAATATTCCTATCGGCCTTCTGGGCGCGCTGAGATAATCGGTAGAGGTGAATTATGGGTTATGGTGAAAAGGGAGCGTAGCGGAGGTGCCGTGGTCATCTGTTGCGGAGGGGGGGGGGGGGGTTCCCTGTCACTGGTGAGACGTGTTTTCGTTGGGCTGAATTCTCGGCGTGTTATTGACGGCGTTTCGGAAGTGCGTCGATTTGGGAAAGTCTGGTTGGCGGGGGTAAAGGGTGCGCGCCGTCTGACGTGCGGTGAAATAGTCAATGGTGAAATGTGATTGCGATCGCGGGCTCAGGCTTGGCTGGCTGAGTGAGGCTCTCGGAGAGGAGAAAGTTGTCTGGAATTCGGCTTCTTGTGGCGTCTATCAATGTAAAGAAAGTGAATGAATGTATCACGTGGCAATGCGTCGTCGAGCTGATGTTGTCCTTCAGTTGGATTGTTGTGTTGACGTCGTTGTTGGGGTGGCTCGCGACAGCGTCCCGGTTCAACACGACTTCAAGCTATGCCATCCTAGCAAATAATTTGCCCCCTTCAAGGATCACGGTCACCGTCACGGCAGAGGGAACACAACAGGTACGCGATCCAACGCCAGAACCACAGCAGTCCCAGGCAACCTGGCCTTCGTGACTATTATACAAAACAAGCTCAGCATGTTCGTATCCAAACCCTCGATACTTTTCCAGTATGAACTGAATGAACAGTCCGTCATCATGTATGTCCAGATGGGTATCGTTCCAGTAACTGAATCGAAAGAAGAGATTGCGCAAAACAGCCAGCCAAAATCCGCCAACTCCATGAGCAGTGATGCGCCCTGTACGTGTGCTGTTCAACATGGGCAAGAAAACCTAGCCAAGCCATTGCTAGAGAAGAGGCGCAAATGCAACGGTCCAGAACTCCCGCAATGCTGAGACAGAAATGCCCTGAATATGCCGCTGAATACAATTCGAGCTGAAGCCGAGGAGCTATGCGGTTTTACCCTGCTCGAAGGTCTGGAGTTGCTTCTTGAGCTGGGTGAAGAAGTCCTGTCCACTGGGCATCAAGTGTCTCATATTGCCTGCTCTACGGTTATCATTGCCATGGGTGTGTTTGCGAGGGCACATGCCTCGGGAGCCCCAGGCGCCGCTGCTTCGCCTGTCTACCGAATCGCCCTGAACTTTGTGGTACACCGAGGATTGATCTGCCAAATGGAGTTCGTTAGGTTTGCTGTCGAGAATGGACGCGTTATTAGAGAGGAATACCTCCGACGCTCTCAAGGTAACCTAAAGCATGGTCGTTAGCCTCCAGCGCAAAACACGAACTTTGAGACTGTAGGTCAAAAGGAGCAATAACAGGAGACAGTGAGAGAAGCATTAGGCAAACGTGAACAAAGAGACGTACGCTTCTTCAAGAATTCCTTGACCTCTCCGGCATTAAAATCTTTCACGGGGACGTGCTGTTCTGCCTGGACCGTAGCGGGCGGCGCTGCTGGTCTGTCGCCGCCACCGCCAGCAGGTTTTCCTTTGGCCGAGCCCCAAGCATTGCCTGACAGCGCAGCCATAGCTTGCTGCCGCCCAGCATCTCGGGTGGGCGTGCTCGTGCCCGAGTTGCGGTCCTGGTTCTGGCGGTTACCTTGCCCTGACCGGCGCCAGTTGCTGTGGGCTGTCAGAATGATAGCGAGCAAACTAATAACGTGAAGCTTACCGGTTCTCACCCGCGCCGCTCATGATGAGGGATTTAGTGGGGAAGGTTGAGAGGGTGAGTGAGGTGGTGAGGAACTCGAGCATGCGCTGCGGTTAGCTTTGAGAAAGTGCACGGGCGTCGACCAATGAGGCCTCGCCAGCATTCACCATCCATTTCCTCTCTCGGTAAAAGCCGCTAATATCCGGAGGGGATTGGACAGCGCAGGGCAGTATTTTGTGTATGGAGCATTGGATTGGAGATACGACTTTTCAGCCGTCATGCCGGGGTTAGGCCTAGCTCCTTTCCAGCGTTCACTCAAGCTCTGGGTGGTTCTTTTGGACAATGGTATATATTCATCGGACATGAAGTAGCAACTGGAGGGGAGGCTGCACCACACGCTCACGCAGCTTCTGCTTGGTCTCTCACTGCCGGTTCCATGCGCCGCCAGAGGCCCAGGAAGCCACCTCCAACAACCCTTTCACCAACCTTTGGCCGACAGACCATTGCCCACTTATCCTGGTGCTTGGTCAAATTCTCCGCCAGCTCATCGTCTCTTGCCGCTTGGCCTCCGACAGCGTCAGCAAGATCTTGACCTGTAGACGCAGGGTCCTGGTTCGCCGCATCTTCCAATGGAAGGCAAGAGCGGTCTGCTTCCTGTAGCGTCGCTCGGGGTCTCACCGATCGAACGTCCCATTGGCGGATGCAGCCCGCCCCAAGCTCGATGACTTGGTCCAGAAGGTAGGGCAGTCTATGCTCACGGATAGTTTCTACACATTCCGCGATCTGGGTAATAGATGGGTTGAAAACAGCGAGGAGCCCATCGACATGTAAGACCGGGGCTACGTTCGCCAGATGGTCATTCGCATTGGGCAGATCCAAAAAGACGTAGGACAGAAACGCGTCTTCGGTCTTTCTCATGGTCCTCTGTGATGTAATCCACGCAGAGATGTCTCCAACATGGAAGTCTACATTTCCAGCATACAGGCCCCGGCGGAAGCCCTGAACAATCTTCCGCGCATGCCTGGAATGCTTGCTAGAGATGTCTAGGGTATGGATGATAGCGCGACGACTAGCTTTCCATGATTCCAAGTTCGATTCCTGAAGGTCGGAAACGGACTCGCCCAAATACACGGCATCTTCGGGGTCTGCGTGGCTACTTGCATATGGTGGGGCGGGAACTGGAGGGTTCCCGGCATGTATTGCACGAGACAGATGTAGGGTCAGCGCCCCATGGCCTGTCCCGGCTTCGAGGATCTCGAGGGGAGGAGAGTTGTGTGGGGTTGCAGAAGAGACATGAACGTGGATATCAAGCAGCGACACCATTAGGTTGGCATCGGAGGGGTAAATCTGGCACGGGTCAATCTACCAGGCCTCACCAGGCTTATTGTAACGACGCGCGCAGGCCAAGAAACGCACAGGAGTGACGATGCGCGGAGTCAACCGAACATACTCTGCCAAGGTCGGTTCATGGATGCGATAGTCGGTGCCCTTAGATGAGCGCACGATTTGACGGCGACGTTTTCCAATTACATCAGCATGTTCTATGTATCCGCGGTGGGTGTGAACTGATTTTGATTGCTGCAGCCTCACTAGAATCCCATCGTGCGACGGATCTTTCTTGTCTCTGAGGAGAACGACATCGTCTTCTGTTGGAAGGTGAGTCGCATGCGAGGGAGCGGCGGGGGAGCGGCTCTTGCCTTGGAATGCCCTGCGCAGGAAGGAGCCACTCGTCAACTGCCTCGTAGTGATTATGCTTGATATCTGCGCGTGTACTGGTCGGCGCAAAAGGAGATAATTCCACATCGCTCCACATGAAAGAAAGTGCAGCCAAGTGCCTAGGTGCGGAGGAGGAGCCGGCGCGGAGAAGCCCAAGCGTCCAAAAGGCCAAGACCTAGAGACTGAAGCCAGCAACCTGACCTCACCACTGATCTCTCCTTGCAAACCCTATTATACACCGCCCTCCACTCCAACCCCCCCGACAGTGTCACATCATGGCTACCAAACCCGCCCGCGCATAGTAGAAGGCCCCTATACATCTGAATGAGGCTTCAACACCAAGGCCACTCTCGCTCTGTCCGGAGACCTGTGACAACATGACCCGTCGGATTGTATGCTGGGCCCCACTCCAGAAGAAACTAGCTACTAATCTTATTTCTCTAGGTTAGGACGGGCATCCAGCTCGGCGTTCTAACTTTCATCGTTTTCCTTTTGGTATTCTTCCTTGACAACCGCTATCGGGTCCTCCCGCAGTCTATCCACAACCACCTTCCCTCCCACCATGAAGGCCTTATCATCACTGACATCACCGTCAACACTTGCTCTTCCCTGAACCCTCTCTCTACCTGCAAGCTCGACCAGGATAAGTGGCATCGTATCGAGAAGGATCTCTATCTCAACACGGGCTGGGTGTCCAAGGCATACGTGCACATCAAGCGCAAGCGGGAGGAGGACCTGACGGATGAGGATAGGGTTATTATCGATGTTCGGATCGGGAAAATGGACCCTGCCATGAACGAGAAATCGCAGGCTGCCGAGAAGTGGGAATCTCGACCCGCTGGAATTTGGCTGAAGAGGTCTGCGAAACGTCACGCGACCGATTCTAAAAAGGCCGTCACGGCAGTCGATGTCCTGTTCGGGTCCGATGCCGTTGACCCGCGTCCTGGCTGGGAGTTGATCCAACCCACCGCTTTACTTTTGGACACAGGCTCGGGTTCAAAAGATGCCCGGTTGAGCATTCGAAGAGGACCTGTCCACAAACTTGAACCGCCAGTACCTAGAATCGGGAAAGATGGCAAATTCAAGATCATGCAAGTCTCGGACTTACACCTCAGTACCGGATTAGGGGTGTGCAGGGATCCAGAGCCCAAGGGTGCTAATGGGGGTCGGTGTGATGCGGACCCGAGGACTCTTGAATTTGTCGAAAGGGTTCTTGACGAAGAAAACCCAGACATGGTAGTACTCTCTGGAGATCAAGTCAACGGCGAAACTGCCCCAGATGCCCAAAGCGTAAGGCATATATATTACACGAATTTCCAGTGCCTGCGCTAATATTTTTCATAGGCCATCTTCAAGATCGTTCAGATCCTAGCCGAGCGCGGCAAACCTTGGGCTGCCATTTTTGGCAATCATGATGACGAAGGGTCCCTTTCCCGCCTTAACCAGATGTCTCTCTACAATTCCCTCCCATTCTCCCTATCTGAGGCCGGTCCAAACACGATCGAAGGCGTCGGCAACTACTTTGTTGAGGTGAGAGCTCATGGTAGCAAGCACTCGGCTCTTACCCTATACTTCCTCGATACCCACAGCTATTCTCCGGACGAAAAGCGCTACGAAGGCTATGATTGGATCAAATTGAAGCAAATCAACTGGTTCAAGACCACCGCACAAAGTCTAAAGGAATCGCATTCACACTACTCACACATTCACCTCGATATGGCATTCATTCATATTCCGCTGCCAGAGTACGGTAGCACAACCAACAAGTTTGTCGGATCCATGAAAGAACAGATCTCTGCACCAGGATTCAATTCTCACTTTAAAGATGCTTTGGTTGAGGAGGGCATCAAAGTTGTTTCTTGTGGTCACGATCACGCCAACGACTATTGCATGCTATCCGAAAACGAGAGTACGAAAGAAGGAGAGCTGTGGATGTGCTATGCCGGCGGCAGCGGCTTTGGAGGGTATGGGGGTTACGATGGATACATCCGCCGTCTTCGTGTCTTCGAGATCGACGCAAATCAGGGCCGGATATCGACATGGAAGAGATTAGAGTATGGCGATATCGCAAAAAGGCTTGATGAACAGGTTATCGTGGATTCTGGGAGAGTTATTCCTCCGCAGAGCAACTAGGGATCAGGGTCTAAAAGGTTTCCAAAGGTAAAGGCTGCTTGAAACTGGAGTTTGCGGATATATACCATAAGCGAGGCGTTCTTGGTATCTTCAGGAGGCAGGCAACGGGTTGCGCATTGGATCAACGGGTCTCGGGACAAACTCAGCTAAATATGGGCGTCTAGTTCTCCCGGGTAGGTTTTTACCTAGCTTTCGGGAACAATTCCACTTACCTTCGTATTGGCTTAAGAAAAAGGAAGGGCACGGAAGGCCTAAGCTGCCTGATTCCAAGATGGGTGGTCGTTAAAGCAAGCTTTTCCTTCCTGTTTATCCCAGATAATAGCCTGCATCAGCGCCATACTAAAAAGGATATCCGTTCCCCCATCCGTCTCGTGTCCGCTCCTAGCCAAGATGCGGTTGGACCACGGTCGACGTCAGCCCTAATGTCTCCTAGTCGAAACAATCCACGAATGTCGTCAGCATTTCGCCCTGAGCTGATTCCATTCCTTTCCTATATAATAATATTACGACGTCGCTTCGTTTCACTACGAGGCTGTGTAATCATCGTTGTCCTTTTTCAAAATGCCGCTCCTTGCGAAGGAAAATATCGATATACCCACGAAGGATATCCTTTCTTGGGCATGTGATAACTCTGGTTTTGATCAGAACAAACCGGTGCATCTACCAATCCAATTCTTGATCTTTAGACTAATATTGTATACTAGATTTACATCGATGCAGCGGATCCTTCAAACTCAATATCCGCCGCGCAAGCCACGACTCTAATCCGCAAACTTGTCGCGGGATTCAAACAGGCGGGTCTAGAGAATGGCGATACAGTGCTTATCCATTCTTTCAACAACATCTACTATCCAATTATCGTCCTGGGTATCATTGGCTTTGGCGGAGTGTTTACTGGCACGAATCCGAGCTACACGACACATGAACTAAAACACGCAATCTCAGCATCGAAAGCGAAGTGTGTAATTTCAGAACCAGAAATTCTGGAAGCGATTACTGCGGCGGCGAAGGATGTTCCGATTCCGAGTTCCCGAATTCTAGTGCTAAATTCCACGGAGAAGGAGGAATTTGATGATGGGCAACAATCCTGGAGGAGCCTATTAAACCATGGTGAAGAAGACTGGCACAGATTCGACTCAGAGGAAATATCCAAAGACACAACAGCAATGCTCCTCTTCTCATCCGGCACAACCGGACTCCCAAAACCCGCAATTCTCTCCCACCACAACCTCATCGCCCAACACCACATCGTCTTCGAGCACAAGCCCCGACCTTACGATCTCTCTCGGCTCATCGCCCTCCCCATGTTCCACGCCGCCACTGCTCCCTCCACACATACCTCCGCTCTCCGTTCCGGACACGCGCAGTACATTATGCGCCGCTTCGAAGTCAACGCCTTCATGGCCTACGCCGAAAAATACCGCATCACAGACCTCACGCTCGTACCTCCCATGGTCACCGCGATCGTCATGTCACCTCTCCCTCCACCGCAGAAAAAACAGCATCTGCAGCACGTTAAAGCCGCTTTCGCCGGTGCTGCACCCCTAGATAAAGCCATGCAAGCACGTTTCCAATCCCTACTTTCCCCTTCCACCCCATTCACTCAGATCTGGGCTATGACCGAAACATCGTGTTTCGCATCTTTGTTCCACTATCCTGAGAACGACGACACCGGCTCCGTTGGTCTCTTCTTACCGAACCTAGACGTCAAACTCGTTGACGAGCACGGGACCGATATTTCCTCCCACGGCGTTCGTGGCGAGCTCTGTGTGCGCGGACCAACCATCATCAGAGGTTACATGGGCGTCGACCGATCCCAGGATTTCGATGCCGAGGGGTATTTCCGCACCGGCGATATCTTGTACTGCGACCCCCAGTCCGGGAAATGGTATATCGTTGACCGTAAAAAAGAGCTTATTAAAGTCAGGGGGTTTCAAGTAGCCCCAGCGGAGCTCGAGGGGGTATTGCTGGACCATCCGAATATTGTGGATGCAGCAGTCATTGGGATTCCCACGCCGGAGGGGGACTCGGAGTTGCCGAGGGCGTATGTGGTGAAGAAGGAAGGGGTAGGGAAAGAGTTGGGAGAAGAACATGTTAGAGCGCATTTGGAGGAGAGGTTGGCGAAGTATAAGAGGTTGGATGGGGGTGTGAAGTTTGTGGACATGATCCCGAAGACGCCCAGTGGGAAGATTTTAAAGAGGGTTTTGAGGGAGCAGGCGAAGAGGGAGGTTGGGGCTAAATTATAAGGAGTTCGATTATTAAACCTTATCTGGATTGGGAATTTAAGTGTAACTACAATGTATTAACTTGGCATGCGTATCTGATATCCCACTCCCGCGTCTGAGACCTAATAATGGTGTTCAAGTATTTCCACAAAGTGAAGGGATAATCGCACGAGATACTGGACCCCTGCTCTGCACTCTTCACTCATTGGGGCTAGTTCCTGTTTCGTACATTATATAATTAGCTCGAAGTTTCTACAAGCTCCTCAGAGCTTACAGTACACTTGTTTCAATTCCCTCAATTGGCTGTCACCAAGTTGGCTCACTTGCTTATCATCAACTCTCTCTCTGCCTTTGTGAGAGTTATGTGCCAGGAGGAGTGCTTGAAACTATCACTATTGTCACCACCGCACATTTAGCTTTTGCGCCTGGCTGATAGAAAGGTCTTGCGAGTTCGACTCTCACCACGATCATTGCCTGCTCACCTGCTAGGCCCGCTCGTCCGATCGAACAACTAGCAACCTATTCGTCCATACGGAGCCAGTTTAATAGGCACTGCCTTAGTAGGACCTATTCCTCCTCCATGATAGGAGGCCTACTGCTATATTAACAAAATAATCAATGATGTGTGCTCAAGTTTTACTCTTATCGCTCCCTAGGGTAACTTCAGCGATTAATATCTCCGCAAGGTTTTACCAAAAGCGACGAGGAAGTATAGTTTAGTCGAACTAGAAATAGAGCTGCTATGAGGGATATATATAAGATTTTATCAATCCTTGTGCGCGTCTTAGATTTCTTTCTCAATATGGCAATATGTCGTTTGTCTGAGAGTAGCAAGCAGTTATCAAGCGGACTTGAACTCACAGTTTCCACTGTCAGCAAGATTCAAAATCTTAATGCGCAGTGGTGACATTAAAGATGATCGCAGGCACTATTTCTGGCCCATAACTCTTGCAAAGGCAGACAGCCAGTTTGAGGATAGGCGAGTAAGTTGAAGCAGTAAGATCCAAACTGAGGGAATTCAACAAGGGTATTATAAGTGTTGAGGAGTTCGGGAAAGCTTCGACTTGACTATATACTCTATGGATATGGAGCAGGAGCTAGTACTTATTAGTTACTATTGCAAGCAAGGGTACAGCATCCCATGTAGCAGAAATGCTTGGCTACAGATTCTAAGGTAGGTACGCAACATCAAGAATGCAAGGAATTGGTAGAATGCTACTGCAATTTTGCCTCAAGTTCACGGTACGACATGAAGAAAATTTAACCCTAAACCCCATGTGATGTTGTATCTTCTACCGCCCAAAAAGTTGCTTAACAAGATCTGCTACATTCCACCTTCTTCATTCGCAATGCAAATATGGTAAGGAAAAGTGAGGAGCTCCCGAGCAGCGTGGCCAACAGTACGTAGTACGTTACGTTTGAGCTTTTTTCTGCCAGTAACTTCTCAATTTGGTAGTACTTTTGTACGTAAGCAGTGAATTGATTAGCAAGTACGTAACGTAACAGTAACTTCTCAAAATCCTTATACTTTTGTACTTTTCGCGAGAAGTTTCGTCGGTCCGGGTCAAAATTGTTCCGGGAGAAGCTTTTTAGCCTAGATGAAGTCCCCTCCTCCTCCTTATCGCCCTGTCTCTAGCTTGTTGGGACGACTCTGATAAGCAGGAGGATTAGGATGAGGCTGTACGCCTGCTGCGATAGAGGAATTAAGACATCTAGCTCATTGTAACAATTAATAAGATAGGCAATAGGTTGGCAAATAGGCAGGTATAAGATGAGGAGCTTTTCTAGGGCAAAAGTTAACTATTTTTATAATTGTTACTCTAAAACGCGACCTCAAACAAAGCTCCCAACGCGATGGCCAATGGGGTCTGAAAACAGGAGGGAAACCTCCCAAAATATGACCTCTCTGACCCGTACTACGGGACGTACTTGGCAATTCACTGTACAAAAGTTACGTCTCACATTTTAACTACTTTTGTACTCCTCACGTGATTACTACGTTCACGTAGTTACGTTACGTACTACGGACTGTTGGCCACGCTGCTCCCGAGCTAGTTGAATACATGGTAAGTAATGAAGATCCGGATCTCATTGAGACGGGCATCTCCATCGAGGGTATTGCTGCTGTCATCTACAAATCGAATTGACTCCATGACTACCTCAGAGAAGGGGATTCCAGGAGAAAGTTCCTGCAGCGTGTATTGCAGTTTGGATATAATGAGGCCCTGAAAACTCTATACCATGTACTTCTCGTAGGGAAAGTACGATCAAGCATACGCAGGGAGGTTAACGCATAGCTCTCCTTCACTTCGTTGTCTGGAATTATCTATACAACCCCTAACCCAATTATGCCACTTGCAACTAGGAGCGAGTTCCGCTTGTCACTTCAGAGAGTGGTAGTTGGTAAGGTCTACTCTCCTCTCCCTAATTTGGGTATTGTGAGTGTCGGATCGTGTAGTCTCCTCAGTATGTAAACTTACAGATCCATTCAAAATCTTCAGCTTTATGCTCCAGTTCCGTGACAAAGCCCTCTTGAATCTCTCTGAATAGTCCATTGAAAATGCGATCAAGAGGTCTAGACAGGCGAGAGATGGCTTAGCATAGCGAAGATAGGACGTTGTTCAAGATCGATGAGAATGTGATGGCAATATACGTGTTGGGGTTATCCATATCTGAAGGATGCATGGAAGCAAGGGAGTGCGATGTGGCTGCAGACGTGTGCAAAGACCTAGAGACGAAGGTGATTAGATGTCAGTATGTCTTAGTGTTCGGTGATTATCTTGCGTATTGAATGGAAGACTAGAATTTCCTATGTTTAACAGACAAATGTAGGGGTTCTAGTCATCTGTGGTTGTAATCTGTACGGCTTCGGCAATTCGTTCAGCAGGTAAGTCAGTGACCTGACCTAGTGAACCCAAAATGGATTCCGAAAGTATGCGCAATGCTCGAAGAAAATAGGTACCTACTGGAGAGATATTATGGTTTTACTGTGGCAAAAAGGAAAACCGCTCGAAAACTAAAATATCTTCTAATGTACATCAGATTAAATTTGACACTATAGGTTCCTTAATCCAAAGGTCCTTCGAATCTAGGTCACCTCACAATCCACAAGATACGTGCATATAGAGACCTTCACTCAACCGTTACCTTCAAAGAATGCGAGATCTTATTGTACTCCAGAAGTCTCCCACAAACTCGCCACCTTCTTCTATCAGCTCCTTGAATGCGAGGCTTGCGCCAATGGTCCCATGCTCGCTAATGATGTATTCAACCACAAGCTGTCGAAGTGGGTCAATAGTCCCATCAGACTTTCGATCTGGAGTATTGTCGTTTGAATAGGTATATCTGGCGAGCTCAATAACATCGCCGATGCGCCTCTCATACAACCGAAAGTTCAATAAAGTTTGATGAAGCTTGTGGAGCGTCAAAGTTTTGAGTGGCTCAACAAGGCGCATATTCGCGAAGGAATATAGGCGAGCATGAGCTAGGAATACTGGCGTGAAATCTTGGAGGTCACCCTCGTTGCGTTTGGGGATGCACCGGTCCAATATTTCAGCCTGAGGACCTTCATCGAGGTTGTAGACTCGTTTTCGAAACTCAGCCCGGAGTCCATCCAGTCCGAGTTCCCTTGAGTTTTCTAAGTTCTTTTCGTTCGACGTTTTCATGACGGGGAAGTCCCATCCATCCACGTAGTTGGTCGGCGGTGGAGCATCTCCTGAAAGTAATACTGAAGGCATATGTGGTTCGGCTGGCAAATCATATGAGATTTCCACGACGGGGACTGGTACATCCTTCGACAGTTCTGCAATCTCATCTTGAGTAGGCACCTCATCCTGAGTAGGCACCTCATCCTGAATGAGGAAAACTTCCTCCCAAGCTGGGACAGTGTAGTCACCTCGATAAGCATACTCGCAAAACCGGATAAAGTCCTCCGTGGCAATATCGGGGATTTCGGCGCATCGATCTTTTGCCTCGCTCAAATTTCCATTGATAAGTCGATTCATCGGCTCAGACGTAGCCGCCACAGCCGCCGAGTGGACAATTACCTCTTCCTTTTCCTCGCCGATCAGAAAGGTGAATTGGCCTGATTTGATGACCCTGTTAGGATCAGCCTGGCTCGATTTTCTAGCAAAAACACCGAAAATGTATCTTACTCTTCAAAAGACGGGGCCATGTTTGCAATGTTAATGCAACGCTGGAGGGACAGTATGAGATGGGTCAATATCGACAGGAACAATGTTGAATAGAATAGTGTTAACCATGATTAGAAGTCGACATCGAGGCATTTTGCCTTTATACTGGAGCCTGGAGGTTCGAACACGTAAGTTAAAGCGGTGTACTAAGTAGTACGGCTCAAACAAAGAAAATGCATGGGTCATGTACTCTGATTCGTGGGAAAGAGGTGCCACAACATTTTCACCGGTCTCATGGCGGGGTCGTGGTACTTATTTAGGTGCCGCATTTATTGATCTTCAAATATCTTTGAAGTTTGCGTTTTTGTGGGTATTTTGCGTGGCACAGCCGGGTCACTGCACCAAAAGGTGTGAGACATGGCTCCCTTCCTCCACCACAATACCTTTAACGATGTTCTAATCTATTGCTGTTCGCGCTACAATCCGAAGATCAAATCACCTAGTGCATCTTCAATACGGGCACAGCATTTTTGGAACCCGGCTCCATGATACGAAACCTTTGGGAGTGATTGCTCTACCTTCAGCTTGATCTTTCTGCGTTCCACTGATATCCAAGCCTGCCAATAAAGTGTCTAATACAGTTCCGACATCGTAGAAGACTAAAACATGCAAATCGACCTAGCAGCTAATATCTTAACAGTACACTCCCTGGAAATAGTGGAGCTGGCCAGATCTTAGAAAACTCTATTGGGCATTGAAGCTTCGGACGGGCATCTTAAACTTGCATCCACTACAGAAATATCAAGAGATTTGTACATCAGGCACAAATCTATGTCTGGTGATAATATCAAGCCTTGGTCACAGGCTGCTTGAACTCCAAGATTGACCCTTCTACCTCTCCAGTCCAGTCTTTCAGCAAACGATCACAACCTTCCGGGTCTCCATTGAACTCGTATTCACAGAGCAGGCCAATGAATGCGGCAGGGTCAATCACCTTCCGCCGATCTTCAGGTGCAGTCTTCGCCTTCAAATAGTGCGGCGGAAGGATACCTCCTGATACCCTGCCCGAGACTGTAACATCGCATTGCACTGGAGAAGTGTGATGGATAAGCGTGGCTAGCTGTATCTCGGACGGTATACCACGTTCAGTCGAATTGTTCTCTTCGACAGTCCAGACACATGTGTGCTTATTGGGCGCGCCCCTAGCGGTTCCCGTGATAGTAAACGCATGCTCCACTTCCCTCTTCTTTTCGTGGTTGGTGGTTGGTGTGACTCCCACTTCCACGACACCAGCTCCCGTAAACATGATGGGCAGCTCAAGACCCCAGGCAGTCTTCTTTGTCTCTCTACTCGTACCGCCGAAGGACTTGCGGGGAGCATGCGCGATGACCTTGAGAGGCGGACCTTTTGCTGTACTCTGATTTTGTGGTTGAGGTGTCGATGCAGCCCCGGCTGTCGAAAATTTGCACGAGATCACCAGACTCGTGAATCGTCGACCGGTGCCTGGATGAAACGCAGCACGCCAAATGAAGAGTGTATGGTCGGGCTTCACGATTTGAATGGTAGTTGGGATGATGGATAGATATGATCGTCCACCGGTTTCTGATCCTGCCTGGATGTTGATAATATCCTCGAGCCGGGTGGTAGTGGAAGACCTCTCTTTCGAGAAGGCGGCTCCTAGTTCCTGGTTCTTGACGGGGTCGTATTCTAAGTCTATGATGAACGCAAAGTCCTCTGCCATGCTGTAAACATTTGTTAGTACTGTTATCCTCCTCTCCACAAGGTGTTTCTGTGTTCGGTCCCCTTGGACTGGTGAAAAGCGGAGGGAAAGTCTGAAAGTTACTTGCACTTATTTTGCACACACCCCGAAAGGTGCGGTTGAAGCTTCAAAGGAGTCCATGGCCAGGTTGACGTGGCAGCCTGCCGAGCCACTCACATGAGGAGCGGCTATTTTTATCTCCAAGTTGATGCGTCACGTTCCCTCGATTTTTCTTTTGATGGGTGGGGTTGATTGCAGCCTTGTTATAACGTCGACACTCTTGAGCGTGCTGTCGGAATGACTTCATGGATTACAGTGTGAACGAATCGCATTGCGACACTAGCATGGCTTCGAGAGACATTCAAGCAATCGTTGGTTTACGCTGCACTGGCCAATATGGAGCGGCTCTTTCAGCTCTATCTACGGATGATTCACAGCATGCGAGGAGTATCTCAGAGCCGTGCCGGATCCTTGAAAGAGCGCAGTGCCATTTCGCGCTACACCAATTCACTAAACTTTCTACCGACGTTGCAGAATTTCGGAAATATCCAGAGTGCGAGGGAACAAAAGAAGAAGCTCTTATTGATCTTTTAGATGTCTATGGGAGAGCACATACAGACTTGCTGTTGCAAGAAGCCGTATCAGTCGCGGACGACATTTATGCGAAATGGCTTGAAGACCGGCAAATCGAAGACTTTGATGGGACGGCCATTTCTCTCCTATGTTTGCATCATACTCTCAAGGATCTCGGCGAGCGCTCTCTCTCCGATTCTATTGAGTCAAGAGAAATCGAACCACTCTGGTGGATGAAAATGGAATCCTTGCGTGAATCGCTATTACGAGATGCCTGCCTAGATCAATTAGCAATGATACATGCCGCAGAAGCAGCAACGCAACCGGCAGCAACTCAAATCTGTCGACTTCGGCAAACGATGGGTCTTATTACCGAAAGAACGGGGGCAATGAAAGTGCACTTAAGCATACTGCTCGCCCAGGCTCTTCACGAAAAGGGAGATGTTGAACTCGCATTGAGTGAGCTCACTACAATTCGGGCTGCCGGCCAAATGCAGACTGGTGGCTCGGAGAGAGGACTGTGGGCAGAATATCACCTGTTACGACTTAAGCCGATTTCAGGGTCCGAGGGTCTACATATTGTACAGGACCTGCGAAGAAGATTCGAGGACCAAGGAAATCGACACGGTATTCTGTTGTGCAACATCCTTACTGTTGAGATTGTCATCTCCATGAATAATGCGCAACAGTATGGGCAGGAATTACAAGAGATGCTGCACCACGTTGAGGAGTACTCATCCCTAGAGTTCTGGCTCATTTATGTCCAGCGCCTCATCACGGACGACATGAATGATCGCAGGAGATTAGGGACTGTAATATCCTCCTGCTTACAGTTCTTCAGATTGCACAGTGAGTGTTCAATACCGCAGCTGAAATATGTTTTCGCAACTACGCTTGCTGGCTGTTACGACGATTTGGGAGACATCCACCATGCACTGCACTGGAGAGTCAAGGCGAAGGAGATTGCACAAGAAACTGATGACCGGAGTATACAAGAGGAAGCTGAATATCAAATACAAATGACATTGGCTAGTACCTCAGTTAAAGCGGCTGATGACCCACACGGCGTTAAGCAGCGAGAGTGGGAGCTCGCACAAAGGGCAGATTTGGAAGTTAAATACCAAGAGTCAAAGGAAGGAGGAAGTCACGAGGATCAATACGCGTATGCCTTTGATCTACTTCAGAAAGAGCTTGATGATGAAATTAAACGCAACGAAAGTCCGTGTGGACGAATCTGGCTTAGCAAAGTTAATGAGGCCCTTGAACTCATACCTGACAGGAAGACTACTGAGAGACCACGGATTACCTTCACAATTGCTCACTCGAAATTTGATTTCGGAGAGTTTGACAGTGCTTTGGAGACCCTCGTAGAAGCTTATGAGGAGGCAAGCGCGGCTGGCAATGATGAAATCGCTCGGAGAGCGCTATTTACCAAGACGCGCGTATATCTGCACCAATATCTCTCCACACAATCTATGGAAACTTTCGAGTCCTGTCGTGGAACCCTGCAAGACTACCAAAAGAGGTGCGAAGAAGGTGGGAAAATTGATGAAGTTGCATGCTGTCACGTTGTCGGGGCAGTGCTTTGGCACGCACGGGGATCTTTGGATAGAAAAGCGTTGAAGACTGCACTCCACCACATTGCAGAGGCGGAGAGGCTCTGGAACAAAGAGCGAGGAGCCTTGTTCACTGGACTTGGGTTGGATAGCCTTACCAGCCAATATTCGTTGAGAGCAAGGAATGAAAGTAATCAATACGCGATTCTTGGCCTAGCCGTTGAGATCTGCTACCAAATACAAGATTTACCGGGAGCTTGGAAATGGATCGAATACGCAAAAGCTCGCGCTTTTTTCGACGCTCTTAATTCTGAGAATATAGCCACTCTAACGACAGAAGGAATGCTCGATGAGGGTGGAAAACGTCAGGGGGTAGTTCATACAAAAGAACCTGCAATACTTGTTCATTGGGTGTTTGTGGGAGAGACCATCTACATGGTGACCTGCCGTGCGGGGATGGAGTTTCAGATGTTCAAGCTTGACATCACCGCTTCTACTGTTGAAGAGTGGTACCAAGGACTGGTAGCGACCCAGGAAGATTACAGGGACCCAGAAGCCGCGAGCGATCTTCTATCAGAACTTGTCGAACTTTGCAGTCCGTTGGCCAATCTTTCCTGGTTGAGATCTGAAGAGCTATTGATACTTTGCCCGACACGAACTCTTTTCAAGATTCCTCTTCATGCAATCCCCTTCAGTGATGGCACGACTCTTCTAGATCACAACCCCATTGTGTATACTCATTCGTTCGGGGTATTACAACAGTGTCTTCGTCGTGGGTCCCGAAAAAGTTCAGAAAGTTTAGGGCCGCGCTTCTTCGGTAATCCTACTGATGATACACCAGCGGGGGAGAAAAGTGTACGCGCTCTTGAGAACCAATTCGGAGGAGAAAGTTTCATGAGGGACAATGCCACAAAGGCTATGTTCTTGTCAAAAAGCAGAGATTCGGAGTTTCTTCATTTCCATGGCCACGTCATTTCAGCACTTCACCCACTAAACAACGCTATGCTCTTGCACGGAGAGGAACAGCTGAAAGTTCGCGAAGTGTTCGAGATGGATCTGCGCCGTTTCAACCCTTTCATTGCCTTGATTGCTTGTGGCTCCGGCGCAGAGCGACTCGAGATTGGCGACGAGCCTCTGGGTTTCATATCGGCATTTCTATACGCCGGAGCGTCTACGGTGCTGGCCACGTTGTGGCCGATCAATGATGAACTATCGGGGGCGGCATTCAGTGACCTATTTTATGGCCTCGATGTTGGACATACATTTAGCCTAAACTCAGTTGTCGATCTGTCGAGACGATTGCGGCACGCTGCTTTGAGCATCAAGGCGAGACCAGAAACTGCGGCACCATACTTCTGGGCAGCATTCGTGATGCATGGAAATTGGAATTTTATATTCAATAGTTAGTGGTAGGCTCTAATTGCACTGCACGCTATCACCTACCTTTACCTGTTATTGCCTAGCATTCGGCCCAACTACAAATTGCGTAGGTGGGATGGGGTATTGGGATAGTGTGTACTGAAACCCTTCGGTAGCATGGAAGGACTTCAGCTTCTTACCTTTTAGAAATCCAGACTCCAATCATATACGCCCGATTCCTAGTACATGAGTTCTTGAGTTGAGTCTACGAGCATGGGAAGATTGCTCTTCCCGAATAGACATGTCACCCTCTTCTTTTTAGAGAGATATCTCGAGACCACAACACCCGCTTGTAATATTAGTTACATATGGAAGAGATCTCCTCACATATACCACATGCTTTGGGAGCTAGATTTCCCTCGATGATCATGGCTCTTAACCTCTTACATCGCCGCAAACATCCATCTTCTCTCCAAACCACGAGAAGAAACGGCGACTGAATTACTCGGTAGTCTGTTGTAGCCTTCCCTCATACTGAGAACGATGAAATTTAAAGAATACCTTCATTCAAACCGGAATAAAACCATCCAATTAAGGACCCATGAATCCCAAAAAGCGAATCCCAGTCAACTTTCTTCGAGCAAGAGGTCCAATATTAGTGGTCCTTGGCGTGGCACTTACCTCTTAAAGCAATCTAGAGGCGGCCGCCTTCAGAACCTATGCGAAAATCTGGATTACAAAAGCCATCGGCGCCCCACCAACATGGATTCTGCAAACTAGCCTTCGATCAATAGTGCATCTGCTTCCGTGGGTGTTATCAGATGTCACATTCTCAAGGACCACTGGAGCGTATTTCCAGAATCACGGGCGTAGAGTCCAATTATAATGTCTAGAGAAGATTCTCTTTATATTTAACGGTACCATGATTAGGGGGCCCTTCTAAGCAATATAATAGGTATGCCGTGGCTCTATGCCGTACTGGTCGATTTCTCTGCGTATGGGCTCGAGATATAGCAAGTACTTGAAGGCTGAGTCGGCTTTTTTATGCGCAGCATGTCTGCCAGATGTCCATTGAGATATTAGGGTGATATAATACCTCTTGATAAATTGATTAACCTAGCTCTTCCAAGTTTGTCAACTCCCTATTTTTGCTGCAAAATTTGCATTATCTGTCTTAAATTGGATAGACCCCTTTCGCAAAGCCTATCAATGCGCTCCACTAGCTCTTTCTTTTACACTATGCTAAGTAGTTGCTAATGTTCAATTTTCTCTGCACTCGGACAGTAACACGTCAGTGACGCCTTGAGAGCGTATGTTAATCATCACCATACTTTCTGGTTACTGCAGTATAATTCAAGGATTCCCTAGGATTCGGCGATTCCAGCGACTCGGAGGAGTAGAGCCGCCTCAATACAACTCATATTGGCTGAGATAGGTGGTTGAAGTTTTGGATGTCGCGAGGCTGTGCATCAGATCACGCACAACGCCAAATAAGGCTTGGCGAAGGCTCCATGAAAGACCTTCCTCCAATCAGGTGAAACCAGCTCCTTTCCCGCCCCCCAAGGCCCAAACAGGGAAAATCGAACGTCTGCATCATGACGCCACACCTCAAAAGCCTCCAAAACTCTCCGGTGACGATCTCACGGAACAATAGGCAAGCATTCCCTGCCAACCCGTTGATCTTCTGGCGTACCCGTTGGTCGAGACTTTTTCCCACCACCAGATTGTAATAGCCCTATACGTCACCGACCTCGCAAACTAGGAAATGTAGGTATATATCTCCGCTTCGCGTATCTCTCCTACATCGTATATCAAAGCAAACATTCACGATCGTCATCCTTGTGTCAATCATAATTCACCTCATACTCCAATTCTTCACGCCCCATTTTCATTTGTGATTCCCCCAATCGTCAAAACGTCGTCCTACAAGCTCCCATCCCGCCGAGCCGTAGCCTCGCTCGCACTCCTCTCCGTCCTCTCCGCCATTGAAAGGCAGCGCAAGAAAGAAGAGGCAGAACTGGGAGAGGAGGATCTTTCAAAACAAGACATGTCGGGAGAACTGCAGACTGTCCCTGCGCGGCATGGCGTGGCTACTTTTGTGCCAAGGGGGAGGACGATTAAGATTATAAATACATATGGGAAGCAGGTTGTGAGTACGTGGGCGTTCAGTCTTCATGCGCCCCCTGAGGAGGGAGGCGGTGAGGAAGGAATGGAGGACATGGAGGAGAAGACTAAAGAGTTGGAGAAAGAGGTGGAGAAAGGAGAGGGGAAGAGGGATGCAGAGGAGGTGGCTGAGAAGCCGAAGGGACAGGCTATCGAAAAACTCAAGGACGAGGTAGAGGCCAAATCCACACAACCCGAAGAGTCCAAAGAGGAAGTAGAAGTTCCACCTGAGCAAGCTCCGGATACCCCTGAGAATGAAAAATCCACCGAAGCTACCGAAGACAACAAACCCGAAAAGCGAACATGGTCATCATATCTCCCCTCCATCCCCTATAGATCCAAAACATCGTCTCACAATTCGAATGCGCAGCCCGACCAAGAAGCCGAAAAGGCCGAAAAGGCTCGAAATGAGGCAAATACCAGGAAGTGGTCTTCATATCTGCCTACTGGAAAAGGCTTCTCAAGCTACGTACCTAACGTACAGATGCCGGACTCAAAAGGTGTCATCAGCGCATTTAAAGCAAGCCATTATCGAGATCCAAACAAGAGCTATGCAGAGCAACTGTACGACTTCTCTAAGACACCTGTCGGTGCTGGAGGCTTAGCTGGTAAGTTCCTCCCTCTTGCCAACCCAATCATTCCGCACAAGATTAAACTAATTGTATCGTCCAGTGGCAACTGGCTCCGGCACCGCCTCCTCTATCTACGCAGCATACAACGCCTACACCAAAATGGCCCCCTCCAAAACTCAACCCCCGATGGAATACCTCTCACTCCCGCACACGCGCGCAGCCACCAACCGCCTCGTCCCCGAAATCGATGACACGCTTCTTACCAACCTCCGCTCACCTATCATGACACTAATCGAAGACACCACCCCCGGCGCTCACGACACGCTGACCGCAGCCTGTGATGCGAGCCTCTACGCTGCCCTCGGTGTCGACAAGCCTGAAGAACATGGTAGTTGCGCTGAGAACCTGGTCCTTGCGCTTAAAGAATTAAACGAGAAAGCGGGACTCAAAGGCTCGAAAGCCGTAGGTGCAGATATCACTGTCAATATCACACCAACGCCTCTCCACCTCTTCATGAACGCGCCCATCGAGCTCGATTCCAGAGCCCAAAGCTCGGGCTCCGGAGCTAAAGGTGCGCAATTCATAGTCGAAGAGCCGAAGGGTAAGAAACGAGGCTATGTAAAATTCCGCGCAGAGCGAGATGTGGTTATTGTCATGAGCGCGTGCCCAATGGACATTGGGCCGCAGAATGGAGGTAAATGTATGGCTGCGAATTTTGTCGTTGAGGAAGCTGAAGAAGACGATCTTGCAGCTTCTACGAGCTCGATAAAGAAGCCGATGAAGAAGAAGCAGCTTACGAAGCAGGCGGAGGAGGAAGAGAACGGGAAGGAGAAGGAGAGGGCAAAACCCATGCCCACGCCCCGAGGTGGTCCTGCCAAATTCGCAAACGTAGGAAAGGAAGATCCAATGTCGCCTCGACGTGACAGTGGTGCTTCAGGCCCACCACCCGCGACTGGGCAAGGAGAGCAGACGCAGGAGAAGATGGACAAGGAGCCAGAGGGGGAGCAGAAACAGAAACAGCAGATGGAAAAGAAAGAGCCCAATGCTTCCGAATCCCCGAAGCCCAAGAAGAAACCAAAGAAACTCGAGCGCCGAAGCAGAGCAGAACCTGCAACCGCAACTTCGACACCATCAAATTCCACCAAAAGCGAGTCCTCTTAATCCTTGGACAAACACGACATGGTCTCGTCATCGTATATCGAGATCTGCCCATCCCCCTGGTCCCCGAGATACAAAAGCTCAACAACGTAAGGCCACGGCAGCATTTTGCCCACTCTCCCCATGTGAACCCGAACATTTTACATACATGCTCTGTTCTTTCTTCCCTATTGGCGTCTATATTTGGTCCGTTTAATATTATCTCGAAAGCTTAACGTGTCCTGTTGACCCGGTACGTGTCCCGTAGGCTAATGTAAATACCCCGGCATGGCATCCCCGTTTTGTGCGTCGTTTATGTATATCTGTCCTGTCTTGGTCTACGGGAACATGCATTCGCTTCGCTTCTTGTCATCCATGCTTCCGCATCTTCATGCACGCGCGCGCAGATGCAAGTTTGACTTCCTGGGTTTACAGAATTGGCCTCTCGACTTCCATAGTATGCACACAGCGCCACTATTAATAGCCTTCACACCATATCATTTCTGTTCGGTCTGAGACCATTATTTGATTGTGATGGACAGAGAGAGATATTGAAATTCCGATCCAGTGAGGGTAAAGTATGTAGTATCTGCGAAGCTAGCTACAAGAACTAAAGGCGCCACGTAATCTGACGAACATTTTAAAAAAAGAAAAACCTCAGTCTTTCTCGTACTCATATAAGTCCCCCGTCACGATTCCCCAACTTCAACTTACAACACCATCCCATTTACAGCCCACCTAACAATTTACTTCTCCCCTGGGGTTTCCTACCTCACAACCTGATACGGATCACAATAGGGCACACAAGTATACGTCGGACAGCTCGCAATTGCTGTCAAAGTTTTCGTACCAGAGCATGTGCTCGGCGCAGGCGTCGACACCGGGATGGGTGTGAGCCCGTAGCTCGTCTTCACCGTGATAATAGTCTTCTCGATAACATCCCTCTTCATCGTCTCCCAAGTCGGGATCGGAATATAAGGATCGCATGCTGTAGAGTAATCTGGACACATGGGCGGGACACACGGTGGGACGATCAAGGTTGTCGTGGTCTTGCAAGCTGGGATAGTTCCGGAGACGGGCGCTGGCTTCGTGTATGTCTTTGTTGGCATTGAGAGAGGTGTGGGGACGCCGATGGGGCCGCATGAAGGACAAGTCGGGCATTTCTTGATAGCGGTGACGGTGACTGGACAAGGTGGTTCAGGGTTGGCGTGTTCCGAGGGCTCAGTGCGGCGCTGGACGACGTCGTAGGCTTCTGCTGCGGCTTCGAGTGGGAGCGCGCATGCAATGGCGGGACATCTGATCAGCGGGCAGGGAGTGACGCGCGAGACAGTGGTTGTGAGACCACAGCCGGTCTTCACTTCCGCACGCTTGTTAAGAACAGCGGCGGCGGTGGGTTCAGGTGCGGCTTCACGCTTACCCCAGCTAATATATGCTTCACTAGAGGCGCTCGACGTATCGAAAGAAATAGTTTGCTGCGGTGGTTGAAGGCCAATAGAGTTAGGAGGCGTCACTTGCGGTTCTCTCTTGCCCCATGAGATGTATCCGGGGCCATCTGCCGAAGTCGGCTTCGGGTGGGGGTGTTGTTTGTACCACGAGATCCATTGAGATGGCTCACCCATTCCAATAGTATCAACTTGTGCATCTGCTTCCCTCTTATCCCATGAGATGTATCCGGGGCCATCTGCTGAAGTCGGCTTCGGGTGTGGGTGCTGTTTATACCACGAGATCCCTTGAGATGGTTCTCCTAATCCGATGGTATTAACCTGTGCATCCGCCTCTCTCTTCTCTTTGCCCCATGTGACGTATGTTGGGCCTTCAGTTTCCTTTGGAGGTTGTGGGTATTTGGATAGCCACGATAAGTATTGAGATGGAATTGGGTAGCCAGTGTTCACCTCTGCATCTGCCTCACGCTTGCCCCAGCTGATGCTAAAAGTAGGAGGCTGAATTCCGAGAGAATTCGGAGGAGTAATCTGAGGAGGAGCAGGAATATCAGTGGGTCCATCGATGGGTTCCTCAGTGGGCTCAGGCTCTTCCCCGTCCTGTCGCTTGTACCAGCTGATGCTCATTTTTGGCTTTCCGATTCCAAAGTAGTCACTCTGCTTTGGAGGAGAGGGAATGAGGAAGCTCGGGAAGCTGGGCGGGCCGCTTGGTGGGGTTGGGGGTTCCTCGGCCGGCTCTTCGGGGGTCTCTGGGACTTCAGGGGTCTCAGTTGCTTGGGGTTCCTCATCTTGTCGCTTGCCCCAGATGACGCTATAGGTTGGCGGCTTCAGTTCGATTACGTTAGTTGGGGTGGGGATGGGGAAGTGGAAGGGCAAATCGTCCCCTGGGTCTTCAATAGGCTCAGGCTCCTCAGTTGGCTCTGGTTGTTCCTCATCTTGTCGCTTGCCCCAGATGATGCTATAGGTTGGTGGTCGTAATCCAATGACATTGGTTGGGGTAGGGATGGGGAAGGGGAAGGGCATATTGTCTACTGGATCTTCGACAGGCTCGGGCTCCTCAGTTGGCTCCGGTTGTTCCTCATCCTGTCTCTTATTCCAAGTCACAGATGCTGTGACTTCTGGAATGTCAGTTGCCCAGCTTACTCCTCCAGTGCTCTCGGCGTCAGTTGCCCAGCTAACTCCTCCGGTATTCTCATAGAGGCCAGTAGCCCAGCTCACGCCGCCAGTATTTTCATAAGGGCCGGTAGCCCAGCTCACACTGCCAGTATTTGCGGGAGGATCGGTCTCCCAACGAACACCGCAGGACATTGAGGTGCCCGTAACGGTCTTAGTGACGGTCCGACAGCCTTTGCGACAAGTTGCTGTAGTCGGGCAGGCAGCATATGTGGTGACTGTTGGGGTGGCAGAGCAGGCTGGGTTCTTCCCGGGAATGGTCGTTGTCATTACTTTAACGCATGCTGGCTCATAGCAAGGCTCTTCAGGCGCCGGTATTAAAGGGCAGTGAATAACCCCTGCTACTGATTGAGTGTAGCATGCAGGGCAGTTTATGGCACGAACGCTATCAACATTAGCTTGAGGTCCCAGATGAAGAAGTGTTGAACGAACCTAGCAACAAGGCCAAGTAAGGTAAGCACGCGGTGCTGAGAAGGTGCCATGCTTGAAACGGTCGTTCTCAGAACGATATTTCGATGGAAAGGTGATGATCGAGGCCGTTCTACGGTGGTGTGAATCGACGGAAGGGCTCCAAAGTTATATGACGTTCATTCCATCGCGGTCACCTGGGGAAGTCCACCACAGTACTATGAGCAAATGAAAGATACGAGCAGCCGAACTATCGTCGACCTACATAAAGACCCTTTCACGTGGATCATGTTGTCTCTATGCAAGTTGGTCCGTGGGCGGTGGACCGACGTTCTCGTCCCAGGTAAGAGGTTGAAATTTGACTTTGCGAGCTGCCTCCTAAGCTTTCCAAGGCGATAACTGGGAACAATCCAAGTGAGATTTGGGATGGTGGTATGATTGGCAAGCTAAATTTAGAGAACGACAGTTATGTGTATCGAGGACGAGAGCTGATTTGGTGGGACCGGGTAATGCGAAGCAAAGGATAGAGTGGAAAATGTATACGTAGATTGAAGTATAAATTGAAGAGATCGCACCGAAGATCCGGCAAGAACCGAACGAGGCCATATTGGGCGCAGGCTCAACAAGCTCAAATGAGGCCCTTGCAGATTAGCGGGGGTGGAAGGCCGGGGCTCAACGTCAACATCGAAAATCAATACATGGTCGCCGCATCTCCCCACCGATGTCCCCTTGCCATCTATGAGAATCTAGAAGCGAATAGAATCGCCACCGGCTTTGCTGTTTCTTGCTTAGGGGACCGTTGGTCATGCACGCTCGGCTCTGCATCGAGCAAGTACTTACCCTTTGTGGCAGCCGTACTGGAGGCCGAACAATCTAAACCACCGGGTGCAGGCTCGACAGGTTTGTCAATGTTTCTGTTTTTAGTGGTTTCAAGGGCACATATGAACAGCTGCCTGTCTTCTCCCTAGCTGAAGGTACTATATCTGTATGCATGAGACCGGCGGAGACGACGCATCCAGAAACTCGTTGGCTAGGTGGGCTTTGTGATAGGCGGGACCATCTTTTCACTCTGCGCAGGTTCGTTTCCATCCTCGAGAGCGATGCGTCTGCAAACTAAGCGTCTTCGTGTGGCGAGAGCAACTGATCAAGAGGCCATTTGCGAATCGATCGGATGGTGTACGGAGAGCTATGACCAGCCGCATACATTTCGATTCCGGTCCAGGCTATCATTGCAGCATTGTCAGTACAAAGGCTGGGTGGAGGAAATGCTAGTCGAACGCCAGCGTATCCGTGAGCAGTGAGCATACTCGCGAGTCTACACGTCCGAGTTAGTCAACAGCATTCAGGTGCACAATAGAACTTACATGAGTCTGAGGAACTGATTTGCGGCAACGCCGCCACTCACAACGACCGTTTCTATACGATCGGGTCCAGGGTTCTCCAGAGACGCTTGCTGCAGCCCTAGCACAACTCGGCTAGCAAGATGCTCGAATGCAGCACGCATAACTTCCCTAGCCATGGCCTTGCGCTCTTCCATGGTGGTGTCCTCTGACGACCGTTCAACTTTGCCCAGCTTCCCAGTCAGCGGATCGACCCGAAATCGCACCACGCGTTCGACGGCGGTCATTAAGCCTGAGAAGCTAAATTCAAGGCTCTTGCTTTTCAGCCCACCTGCAGCTTTGGAGAGAGGTTGATTGAACCCCCAACCGTATTTTGTAGTACTTTGCTTCTGGGCTTCTTCTTGGTTTTTGGGCACTGCGTATCCGTAGTCCCGTCGTGTTCGATAGATTGCGTGATATTCTCCGGCGGTCATCATCTCCAAACGATATTTATCCTCTATCTCCAGTTTCTGTGATGCTATTTCTGGCTCTGGGGTTGCGCTGTCGTGATGCCCTGCCAATTTCTGGGAGAACGCAAAGTCTTCCAGGAGCGCTCCGTACATCGTCGTCGTCGCATTCTGCAATATTTGAGGAGGCAGAACGGCGCGCGCAACCTTGTCCAGGCACTCTCCGACTGCAATGTCGCTCGTACCTGCAAGCACCCTGTGATCTGCCAGGGATGCAGAATGGATGAGGAGAGTATGGCCGCCCGACGCAAGGACCGAAAGGAAAGGGAATTCGGGCTGAATCGGGATCGCTATGGCGGGACTTCCGCCTCCTGATTTCTCATGGACGGCTAGGTCTTCGGGCCGGTAGGCATTCTGGAGAGCGGCCACCAAGCGCGGCGTCAGGGCATGGGCTTGCATGTGATGGACCCCTACAAGGTCGATCTATTCTTGAAGTGAGCTTGCATGGCGAGCCGGAAAACGTTCGAGCAGTACCTGCCACGCTGCTGCCAGTCCTTTGGCCGTGTCAAGACCGGTGAAGAGATTGGAGCGCATCCCAGGGCCCCGAGTGACGGAGATGAAATCTGGCCGTCTCCTCGTCCATATGCGACCGGAATTTCCACCGTCTGGAAAGGTCACGATCCGACCGGAATTTCCACAGCCTGGACAAGTCACGAGTCGCCCTTTACATAGAAGCTCATCCTTGCATTCAACAGGAGGGAGATGGTGGATGGCCTCATCAACGAGCCCCGCAAGATTTTGCTGATGGGACTGGAGGGACACAAGCGGGTGAACGCCATGATATGTGGTGTTGTCAGAGGTCACTTTCTTGTGAAAGTGAAGCACGGCACTAGTACGGTGGCCGTTTAGTGACGTCTTTTTCTCAAGCACTGCGACAGATGTGTCGTCGCACGATGTTTCGATTGCGAGGGTGAGGATGGAGCGATGTGTATGCGGTCGAGGCCGTCGGATCAGATGATAGCGGAGACCAACATAGCTAATATTCAGGCGAATCCGCATGTCTCATCTGAGAAACCCAATCGAGGCTACACAGAATGAAATGCAAGTGGAGAGCCGCATCACGATCGGCCTCGGAGGTCTGAGCCTGCAGTCCGTGCTGGGCGTGACATCATGTGAAAGCCGCGCGCACCTGCTCCAGCCCAGCACTCGACCGGCTCACCACACCCCCTTATACGATATCCTCCCCCACCGTACCGTCGCCAACTCTACCATGCGACACCCTGCTCCCAACAACCCTCCCCATGGCTGATGTCAAGAAGGAAACGGACGGCCCGGCCCCCTACTCCTCCCCCGCCTTCGACTTCACCCTACTTCCAGACTACAACGACGACTTTATAGCAGAGGCCGATCTTACCGAGTTCGCAAAGGCCCTGGCTGCTCCAGACAACTCCCCGTCTGCCGAGGACCTCTCGCTGCCCCCTCCGGAACCTCGGAAATTCATTACTGCCCTCAATGACTGGCGGCCCATTCATCAGCGCGTCCGGCGGCGACGGAAGCATAACAAGCCTCCGCGCCGAGGCAAGGACGAGACGCGGGAAGGGTTCGTCTATACGCTATTGAAATGGCCGTTGTTGACAATCGTCTTCGGTTGGTTGCTCTTCCTGGGCATTGCCTACATGCTCACCCGCCTCTACATCTTCCTTTACGAGCAATGCATCACGTGGCGCGGCCGGAGACAGAGGTTGCGGAAGCAGCTGCAGAGTGCAGTCAACTATGAAGAGTGGATTCATGCCGCTGAAGAGCTCGATACATACCTCGGAAATGAATCGTGGAAGCAATCCGACGAGTATGCATACTACGACAGCAAGACTATCCGGAGAGTGCAGACTCAGATGGTGAAGCTGCGGAAAAGAGCGGAGTCGGATGAAAAGGGGATGTCTGGTGCCAAGACCCCCGCCGAACAACAGGCAAAGGCCGTGGACGAGCTGCGAGGCCTGGTCGAAGCATGCATCAAGAATAATTTCGTTGGATTCGAGAACCCGAGGCTGTACAGCGAGACCTACTATGGAACGAAAGACCTTGTGCAAGCGTTCGTTGATGAAGCCGAGGCGTCTCTCTCCTTCCTTATCCGCACATCGCAGCTCGACCAGGAGGGCAAGAGGGCCATGTTCAAGCACCTCAGCACCAACTTCGGCCGCACTGCCCTTTGTCTATCGGGCGGTGCTACCTTCGCGTACTATCACTTTGGTGTGGCAAAAGCTCTTCTTGACGCGGCCCTGTTGCCCGAAGTCATCACTGGAACGTCGGGCGGAGCTTTGGTGGCAGGCTTGTTAGCCACACGAACTGATGATGAGCTCAAGAAGCTGCTGGTGCCAGCCCTTGCTCACCGCATCACAGCATGCCACGATGACATGCTCACCTGGTTCAAACGATGGTATCGCACAGGCGCACGCTTCGATAGCATCGATTGGGCTAGAAGGTGTGCCTGGTTCACACGAGGAAGCATGACATTTCGAGAAGCATACAACAGGACCGGCCGTATCCTGAACGTGTCCTGCGTTCCTTCAGACCCGCACTCGCCGACTATCCTGGCAAATTATCTTACTTCCCCGGACTGCGTTATCTGGTCCGCAGTCCTTGCTTCGGCTGCTGTCCCTGGGATTCTTAACCCAGTGGTCTTGATGAAGAAACAAAAAAACGGGACGCTTGTCCCGTACTCGTTCGGACACAAGTGGAAAGATGGTAGTCTTCGCACCGACATACCCCTGAAAGCACTCAACCTTCACTTCAATGTTCGCTTCTCTATCGTCAGTCAAGTTAACCCCCATATCAACCTATTCTTCTTTTCTTCTCGTGGATCCGTGGGACGACCAGTAACACATCGTCGCGGTCGCGGTTGGCGCGGCGGATTCCTTGGCTCAGCAATCGAGCAATATCTGAAACTCGACTTAACCAAATGGCTAAAAGTTCTCCGCCACCTGGAACTTCTCCCTCGACCATTAGGCCAAGACTGGAGCGAGATTTGGCTCCAGCGATTTAGTGGCACGATCACGATCTGGCCGAAATCTATCCCCTCCGACTTCTACTTCATCCTATCCGATCCTTCTCCCCAACGACTAGCACGCATGATACACGTCGGCCAACAATCCGCCTTCCCAAAGCTCAAATTTATAGCTAACCGCGCCAAACTCGAGCACCTAATCCAACAGGGTCGTCGCCAGACCCGTCCCACCCGCACCCCCGACGGCGGCCTCGCCAACATCCTCTCCGAAGACGACCTTCGCGGTCTTCTCGAACGCACCAAGAGCGACAACGACGCGAATGGTGGTAGCGGCGCAGCACCAAACGTCTTCTCCGGCTCTGAATCATCCTCCTCCGCGTCTCCTCGACCAGGCTCGCCAGTCGACATGCCCCTTGGTTTCTCTTTCACTAAGCAATCGACTAAACGCGCACCCGCGCGCCTCACAACAAAGCCCACTAACCGGCCTGGAAACGGCCAGCCGTCAGGACCAGACAGCCCGTCACTAAGCCAACGCCTAAGCGGGTGGTGGTCTAAAATGTCTCCCCGCGATCCCTCCCATCCCCCTTCGCAACCCAAACCTCGCCCCCGCCCGCGCATCCTCCCCCAAAAATCCACGTCCCCGCCCCCAGCTTCACCCTACCTCCAAGACCGGCCAATGTCAATGTTCGAGCTCGGGCATCCACACGATCAGGTTGTGCAACAGCTTTATATGCGTGCGGGGGAGGCGGGGAAACATAGACTCACGGGAAGTTTTTTGAAGGAGGTTAAACGGCAGAGTAGGGTTTTTGTCGATGATGCTGATGTTGGTGGTTCTGATGATGACGATTTAGATGAGAATGAGCTAGCTGACTTTGAGAGTACAGCGCGGAGACGAGGCATTTTCAGCGATGACGAGAAGAAGTATGCGAGAGATGAGTCAGATGATGGGATGGACGCTGAGATGGAGGATTATGGAGGCGATGATGAGGATGAGGGAGATGGCGAAGCTGAATTTGAGGCGGGATCTGAGGGTCGTAGTGCGGGGAACAGTTTGGGGCTGGGGATGGGTGGGAAGGAGGGAGGCGTGATGTGAACTGTGCCCTGCCCGGGTACATGTCGCTGGATGGATAAGGGGGATGTCAAGACAGAGAAAGTAGAGGCCCGTTTGTATTCTTAACCTTGTATTGCTGGCTGGTTCTGAGCTTGGTTCGTGAGGATATGGCTGGGTGGGTATGGTATAGCATGGCATGGTATTGTATGTGGCCGGCGTCTTAGAAAAGATTGGAATTGTTTGAGATCATTGTTATCGGCATGCATGTATGGTATACGGTTGGGAAAGGATTGCTAGCAGCAACAGTCTGAAATTCACGCGAGAATTAGAGGATAAAATATCAAGAAAGTATTATTTAGCAAATTGCTACTTCTATGTGGGTATCTCAATGCTGCAAATGCCAAAAAATGCCACAAAAAAAATGCGTTCAAAGTGCTCCGGATAATGCCTCTAGAAATGTGCTCAAGGCTAATCCGACGAACCTGATACATCGTCATAAATACATTAGTTATAAGGTCCATGCCTCATGAACAGACAATTGGATCTGACAGAAACGCCTCAAATGCTTCCAAATTCCTCCGTATTCATGATGCTCGTACAACAAAGTGCTATTAGAAAACCGTGAGTGGCGAAAACTTTTGTTTGTACTTCCTTTCGCGCCTCTTTTCGATTTCTTTTCGAAGTTATGTCTTGGGGTAAAGTCTCTCGTTCATCCAACCGGCCGCTCCCACATCACCAACCCATTATGCACATCGACAGCCGGTGGCAACTCTCCCAATCCCATCGCACGATCCAACTCAGCCTCGTCATTCTCCACCTCATCGTCAAATCCGTACTGCTCCGTAAAGGGCGTCAGCATAGGATCGACCGGAATATTGTCATCTCCGTTCTGGAAATCAGGCGTTGCATCTAGGTAAGGGATCTGACTCTGGGATAGATCCGGATCCAGGTAGGGTGTCTGGCTTTGGGAAAGGCTTGGTGTCATGTAAGGGCTCTGATACTGTGACAAAGTTGGGTCGAAAGGGTGACTGAGCATATCATCCCCATCGAGACCTCCAATCCAGAAAGGACCACCTTGGAGCGCGTCTCGTTCCGCAATCCGTTCCTCGATCTCCTCATCTGACAATTTATGATCGACGCCGCGAAGATGCCGGCGAAGATCCCGGTCCATCGTAAAGCGTCGATTGCAGTCTGAAACGAAGCATGCAACCGGCCTACCCTCGTCGTATCCAACACCAGTCAGAAGTCCGAGCATTGACTCGTCAAACTCTTGTTTCTTGGTTCGTGTGGCTTTTCTTGACTCCATATTCTTCTTCTTTGCTTCCTTCGCAGCCCTTCGGGTGTTCTTGCGGTTCTGGGAGTTGAGATGTTGCGTTCTAATGTGCTGTTCCAGAGTGCTCTTGCATGTGGTTGCGAAATCGCAAGAATTCTTCCCATCCCAAGCCTGAACCTCTGGAACATTGGATGTCGATGCATCGAAGGAGCCGCAGATCCAGTTCCTCAGATTGTCATGTACGCACTTGATATGGACCTTCAAGTTTCCGCGCCGATTGAAGGATCGATTGCAGCCTGGCTTAGGGCAAGGGTACTGGTATAATCCACCCTCAGGTGTCTCGTGTGCTACATCGATATGCGCACGCAAACCGTGTTCCGTGGTACACTTCTTACCACAATGCTGGCACGTAGGTGGGTGACAATTGCGGAAGTGATCCCTGAGTTCGGGTTGCGTCCGAAATGCAATAGGTTCTTTCGGCAGAATCACTACCCCCATCGCTTCCGTCTCAACGGGTTCTCCGCCAGCTGAAGTTATGCAAATACCGCACGAAAATCGGAGTTCTCCATCTCCATGGCAGTTTTCAATGTGCCTCTTGAGTGCAGGCTTCAAGTCGAAGGCTGCGGTGCAACGCTTCCCGGTATCGTCGTCAACGTGATCACACGCAAATGGCTTCAACCCCAGGTGCTCAGCTCTGATATGTCTCTGCAGAGTGTCCTTCTTTCTGAATTCCTGCTCGCATGGAGGGTAACCTACACAGCGGAGTCTAGCCTCGTGGGTGTTCTGGTGTCGAACGAGCCGTTCTTTGTTCGTGAACGTCTTCCCACATTCTGACCTGTCACATACAAAAGAGCGCTCAGCGTTACTGTGGGCCGCCTTCGTATGGCGATCCACATGGTCCTTACGGGTAAAAGTCTTGTCGCAGTCGCCATAGGGACAGGAGAAGGGACGCTCCTTTGAGTGGGTAAGCATGTGCTGCTCCAGGCGACACGGTCGATTGAAGCGTCTTCCACAGCCTTCGACGGGGCAGACTTTGTTCCACTCGCGCCTAGCCTCGCTCCAGGCCCTCACATTGCCGTTTTCAGTGAAGGCGGCAACTTCGTCGTTGACCTTGGGTACGGGTAGGTCACCGACTTTTGAATCATGTTGTTGTGACGCGGTATCACTCCCATAAGCCTCGTCTTCTTCATCGTCGATCGCTACAGATAGAGTATCAGCACCCACCCTGTAAACGTCATGTTCGCAGTGATGTTTACCTCGACGAAACTTCCTCTTGGACCCGGCATTATCTGCACTAACATTTTTACGTTTGACGGCCATTGCAGCGGCGGCAATGCGTCTAGAATTTCTGGAGCTCAGGGAAAGGAAGGTCTCGGCATTTGCATCGAGCAGAGGGGTTGATGTGTGAGACCCAGAGATTCAAAACGACGAAATGTTTTTAGCGAACGCCAAGATTTCGAGGTCCGTGTGTAATTAGATACTAAGCCAGAACCGTTCACTGACGGGATTATCCGCTCGCGCCAAGACTCAAAGCTTTTGTTCGAGCTCCCGTTCGTCAAGGTCGAGTCTCTACACCTCCATTATTTGCGCTTCTACCAACACCTGATTGTCCAACCCTTCCCTCTTGATCGCACAAATACTCAGCAGCAGCAAACTACATCGATTCGCATATATCCTCCTTCCCACCCGGCACAAAGATGTCTGATTTTGGAGGGGACGATGATATGGGGGACGCCGGAAACTATGAGTGCGTAGAATACTTTTGAGACCCTATTCTATCCTGCGACCCTATATCATCCTTAAAAATAGATGCCAGCTATTCTCCCTTCACAAAGAAGCTAACCAAAGCTCGCGGCAGGGAGGCCATGGACTACGAAGATGAGGCAGTGGAGCCTGACATCTACGACGAAGACGACCAGCAGCACCAAGACCCACATGCCGCAGATGAACCAGATGCTGTAGAGCACAATCAGGAAAACAATGTCGTGGTCTCTGGGGACCCAGGCGCTGCAGCTGCGGCAGCCAAGTCCGAACAAATGAACACGGTCAAGAGCATGAAGGACAAGAAGGTGCCCAACGAAAAACGTACCACGACGCCATACATGACCAAATACGAACGCGCGCGCGTTCTGGGCACAAGGGCATTGCAGATTAGGTGCGTCGCATCACTGCTTTCACGCAAAACTTTGAAAAACTAGACATGGCAGCTGATAACTATCGTAGTGGGAATGCTCCTGTCTTGATTGACGTGGAAGGTATGACAGATCCTCTACAAATTGCTATCAAGGAGCTGCGAGAAAAGAAGATTCCCCTGGTCGTGCGGAGATTTCTTCCTGATGGATGGCAAGTCTGGCTCTATCGCCCGTCAACTACGCGCTAATAAGCTGCAGGTACGAGGATTGGAGTTGCGAAGAGTTGCTGTGAGAGAGATGGTGTAATTTTGCATTTGAATTGGAGTTTTTGGGGCGGTAAAAGGTGGCATACCAGGCGACTAGGAGTCTTTAAAGCGCTATCCACCAGCATCTTATTCCCCGAATCAATCCCGAAACAGCACATTTTCTCCGATGTAAAGTGCCTGTGAAGCGGATCCGATGTCCCAAGCTTGATCTCGCCGGAATACTTACCTCATTTGAGGCAAAGGTGGGGCAGAGGGGAAGCTGAAAATGCCCCGCATTCACCAGCATGAGAATTAACGTCACTCAGGACATAGGTGTCATAACTATTGCGACGGAAACTGCACATAGTCCTGTGCACCTCGCATCCTCCCCTAGCCTCTGACGAACTTTTCCATCGCGAGATTCTGCATTCTGCGCCCATTATGTCTGTCGAGACAACAGCTACCATCGCCTCATTCGGCGGCAAGCTGCTGAAGCTTAAGCACAAAGCCTCCACTACGAATTGCGATATGGCATTCAACCTCTACCTCCCTCCTCAAGCCCTGAAATCCGGCGCAAAAGTTCCTGTCCTCTTCTACCTCTCTGGCCTTACGTGTACTGGTGACAATTGCTCCGAGAAAGGGTTCTTCCAACACGGCGCAAGTCAGAAGGGCATTGCTGTAGTGTATCCAGACACTAGCCCAAGTATGCTATTCTTGCTTAGCGTTTGGGTATCTCGCTGACTCGAGTGTTCAATCCAGGAGGACTGCAGATTCAAGGCGAAGACGACGCCTACGACTTCGGTTCCGGTGCCGGTTTTTATGTCGATGCCACGAAAGAGCCGTGGACAAAAGGATACAACATGTACAGCTACATCACCAAGGAACTGCCCGAAACGCTATTCTCCTCGTTCAAGGAGCTCGATTCGAGTAGAGTGAGCATCACGGGCCATAGCATGGGTGGTCACGGAGCATTGACGCTCGTTAGTTTACCTAGACAGGTACAAATGGAAAATGCTGACAAGACTCTCGCAGTTCCTCAAGAACCCTGGGAAGTACAAATCGGTGTCAGCCTTCGCACCAATCGCGAACCCTATCAATTGCCCATGGGGCCAGAAGGCGTTCAAGGGGTACTTTGGAGAGACTGAGCAGGCGCAGTGGATAGAGCACGACGCAACGGAGCTGGTCAAGCAGTGGAAAGGGCCACTGGAAATGCTCATTGATGTCGTATGTATCCATCACTAAGGAATGGGCTTGAGTAGTGCCTGTTGACGCGATACAGGGCACCGGAGACAACTTTTACAAGCAGGGACAGCTGCTTCCAGAAAACTTCATGAAGGCCGCTAAAGAGGCTGGGAACGACAAAGGCATCAACCTCCGTATGCAACTAGACTACGATCATAGTTACTACTTCATGGCTTCATTCGCAGACGAGCATGTTGGCTACCATGCGAAGCACTTGGGGGTATAGTAAGTATACGATTGACGGTGGTCATTGGTGGATGGTCAACTCACTGCTACAGAAGCGGCTCGACTTCGAAAGAGAAACTCTAGACCCTCGCTTGCTGTCAGCCGGGTGTGGAGCGGAGCATTGCTTGTCTTTGCGATGCAGGGCAATTTCGAACGATGCTCAGGGCCTCAATGTAGCGAGACGAGGGCTTGCAGGTGAAAACGGCCAAATGCATTGTAGTGACCTATCTTTGGGTCGAAATGAACCCTTCGAGTGTTGACAATTAAGATGAAATGCAGCAATGTCGCTTGCAAATTCCAGGCGTGCAATTTAAGATCCTAACAGGGTTCTGAAAGGCTCAAAACAACATACCGCCTCGGTAGAACAGTCTGTGCAGGAGGCACGTGTGGTGTGATTTATTGCTAGGCAGAACATCCCACTTCGGCACGCCAAGCCGTGGGCCGAATCATCGCCGTGAATCTGCAATCGGAACAACACACACGCCAAAGAATTGTGTCACGTTCGCGACTGTCCACCACTCCGTGACGTCCAAACACCACCTTTCACCCCCCTTCACCTGCCTGTACCGGCTCCTCGCATCCCCGCGTAGGTTCACCTTCGCTGCCCCGCCGCTTTTTCACCGCTATAACGCTCCCATGATGCAGCACCCTCTCTGCCCAATGATCCGGTAGCATAACGCCCAACTTCACTCCTCCACTCCTCCGCGAGAATCTCGGCCGGTCCTGCTCATGACCAACCTCCGGAGAAACTTCGCTTGAAATTTGATCCACAACTTGTCCCTCATCTGAGACGGTGGTGGATATGGAGGCCCAGGTTCGTTTTCTAGTCCTCGCTCAGTCATGTTTGCACTGTCGGCAATCCAATGCTAACCCTGTATCCCCCTCAACAGCTCGAAAATGCCATCGATATAGCCTCGAGCCCCACCTCCAGCCAGGCGTTGCGTGGCCAAGCTATCGATTTCCTCACCCAGTTGCGGACCGAAGGCTCTGCCTGGCAGGCTGGCCTGGTGCTGTTCACGCGAGACCCCCGACCATCCGAAGTCATACGGCATACTTCGCTCGACCTCGTGAACAATGCCGTCCAGGAACACCATCTGGACCCTCAGAGTCTGGCTTACATCAAGGACACTCTGATGGCCTATATCCGTCAGAGATACGCTTCAGCAAATGACAATGCACCCGACACCACCCATATCCAAAACAAACTCATGCAGACCATAACCTATCTTTTTATAGCACTATACCCAGCCACTTGGCTAACCTTCTTTGACGATTTCCGCGCCATAGCCGGCAACGGGACGGCCATCGGCAATGTGAATGTGTCCGGAACCATTCTTTACCTTCGTATGCTAGGTCAGGTGCATGACGAAATTGCCGATGTGCTGGTTGTTAGGTCCGAAGACGAGAAGAAGCGGAATGCCGAGTTGAAAGACTTAATCCGTGTGCGGGATGCCCAGAAGATTTCATTATCGTGGCAAGAGATCCTCGCCAAGTGGAGGGATATTGACCTGATGGTCGTCGAGATGTGCCTCAAGACCGTAGGCCGCTGGATCAGTTGGATCGATATTTCCCTTGTCGTTAACGAGGCAATGATCACGACCTTCCTCCAGATGGCGGGGCAACAGGGTATCTCCGACCCGGAGAGCTCGGAGGGCAGGGTTCGTGATACTGCTATTGACGCCTTCTCCGAGATTGTTGGCAAGAAAATGGGCCCGGCTGAAAAGATCGAGCTGATTTTGTTTCTCAACCTTAGCAACGTTGTGGGACAGCTCATCGGCAGCCCCGCTTTGTCTGACTTGCAAAACACGCCAGAATATGACAACGATCTCGCAGAGACGGTGGCGAAATTAGTAAACAACATCGTCTTCGATATTGTCAAAGTTCTAGACAACGAGTCGGTAGATGGTCAGACTCGCCAGCGCGCCGAGGAGCTCATCCAACAGTTCCACGCCTACCTCTTACGATTCTTTTCCGATCAATATGACGAAGTGTGTTCGACCGTCATATCGTCCCTTACGGACCTTCTGACTTTTTTCCGTAAACTTAAGAAGAAGACTGGAGGATTACCAAGTCAATACGCTAACATGCTCCCCCCTATTTTAGAGGCCATCGTGAGCAAAATGAAGTATGATGAAACGGCATCATGGGGTGATGAGGGGGAGCAGACAGACGAGGCCGAATTTCAAGATCTCCGAAAACGACTCCATGTCCTTCAGCAAACTGTTGCCGCTACTGATGAAGCTTTCTACATCGAAACTCTTAGTCGGGTGGTAAACGAGACCTTCAGCCGGCTTTCATCAAATGATCAAACGTTGAATTGGCGGGACCTTGACCTTGCCCTCTATGAGATGTATTTGTTTGGGGAACTGGCAATGAGAAATCAAGGACTATACGCGAAGCGTGAGCCTTCTTCTGTCGCGGCTCAGCAACTTGTTGGAATGATGTCGAGCATGGTTGAGTCTGGTTTGTACATCCATGGCACCTCCTCAACGCACACTGACCATGTCTAGAGCTAGCAAGATTTCCACATCCATCGGTACAGTTGCAGTATATGGAAATCTGTGTTCGCTATTACCAGTTCTTCGAGCAGAACTCTCGGTTGATTCCGAAAGCGCTCGAGAACTTCGTTCGCCTGACCCACCACAATCATCTCAAGGTTCGGACGAGATCCTGGTACCTGTTCCTGCGGTTCGTAAAGCCACTTCGAGCACAGATTGGCAATGTATCTCAAGATCTTATTCAAGCAGTCGCTGACCTGCTTACGATTGAGGCCGTATTGCCTGACGATTCCGGGGACGACGACATGTCATCCGATGAGGATGATCAATCTGCGGATGCACTCTTCAACTCACAACTTTACTTGTTCGAAGTTGTTGGTTGTATTTCTTCCTCTGCTACTGTATCCATCGAGAGCAAGAAGCTATACGCGCAGACGATCATGGCACCTCTGTTCGCAGACATGGAACAGACGCTTCCGCAGGCAAGAAATGGAGACGAACGAGCTGTCCTGCAAATTCATCATCTCATCATGGCACTAGGAACGCTCGCGCGGGGATACTCGGATTGGGTCCCATCGAACACCACCGTGAACTCCCTTCCAGCCACAGATGTCTCCGATGAGTTCGTGAAGGCCGCGGAAGCTATACTCGTCGCCCTCAAATCCCTAAATTCCTCGATGTTGATCCGCAATGCAGCACGATTTGCCTTCTCGCGCATGATCTCCGTGCTGGGATCCCGCTTACTTCAGCAGCTACCCTCGTGGATCGATGGACTCTTATCCATGAGTTCGACGATGGACGAGATGGCCACTTTCTTGAAGGTTCTTGATCAAGTCATATACACATTCAAGGCCGAGATCGCTGGTGTTCTTGATACCCTGCTCACACCTTTGTTGCAGCGCATCTTCACCGCGTTGGCGACAACCCCTTCGGGCACAGATGATGAGATCCAATTGGCGGAACTTCGGCGAGAATACCTCAACTTTATTCTCGTCCTTCTCAACCACGGTCTCGGATCTGTGCTTGTCAGTAATGGTAAGCCTTCTAACCCAGTTATTTCATGGTGAGACCCTTCCTAACTTCCAACAGCTAATCAATCCACCTTTGACACCATCATAACCTCACTCGACACCTTCGCCCGCGACAACAATGACTACCCCAACGCACGCCTCGCTCTCACGGTCCTCATTCGCATGACAGCCGTCTGGGGCGGGCCCGACAAAATCGGACCTACCACCAACTCGAACACTGCATCTCCAATGACAGCTCAAGCACCGCTCCCAGGATTCGACAGTTTTGTCGTCACCCGTTTTTCCCCTCTCGCGTGGTCAATCCCAGCCTCACCAGGATTCAATTCAAAAGACGCCCAGGCCAAACAGGTAACTATGGAGGCTGCGGGCCTTCAGGCAGAGATCGTAAAGAAGATCGGCGAACCTTACGTGGAGCGGTTACGAGAGGAACTGAGGGGGATGGGTGCAGGCCAAGAGATGGTAGATCAGTATCTCGGGAAGCTTGCAGGGGCGCTGGAGACCCAGAAGAAGGAAAAGGATTGGAGGAATTTCTTTGTACAGTTTGTCGAATCGGCGAGAGGATCATGACAAGCATCAAGTGAGGTAAGGATTAGATTTTGATGCATAGGTGGCGATGGTTTGGTGGCTGGCTTCAGGGTGGGTTTGGGTCGGTAGCATGGAGGAGTTTGTACGGCACTGTTACAGAGCTACATAGCTGTTAGGGTTCTGCATCTGTGATGGGGATGGGTATAGCTGGGTCGCTAAATTAAAGTATCGTGATATTAAGGCCAGGAAACATGTGAGATTGTAGGGGGCAATTCGGAACTTGGCATTATCATTCCAACAAGCGCTGAGTGCCGGCTCTCTAGCATTGTATAAACCCGCCCAGAACATCTATCCCAAAAGACCAACATGTAAGTTCCAGTAAGCCCCCACCCAACCAAAACATTTCGAATAACGCCGCCTAACCCCTATTAACCCCTTGGTTCTACTGCAATCCCTCATCCCCCTCCAAGACAACACTCACAACTGTCCGGGGACTACCCATCTCCGCCCTCCTTCTCTCTTCCAACACCTCTACCTTCCTCCCAGGCACGCGTTCGAGGTCGGTTTTGCACCGTCCACAGATCCGCAGGTAGCACCATGTACACGCCCAGCGGTCGAGTTTGTCGACGTGGTGACAGACTTGACAGCCCATGGGCGCAAAACGATTGGAAGAGATGTTGAAGTGCGCGTGGGAGTGATAGCAGTGGTAGTGGGAGCGGTTTAGGGGGGGTGCGGGGAGGTGCGAGGGGCGGATGTAGGGTGGTGGTGTTTTAGGGGAGGAGGAGGGGGAGGGGGCAGAAGGGTGTTGGGGGATTGAGGTTGTGCGTGTTGGAAAGGAGATAGATTTGGATGTGGGGTGTTGGGGTTGGGGTTGGGGTTGGGGTTGGGATTGAAGTTGCACTTGTGGTTGCGATTGCGACCGTGGAGCTGGTACTGTCTGCAACGGCGGTGAAATCGGTGACACTGATCTCGCATTCGCATTTGCCCCCGCTGCTGGATTCGGATTCGAGCGTGGCGCTATTGCAACGGGCTCGAAACTAAACGGCCGTCGTCCTTCTCGCGGCGGAGAAATAGGGGATACGGGACTCTCGGGTCCAAAATCGGGGCGCTTGACTGGTTGGATGTGTTGCTCTTGTCGCTGCTGGTTCTGAACTTGGTTCGACGGTGGTGGACTCTGTTCTGCGGGTGGTGTTGGCGAGGGAGTTAGGGTGTTTACCACGTTTGGGTTTCGCGTGTTGTTAGAAGGGTTGGGGTTGGAGTTGTTGGAGGTGTTGAGAGGAGCCGGGTTGTTGAACTTGTTTGTTCCCTATGCGCAGCATCATCAGCATCGAGTCTTAACCACGAAGTACCAGCGCCAGCGCTCGAATTCTTGTAGGGAGGGAACAATGGCCGGAATCTCGACTCGCGGTCCCGCAATCCCATAGATATTGATTGGATAGCTGAGACGAGGAAGGATATAGGATTGCAGGTCTGGGAGCGGGAGAAACCGTTGCGGTTACGGTTGCAAGGAGGAGGGGAACGACGTACTTTGAAGATGTCAAACCCTGTGCTGCTCTTGCCGCGGTGGTGATTGCTTGAACTAAGCGTGGGCTCGGCGTCTTGACTCTGCCTTGGCCGTGGTGATGGACGAGCTGGGAGACCGACGAATGGCCTCGGGGCCTGCATCACGGATCGTGTGGCTGGCTCAGGCTCGTCTAATAGTGGAGACGGGGCTAGAGTAGTTGGGATAGTGCTCAGTGCTGGTCGATCTCCAGAAACCGCTTTACGGGGTGAGAAATCTTCGTATGGATGGGTTTGCGAGGCTTCGGGAATAGGTTCTGGTTTTGTCGGCACTGGAGTTGTGTTGCTGGTGCTTTCGCTCTGGTTCTGCACAACTGCTGTCGGCGGTTTCGCTCCCATCTTTCTTCCCCGTGGTCCAGAAAGATCGGCGAGTGTTTGAAGCGGCTTGCGTTTAACAACCGGAAGTGGCTTTGATCCTTGTTGCTCCTGCAAACCATCGTTAGAAACTTTCGGCTGTGATATCCCCATGCTGCTATCACTTCTACCCCAGCTTCTTCGCTTTGACTTTTCAGGTGGAGGTGGCGGAAGGTCAGGTAGCGGGCGTTCTTCTGAAGAGCGACGTGTTGTTGTGATCAATGTCGATGCTGTCGCCGGAGTGATTGGTCTGGAGGAAGCATTTGCATTCGGCCTCGGCGTAGAAGGGAGTGTTGCTGTAGAACCGTTGCTCGATAGGAGTCTGAGCGACGGTGGCTTCGAGCTTCGTGACATGGACCGCGATACAATTTTCGTGGGCGGTGAGGATGAAGATACAGAATCTTTTCGGCCTCCATTATAGTGGAGTGGGCTTCGGGGTTCGTCCACTTCATGGTGGTCAGTATTTGAATACTTGTAGTCGTACTGCACATTGTCTTGGCGGAAGGTTGTTGGGAATAGCAAGTTCATGACTCGACTCAACAAACTCCCCAAGACCATTTATTTAATAATGATTATACTCACCTCGCAATTGAAACTGCATCATTACAGGTGGAAGCGGCTTATCATCACCACCCAGCGGTGGTGGTGGGGGAAGTTCCTTTGTGAATGTCGGTACTGGCGAAAGTGCATACGGCGAGACATTTCCATTGCCTCCACCAAAAGAATTCCCATAATCGTTTAAAAGAGCGCTAATGACATCTTGTCGTCCTGAAGGAGCATTTGGGGCGAGCCCCGGCTGGTGTCTCATGACGGCTGTCATGTCGTAATAGCAAAAGAATGTCGACGTTTGCTGGCTAGAGAACGTGATTGGGGGCTGTAAAAAGAATGACGTTGAAAGGATAGGATCTGTACTACAACAGAACAGCCGCAAGAAACAAAAAAGAAGGGTCTTGTTCGTACGACGCCAGCTGGCAAGGAAATATAGCAAGCAAGCAAGCAAAGAGAGAGTGGGCGGAAGAGAGCGGAAGGGATAATTATGGAGAAAGTGTCATCGCAGTTCAATTTGGAGGACAGAACTGGCTGTCTCAGACAAAAAGAGGGCCAGCTGGGATTAAGGCTGACGACCTTTGGATGCCCAGTCACGGGCCCATCAAACGCGTTGGTGTTTGGGATCCCGACAAGGTCTTCCTGCCTGTCACAGGTTGCTCCACTGAGCGACGAAGCCCATGCAAGGGCAGCCCGTGGACATTTGCTCTCTGGATATGATTAAGATAACAGGATGGTTATCGTTGCTCCACCGCGGAGCCCTTTTCCCACAACAGCCAGAGTGTTAAACGGTTAGCAGCATGCTGGGCGAATTATAATTCAATAATAGCAGAACGCCGCTGTGAGCTGTTGGAAACGGGCGAAGGGCAGATGTGGAGGCACAGAAATCTGACGTTCAGGGGGTCGAGCTTCAACAAGCCGAACGCCCCGTGCTGAAGATCAGACACCCACGTGATGAGTACGTGTTTCAGGGGCACGTATTCGGTCGCCTCCAAAGCCCCTAACGATGATGCGCGTCGACCTGCGCAATCATGGCTTTGCACCTGGATCTCTTAAATATCCGAATCGCTGCATTGCACGCGCAGACGCAACAAGAAAAAGCATTTGTGCTACCGGTGTCTTTCCATTCCATAGTAAAGCCGTGTATTGCGATCGCGCGCAACAGGTAAAGTAGTCTATTATTGACAAAGAAAATATAAGGACCATCTGTGTGACCCCCGTTGCCGTGTCCCGTCCGCCATCCATCCAATTAGAAAATACATACAAAATATTGTCCGATCCTGTTTGTCGTCGAAGAAATCCCAATATAGAGGCCAAAAATTCCTTCTTTCGAAAGGATGTTTCTCAAATATACCAAACGCCATGTTTCGGACGAAGCCGACCGTTCCTTTTAACAGACCGTTTCTCCGGTTGTTGTTCCTGTGGGGTATTTTCCCGATTCCCAACCAGCGTGTCCCTTGCTGCGGAATCAAACAAAAGGAAAAGTGAAAGCAACCCAAGCGCCGTCGCTAATGACTCGACTGGTGATAGTCGATAAAAAGGTCGAGGGGGAGATGGTGGAAGTAATTACATCAAAGCACGTCGTCCGTTTAATTAAAAAAATAGAAGAGAATCATTATAAACAAGGTAATAGTCGGTGCGAATGTCGGGGCAGTTGCCGAGGCTGCTCCCTTGAGCGGGACTGCCGTTTTGTTTATGAACGTGGGACCGCAGGACAGGTCAATCTGCTGTGCGGCTGCGTTGTAGGTTTTGCTGATTGGCTGCGTGCTGTTCCCGGCGAAGTTTGAGAAAATGGCCATCGCGTTTTGTAGGCAGGTATTGCAAGTTGGTCGTGCGCCACCGGGCATGCTCACGCCGAGTGGAAGGTAGTAGGGATAAGAGTCCGTTGTAGCGGTTGTGTTGGTAACAGCGTTTGCGAAACCTGAATGCCAGCCAATTAGCAGGTGGGTATGTAATGGTTCACAGACGTCCAACTTACAATATCTTCCATCGGTGTCTGTTAAGCAGCCTGCCTGGTACAGCGGATAGTACGCAACCAGCCCATTATATGCCTGCAACACCTGGGGATTGTCGTTGGCGTAGTCAACGGCGCAGTTTGCATTGTCCCTGAGTTCTCTGGCCAGTGCATTCATATTGCCCAGGCATATTGTCGTATTGACATTACAGGTTGCCTCGAGGGTCTTGGTGATGCCAATGTAGGATTTCGAGGCATCAAAGAAGCCGCTGGAGGTCTGCCTTTGGTTAGTTTAAGGGGCAGTCGGGGTAAGCAGCCGAACATACCTGAAGCATTAAGGAAAATGGATGGCACGCATTGAAGGTAGAGTTGGTCAGTAGTCTACGGAACCAAGCAGCGCAAGGAGTGGTGAAGTTGTTCGATAGGGCTGTATCAAACGGCTGTGGGATGGAAAAGGCGGAGGGTGTTGCACTGGGATCCGTCTGGATGCCGGTGGTTTTTGAGGCTTGGGCGGAAGTTGTGGCATCGCTATCGCGGCGTTGCAGATGCATGAACATTGGCGGCGCTGGTGGCGGGCTGTTATCGAGGACGAGCAGTGAAGGTCCTTTCCACGCTGGGGTGAGCTCGTTGACGGGTACGGATATGGATGCTGATCGCCGCCGATCACCATGTGCCTCCTGAGCCGCTGCGGTTCCAAGCAGGGAAGAGAGGACCACGAATATCACGACGAAGGACAGCAGTGCGGGCAGATATATCGATCTTCTCGAGGGCGCTGGATTTGTGATATAAGAGCGACGACGGCGGCGGCCGGTCCTCACGTTTTCGCCCTGCTCCCGCAAGTGGCAGGCTGCCGTGGCCGAATCGTCGGCTTCATAATGGTGAGACATGGCTCTCGGCTCCTGTTTCGCAACGCCTGTAACACCCGACCTCATGTTTCTCGACATGCTCCGCCATGGGATGCTGCTCCAGTTGGCGGTGCGTAACGGTTCCATTATTATTCTATAATTACTCGCCCGGGTACTCGCCGCACCTCCAGACCATGACCGTGCCGTGGACAATCACGGGATGCTGCAAGTCGGAGAGGTAGTCGTCGTTGAGCAAGGCAAGCCGGGATTGGTTGATGTCGTCCTGTGGCCAGTGGTGGAGTGCAGGCCGAAGGTCCCTTGCAGCCGCAACCAGCGGTCGGTCCAGGAATGATGGGAAAGCTTGAATGCGATCGAGCGGGAAGTAGATCGGCCAACGAGTGACTGGAGTTGGACGTCGTCAGTTTAATGGAAGTCGGTTTTGTCGATCGATGCCAGACGGGGAATGCGAGGACGTTTGTTTATTTCTTCCGCTCAACGGGCCCTGCAGCCTTGTTGCAACGAACTTCCAGCAAAGCTTGTGCCACTGGGAGCAGCCGCCCCTTATGTCGATTGTCTGCTTGCTCGTTGCGCCATGGAGCCTGCGCGTGCCTCAAGCCACTGCGTATACCCCTCGCTCGACATGGCAATAACGCCAGCGCCAGGCCATGCAAACTCCCACAATTGAGGTCGACTGTTCGGCTGACAAGACTCATGGCGAGTCGGGTAATAACGCCGCGAAATCCTGACATGCTCAGGGCCCGGGGACTGGCGAAAGCTGCTGTCTCGATAGGTCCAAAGGCGATTGGCTTGTGCGAAGCAATATAACCATGCAGTCGGGAGTCGGATCGAGGGAGTTCTAGGTCCCACCGGTGGACCCAATTCACCCTTGGCGGCCTTTTCCAGGGTGCAGCTTCGTGAATGGGGCATACCCTCACGGCACCTTGGCTTAAATCGTCCTACTTTTCGATAGAAGCACAGAATCGTCCAAAGACATGCATAGCAGAGCCCGCCTCGAATGAGCAGGGGCTCTTGGGGTTCCACGGCGTGCAACTCGTGGGCTTGACCGGCGACGTACAGGTTGGACGACATCTGCGACCTGAGCAATCAAATTATTGATAGCTTTCATGAGAGACATCGACAGGTGAAGTGGTCGACAAGGCAATAATAGCACAGGGCATTAAGCAGCGCGGGCACAGAGAAAGCGCGCATTTCTTTTGCTCTGCTAAAATTTCCCTGCGCGAGCAATTTCGACCTCACGACAACCCGCCGTTGGTGCCAAGCCAATAAAGCCACCAAAACGCGGTACTCCCCTATCGGAGCCTTTTATCATACGCATCGTCAGCTAGAATCTTCGGTGCAGATGTGAATGTCTGGTAACCGCCCATCCTCTGGACAGACAATTCATCTCAATCCAACAACTCGTGGACCAGCACGCTGTGGAGCTGTCTCTCTCGTCGAAGCGCGCGTCTTATTGGGGTCAGGCCGAAGACCCACTCTCTTGTCGACCACATCACGACGCTCTCTACATTCTGACCGACCATCCTGGAAGCCTGCATCAACTATATCCCTCCCCCTCATCGCCATAGGTATAGAGTTTCATCTTGATGTTATATTGCCTCATTATTGCTTCGTTTGCAGCAATACTCAACAGGAACTGCCTCCCTTTCACGGAAGGTTCCACAAAGGGCGGGAAAGTCGTTGAAGACATTCAACGGCGGTTTATTGGCAGCTTCTTCCTCAATACGAGCCCTTTGGTTGCTGGTGAGCCAAGGCTTACATTCCAATCTTCAAATCCCTTGGTCCTGGCCACTTCTGGCTGTCTACATCTCTGCCCTAGGCGTTGTCAAGGCGTCCCATTTGCTGGTACTGTCTGCCCCTTAATTCCTTCCTCCAGGGCGTTGAGTAACTTCTACCCGGGTTTCTTTTTGTGGCTCCATCCTACAGTCTTGCTATTAACCAACCCCGCTAATGGGATTTCATCCATGCGCAATAAAGTGCGTAGTCAGGCCTCACGAAAAGCTCCTATTCTCCTTCCCTGGTCGTGGATGTGCGGATGATCCGATCCTCGCGCAGTGACTGCGTTTCTCCGATCCATGGATTCCGTATAATCCCTGGACCTGAATATTAATAAGCCAAGGCCACTTGATCTCGATTTCTGCCAAAAAGGGGCAACTATCACCACGCAACAGCCACTCTTTTATTCCTAGGTCTTATCGCAAGCAAAATATGCCAACGATATAGGTGTCATGAGGGGCAAAGGGTTGATCATAACCATGCTTTCTAGGAGAATGAGGTTTTGTGGTCAAGTACTGATATTACTTTTAAACAGCCAGAAGACAGGATTCGTCCCCTCTTCTGTCCTTGGAAGCTGCTATCTTCACCATTGGGTACTCCTCTGGAACATCAAGGATTGTTCGCCAAGTGAAGGCATTAATGCTCCTTCCTCGATCCACCCCGCTGCCACCTACCCCACCTCCTGAAACATCTTCGCTGGATGAACAAATATACCGCTTGATAATCAGCAGAGCCCCATTTCATCCTTCGTCTTCGTGCTCTCTCCTCACGGAATCGCATCCGGAAGTCCCGAAAGCTCATGGTGATACCCACAGACCGATCAACAACTCTGATTAAGGATTTACGGAATAGGAGTCTTACATCTTGAACAATGGATCCCAGACGGTGACAGCTCTTTTGGATATTCGCCCGTTTGCGAGACTGGGGGTTTCGAGGAAAAATAGCTTGTCGGCTGAGCATTCGATCACCTTTCCGAATATCGACCCGTCCTCTAAGCATCGCTCATACGCTGCCACGATGGTAGCTTGAGGTGTCAGGCTGCGCATTGTCAGACATATACTCTTCCCGGCGCTTCCAAGCTCACCATTCTGGGGACACCGCGTCTATCATGGCCTGAGGAATAATGGACGTGTGCACGATTCCAGGACATACGCAGTTGATAGAGATATTATCTTTCTAGCCTACATTAGTTCGAGGCGGCATTTGTATCCGTGAAATTCCTACATCTTTCAGTATTGGTGCCGTGGCTCGAACGAAGTTGACCACCTATATTATCTTAACAGAATTTCGGATGCTTTCTTAGAGACTTACTGCGGCCTTCGCCCCATCATATTCGGGGTATGTCGCATGTGGAACAATGGCTGCTACACTTCCTGTTGCTATGATCTTTCCTCCTGGAAACTTGTTCTTTCTCATGAAGTAGATAGCCAGCTGCGTTCCATACACTACTCCCTTGTAGTCCACATCTGTACACACCAAGTCAGGTTTTGGCGGAATTCTTCGAAATCAGCAGCGATTCCCCACCAATGATTCTGAGGCCTTACTTATCCGAACCACGGTGGTCGAGGATATATATGGAGCTATTGAACGGTCAACCACTGTAGACGGGCGAAGTTGTGTAGCACTACCTTTTATCCACAATTCCGGCATTGGCGCACAGTGCATCGATTTGTCCGTAGCGATCCCAAACACTTTGAAACATTGCTGCCTGGCTGAGATGCCATCCCTGTTAGTATCCTGTCATACGCCTGACGCTCGGGCTACACAAACCTGTCGTAGTCGGCGACGTTGCATTTGTAAAAGCTGGCTCCATCACCCAATTCTTTCGCAACTTCCACGTTTTCCTTGATATCTGCGATTGCAACCTTCCAACCCTGTTTCACGAGGTCACGGGCGAGGGCTGTACCCTGTAGCGGTCAGTTTCTTAGTTTCCCAGCAAATCCTGAAAGGTCCATGGCACTGACCATGCCTGAGTTTCCTCCGGTCACAATTACTACACGTTCTGAGGAAGCCATTCTCGCAATAAAGTCACATTTGTGACAATGCTATAAGACTTATACAAGACAAACAATACGCAAAATATGCCGCTACTCCGCATCACGGGGTATCTTTTCCGACGGAGCAATGCGTGGCAATAGCAAATCTCCTGTGGCCCCGAAAGGGTTCATGGAGCTCCACTTCAGGCATGGCGAACTGGTGAGGGGATCCAGAAGGGGTCAGCTGAAGGGGTGCCGAGCATCGCCGCGATAACAGTCCCCCGTAGGTATGACGTCTGCACGTTCTAGAGAACGGACCTTATCTTATCTCAACCACCTTGGAAACTTCCAACCTTGACTGCCTCTAAGGGCTGAAGAGCTCTTGAAGGAATACTATTTGGGTGTGAATGCAACTTCAGAAAGGCTTCCATAGTCCAAGCCAAGCGGTTTCCCCTCTCACAGGATGACCTTTTCCGTTCATTCGGGTATAGTTCAATCAGCCACACAACAACGCGTTCTGTTCCTGTGAGTCGAAGACCGCGATGCTTTGATATTCTCTCCGGATAACAAAGATGCATTTCAACTATAAGCCTAACTAAGGAGCCATAGGCAGGTTCACGCGACATCAGCTCCATTTCCCACTTTCATCCCATCACCACGAATGCCTGTTTGCAAACAAAATAAGGGGTGTGGACGCAAATGCCTTAGGATTTGATCTACTCACATGTGTCACATTGAACTCTGGCTGTTTTCTTCGTCAAATTCTAAACCTCAAGATCAAAATACAAAATCCCAGCAGATTATATTTAACTACTGCACTAGGTCAATGAATAAGGAACTACTAGCAATGTTTTCTACTTTCAATTGCATTTGACCCTTTGATGGCCCAAACGACGGACTCGTCCTTGCGCCAACATCTATCTGCCACGTTCCCTAGCCTAATCTTACTCAGCACCTCGGGTAACTATGTCCGTATACGAATCTCCTCTCTTTAATCCATCCTTCCTTTCTAGGATTCAAGTCGAACCCGGAGTGTAGTGACCACCGCAGTGGGGCTTACTTTGGGGTGAAGTGGCCGGCTCTCCCCACCAAATGCGGGAACAAGTGCCTGGGGAGGGGGCTAATCTGCACACTTATGCAAGACTCGGGTACCACCAAGTTGCTGGTTTGGGGTGTCGTGATCAGCTTACTGTAGGTAATATGTTGACCCATTGACGGGATGAGGATTTGCGGATAAGTATATGAGGGTATTGTAGTGAAGGAGGAGGGTACATAAAGTTTGTTGTCCGTGATTGGGTTGGAGAGATATATCAACTGGACAGAGAGATATCTGCGCTATCTTTCTCCCTCTCAATCTCGTCACATTTCTTGATTGTCTCGTTAATTAGTCCAGTAGTGCTAACCTCAACATGTCCAATGACTTCTACCTCTTCGCAAATTGCAACTTTGTACCAGATAGATATGGAGATGTAAGTCTCCACTTCTTCCACTCCACTAAGGCGTCCCATTATGTCCTCCCAACCTCGATTTCTATGAGAGATACCCGTACTAATTTGAGCGCATAGTGGCAAGTAGCATACGATGAATTGGCCCAGTATGTAGAAAGCTCAGAGCTCACAACTAAATCATACTACTTTGGGATCCCGATGGACTACGCCCACGACTTCTCCAAAACAACAAGTATGTTTGCTTTCGAGGTATACGGATCGAGAGATGTAAGATAAGTCCGCCATTCTGTATCTCGAGATCCCATCCCTCTAGCAAGCCTCTCGCTTTAGAAACGAATCCCAGTGTGATAGCTTACACCCACGCACCAAAAGGACCTCTACAAGACCCACCTCTCCTCCCCAGCCATGTCCAAATTCCTCTCCCAAATTCCCGCCGCTTCAACTACTGGTCTCGATCTCAACCACTACCGCCTAATCGCCGGCTTCCTCGACTCCTCGCACTCCCGCGCCGAATGCGAAATCATGCAAGACGTGCGCATCGTCTGCATTGAGAATTCCGCTCGCACAGCCGTGCTGTCATCACTATATAAACTTATCACAGGCGTCGAAACCTCTGAGCAGGTTAATGGAGGAAAAGGGGGCGTGTTAACCTACATGGGGTTTGCGAGTCTGGATGATGATCTTGGGGTTAGGCTTTTTGGGCGGTGGAGGACGAGAGGGGAGTTTGAGTCGTTTATTAGGAGAGGGGATGTTGGTAGGTTTTGGGAGGAGAATAAGGGGAATGTTAGGAGTATGGAGCAGAGGGGGTATGTGCCTAATGGGTAAGTTTAGACTGGTTGTGGAGTCGGCTGGTTGCTGATTAGTTTATGCATAGAAAGGGCTGGTTGCATAGAGGGGACGAGTATGCGGGCAAACGAGGGGCGGTGTTGAAGGATAGTGCGAAGATTTAAGGAGGAAAGAGGGAGGACAGTGGGAATGACGCAGTTGGTCAAGGTGGGAAAGGCTCATTAGAAACTACAAAACTACGAATTACGTCGCTTTTCCGCTGTTACACTGGACGCGTGCAGCACAGCCTAGTGAAATTACTTCCATTATCCCCATATACTCTCTCACATCACACAGCCCAAAGGACTCGTCCCACATCTCACACTCAACGAATCTGACGCTTCTCCAATCCAAATTCCATAGTCACCCCCGACATCCGGTATTATCCAATTTTGCTGCACAACATCCCAAACGCTCAAATCCTTCCGCGTAACGCGCATCTGCAGTGTCTGACTCTGTCCCGGTGCCAATGTTATCGTCTTCGCGAAATCTCGGAGTTGGATGATCGGCGTATCGAACGAGATTCCTACCGGAAACTGCACGTAGAGCTGTGATACGGCTTTCCCGGATATGTTTCCTGCGTTTGTGACGGTGATGGAGAGATTGTATGCTACGTCGAAGAGAGCAGGGTTTCCTCCTTGCGCGCCGCCGGCTACGGGTCCGGGTTTTTGGTCGGTAGAGCAGCCGTCTGGGTAGGGGTATTTTGCGGATGTAGACGAGTTTCCAATTTTGGCGGCGACGTCAGCGTCATTTTTGTCAAGCCAAGAGTATAAGTAACGCCAAATGCGGCTGAAATTGTCGGGCCAGTAAGCTTCTGAGGCAGGAGGGATGGAGGTGTTGTAAGATGGTGTAGGACCTTTTATAGGGCGAGTTGGTGGGAGGGAAGTCAGTGGTGTAACAGCCGTGATGCTGGCGTTTGAGAAGGAAAATGTGGTATAGCTCAATCCGTGGCCGAATGCGAATCGAGGTTTAATGTTCTGTTGGTTGAAATGCCGATAGTCGATGTATAAACCCTCCGTGAATGTGTCCTGGGGTTGTCCGACCTCAAAACCTACAAGGGAAACGGTATCAGGATAATCCGCCTCGGATTTCGGGATGGTGTAAGGTAGGTGCCCCGAAGGCGAGACCTCTCCGAATAAGACTTGCATCAGAGCTTCTCCAGCTTCTTGGCCCGGAAGATGGGCGTTGAGGACGGCATTTACGGAAGGTAGGTCAATCCAGGATTCCATGAGAATTGGACCGACAGTGTGGACTACTACGATTACATTAGAGTATTTTGCGGCGACGTCCTGGACCAGCTTGTCGCCGTTGTGCCACGCGTTGAGACCGGCGTTGGTTCGGTCGCCGGGGTTTCCATCAACGGTAATGTAGTTCTCACCTGAATCTGCGCTGATGAAGACGAGTGCGACATCTCCAGGGTTAGGATTGGAGTTCGATGGGAACGAGTCCGTATTGAAGAACTGATATTTTGCACCACGTGCCTTGAGTCCATCTATAGGCGAGTCAAGATATGGATAACGCGCTGAGCCTGAGCCCCTACATACGTGGAGGAGTATAGAGTTAGTACAATTTTGAAAGAAGGGGCTAGGACCTTCAAATTCTAATTTAAACTTACCAGCCCATACCCAGCGTGCCCTTATTGCATCCCTGATCCGAACAAGAATTGATTCCGTCAGGATTTTTCTCTGCGTCAGTACCGAACACCTTCAAGGTGGTGTTCTTAGCCAGGGGTAGCGTCGCAATAGTATTCTTCAGCAGGGTGATTGCATCCCGAGCAACTGCACGGGCGATTTCCGCGTGAGTGGCTCGGACATCTACAAATTGGTTCACAACTCCGCTAGGTGAGAATAATGCTCCTGGATAGAGAGGGCCACTGGCGTCTTGCGTGTTAGTGTCGAAATTTGGTGTTGGGTAGTTCCTGTCCTGTCCGAACTGATACCAGCTTGCTAAGATTCTTGTGGCCATATCGTTCAAACGGTCCACGGGGACGGATCCGTTCAGAACCGATCGCGAGAGCTCGTACATCCAATAGGAACTCCCAATCAGGGGGACTTCGTTGATGTCGCCTGGCATGGACATGTCGAGGCCCGCTAACGCCGAAGCAACTCCTGAAATTTGAGCTAGCCAATCGCTCATAACGAAGCCTTGGAAGCCTAGCTCATCTTTTAAGAGATTGTTCATGAGATAGCTGTTTTGGGAACAGGCCGAACCGTTCACCTACAGATTTTAGATTAACTTATCACAAGGATTGGGTTAAACTTACAGCGTTGTAGGAAATCATGAGTGCGCCGACTCCGGAGCGAACGCTTTCTGCAAAAGGCCACAGATAAAGCTCGTGAAGTGTCCTGTCATCAACGTTCGAGCTGATTTCGGGCTGGAATATGTTTTTCATTCTGCTCGGTGATAAGCGAAGTCAAGCGGTACAATGAAACAGAGTCTCCTGTACCTGTACATCTCTTGCTCATTTGCGATTAGATGTTTGACAGTTGCAATGACACCCACGCTTTGGACACCCTCAATAGTGAGAGATCCACCAAATGCTTGTAGTACAGGGTCGGCGCCAAAGCCTTCCCAGTTTCTACCGCCACGGGGTTTCCTTCCTAATGGCCCAACACTTGGGCCTAAGTGGACATTGATACCTTTGCCTCGAAATTCCTCCCCTAGCGCAACTCCTCGAGCTCGCATAAGGTCCTTGTCAAACGTTGCTCCAACTGTAATTCCTGGTGGAAAAGCCGTATTGTGGTCAGCGTTTCGTATGCCCAATGGACCATCTTGAAGGCAGAGCTGTGGGATGCCGAGTCGAAGTGCACTTCCCGTGTTTCCTACGCATCTGCCCATGAAGATCCCAGATCCGGCAGTAACATTAGTCTTTTCAGCCAAAGTCATTTGAGACACTAGCAGAGACGCTTTGTGGTAGCTCACGCTCCAGTCTGCGGTCCACCCTCCGTGCGGAGTAGGATAATAGGGTGGAGCAACATATCCAGATGGGACGGCAATGCGTCGATCAATGACGGCGGCCGATGCAGATAATGAAAGGCATAGTATGAGACAAAAAGACAAGAGAGAGTACATAGAAGACATGTTGACGAAAGGAATGAATGAAGGAAGAGCGAAAAGTCCCTCTACCGTCCTGTTAATCGACAGGGAAGGCTGAAAACATATAGACGTGTCCGAACCTTGTCTACATGCCCCGCAAGCCACTAAGATCGGGGGCATTTCTTTTTTGTGAACATCCGATGACGCTATACATGGATTAGGTATTTCGATGGACGGTTTGGTAAGATACACATTCATGCGCCCAGGAAACACATGCGATGACGCTCTAAACCCCCAAAACGGAAGCCGAGCAATGAAGGTTAGCAAGAAAATTAGGGCCCGAACCCGGGTAAAGAAGTAGGTGACAAGGGACCAGCCCTGATTTCGACAGTCGAGCTGCAGATTTATGATGGCGCCCTTGGTTCCTTCCAGCGCTGCATTCGGCAGGCAAAACACAATGTCATTGCGTTGTCTTGAAGCTGGGTTTGTCGAGGGCGAGACAGGCTGCATAAGCTGGCTTCGACTTCGAAACGTTCTAAACGCCATCGTAGGATGGAGATGCTCGGAGAAAAGATTGCCGTCTGGTGATGGGCTAGTTGATAGATAATACCTCGATATTGCCAAGACAGGAGTGCTTCCTAGTATGCTGGAGTTGTGAGATGTGAGCGAGGCATCAATGGCTAGTGGAAAACGCGTTCAGTAGGCGCGTGTCTCACCAAGTTGAAGTTACACTGAATATGATCTCGTCGTACTCCATCGATGGCGCCAGTTTCGACTCAGATAATCGATGCAGGAGCCTTTTTGACGCCGCGTTGTACGGATTGTATAATATTGTGCAGGGTGGCAGCTGAAGTGATGGCTCAGCCTCAACCTTAGGGAAGGGGACATGTACGTGATAAACAACCAGGCCGCGAAACTAGAAAGCGGTCCCTAACTTTTCTTTTTCCGAGGCGCCTCCACCATTCGCCCACCGAGCCTTGATCTCCGCGGACCAACATCTTTTCAGATTTAGGAGCTGCCCAGCGACTTCATCAGAGATACTTACCCCTGCTTTGGTTGAACACCACAGGTGGATGGGGACTAAAGTACTCTAATTTTTGAACAGCGGTCCTGTTGACAAAATGTGGATAGCTCTGGATTTCTTTCTACAAGAATTCAAGAGAACCACAGGCCTGCCTGAATGCACGATCGCGATAAAGGAAAACCTAACGCAGATCACATGACAATCTCACCAGGCTCATGCAGCGCTCTGTTACCATTCCTTCTCTTTCAGGATATCCCGATCTGACCAAGAATCTACATGTTATACCGCAGTAGAGCGATTCGGCATAGTTCTTCCCTTTGCCAGCACAAGCCTTGAATTGACCCTTGGGCGACAATATCAAAGCAGGAAAGAATACCTGGGTATAAAGCCCACCAGCCGCTAGAAGCATGGGGCTTGGAATTCATCCAGTGCTGTTTGCGATCGCCTTTCTTGAATTGTTTTTTTAATCTTGTACCCTGTTTTTATAATGTTTGTTAAACAGCTCGCGCTCTACACCACCACTCTCTCTGCACTCCCAATCTCATCTGCTGTTAGTGAATCTTGTTCTGCTGTATCAAATTTATCGGACATCGACGTTGAGCACTCCCCATCTATTGAGTACCTCTCTGAGCAAGAGGACTACTAGTCGACGGGTTGTAGGGCATTAAAACCTCCATGTATCCTCTATCCTTCCTCGGTCGATCAGGTGGTTGCCATTCTGAAAATCCTCGGGGAGAAAAATGAGACGTTCGTTGTCAAGTCGGGTGGACACAATCCGAATCAGCACTTCGCAAGCATTGATGGAGGCCCCCTAATATCTACCAAGAGATTGAACGAAGTAATTTTTGATTCAGCCTCGATGGCCGTACGCGTGGGATCCGGAAATCGTTGGGAAGATGTCTACGAAGTTTTAAAAGACACTAGCGTCACGGTCGTTGGGGGATACGTCGTTGGTGGGAGTTTGAGCTTCTTGTCAACCCAGTACGGGTGGGCGGCAAATAGCATTGTCGAATTCAAGGTTGTTTTAGCAAATTCGAAAGAGGCCACAGCCTCAAACACGTCTCACTCGGATCTCTTTCATGCGCTGAAGGGTGGGGGCAGCAATTACGGGGTCGTCACTGCCTACACTATGATTGTGCACCCGCAAGGAGAGGTCAGTGTATTTATCAGCAGTTCTGATAGTGGTCTTAATCTGTTGTAGATCTGGGGCGGAAACATGGTGTTCACCGGTGAGAAAGCTTCTGAAATGTTAGCAGCAGTGCGAGATTTTACTGAATATTATCCTGATGAGAAAGCTGGGATCATAATGACCGCTGGGATAACTGCGCTTGGGGCTTTTGACTTATGGATCATGTTCTTGTTTTACGATGGCCCAATTCCCCCAGAGGATGTTTTCAAGAACTTCGCCAACATTGGCCCATTCGTCAACAATTGCGCGACACGCAGCTACTATGACTTGCTATCTTCCAACAACTGGGCTGAAGTGAAGGGATCCGTCTACACGACCGCGACAGAGACGATAAGTTTGCCAAATGCTACTGTAGGCCCGGAGGTAATGGGAGCGTACTACGAACACTGGCGAAACACAATGGAATCGGTCGTTGGAGTATCTGGTGTAATTGGATCTGTTGCCCTCCAGCCTATGCCTAAACTCATTGCTCGAAAAGCCAAGGAGCTCGGCGGCGATATGTTGGATCTCGATGATAGCGTGGACCGCATCATAATGGAGTTTGATTACTCATACTTGCTATCTGATGACGACGCGACAATGGAAGATGCCACCCAGCGCCTGTATGAGGGAATGAGAGAACTCATCTTGGGGTTTACAGAGAGCGGTTACTTGCCAGAGGTCTACCTTCCACTCTTCATGAACGATGGGTACTTCAGACAGGACTATTTCGGGCGACTGTCCATAGTTGATTATGCGCCGACCGTTCAAGACAAGTACGATCCGGATGGCTTTTTCGGAGAGAACTGGTGGATTCAAGATGCGATGTTGGACACTGCCAGGGATAATTTTGGTCCTGTCGTCATGCTGTCATTTATCGATTGTCGCGTTCGGATGCCGATGTTGGGGCTGCGAAGGGGGCTATGTGACGACGGGAGGCTGCAGGAGCACGAGCAGGCGTTGTGGTGACCAGCAGCTGGCAAGGGGAGAAAAGGTCAACCCACAGATCCGCACCCACAGGACTGGATTCTGGGAGGTTTGATCAGTGGTTCGGCTATTTATGCAAAATACATCCGGGCTTAGAATAGCGTAGCCGCGTACAAGAATTAATACACGCATGTTTATTCCTGAGGATGCCTGTCTTGGCTTGGCTGCAGGCTGCCAAACGAGTGTGAGGAGGTGGTGAGGCAGGAAAGGCATCAACAGTACTGTGCCGTAGAGATACAGCGACTGCGAGCCAGGTGGAGGTGTCGTAGGCGCTTAGATCGCGAAGTCGACGCCTTCTGAGACTTGGTAGTGTTGGGAGCACGTGCCAGGGCGGCTGCTCAGTGGCTCGAAGTCCCTCGCGGCCCATCTCGTCGCCAGACTTGTTTCGAAACATTCACCCTCGCGTCGTTGCGCTTAACACACCCATCGGGCGACCCAGACAGTGGCCAGTCTTTTCTTATCCAGATTCTATTTGCACACTATTCTATTTCCCCTCTAATTTCCTGTCTTTTGCTGTTTGCACTGGCTTCTTACGTGCGTTTCTAGAACGGCTGGCTTACATTTCACAGAACTCCACCCAGAGCCGTCTGCAAGGCTTCTGCAGGTCCTCGGCATTGCTCAGCCCTACGGTGTCTGTGATGACTACACATGGCATACCGCACAGGATGCAGTAGATGCGGCGTCTCTGTCCCTTGTCCTCGCTCCCATCTCGGCACTAGTCTTAATTTGTTGGACCTATCAGAGCCTCCGCCTCACGCGCCTAGGCGCCCTTCTCTCCAGAGCCCTCGTCCCATCATCATGCCGCTGCAACGTATTCTTAGAATAACAGCCGCAACAGGGCTATGGAGAATAACTTCAAACAGCGCTTCCAACCCGAAAATGTCTCCCTGGTTCCGGGGACGAACGGCTCACGGTGCCGCATCGTGCGTGGACCACTTAGGAGGCCCAATTTGGTGTCTAGCTTGCCTTTTCGAAGAAGCGCCCGGTGTCGTGACCGTCTAGTCAGCCCCCCCAATTGCCTAGTTTCACACATCTCGTTCGAGTAGATGTGATCTGAATCGGGCGATTACAGAAACACATACCCTGTTTCACCAAATTCTCCGGTGGCCATATTTGGAGCCGACCATTTTACTGGCCAATGCTTGGTATACGTACCAAACTCAGTGCTTCCCTATAAAGACACGACCACGACCTCAGTGGGTCTGCTCCCCAGATACCCCCCAACCTTAAGACACGCTAAGGTTCCTTCGTTTCTTCATATCCATCTATCTCCTACCGTTCTTTCTTTGCCCTAGCCATTCACCACTCTCATTCTTCAGCTCTAATCCTAATACTCCAACTACGCGCTCGCTTCTCTCATCATTCCCATCATTCTCAATCTCGCCCTAGATCCCCTGTTTCGTTTCTTCCACTCGTCCATCTATCTATCAAGAGTTCTCTCAGTCATATACTCTCGTCATTCCTGTCTCTATGATCACCATGCCAAAGGATGTCAAGCCTCCGACCCACCGCAGCTCTAACCCAACCTCATTCGCAGCGGGAGGCGGGACTAGGAGCTCATCCTGGTCTGCAAAGGATGATGAAACCCTTATCTCTGCGCGAGCTCAAGGGTTGAACTGGAATCAGATTGCGCCTAGACACTTTTCATCAAAGACGCCAAATGCATGCCGCAAAAGGCATGAGCGCTTGATGGAGAAGCAGCACGCTGAACAATGGGATGGCGTTAAACTGGAGGACCTTGCGCAAGCATACATGAACGTGCGGCGAGAGATGTGGAGTATTCTTGCAGCCCAAGTAGGAGAGAAGTGGCAGCTGGTTGAGCAGAAGGTCAGTTTAAACACCCACCACTTCTTTGGTGCCAACGACTGACTAGAGTGGCAGTGCATGGAGAAAGGGCTCAAGAATCTCTCACAAGCCTACCGGTCCGCGCAGAAGAAACAGGGTACTTATGACAGCCAAGATGACAGCGGAATCGGAGTTTCTGACCCTGAGGACGAAGCAGATGACCGCCACGCGGACATGAACGACATCCCGGAGGGTTCTGTGCAATACCCAGCAAGCAATTCATCTGGGCAGCGAGTCCCTTCGATCCAGTCCATGCTCCAATACCCATCGTCCTTTCAGCAACAACATCACCTTCAGCAATAATTACCTTCTCCCGACCATTTACCGGCCTTTGCCGCATTAAGAGTATTTGTTTTCAGACCTTACGACCCTCACGATCATTTGGGGGACATTTCCGGGAGCACCCCGGCGACGGAGCATACTGCACCTCCGTCCTATCATCTGGCAGGCGACACCTCTGCCATATTGCATCACACCATACACCTAGAGTTGGGATAAGGTTCAGTCCTTTCGGCGTTTCCCAAAATATCTCAACATCTATACATCAGGGTAGGCGCAGCGACGGAATGTAATAGCGGAGGAAGTACAGAACGGACATTCACTACTGCGAAGCAAGCTGGAAATAATTGTTAGGCAGCGTCTCACAATCTCACAATTCTTCTGGGATTATTTCTACAATGCATATTTTGGCATATTCCGTGTATCTGCGGAGAGGCGCTCCCTTAGGGATCTGTAGCTTCCTATATTTTTTTTTTTTTGAACTTAGATACCTTTCTGCAGAAATTGCAAATTTTCTCTTGCTTTATGAACGACGTCTGCATCAACAGTGCCTGTGTGCGCCCTAGAACAATTGCATTTTCTTTTTCATGTCGTCTGAGAGCACCGAGAGCATCAGGGTCGCCAGATGCTCCACAAAGAAGGTTGTTTCCTTCCATGACACAACAGGATGGCACAGCTGCGCACCGGTCGGCAATCGCAATCCATCAAGATGTCATCTTCTCCACGATCTCGTCGTTACACGACAGGAAGGCTTTGCTCTCTCATCTCACCACTCTGTCGTCCCAAAACTCGAAGAATCGATAAAGTCGTGCATGTCGCTAAAAATAGCCCCCCCTCACCACATCGCGAAGCACGAGATCTCTCACGAGGGAAGAGATCTTAGCCCCCACAAGTGGTTCCCGCTAAACCCAAAAGCCGGTCAATGACGCTGTTCGTCAACACCACTTGGCTGGTTCCTGTATCTTTTTGCTCCGCCTCGATTGTTCAATATTTCTCTCCACTATGTTGAGCGACTACGAGCAATGCCCCTCCTTCGTGTCCCGTACACTGATCCCTTACCTCTGCCGAAAATAATCCCGTCCTCTGCTTCCACAGCCTCAGGCGCGATTGCGGCACTCGTCGAGTTTCTTTCGGCCCCATCCCCGCCATCTGCCGCGAAGTTCCGACTTCACAACGCACGCTTCCATTGCCATGATTCCCCGAATAGCAGCATCACGACGGGAAAGAGGGATAAGACCGTTTTGCTTACTGGCGCAGGCATCTCCGTGGCTTCTGGATTGGCGGACTACCGCGGCACCAATGGCACGTACACGCTGAATCGCAACTACAGGCCGATATACTTCAATGAGTTTTGCGAGAGTCACGAGGCGAGGAAGAGATACTGGGCGAGGAGTTTTCTCGGATGGACGAACCTGCACCGAGCGAAGCCGAACAGTGCGCATGTCGCCGTGGGGAGGTTGGGGGAGCTAGGAGTCGTCAGAAAATGCGTCACTCAGAGTATGTTCGAGCTTTCTGTTTTCGGTGTCAAGTGGCACGGTTGTGTTGTGTTGGATTGGAGGCATGGTTGGGTGGAGGCATGGTTGGATGGAAGATGGTTGGATGGAGGCAGAGTTGGATAGACATGGCTCGATAATGGTCCGAGTGCTGATAGCTAGCTTTGCAGACGTCGATTCCTTCCACCCCAGCGCACACCCCTCCCTGCCGACAATCGAGCTGCATGGCTATCTTCGCTCCCTCGTATGTTTAACTTGTCGAAGTGAGTACTCTCGCGCTGCGTTCCAGAAACAGCTCGCGATGCTTAATCCTGCCTGGGCTGCCTTTCTCCAACAAATCATAGCAACCGGGGCGCTGGATACCGAACATCCCGATGAGCGGCAAAAGAAGGGTCTGAAAACGAACCCAGACGGTGATGTGGATATCCCAAATGCGCCGTACACAACGTTCAGATATCCCGCATGTCCAGTCTGCTTAGAGAAGCCTCCACAGCGGCCTGGTGGCGGTATCGTAGAAGTTAGAGTTGACAAAGATGGCGCATGGGCTGAAGACTCGAATGGCGGGATCCTCAAACCTGCTGTAATCATGTTCGGTGAATCAATACCCGGGCCGACCAAGACTGCCGCAGAACAGGCAATTGACGAGGCGAGTAGGGTTCTCGTCGTCGGCAGCAGTCTTGCAACCTATTCTGCCTGGAGATTGATCAAAAGGGCAAAGGAGAACGGCATGCCAATCGGTATCCTAAATCTCGGGGGCGTCAGGGGCGAAGAGAGCTTCTTCGCAGACGTGTCGCCTGAGAATACTGGATGGATGGCAGTGCGATGTAGTGAGCCCGCCGATAAAATTCTCCCGCAGGTCGTTAAAGTGCTAGAAGAAGACAAAATATTAAGATAGACCATACGCATAAAATTCCCAGGAGAAAATTTTTTTTTTCTTGGTTCAATTTCACTCGCGGGGTATCTACTTCTGCTCACGCTGTCTTACACGCCTTTTCACCCTAAAAACTCCCCTCCCAAATCTTATCATCTGGTCCTTCTCCCTTTTCAATCCCCTCCGCTTTACACAAATCCTTCATCTCCTTAGGCAGCGTCCACATCGCCACCCGATCTGCCCTCGTCAAAAACTGCATCATCAGCCCCGCCTCCGCATGCCAACTGATATGGCAATGAAACGCCCAAATCCCCGGATTATCTGCCACAAACCTGACCAACACCCACCCAAATGCCTCTGCACTAACCGTATCTCTCCTCAGCGGATTCGTCAGATCCAAGTTCTTATACAAATCTGTAGGAGGATATCCGTGCCCGGACGCAAGCACCCAGAATTTGTAGCCGTGGAGATGGAAGGGGTGGTTTCCGTCGTCGAAGTTTTGGATCAGGATGTCGATGGTTCGGATGTGCGTTGTTTGGTACACGAGCTCGTGAGAGGGGTTGAAGATGGCGGAGTTGGTGCCGTATTGGATTGGGTAGAGCGAGCCCATGTAGCGGTCGTTTTTGTTGGTGTAGCCGTCCACCAGGCGGTTTAGGCTCGGGGAGGATATCTGGGGCCGGTAGGAAGAGCCATTGAGGAAGCCTCGGCTTAGACGCCAGGAGCCGATTTGGAAGGACGAGCGGAGGTAGACTTGGTCGTCTGGGGTTTCGGGGGCGCGGATCGCGTGGACCGGGGATATGGCGCTGGTGTTGAGATCCCGGCATTCGAGTTCGATGACTTCAGGCCAGTCTTTGCTGGAGGGGTTTGTTTGGTCGCCTGGAGCCCAGTATTTAACAATCCCTCGAACTTCCTCGCTCAGCTCGGGATTCTCTTCGCCAAAACAGTGTGTTACCATTCTCGCGCGCAGCCAGTAGAGTCCTTTGTTTGGATTCGGTGGAGTTAGAACGATGCTGTATCGTTGGGCAGGATTGATAGTGAGCCGGTGGATGGATTGCGGATGCACGTCTGTGCCGTCGACTTCTGTGACGGAGAACTCGTGCTCGTCGATTTGGATCTGAAATTCGGCGAACGCGCCCACGTTGATGATGCGTAGGCGGGTGTTTGTGTCGGATGCGAGGGAGAAGAGTGCGGTTGTGAGGTTGGTGGACGAGCAGTTGCGGCCAGGTAGTGTGGAACAGTCACGGATGTTGCGGCCGTTTATGATGGCGGATGGAGGGACAGGCTCTGTATTCTCACGGTCTGGGGATAGATAATGGACTAAGAGTTCAGAGGAGAGGTTGTAGTAGTGATCTGATACTAGAACAACGCGGTCCTGGTTGTATGGAAATTTTTGCAATTCTGTTTTTTCTGCCCTTGAGTGGATTACAAACGGCCCGACAAGCCCATCAGACGCTTGAGCACTCATGTGTGAATGGTACCAGTATGTTCCACTCTGGCCAGAAACATTGAACCTGTAGGTAAAATCGTGACCAGGGGCAATTGGACATTGGGTTACTCCGACTGTTCCATCCATCCAGTTCGTGCCGTTTTGGTACAGCCCGTGCCAATGCATGGATGTTGCGTTTGAGGCTTTGTTGTGCACATGTACAACGATTTCATCGCCTTCGTTGCTCTCAATGAGCGGGCCTGGGAACATCCCGTTGACGAGGATCATGGGTCGATAGACGCCATCGGGGTTGAGCACGTGCTCAGAGATAGTCCAGTGAAATTCTCTAGTTGTAGGTTCGGCGTTGAAGTCCCATTCTGGGTCAAGGATGTAGTCATCTTCAGGTCGCAGTTGAGCCGTTTTAGGGGTGTCGGGAATGTATTTGTGAGGGACGATGAAAGAATGGATAATGAATCCTAGCGTCCATGCTACGAGTAAGAAAATTACGACAGTTCGCAGCCAGGAAGACCTTCGCCGGGAAGACGGGGAATGCTGGAGTGTTTTGGCCTCATGTTCCCAATCTAGCTCTTGTACATCTGAGAACCGACTTGATGCTGATTCTGAATCGCGGTCTTGGTCTTCTTCATCGAGAAGACGGAAACGTTCATCATTGCCGTCTTGTAGGCTGCTGAGGCTATCTGGTCCCCCGCCCGACCGGTATTCGGTTTGGCGATCCATGGTTCTTTCGCCCTGTCACTCACTCATCCAACAATTGGCGTGCTTCAAAAGCGGTAGCTATGACATTTGACAGCTGCGACCAAGATCCTTCATCAGGTACGTAAACGGAACCGGTCATGTCAATTCAAAAACGAACAGCTCCACCGTGGCCACAGGTCGTAGTGGGAATAAGAGCACGTGTGCTACAGTGTGGAATAAAGTGCGCAATCAATGTTCATGCGTTTCGCCGCAATTAACCTAGCGGGGAAACTAGCCAAGCCAATTATTGCCCGGCACGCCTTCACATGGGACGCTAAAAAGCTTCACCGGATTTGCACCTTCCAAAAAGGCTTGACTGTCCGCAGCTCCATCACAGTGGCGCGAAGCTGCGCACTGGCGGAGATTGTCCCATTCACCCACACTGCAAAAGCAATCAGTGTGATAGGACCACTTTGTATCCAGCAGCCAAAGCTGCCAGGGTCCAAGCAGGACAGCAAGAAGGCTTGATTGCAACAGCGAATCACCAATGCGACTAATTAATATGGTTTCATTGGCTGTGCTTTGCATTTGCCCGGTCTCTCTATCTGTCTCTACCTCAACTTTACTGTCGCTCTTTCAGTCAAGATGCTTTCGGTTTTGGTCCTCGCACTTTCTGTGCTTGTGGGCACTGGGGCAGCGACGAAGAGCGGCGTGAAGGGCAAGGCGTTTGATCGCTTGGTGATCATCTGGCTTGAGAATACCGACTATGACCTTGCAGTTGGAGATCGTGAGTAGCACCTTAGTGAGAGGACATGGACGTTGGGTTGATCGTCTGGGACAGCGAACCTAGCATGGCTGGCGAAGAAAGGAATTACGCTGTCGAACCACTTCGCGGTAACGCATCCTTCAATGTATGAAGGCACCCCACAAACCTAAAGTTCTGTCCTACACTTACTGCAAGCATCTGTGAGACTACGTAGGTAGTTTCTTAGATAGCCGCAGTACGCATTAAGACAGAACAAAGGGTACCAGATCCCCATCTTGAAAGACTGCACTGACTTGTACCTCCACCTTTGCAGGCCAAACTATGCGGCAGCCATTTCCGGAGATTATTATGGAATCAAGTGAGTCCAAATTCACTGTATACAGAGAGATGGTTTTACCGTAAATGAGGTTAGCGACAGAGCATCTCCAAGGAGTACAATTGCGCAGCCATATCATTGCATTGCAAAGTTACTGACCAAGGATGCCGCAGCCATGATGCCATGACCTCAATCCCTTCCAATGTCTCCACCCTCGTAGACTTGCTCGAGGATAGAGGCATCAGTTGGGGCGAGTATCAAGAGGATATGCCGTATACAGGATTCGAGGGGTTCGAGTATAGGAATCAGCAGACCGGCGCAAATGACTATGTTCGCAAACACAATCCGGCTGTCTTGTACGACTCCACAGCAGACAAGAGTGAACGGTTAGCGAAGATCAAAAACTTGACACTGTTCGAGGCCGACCTGAAGGCGAACGCGCTACCTCAGTGGATGTTCATCACCCCGAACATGACAAGTGATGGTATGTTATAGGCCTGAAAATATTATTAACTTCCCTGACAAATGTTGAAAGGGCATGATACGACCGTCACTGTCGCTGGGATATGGACACGTACCTTCCTCGAACCACTCCTGAATAACAAAAACTTCATGAACAACACTCTTGTTCTAGTCACCTTCGATGAGAATCATACCTACACGAAGCAGAATCGAATTGTTGGCATCCTCCTTGGAGACGCCGTTCCTTCCAGTCTGATAGGCACCACCGATGACAACTACTACAACCACTATTCCGAGATAGCTACCGCACAAGCAAACTGGGGCTTGCATACTCTCGGACGATGGGATGTAGGCGCCAACGTATTCAAGTTCGTGGCCGAGAAGACCGGGGAGACCGTGAGGAAATGGTCCGGGAAGATTCCACTGAACCAGATGTACTTCAATGTCAGTTATGCAGGAAAGCTGAACAACAAAAACACCTCCGTTCCATGGCCGGTGCCAAACACGAAGGCAGAATATTCGGGAAGGAGGGTGTTGCCGGCTGTAATCCAAACCTGGGGAAGCCTTGCGGACAAGGCTGCATATACGACGGGGCTGGAGACTCCGGATGGACTTCATCCAGAGGCGGAATTCAAGTGAACCTATTTTCGATGTAAATATATCAGATGACCAGCGAAAGCATAGCGCACATGCTGGGGATAATATGCTGAATTTCAGTGTTCTGCTCACTGGATACAGATGATTAGGCTAGGAAACAAAGTTTAATGCCGAACAGGTGAGAGTCCGTTTTTGGAGGCTCTATCCAGCGAATATCTCAAATTTGGACAACTTTTTTACAAGCCTGACCTTGTCAAGACAGGTTGTCCTTGATACTTGGACTGTCACCCGGGCGGCTGGTACGTGCATTTTGGCAAGTCCACCAGTAGTAGTACCCGATATCCAAAATCGCGTATTGATAAATTCCAAGGTGTTGGACAAGGGCAATTTAGAAAACATATTGAAAAAAAATCCTCTCTTCACCCATCGAGGCAGCTTCATCCTGAAACCGAAAGGGCCTCGATACGTGATTGGAGGATATTGAGGGCTTCCCGATCTGAGCAACATCCTGTTCGCTGGGTAAATGTCGGGCTAGGGGAGACCTTGGAAGCGATCTGAATTCGGGATTTTCTCGTGCAGACAGCGATGTTTGTGCTAGGATCAGTTGACGAAATGATAGACAGGATGGACTGCCTTTTGCAGAAACATGGCTGCTGGCGGGAGCAGATGCCAGCTGACCACTGTTGATCGACAGCCTTTTACGAAATACTTATCGGTGAAGAGAAGTCATTTTGGAAGTATTAACGACGGCATGAAGTCAGAAAAAAATGAAAGTGATTAGGCGTGAAAGACAATGAGAGTCGCCACAGCATGGGTTCAGCACACCTTGAACAGTGCTGGTCTCGAGTTGTGCACCATCCGTGGTCGCTTCGCTCATCGCTTGTTGCTCGATGTGGAAGGATCAGACATAAAAGTTGTGTTGTAATTGGTGGCAAGTGCTTTTGCTTACGTGTTACCTGTCTGGAGAGGCGACCGAGGAATGTCTGCGTTGTTGTGGGAGAGATAGCACCTGCCCTTCCGGTTGTAGGAGCGGCTATGAATAGTGTCGAAATGGAGAATATTAGACTAGGATCCGGCGTGGCTTGTGCGAAACGTACTGCTGTCATCTGTATTGCTTGGAGCGAGGATACTCGAGAACGATGAAAGGAAATGAGCTGCAGTTTGGATGTTAACTGCGTTTGTGTGCTTCCCTCCTTCTAGACATATCGGGCTGGGGGCTCGCGTAGCTCAGTCGCGCATCCCAAACGGCACCGCAAGCGGTCCGAACAAGGGTTCAAACGACAACGGTGGGCGGGTTTAGAGAATCGCGATCAGTGTGTGACGGCCAGTGATATGAAGAGGCGGCAATGATGCCTCGCTCGCCTCTCTTCTAGAAGGCTTCCTCGCCAGGATCACGCTTGTGGTCTGGCGAGTAACGATGTGGTGGCAAGAGAAAGCAAGCGGGGAAAAGCTTGGGCCTGTTGTGCCATCCTCCTCAAATGCGCTCCATGCGATCACAGCATCAGACGTGTGCGACGAGAATGTGACAATGCTAATCAAGCGACTGAGCTCACAACGGAAAGGATGCGAGCGAAGGATGCTATGCGACTTTGATATTACACTGATACCGCCTTGCTGTGTCGGGCAACGGAGGATGGCGGCCGCTGCAGGTGAGTAATAATTACCTGCGTATTCTCAGTCCGCTTCCCGTCGAGCTCGTTTCAGAACCTTACCGGCTTGCTTCCCCTCAGCCCCCAGCTGCATGCCAAGTGAGCGGGCGGCGCATTTTGCAGGGCATCATGGTGCGCAGAGCAAGCGGAAATGCTGCTCGCTGGTCGCGCGAGGGCGGAGATGGGGTGCACTGACGACCGCCATGTCCAGCGCCGTGACAAGCTGCAGACGGAAGAGCACTGGACTTATGCGCGGTACACGGAAGAGCTGTTGTTGAGGTTGGAAAGGCGTCCAATAGCTATTTGCGAGGCGGCTTCTAGCGTTCTAGAAGGGCTCTTCGAAGTGGGGAGCGCAGAGGATGCCATCGAGTCCGTCCAATGGTAGCACAAGGCTGCTTAACCCTTTCTCTTGCACGCCCATCACCACTCACTCTCCCTCGCCACGGCTCGACACCGAATTAATCCCCGACGATATCCACCCACCCCAAAACTCAGCTTCCGCTCTGTCGCTGCTCTGCGCCTCGATGCTGCCCATCGCGGTGTCAATTCTGCGTGTGCGCTGTTTGCGACACTGACGCTTTTACCCTCGAACCCCTGCGTCGTTGTCGCCGCTGCCATCGCCCTATCCGCAGCCTCCCTTGCCGGCGTACCCTCGAGTCGACGGCCCACGGCGCATTTTTTGCCCATCGCGACTTCCAAGTTCTTTCGAGCAGCGCACCCCTCGAACGCTGTCTACCCGACCACGGCCAGACAAGAGCAGTCGGGCAGTCGCATCCCAGCAGTTGCCACCAGCAGTATCCGCGCCTGCCGTCCGACTGTGTCGCGATTTCTCCTTCCACGTCGCATTCTCCGCCCGCGCTTTCCTATCCTCCCATACCGTAAACAGGTCGTCTTCATCGCCGCGTCTTTGCTTCTCCCCCTCCCATTCTCGATCTCGACGTTGTTTAGGCCTGGCTGGGCATCGATACCAGGCCGTCGTTTCAGGTTAGATCTCAGATCAGCGGGCGCTCTCGTGCCCGCCTCACGATTCCCCCACACTGACCAGTGTTCTGTAGCTTCTGCAACATCGCGGCCTTTGCTTTTATCTACAGCTGGCTACTTCAATTGATACCCACCCGTCGACGACAGCACGATTCCTCCGCGAACCCCCTCGAACATTCGCCAGCACGCTTCTCCCCCTTACCCCACTCACACGGCCCTCTACTGCTGATATAAACGCCCCTACATTTGGCAGCAAGCCTTGCGCATCCTCCCGACAGCGCGGGAGGCTCCACGGAACGTCGGAGACCAGCCCCACCTGGTCGCCGCAGTCGCAGTGGAGACAATGGAACATGGCGCGTGCAATGTGATATACATTGACCGTCGGGCGAACGACGAACATGTGCGGAGAGAGTCGTTGTCAAATTCCATTGCCGCAAGAACCAGCACGGGGAGCTTTCTCCCCAACTACTTTGGCCTGGGTAAATCACCCCCCCACGAAGTCCACTCGAATGTGGAAACTCTCCTCTCTACTTTTAACGAAGGTACGTTATGCTCTATATCCCGCGCTTCAGCCAGTGCCTCACACGCTTGAACAGTTCATATCTGTGCATCTGGCGCTTCGTGTCTTTCCAAGCTCTCGCAGCTCCTCGAATCTTCGCCCGGCAGTGTGCCTACGATTGTACTAATCGACATTCCGTACGACGAGGAGCAGAGGTTAAAAAGACTCTCTCGCGAACCGCGCACCCCATCTCCGACTTCCACCCGAATAGCTAGGACAGACACTATCGAGCCAGATGATATTTATGGGATGCATCTGTTACTGCATGTATCGTCTGAGATCCAATCGAAGAACTTCTCCAAACTTGTGGTTCCGGTTGTTGTTCTAAGCGGGCTTGACCGCGAATGGGCGTCGAACGCTCTTCCATCTCCCAGTCTCCATGGATCGCAGGTTCTTACAGATACCGTCCGCCTGGTTCGTTACTTGGATGCAGGAGCCGTGGATGTGTTGTCCAGCCCCCTTTCGATAGACAATGTCAGTGGGTTGGCAGTCCATGCGTACAGAGTTCATAAGGAGGTGTCTCGCGAAGACACGGGTTTTCTCACCGTCAAGAGGAATAGGAAGTTGTCATGGGTAGGCGTAAACGATGCAAAACCGTATGGCTATCTCCGGGAGGCCATGGTGTCCAACTTAATGAGCGGCATCTGCAACCCGGAGACCTTTGGAGAGTCACTAGATTCAACGTATGTTCACCAAATTTTGCGAGACACAGCTGCTTACATGCACAGGGACCTATATATTTCCCAAGATCGACGTGATGTTATCGCTGCTGCGATCGGTTCTTGGAATTTTTCTGCGCATGACTTTACAGACGACGAGCTCTTATACGGTTCTCTATTGATGTTGAAGCATGCTCTTCAGATGCCCGAGTTGGAGCACTGGGGAATGCCTGAAGGTATGAAACATGGATGTTAGCAAGTATCTTCAAGTTAGCTGACATGATTGGCAGATGAACTAATCGTCTTCCTCCTCGCCAGTCGTATCGCCTATAACGAATTCGTGCTCTACCACAACTTTCGCCATGTCACCGACGTCCTCCAGGCGCTATTCTATTTCCTTGTTCAGATCGGTACTCTTCCTCCATATCCACTAGGTAGCGTGCACCCACCTGTAACCGAGAAGCCTCCTATAGCGCAGCTTCTAAAGCCATTCGACGCACTAACCCTTCTAATCTCGGCCATTGGTCACGATGTTGGACATCCTGGTGTCAACAATGCCTTTCTGGTTGCTCTCAATGCTCCCCTTGCTCAGCTTTATAACGATCGCTCCGTCCTTGAGTCTTTCCACTGCGCTGCATACTCTCAGATTCTCCGACGTTACTGGCCAAAGGCTTTCTCAGATGCTGCAATGAGAAAGCTAATGATCAACAGCATTTTAGCAACGGATATGGGGCTGCATTTCAAGTATATGAGCGAATTGGGCAACGTGCAAGAAAAACTGGCTCACGACCAGAATGGTATTGATGGATGGAGTGGTAAAGTCCGTGATGAGTACAAGGATCTCACCTGCGGGCTTCTGATCAAGTGCGCCGATATCAGCAATGTTGTAAGTTACCAAAGCGCTTCGTATCTAAGAATACCTTCTGACTGCCATCATTCAGGCTCGAAAATTCAACACTGCCGCACGTTGGGCGAACATTTTGACAGACGAGTTCAGCAACCAAGGTATCATGGAACAGGAACTCCAGATACCGACGTGTCTTTTCGGTGGCCCGCCGACCCGTAATGACATCATCAAGCTCGGGGAGTCACAGATTGGCTTTATGAACATATTTGCGAGGCCACTCTTTGAGGCCGTTGCAGACATCCTCCCTGCAATGCGATTCAGCGTTGATGAGATACTCATCAACAATGCAACCTGGGAAAAGAAGATCAGGGAAGAGCGGGAGAATAGAAAGAACCCGAACCTCGCACTTGGCCTACTGACTCCTGGATATGCAGCCGACTCCACTCCAAGCCCATTGTCCGGAAGCCCATCGAAACCGCACCCTGATATCTCGCAGTTGGAGCCCGAACGATCAATACAGAGTCCGTCAAAGACCACCAATCCGGACAGCTTGGGACGACGAGGCTCAAGTGGCTCTTTCCCGGCAATAGTATCAAGCTCTCGAAGATCATCACTTGGAGTAGACAAAGGTTCACGACGTTCTTCCGGTACTGGACTTCCCGGAACTCGTTCTCTCACCTCCCAAGAGAACCAAAGTCAGTCAAGGCGCGGCAGTGGAGACGCTAGTCTAACCGCCATTCTAGTGACACAGACACCTAACGCGCCTGAGAGGCCAGGAAAAGAAGCTAATCTTGGTTCCGGACCGCGTTCCAGCTCTCCATCACATCGGAAAGACACCTTGACCAAATCATCACCGAAGATGTTTACCAAAGCCCCTGTTGAAGGGGAAAAGGAGGGGGCTCGGCCACTCACGGCACCTTCCTCAGCCAGGCGTAGCCAGGGTAAGAGCCCGATTGCATACAACCCTTCGTTCTACCGTTCGTTACGACCTGAAGGAGTTGGTCCTGACTTTGATTCCGCAGCCAATCTCTTTCCTATGCCTCATCCGCCTTCACAAAGCCATTCTGAGGTGGACCTCTCGCATGCGCCAAATGGCAACTTGGACGGCTCAAAATTACATCAGTGGGAATCAGCCAAACTCAGCGGTGACAGCAATGTATCTCAATCCAATGCATCACGCGAGACCAGTCGCAGAAGTGAGTGGTGGCGTCAGATGAGCTCGCGACGACGCACGAAAGACTTCAGAAATGGAGAGACTAACATCCATGGTCAGCAGAAGGAAATGAACCTGGACCAGACTATCTCGAACACCACTTCCAATGCAACCTCACCAACATCTCTAAGTCCGGGGAAGAGTAGCCGGACCGGGAAGCTCAAAAACTTCTTCAAACGAAAGCCCCGGAATAGTGATGAGCAAGAGAAGCAACTTTCGAGCTTTGGCAGCTCTTCCCAACTTAGGACTCCTCCCACAAGTGATCCAGGTATCTCAGTCAATAGCGACGACTGAGCGACGCCGGTCTTGTTGCTTATATTCTTTCTTCCTCATGAGCTGTTGGACTCTGCACCTGGACACTTTTCCTATGTTTGGACGCAGTCACGCGAAAAGTAATTTTTTTCATGTTCACAACGATCACTGCCGACCCAATGCAAGGTCTCACATTTGTACGGAAAACATTTCCTTGGCCTCATTACCTCTCTTGACGCATGACGTAACGGATGCAACGAAAAGGTCTAATCACTGTAATTTTGCTTCATGGGGTCCGTTGGAATTGCCTTTTCAGCCTTTGGGCGTTTACCGGTGGATGTATTTGCAGCATTCGCCTCTCTCTTCGATATCTACTTGCATTTCCAGTTCGGGCACTACTCGCTCTCGGGATAGCTCATCGCAGGGCTCCTTCCGCGAAGAAGTCGGTATTCATCTGGGACTTTTTATATATGTCGCGGGCGAAGAAAGATGTTGGACTTGGAACGGAATGTTGACGCATTTTACCGCGTGTGTAATGCATTTTCCGGTGGTTCATTAGGCAGTTTGGCGTGGAAGCAGTGAAAGGGTAGGCGCGTGAGTTGTGTGGCATTTTCCTCTCTTTCTGTTTGATTCCAAAAAGCGCAAGATGTGCAGTGTACGTTTCTTTGTCTCGCCCTCCGCTGCTACCGGGATGGCGGTGAGGCAGTGGCGGCTATTGGGTTGGGTTGGGACGGGAAGCTCGATGGACAGAAGAATATCTTTCATCTTTTGTGATGGGATGGCGCGGCGGCACTGCTATTCAACGAGTGCATACCGCAATACGAATTAAGGCATGAACATATCTCCTGACACAACCCTCTCGTACTCAATCTCCTGTAAAGTTCTGTACCATATATCCGAGTGGTGTTGGTAGAGGTACTCGTTTATGATTGGGTTTATATTCTGATGTGCATCGCACGTCCTCGTGTCAACCTAGGATTTCCAGTGCCAGCATCGAGTATTGATATCCTCTAGGATCAGTATGCGTTCCTCTCATCTTGTTGCAGTTTTGTTTTCCGAATGCGGAAGACCTGCGAGGAGGTTATGCTTATGTTGCTGTACGCCTGTTCTGTTTTTACCTATGGGAATTGTGAGCGCAGAGTGAGTCTCTGAAAGATCCGTAATCATTTTCCTGCATACACTTACGCAGCTAGCTTAGCGCTTAGCCAGAATGCTCCGACGAATTTGAAAGGGAAGTACTCGATCTATGGTAGTGCAGAGGATGTGCGCAGGTGTGCAGTACTCTTGAGTAACCGCAGTCATAGACTACAAGAAGGGTAGCTAAGAACTCCTAAGCGACGGAGTGTGCGCCGTGCTCTATGTGGATGTCTCAGTCAGAAGCAAGAAAAGGGGGTTAAACACAACCACACAGAGAAGCAATGTAAGTGTAGTGACTAAACCTCTGCTTGCAAGAGAACCTGAACTAGTCATCTGAATACCCCGACACACACCCCCTCAAACAAGTAAATACCATCCCATCCAATACATTAAACTTACTTTCCCCTCACTAGACAGCCCTTTCCCTCTTACACAAATCTCGTATCAACGCTCGCAACCCCACCTAATAGCGTCCCATTCACAAGCTGATTCGTCGTCACATACAGTATATGCTGCAGTCCCAAATCCCGCCTTCCAAACCTCGCAGACGTCGGATCGGGCAACAACGTCTCATTCACCACCTTCTTCTGCTTGCCTTCCATATCAACAAAATACAGCCCTTTAGGATGCAGAGCCATCCAAGCATTCCCCTGACTATCAAGCGCAAAATCGTCGAAGCTCCCCACACTAGCATCGATGCGTGTAAGGACGTCCACCGGCCCCATGACTTTACCCAAAGCGCTGATAGCAACCCGGCCAAAGACTCCTTGAGCGGAGTTCGCGAAGTAGAAGTGGTTGTCTTTTGTTCGGATGCCATTGATACCGAGAGAAGGTGCGGGGCCTGTTGGTGCGAAGAGAGAGTCTTTGATGGCAAGATCGTAGGTTCCCTTGGATATGTCGATGCGCCATACAGCACCCAATACAGAGTCAGATGCTAGAAGGAGGTTTTTTGACCCAGGAACAGTCGCCAATCCGTTCAGGCCAACAGACTCGGCAATGGTGACGATTTTCTTCACAACCGGCGTTTCGGTACGAAGATTCAAGGCATAGATGGATAATGAGCCAAGTTCGGCTCGCCGGATGCTAGTGTTCCACGTCCCGGCAAGGAAGGCATATATGTCCGGCAGGATTTCGGTAATACCGCTTATTCCGTTTGAACCTGGGGCTATTTGGAGTATAGAAGCGGAGGGTTGGGGACAGGTCGGGTTAATAGTGTACATGGTCATGGTTGCGTTGCCAAGGGATGTGAGTAGTAAGTGACCATTTGGACGGACAGCGATGTTCTCAATGAGGGTTGGAAGAGTGGTGATCTGGTGAATGGAGGAAGATGCACATGATGTAAGGAAGGAAAAAGATAGGGCAAGAAAGATGGAAGCTGTCGTAATGCGCATGGTGGTTGAGGGGGTACCTAGGTTGTGGAATTATTAGGTGACGGATTAAACGACGACAGGAAAGATCTAGGGCGGATGGCTTCCTAGAGATTTCTGATTGAGAAGAAGTGTCACATCTCTCATTTTATATCTGTGTTGTTAGAAGGGAGCCACCTATATGGTAGTAGTTAGCCATGTTGAATCCTTCAACACTAAGGTTTTGCAAGGATGCTCGTACAGTGCTGACAGGGCCTGACGTGGAGATGAAGCTACGGTCAGGCCCTCCCTGTAGGCTGTGAGAGACATGTGGTTCGTAGCTTTTTCTGCATCGGGGCGAAGGGCCTCAGCTCGTATAGAAGGAATTAGCGGAGATAACTCAAACTGCAAGAGTTCATTCAATGTCGGGGGGGATGAATCTCCGATCACGCGGAGAATGATCAGCGTGACATGCAACAGGCGCGGTCCGATGTTTAACGCAAATTTCAAGAAAGATGAGCTTAAGGGATTTACAGGAGACAGCGAGTATCTCAGAGCGAGCCGTTAACTTATTGCAGGACCAAGAACCCACGTCAACATAAAGTGTCACGAGAATAAGAGCATAAACAAGATGAACTTCGCGATAATTTAACGGACCGAAAGTTACACGCAAACTAGGGCTTGCGCTCGTCCTTACCCATCCCACCGGTTTTTTTCTTTCCATTTGCCGGAAATAGTACCATAATGCTGTGATTGTGATCCTGCCACACACACTCATGACCAACCGAGAACATTTCCATAATTTACCTCCCAAACAACAACCGCAGCAATACACTTTCCAAGGTCTGGGTCCGGCAGCGGGCAACTAGGGACGTTGGAGCACTAGCACTGCTAAGGACAAAAGAAAGACCGCATTATAAAGTGAGGAAGCCAAATAACGGCACGGTAGAGAAGTTCGCAGAAATCGGGATCATCTGCGCGAGACTCTTCATGTCAGGAGCTTGACCCTGAGCTATGGCCCGCGTGACCGGACTCGGCACTCGGGCCGCTGCTGTAGCTGCTCTCAGTGTCGTGTTCGTGGTGGCGAGAGTGTGATCGAGAGCGCGAGTAGGACGACCGAGAGCTGTGGCGATGCTGGGCTCGAGGGCGGTCTCTGGGATGGTCGATAGAATTACGGGAATGGTGGCCGTCACCGCCGTGCTGGTAGATCGGCATAGGTTGGCTAGGAGGCGAAACAGTGCCATTGGTGACTGCAGAGGTTTTTTGGTAGTGAGAAGTAGTAAATGCGTGGCGGTGAGGTGTAGGTTTGTTGATGGGGTGGATAGGAGGCATGAACTCCGATTCGTCAGTTCCATCAGTGCGGCGGTCTAAGAGAGTTTAGAATGAGATCGAGGATCACAAGAACGCTTGCTGGAGAAGCTCTGCACAAAAAAAGACTGCTACTTACTGGAGCGTCCGGTCTCGTCGATAGGGTCGTCAATGTAGCGAGGTCCTTGACCATCGGCATCAGCGCCGGGATTGGCTGTCTCGTATTCAAGAACCTTAATCAAGCGGTAAAAGATAACGGCCACAATCGCACCTAATAACGGGCCGATCCAGTAGATCCAGTGGTAGCCATTGAATGTGTGGAGGATGACATCAGGGCCGAAAGAGCGGGCTGGATTGAGTGACCCTCCAGTGAAGTAGACGCCTTGCATGGTCAGCAAAAAGAACTGTTATATTAAGAGGAATGCCCTGACCAGCCAACTCAGCAATAAACAGAGCTAGTCCAATCCCAATCGGTGCGAGAAAAGTGGCCTTATGTTTCTCGGCTGCTAACATGAAGATCGTGAAGATGAGCTCAGCTGTGAGTAGCATCTCGATGAACAGTCCGCGAACAATGGAAGTGTCGCTGTGAAGCGTAGTTCGAACGGCGAGGGGGCCAGGAAACAGCGCAGACACGATTCCAGCAGCGGAAATCCCAGCCAGTATTTGTGAAACGATGAGCAGACCCGCCTTGAGCCATCCGATAGCTCCAACCAAGGCAAGGGCCACTGTCACCTAGGAATTACGGTATTAGCATAGAAACGCAGGGGAAGAGGGAATCTGGGACATACAGCAGGATTGAAGAGACCTCCACTGATACGGAAGAAGATCCAGACATTGACTGTCAAGGAGAAGCCAAAAGCAAGCGCGATGTAGAGTAGGGCTGAGGTGCCGGGAGGAGAGCTAGGGCCGGCAGCAAGCATGTTTGCAACCTGGGTACCAGCGAAGGCGAAGAACAGGAACAAGGAAGTGCCAACAAACTCGCCAAGCATGCTGATAAACATGATGCGGATTCTGTTCGGAAACCATCCACATCCCGGCAGGCGTTTCTCCCCGGGATGCCGGGGATCTGTCGTGTATGCTGGTCTCATTCCAGGCAGGACCATGAAGCTCTCGGCGGGTCTGTTGACATTCATGCTGGTGGACTGGAAAGATGTGGTTCTCACAGTCGGTCGATGTCGCGTGGATGAAAGCGGGAATAAACAGGAGATGTCTTTGAGGGGAGAAACTTGGTAAATACGACGTTAGGTAGGGAGTGACAAAGGATGTGTAGGGATTAGGAAAATCGCTCGCAGTGATGAATCTGAAGGCAGTACACGTTGAAACGATGAGGTGAAGGATATGAAGAGAGCTTAAGAGACGGAGGTGACCTGTATAGACTTCGAAGAGAGCAGGGGCAACAAGACACAAGGAGGCAGGACACATAGGGGTTAGGATGCGCAGGAACGACGAAGGGCAGCCGCGGTGCTTTCCTCCGGCCTATCTAGATCAGATCTCGACTAGAGGGCGTAAGGAGAAGGGGCCATCTGAGAATATGAGCCTAGCTCATCGTCTTCAGAGGTGCTCTAGGACGAATCTGAGCGTGTTGAAGGTTGAATCTTGACACAATGCTGGAGAGGACGAGGTGAGTGAGCATTGCGAATTATAGCAGCATTCCCTTTCCAAGAGGCCACCGTAGAAGATCGAGGCGCCCTTTACGTGATCTGATAGTGGTGAGGGGGTGGAATGGAGTCACATTCCCACCCAGGCTTGTTCTGCCTGCGGGGAGTGGGGATGCATTCGGACATGACCCAAGGAGCGAACGACGCCGGGCTCTCAAAGAACGGCGGGATGTTGCAGCCTGTCTAGATTTTCATGATGAAATAAGATGGGCAGGGGAAGTGAGGTTGAAGGCCGCAGAGGAGAGACTTTAACCGAAATATGTGCAGGAACAGTGCAGATGATGTTGGTCATGATTGGGTCTAGCGACGATCGCGGCTTATGTGAAACTGTTGCAAGGGGGGTAGAGCAGTGAGTGAAACTAAAAGACGTGTGCAAGGCTGCAGATGTGACGGAAGCGTGAATTGGCGAGAGGGGCTCTTGGCAACGGGGGTGTGGCGAAGCACTGCCAATGCGCGACACCACCTGGACAAGGCAGTACATCACGAGTTCGACATTCACCCTCCACGCTTCTTGTGTCGCTCCTTCCTCCTGTCACCTTCTTTTCTACCTTCCTTCTCCTCCTCTCCTTCGCCCCTTTGCTTCTCCGTCTCCTCCGGGCCCTCTTCTTCGGCCTATGAAACACTGACAGCCTCGTCTAGCCCCTCTCGTCATACATCACGACATTGGCCCGTCAAGCTTGCGTCCCCGCTACATCATCCCAAACCGTTCTGGGAACACAACGCCCGCGTCCGCCGGATGCGCACCTCACGATAGAGCTTCAGCATCTTTGCTGTGCCCGCATCTCCGCCGGCTACTCAACGCCATACATCCAGCATGCGCCCCCTTCGGCTGCTTCTGTCGCTTGCTTCGAGCCTGATAGCTATCACAGTACTCCTCTACCTCGCCTTTGGAACACAGCGTCAGGGTGAGCCCCGCGCTCCTCCGGCGCCAGCGAAGAAAGGCAAATTAAAGGCCCTCTTTTCTTTCACCTCGCCAGCCTCGCTATTTCCTCCCTCCGCTATCATCAGCCTTACCGACGATAACTCTACCTTTTTCCTCGCCAGACCCGCTGCGTTTGGCCCATTACTACCCACGAAAGGCCTGAGTGGCCCACTATGGATAGGAACCGGCTTTGGAGACGACACGATGGGGAGAGGCGAGCTGGGTTGCAGCGATGTGCCGGGATGGAGTGACGGAGGCGACGCCTCAACTGCCGGCGCCAAGGCTGCATTGGACCCCAAGAGAAAGTCCTTGAGTGCGTCAAGAGGCGACGTCGACAGCCCCAAATCAGTGCTATCAAAGCGAACACAAACAGAAGATGCCACGGAAAGCACAGCCAATGCCGACAAACAAGATGGAACAGACGACCACCTTCACCACCCTCTCCCCGCCTCCGAGATGCCCAAACCGCATGGCAAGACATCCGAGCATGCCGACATACAGTCTCTACAGGAAGGCGCAGAAATCGCAGGCAAGGTCGTTCTGCTCAAGCGGGGTGGGTGCGGGTTCTTGGAAAAGGTTAAATGGGCGCAGAGGAGGGGAGGAGTTGCATTGATTGTCGGCGACGATGTTCGCGGTGGAGCTCTGATCCGCATGTATGCTCACGGGGACACGTCCAACATCAGCATACCGGCCCTTTTCACTTCGCATACGACGGCCCATCTACTGTCCTCGCTTCTTCCCTTCGGCGGCATGATCCAGGATCTCTCACCTGAAGATGCCGCCAAGCTAGAACTCCTGAAAGGTGGAAAAAATAGTAAAGGCAAGGGGAAGTCTGGCAAGAAGCATTACGGCGGAAACCGTCCCACTTTGACCCAAAGCTCACCTACTCAGGCGTTCAAGAAGACCAAGGGAGCAGCCCCGAAGTCCGTTCCGGGGAAGCAATCCGAAAATTCGGACGACAATGGCTGGCTCCGTTCGTTCCTCTATGTACTTGGTTTTGGCAACCCAGGGCGTACAACCTCGAAAGGGGACAGCCGAAGACCGCCGAGTAGCGGAAACATTGACTGGGTTCTGGTTGAAGACTGGGATGATGACCATTCTGAACAAAAGCCCATGAAAACGAAAACAGCATCCAAGAGTAATGCTCTCAAGCCGACGTCCACTCGAGCACCTGGCGACTTCGTAATTGGAGAGCAAGACTGGCGTGACCCTGACCTTCTTCCACAGCCAACATCGACCAAGTCGCGACCAAAGGAGAGCGCTACACCAGAACTGGAGGCTGAGAGCGGGATGAAGGGTGGTAGTGTTATGCCTAGTAGTGGTGAATATAGCAAGGACAGCAGCCACAGTCCCAATGCCAAGCAAAATGACGATATGGCAGATGAGGAGCACAAGGGATGGTTTAGCAGCCTGCTGGGGGATGAAGAGGACGAAGCCTTGAAAGCTGGATCAAAGCGTGGCGATGGAAGCAGCGCTCCATCAAAGCAGAAATCACCCCCTGATCCACTTTCCAAGGAAGCGGAGGATTCGCCAGATGACCCTGAACATCACGAGGGCCTCTGGGTTACACTCACCCCTACGAGCATGTCCTCCAGTCCCTTCTTTGATACTCTGCTTGTCCTCGTAATCAGCCCTCTGGTCACCTTGACCGTCGTGTACGCCCTCCTTCTCCTCCGTTCTCGCATCCGACGTCGACGCTGGCGTGCTCCTAAGTCGGTCGTCGAACGACTCCCTGTTCGCACCTACCATACAATAAGCGACTCCAGCTCGTCTCCTTCCCCCACTCCTGTGTCATCTTCGCCTACCACACCTTTACTTCAACACTCTCATTCTCGTCCCACTTCTTCCTTATCTAGGCCACGGTCTCGGACCACATCCGAAGTTCCCGCGACGTCGTCATCATTCCAAGGCGGTCGGACACCAGAGGAAGAGAAGCGGGAAGCCGGGCTGGCGGAATGGCGACGTCGTTACGGTGGCCGGCAAAGGGAGTGTGTTGTTTGTCTAGAAGAGTATGTGGATGGGATTAGTAGGGTAATGAGCCTCCCATGTGGCCACGAATTTCACGCGGACTGCATGTAAGTTCTCTAAACATCTCTTCTTCGAATTAAGGCGCTAATTCACCTCACAGAACGCCTTGGCTTGTCACTCGTCGCCGAACTTGCCCTATCTGCAAGGGCGATGTTGTCCGCTCACTTTCCCAATCATACCGCGCCCGAGGGACCCAATCACCATCTCCACCACGATCTCCGCGGCGCTTCAGAGAGGACTCTGAATATCTTCAAGTACAAGCTGCTGAAACCAGGAATGATTCTCCGTCCGCCTCAAGGCCTGTACCTATTTCGTCTGCCGCAGCAGCCCAGGAAGACGATTTGTATGCTGATGTTGAAGCGAATTGGGCTGATGATCAATCCGAGGATGGTGAAGAGGATGGAACGGATACATCCAGAGACCGAGGCATTGATCTAGGCAGCTCAATGAGGGAACTGAGTACTACCGTGTCTACCACAATATGGCGGGGCTTCGACGCTATTCGCGGCGTTGCCGGTCTCCAACGACGGGCTAGTCGAGAGGAGGTTGACAGAGACCGGTAAGATGCCTTTAATCAGGATCATATCCACTCATACTCTTCTGCATACATAGGTCTGTTCCTTTTGTTCATTGTAATGGTACATGCCCTCGGAGGGCCACGAGCATAGCGTCCTGTCTCCACACTACCTTTTATCTTGAAGAATATCCTGTGCATTGGCGGAAGGTATTTTGGGGAAGTGAATATTCGTGTAGGGTGATGCATCAATTGAAGCCACACAATTCTTAGGTTGGGAGCACTGTTTCATCTCCTGTTCACTTTGGAGGCTCACGCACATGCCATGTGCTCACATCACACCACAATAATCTGTCAAGCACTTCTCATAAAAATAATTCACTTTTGGCCCCAAGTCTTTTCCCCCCCTCTCCCCACACTTCTCTTCATTTTAAATACACAACCCTCCACAATCCGCACCCCCATTCATCGGATCACACGTATCCCTTGGATCATCCATACATGTCTGTCCCTCGGGACAACGAAACGCTGCGAATCCCCCGCACAGTTTATCCTTGACGCAGATACCTAGACCATCGCATTCTGGTCCACACCCAGGCTTGAATGGGTCTTTAATACAAATTTCACCTTCGGGACAGGTTAAGTAGTTTGCGCGACCGCCGCCGCAGACGGCGTGCGAGGCTGTAGGTGTGGCGGGGGTCATAGTCTTGGTTTTAGTGGGCTTTGGGCGCCGGGTGATGGTCAGCATGCGCGGGGCGATGTCTTCGCAGACCTGTGGTCTGGTTAGTACTTGTCTTGTCTCGGCGAGAGAAGGGGGGCTGACTTGATATGTCGGCGCTACACCACCGCACTTATCGTAACAACGCTTTTTGTCGGCGTTCTCGCATTTGCAGGATTCAGGCCAAACCATCGGGCAGTAGACGTGCTCGCATTCGCAGCCTGGTGTGGGTGTGGGCTTGGGAGTCGGAGTCGGTTTGATGGTGGAGGGGATGGAGGTTGGTCGCATTGGGCAGGGCTGGGAGGAGTTAGTTCATCCACTCTCTCATCCATTGCAAGAGATTCTAGAGGATGGGATATGGGAGGGGAGACCTACGATGTACGTGGGAACATAGTCCGGGCAGTGGTTCTTGCAGATTGTTTCTCGCGAATTGAGACATTGGCAGAGGGCCTTTGGGAATGTTAGGAGTCGTATTTATGCAGAGCATTCGTTAGGAGAACGGATAGTGGGGTAGGATGAAGAGAAAGGCATAGGATAGAAACTTACCACGGCATCTTCACTTGGGCATTTAACCAGTGGACACTGGCATTTCTCTTCTGCGGCGAGAGCGAGACCACTCAGCAGAGGGAGGAAGTAGATGAGAAACTTCATCGTAATCGTTCAAATAATTTTGATATCGTTCCACGTTGGACGACACACAATATCTCAGAGATAACGCGGGAGAGAAATACAACTGGCGAACAGTCGTTCACACCGAAAGTGCGATCATCCCATCTTTATACACCCCCCAACGGCTTCATGTGGAGCCTCTATCCTGCCAAGCACACGAAATTGGCCTTGAAATTGAAACCCGGGGATATTGAACAGCAGCAGGAAGATCCGTGTCCTACGGTAAGCAAATCACCTGTTCTCGTACAGACCTGGTGTGCACATTTTTCATCTCCACCCTCCACTCCCGTCTCTGCACGTCAGCACAGCTGGGACCTTGAACAGAAGCCGGTGGCTGCATTCCATGCACGAACCTGGATGTGTAACCGAAATGAAGAGATGGGTGGATTCAGCTAGTTCCAACGAACGGACAGACAGGTTATGGAAAAGCTGGGTGGAATGGTAGGTTGGGCTAAGAATAGTGTAATTAAGCTTTTTTCCAAGATGCGCTAAAACTCGTATCCATTTTGCGGGGATGGAAAGCGAGTTGATCTTTCGAGCAATCAGATCGAGGGATGGATGCAGGAACCCGGGTTCCTTGACTTGTCTGCCTGGAAATTGACGGAGCTACTGTCATGTTCCTTCTAAAAGAAAGCTAATCCGTTGATCTGAACTGGACTTTAACACAGACTTACGTCATGATTTATGATATCTCATCTTCTCTGCTGCTCCCCCGGAACAATAAAGAGATGGTTCGTGAGCCAAGCCAGACGCCATCATTTATCTCCTCGTGATTGTAAGGTTAATAGGCATTCCGGACCGGGTATATTCGACCTCTTCGTTTACCTTGCATCTACGAATCCGTATTGGTCGCCTACTTTCCCCTCCAACCCAGTCCAACATATCTTTCTATACTGTACTGTAGACCTACCCGTACTACCCAGGCATGGATGTACTGCATCTCTAGGTGTATTGATCAGCTCGCGATTCTCTTTCTGGTTCCTTTTACGACGGAAACGAAAGATCATCTGATATCCAGCCACACAAGCATGCGCATCTGCCCGACTGTCAGCATGTAGCAAGCGGAGGAATTTTGATGGATGGAGGATGCAGGGACCGTCGGAACGATGCAAGGCAAGAGCGGAGCGAAACATGGGTCCGGATGGCGTCCCGGGAGGATTCCGTTGCTTACCTGCATCCCTGAGCCCTTAAGATTCTAGTGTTTGTCGGATTAAAAGTTTTGCGCGATGGAGGGTGGACATTGCTTTGTACGTCGTGATCAAAGTTTGCTATTAGCTTACGCAGATGCAGAGTTTTCTTCCCTGACATCCTTTGCGGGGTTGTTGGAAACCTTTCATTTCACCCATTTATGCAAGTGGTGTCGTGTTTCTGGGGGGGTTGGTGCATGCTCGCTTGATGGTGAGATACCGATTGGTTCGTCTCAGGATAGGCCAACTTTTGCCTTCATTCTTTCCATCGGTATCTTCTCTGAAAGAGGGAATATCTGGGAGAGGATCCGGACGAAGAGTATGTAATCTGCTGAGGAGTCCAGAAGGGAGGATGCTGTGAAATCGTGGGTAGAACAGCCAGTTCTCCGAACATTCCTGAGCTAAAACTTGAATTTCGACAAGTCTCTATCTCCACCAGCTGACGTGAGGTGAACTCTGTATTTCGAGCCCAAAAACTCCAATTGGGAATTACAAACGCCATGCAGGTCTGCTCAATTGTCTCGAGAAGCCGATCCTGATAGTCAGCCATCGTCAGAGCTCCAAACGCCCAAAATCTCGAGAAAGCAAGGAAGCAACACTATGCAATACCACATTAAGGTCGTCCAAGCAACCCCATCATCGTGATCATCCTACTCCTCCATCTTCTCGCCCCCGTTAACTACCCCCGCATTCCCGTCCCCAAGATGCTTCAATAGCCAACCCCTCTTGAAATACGTATTCGGATGCACAATTGTATCCAAATCCGTCGCACTCCACGTCCCATCATCCTTGACCTTCTTGATTTCCCTCCTATGTGCCCACTCAAACACTCTGTTACACGCAACATGATATCTCTGCTTGCTCACATCATCCTTAACTACCTTCAATAGATCTTTATCATTCACACCAGTGCGTTGAAGAAGTGCATTGAGATTATCCTGAGTGAACGTGCGGTACGGACACCCATGAGATTGTCCAGGGCCAGGGAGAGGCTCGGTCAGAATCTTTTGGCAGGAATACGGGGTGTATCCGCGTCCGCGTCGGTTTGCATCGCCGCCGACATCCCCGTATGCATGTCGGATGTTGTACTTGTATTCTTTGCTGAATTTGTCATCGGTCATGAGTTTGAAGCTGCGGCGCCAGAACATGATACATTCGTCTAAGCTTAATCCGATGCCTTTGAGGAAAAGGGTGTATTGGAGGCGGCCGTAGTGCTTGAGATGCGAGTTTGCGCGGAGCGTCATGTGCAGGTTCTGCATGCAGAGTGGGAAGTGCTGGGAGAGAGTATCGATGGCGTTTGCGGTTATGGTAGACAGGCCGTCGATGGAGGCATCGGAGGAAGAGTATGCGGCGTCGGGTGAGGTGAAGGAGTGTGAGAGGTGTGCGAGGATGGGGGCGAGGCGGTCGTCTTCGTCAAGACGGGGGAGAGCGCGGGAGGTTAACTATATTCACATCAGTAAGTCGTTCCCTGAACAACGTTTTGATCAACTCACCTCCAAGGCTTCATCTAATCGTCTAGTGAACTCGGCCACGACCAGGCTGATCTGTTCCCTCTGAGGCACGTATGCCTTACCTCTCTTCAGAAGCACTCTCCGTTGTTCCACCAGCTCCGGGACGCGTTCCCAATCAACTTTAAACCACTCCTGTTCCTCTCCCTTCACTCCTCCGGCGGCTGCCAACTCATTCCCTAGCTCCCTCTTCTCATCTGCACCGACCTCCTCCCATTCTAACTTCAAACCACTGACGAAATCCTTCCTTTCCCTTGGGTCATCGTCTTTGAACCTTAATCTGAATAACATTGTCTCCAACCTCGAAAACCGTCTCCGGAGATCCTCGGTTGCGGAAAATGCCAGTCGAAGAATGAAATGCGAATAGTGATCTTTCTTCCTCTCCTCTTGCAGATTCTGGCCTCGTGACGAGTTAGATCGGAGAGGGAGGTATTTGTTCACGATGCTCGTCATATACTCAGCGGTTTCTTCGGGGGTGCGGTTGCGGAAGGTACATGCTTCGAGTTCGGAGAGAACTGGCTTTGGAATTAGCATAGGAATACGTTGGTACCAAAGATGGTAGAAGACACACCCTTTAGTCGATTGATCGCCCATGTCTCAAACTCCTCCAAGGTGATCTCCGCCGTTGGGGGTAGGATGTAGTAGTTGAGTCTGTGTTCATACTTCTGGTGCTTGAACTCTGGTTTTGCGAATTGTCTTTTCTTGTAATCAAGATTGACACGTCGCTTGGGGTCTATTCGAGAAAAATCGTGTGGAATCATGGCTCTTGTGAGTTGCACTAGAGGAGTCGCGACGGTGATGGTGTGAAAAGTGGTTTCGCGAAAAGACGCGCTATCCAACCTTGGAAGGAACGCGCTCGCGTTCTGGGCACGGACACCACTTACCCTAAAACACACGTGACAGAGGGCGTTTCGCGCTACAGGGTGAGCGCCATAGCCTAGCATCAAGACTCCGAGTCGACTCGACTATTACCGAGGCGTTTTAGTATGCCTACACATCTATTTGTTCTATACCGCTCTATCGACCTCCACGAAGAGAATATCCAGCTATGCCAAGCATAGTAGCATAGCAAACCTAGATCGCTTTATTAACCTACCAAATCGCCCAGCGTATCCATGTACGCCATAGGCACAGTCGGCGCTCCCTCCGCAAGAAACTCCTCCTTCTTGCTGACACCAGTCAACACGGCCAGTGTGCCTCCCAGCTTGCCCTCGATGCCAAACTGGATATCCGTGTTCAACCTGTCTCCGACCATGCACGTTCTGCTCCGGTCGAAGTGGAATTTGCCCTCAATCGCATCCATCATTGCTTGACTTGGTTTACCCAGAGCCAAAGGTTCCCGGCCTATTGCCTTAACCAAACCTGCACCAGCCGACCCTGCTCCGGGGAATAGGGAATGTGCCGTTGGAAGGGTACTGTCCGTGTTCGTCGCGAGGAACACTGCCCCGCGTTGAAGGTACTGGAATGCCGTTGCCATTTTCAGGTAATTCAAGTGGAAGTCTAGTCCACTCAGCACGATACCCACCTCAGGATCTAATGCGGAACCGTTCGCAATGTTAGTGAAATCCTCGGGTTCGATATCGCGGCGGAAAGCTGGGTCTGTGCCGCAAATATAACGAACACCTTCAGCATTAAGCTCTTGTTCGATACCCGATTCGCCAAGGACGAATACTTTGTTCTTGGGAGCCGGGAGCTTGAGGATTCGGGCGATGTAAACGGCGGCGCTGTAGGACGAACCGAAGACTTCTTCCTAGTAGCCACATTAACCAGGGGGCTTCCTCACATTTTACTGGATAACATACTTCGTTGGTTTCGATGCCCATCTTATCGAACTTCTTCTTATAATCCGCCCGAGACTTTGTGCTGTTATTCGTCACAAACACAAGTTGTTTTCCTGGACCAGTCTGTGAGAGATCTAGGGGAGCAGAGCGAAAGAACAATCTTACCTTTACTCCTCAACATTCCGATTGTCTCTGCGACTTTAGGATAGAGGTGATCTCCGGACCAGAGGACGCCTATCCTTCTTTACAATTAGCGGGGAACCTTTCGATGCACATACTTCGGACCAATCGCCAGGCGAGTGTCTTTCTAATGTTCCTGCTTTGGGGACTCAAAAGAGAAGGGCTATTGCGCAACGTACCATCACAATCGAAGAGGAAGACCTGCGTCAAAGGCTGTCAGCGGCTGTGTTAAGAAGGGTCGGAGGCTGGACTCTCACATCGAATCTCGACAGGAACTCTTCGATACCGGCTTTGTCACCGGTCAAGTACTTTGGCGGCGACATGTTTGACGCCGCTGGGTTTGCAATCGAAAATGGCTGGTGGAACGAAGAAATCGCACTGTCGCAAAAGGAAGATGGACGGCTGAAGAAATGCAATTGGTGGGGTGCTTGGCATACGGAAAAGGAAGTCGCGTATCGGAACGAAGTCCGAACGCCATCCCGACCCAGGTGTGAGACCAAACCCAGGTCCAAAGCCAAGCACCGCTCACCTTTTCTGTGAGGTACTCTATTGATGGGGTGGGGGTCTATCTATGGCTAGATTCTTACAGCTTTGGTTCTTCTAGTCAGTCAACGACTATCTTCTTCTCCAGCTCCTCAAAATGTTCGAAGAAGCTCTCGAAGAGGTTGATGGCATGTTCGATATCGTGGGCACCACCAGTCTCTCTAATGCTGTGCATACTGAGCTGAGGGTTACCTAGGTCCAACGTACGAGCGCCCATTGCCGCTGAGAGCATGGGGCCGATCGTGCTGCCACATGAAGAGTCATTCCGGACAACGAACAACTGAAGTGGAACGCCTTCCTTCGAAGACGAGATGCTTGATGAGGCCTTCTTTGCGCGGCGGGCTGCCTCTTGGAGCAGCACTATTCCCGGGGAACTGGTGGCATACCGAGCGTTGGCGTTGATCTTGATGACCGTCCCCTTGTTCATCTCTGGCCGATGTTGCGATTCGTACTTGGCTGGCCAGTTGGGGTGGACACTATGAGCCATATCTGCGGAGATAAGAAATGATGTTGACAACGTTTGCTCATACGCCGTGGCTATGTCGCCCTCAAGCCTGTCGTACGACTTGTCTGAGTTGGATTCGCAAGCCGGCAATACAGAAAGACGACGAATGACGGAAGGCAGCAAATTCGAGTGCGCACCCTGAGCAGTCTGGCTGCCAATCTCTTCGTGATCAAACAGCGCAATCAATCGAATCGTTCCGTCCTTGTTCAATGAGGTTGCCGATGAAAGGGAGTTGATCAGAGCCTCAACGCTGCAGTACGACATTTCAAGGTTGTCCAACCGAGGGGAAAATATCAGCTCGTTGTTCAGGCCACCGATCACAGATTTTTGCGTGTCATAGAGCACCATTTCGAAGTCCATGATATCCGTTGCGCTCACGCCGGCTTCCTCTGCAATGATATCCACAATGAAAGGATGGTGCCGTTGCGTTGGCGTTGCAAGAGGCTCGAATGGACCATTCTTCTTCTCGTCTTCTTTCGTTTGCTCAGTCTTACCCTGCCTATTCAGCTCTGCGGCCACCAAACCTGCGATGGGGAACAGCTGGGTCTCCTTGTTGAACTGGAAGTCTTCCTGGCGCTCTAGGTGGATGGCCAATGTAGGGACCCTCAGAATTGGCCTGTCTACCTTGACCAAGCGCTGTTCGATTATCCCGTCCTTCGTCTTAACCATGACACGCCCCGCAATGCTCAAGTCACGGTCGAACCAGGTATGCCATAAGCCACCCCCATACGTCTCACAAGCCACCTGCAGAAATCCATCACTCTGCCGCTTGGAAATTGGCTTGATGCGGAGACATGGCGAATCTGTGTGTGCACCGATCATGCCGATGGGATTCCCCGCCTTCCATTTCTTACCAATGGCAAAGGCGACAATAGATGACCCATTACGTGTGAGGAAGTACTTTCCACCTGCCTGCAGAGTGGACGCCCACGAGTCACGCCCCTGGAGGATTTACTTGTCAGCACTCAGAGCATTCAGTAAATATCTCATCGTATGACAGAAGGTCAACGCCCCACAAGACGTGCTGGCAAAGGCTTGTGCTACTTCCGGAACCAGCGGGATGATTTGACCGCGGCCAAATACGGAAGCTTCCAAAGCCATGTGGAAGGTGTGGGCGTACAAAGAAACGACATAATACACACCTGAATCTGCTTGAAGCCGGCACTCTCGAGCCGCTCTCTGACTGATTTCACGGCATGAAAAGCTGTTGTCAACCGTCAAAAACGAAGTTATATATTGTCTACAGGCGACAAACATACGGGTGGGCGAGGCATTTACAAAGGATAAGAAGTCCTCAGCGGCTTCGAGTGATGGCTTGGACATGGTGCGGAGAGCACACGACAGGTTGAGCGGGGTGAGGACAAAGCAGCAGCGCGTTGTTGGCTGTAGGTGCAGGAGTGATGCTGGCTTGGAACCCGTCCTCAGCATAGGATAGGTCGCGGAGGTCTGCAAAGTGGCCGCGGCTTTAAGTGTGGGGGAGAGGAGAGGTTGGTACAGGGTTTCTGGTGAAGCGTCAAGAGCGCCCACAAGGACGACGGCAAGGGTGCTGAAACGGTCGCCTATTGGCCACCGGTCGCGGCACGCGTTGGTTGCAGACTTCAAAACAAGCGACAAGCCAAACAACCATCGACGTGACGGCAGCACATTCACCTGCTCCCCAACGCCCACATCGCTCCCCAGCGTCGTCTTGGACATTACTGTGATTTCATTCTCGCGAGCATTGTGTTTGCCTTGGAGCCTCGAGCGATTGTCCCTGCGTTGTTGTTGTACCCTCCGCCGCACCTTGCCTCTCCGGCCGCGTTGCCCTAGTGCGGCTCTTCTCGCAGCGACCCCAAGAGTCCCGAGCTCAGCAAAACAACCACCATATTCCTGTCACCACCCGCGTCCGCTCCGCCCGCCTGCACACGCCATCCGCACCAAACTCTGCCATGTGCCAAACGTTGGATTAAGCATTAATACAAACACTGTTGTCGATTGCTGCGTGGGTGTTGAAGCCCGTCGTTGTCTGGGAGTGGGCGGCCGTCCCAGGGGCACTCGGCCAATTCACTTCACTTTCACCTCCTCTCAACACCGCCAAATCGTCGCGCTCGCCGCTTCAGAGCCTCTGATTCGCTCACCACCGAACCCTCAAGATCACGCTGTCGCCGCTAGAACCCTGACCGCCAAACCACGACCGGCCCCGACCGCAGAGCTTAAAGCGCCCGCCTCGTCGCGTCCATCACCTTCATACCAACTTCACTCTTGGGGACTTGGGGACTTACAGTTGTTGCAATTGAGGGAGTCTCAGAGGCTCTAACAAGCCATGCAGGACCAAATCGAGGTGCCCGTCCCGTCGACGGAGAAGGTCACCGAAGAGATGCGCACTCCGACTCTTATCTCTCCGCCAGAGTCGAAGACGCCGCCGACAACTCATAAGCGCCACCAGGCCGAGTTTGTGCGCAATGGAAACGATCGAGGATCGGAACCGGTGGATGCGACTGCCTTGTCTCGCGCTCTCGAGCAGTTCGAGCAAGCAGGTCGAGTTCGTGAGCGCACGCCGAATGCGAGCCCGAGCAGGAAGCGGCCGCGCATCTATGGCGACAGGTATGTGGACCATGGAACGAACGTCTTGAGCAATTGGCTAATGCCGGGCACAGATTCATCCCAAACCGCTCAGGGCAAGATCTTCAGGCCAGCTTCTCCCTGCTTCACGAGGATGGCTCTCCAGCGACTCCGTCGCGATCTGCCAGGCGAACGCCGCACAATGAACTCCACTTCCAGCGAAGTAAGATGCCAGCATTGAATCCAAAGGCCACAGGAGAAGATGCTAACGATTCAGCAGCTGAGGAAGCCAACCGAACGTACTCGGCTGTGCTCCGCCAGGAGATGTTCGAGTCTACCATCCCGCAGGCGATGCCACAGAACCTTTCACCAACGGAGAGCGCTTCTTTGCGCCATTCTGGCCGATCGCACACCCCACCTGCGCGAACGACGTCTACCCTTCCAGCTCCGGCGTTGACCCCATCAACCCCGCACAAGAATCTCTTCTCGTATCAGTCTTCGCGACATAGCTACTCCGGTCAGCCAACGCCATCGCGCACACCACAGAGCCGACACGGTATCAATCTCAATGCGCGCTCCGAGATTTATAGCTTGTCTCCAGTCAAGTACAGCAGTCAGCGTATGCTACTGAGTCCCCAGAAGACGCCGAGGGCTGTGGCCAAAGTGCCATACAAGGTCTTGGATGCACCGGATCTAGCTGATGACTTCTATCTCAACCTGGTTGATTGGGGCAGCCAGAACACCCTTGGAGTGGGACTTGGATCTTGCGTGTACATGTGGAATTCGAGCACTGGACGTGTGACGAAGCTGTGCGAACTGAACGATGACACAGTCACGAGTGTCAACTGGATCCAGCGGGTAAGCTTTCCATTGTTCTCCTCCTTGGATTGGGTATGGACTAATTTATGCAGGGCTCGCACATTGCGATCGGCACTAATAGAGGCTACGTGCAGATTTGGGATGCCCACTCCCAGCGTCGTCTCCGCACCATGATGGGTCACACAGCTCGTGTCGGTGCCCTTGCATGGAATGAGCACATCCTCACTTCAGGCTCCCGAGATCGGACGATCTATCACCGTGATGTGCGATCACCTGACCAGTGGCTCCGGAAGCTCGTTGGTCATAAACAGGAAGTTTGCGGTCTCAAATGGAACACTAACGATGGCCAACTTGCTAGTGGAGGCAACGACAACAAGTTGATGGTCTGGGAGAACCTGAACGCTGAGCCCACCTTCAAGTGGAGCGAGCACCAAGCGGCCGTCAAAGCTATTGCATGGAGCCCTCACCAGCGAGGGCTTCTCGCTAGTGGCGGGGGTACTGCAGACCGAACGATCAAGTTTTGGAATACCCTAATCTCCGATAGTGGACCTTCCGCTGCTGCTTTGGCTGCTGCTGCGTCTGCGTCTGCTGCATCAGTTCCTGGATTGGGCAGTGCCCCAAGTTCTCCGACTGCCCCAGCAAACTTGCTGAACAGCTTAGACACCGGCAGTCAAGTCTGCAATCTCGCCTGGTCCCGCAACAGCAACGAAATTGTGTCCACCCACGGTTACAGCCAAAACCAAATCATCGTGTGGAAGTATCCGAGCATGCAGCAGGTAGTCTCCTTGACCGGCCACACCTACCGTGTTTTGTATCTTGCCATGAGCCCGGACGGCCAAGTCATCGTCACTGGAGCAGGTGACGAGACCCTCCGATTCTGGAACGCTTTCAAGAAGAAGGAACGAAGCGGTGGCCTCAGTAACATGGACAACTGGGGAGTGATCCGATAAATCACTTATTCTTTCGATGGATCCATCGTGCTTATCCATCGGCGTGCTGCTCTCTTGAGCTACGTAGGCTACCTCATCTTGACGGCTCAGTCCTTGATGAATCTTGACCACGCCCGCTAGGGATGCGACGAAAAATCTCCCCTTACCTTTTCGCCCAAGCCGTACTCCCCTACCCATATCCATCTAGACTGCGTCGACTTCTATCGCCGCCGGATGTACTCAACCGCTTCGCTCTTTCAATACCCTACTTTGCATGGACAATCTGAGATAGTCCGTCGAATCTTTTTCTCTCAGGACTGCATAAAATTTCTTCAATTTCTCAAGCATGAACGCATGGAACGGTGTTCGTGGCGTTCGGGTGGTGGTTAGGAACTTCGGATACCAAACTCTGCTTCTTGTCTCTGCATCTGCATGTTTCGGATCTGGGCGTTAGCTTCTTTTGCGATCTCAACCGAATGCCCATGTTCGATTTCTTTCGAGAGTGTCATAGGAACCTAGTTGGTTCTTTGATCTCATGAATATTTCGAATCTGTCATCGTGAATCAATCATGATGGGTGGCCATGCTGGCTGTTGTGCTTTGGCTACTTTTAGGCTGAGGTTGGAGTTACGGGCAGGTTGTGCCAGGTGGTGGGGTGGCTGGGTGGCTGGTTGGCCCTGGGCATTAACGACCTCCGTGTAGCATAATTCAAGATACCAACGATTTCTCGATTACTTAAATGAGCTTCTTATATGCTGATGTGATAGTGGACTTTCGACTCCTGAATCCCGTAGAACATATCATGCTAATGTGCCGGCAAGATTCAGCTCTTCAAAGCAGGCTTGCTCTGCTCATTTTAAGATTAAGTAACCTGTACATGGCATTCTAGATGGGTTATTTGCAGGACATTAGTGTCTTTGCGCTGAGGGACAAATAATTTAAAAACCAGAAGCCGTTCGCAACGGATCCTCTGACCTAGATTCCTGACGAGCTTCTTGCTAAGGTCGTTGGATTCATCAATCTTGAACCTAGGCCTTTTTAGACCTGGTATGGTTTGTGACTAGTTTCCTCTACTACTAGGAGAGCCACCAAAGTTGTTTTGTATCGTAGCTATTGATGTCGATGGGACTGGACATCTATGTCATTCATTACTATCTTAATTAAACGGTCATATCTTCCATGTCCTGTCAAAGAGATTAAAGAGATATACAAGTGGGAAGGTGAAGTTGCCAATCAATCCTTTCATCAACGCGATGTTGCCGCCACTAGAAACATTCTAACCCGTGGTAGAATGCTGTCTGCTTTCGTAAAAGTAGTTTGGCAGAGAAAGAGACCCCGAGGTTTGTTCAAGAGCATCGCAAGCACATTTCCCCACCGTCTTGTGTGGGGTTATGTGCCTGGTTACGAGTCCCACCTTGATGAAAGCCTGTTTTAGGTTTTGAGGGGACAAGATTTGGACAATATTGAAGTCGGCAATCGAATAGTATCGTCGAATGGATTAGAACGAGGCCAGGGCAGAGAAAGGGATGAATTGCACGACTTGGAAGCCAGAGTGTATTTTCGCGGAATAGACTTTCACTCACGCAAATGAGGCTCTCAAGGCAAGATTATTATGTAAGTCTTCCTCGTAGGTTCGGATCCCGATGCGTACCTTGGTTCACTGGGACCAAATCATACTTCCCGGACGGTGACCATGTACGCACAGACCCACATCTAACCTCCGATGGTTTGAGATTGCCAAATACAATTGCTGGGTGTTCGCAAAATATTTCGATATTTTACATTCCCAGGCACTATACAGCCTAAAATAAGCTCTTTCGCGACTTGTCCAAGTATTTGCAAACGAAAGAGCTTGAATAGGAAACTGTACCCCCAGTACCTCCACGACGACCACTGTCTCTTCGTCCGATTAGACTTGCTTCATGATGATTTCTCGTAGAACGATGAGAAATTGTGTGACCCCAATCCCATACATTAACCACGGGTTAGCTCGAAATGACTGTCTATCCCGTCATTCAAATCCACGCTTGGTAGCGAAGTTCGAATCCCTTAAGGACCCTCGGTATATAAACCCATGATTCATCTTCACCTCCCTGGGCGTGTCCACTGAACACCCCAAGTGGCTTCGGCTCGCTTGACTGCGAAATACCACCAAGGTGACATGACCCCTATAGTTTCCTGTACCCCTGCCACGATGACGACCTCCTCCAAGCAACGGTTTGAGGAAGACGCAGACGACCCGGAAGCTCCACACTGCAGACACCATCCCGTTTCAATAAAGCCTCGAGCTTCCGAAAAATGGCCTGTAAAGATAATACATAATCTCGCAAACGTAGCTGCCGAAGACGCTAGCTACCCGGAAGTCCCATACCTCAAACACCGTCAGGACTCCATGCCTCCTCAACCCTCCAAAAATCAAGCTGCGAGGTCAATACAGAATCTCCCGGACGAATTACTCTTGAAGATAATTTCCTCAATACCTGATGGTGGACAACCTCTGGCGCTCTACCGCCAGCTGTCTCTTGTATCCCGTTCCTTCTATCGAGTCACGGCGACCCCGTTGTGGCGTAAGTATGAACATCGATGGGGAAAATACTTGACTCCATACATATGCACCCTTATGGAACGTCCGGATCTCGCGGACCTAGTCAAAGAGGTGAAAAGCGAGAACGATTGGGGGATATTGGAACGAAGTCCACAAGGTCGCAACCAACAAGAGCGGGAAGCTATCTTTCAGAACCTCAAGGAGCTCGGCATCCCAAAAGCATCCATGTGGGCTAAGCAGTTTGAAAATGGTGAAGACGTATTGGATGACTTAGAGCTAGCATTACTCCTCTGTCAAACCCGGAATTTAGAAACACTTAGAGTTACCATTGGCAGTCGTATTCCAAGCAATCAAGGACGTGGAACCCTTAGTTTCAAATCATACCCCTCATACCTGGAGCCTTTGATGTATGCCGCTTGTGGAATCCCTTATGGTCGAGTCCACCAATTCAATTCCCTGCAACGGCTCAGACTAAACATGAAAACCACGGTTATGGGACGCGTATCCTGCCTGTTCAGACTTCCCTCTCTCTTGGAGCTTGATATTGAGGATTTACACATATGGAACCTAGCTTTTATCCACCAACCCGACTGCAACGTCATATTGGAGAAATGGAATTGCCCTCCATCGTTCTCATCTATTGTCAGTCTCAGATTCTGGAATTGCACAATCCCCAAGGAAACGGTGGACCGGGCCATACGCTCTTGCAAGGCATTAAAGATATTTTCGTTCTACGGATCTGCTGGCAACGGGTGGTACGCGTCCCTTACCAACTCTCTCGGCGCTCATATCACATCGCTACAATTCGTTCGAATCCAGCCCGATATAATGGGATCTCATGCAGACCAATTCGGTCCTTTCAAGGATTTCAAACAACTGAGGTATTTATCTGCTTCCATGTATCTCCTACTTGGCCTGCCTGCATTTGAGAAACGAAATGACGACACCAAGCTCCCCGACTTCAATGACCTCCTCCCTACGAGCCTCGAAACTCTAGCCTTGGATATGCCCTTGAGACTTGAAAGGAAAATCGCAAAGTGGACCGTATTGTATAAAGCGCTGCTCCCCATTGGTACAAGCAAACCTGAACCTCTCCACATCAAACATATCTTCGTGCGTTCGAGAGGAGTGAAGCTTTCCGCTTTTGCGAAATTCAAACAGGCGTTTGCGGAGCGGGGTGTCAATTTTGATCACAAGGTTGTAGGTGGGTTGATTAATATTCTTCTAAGGTGAGTGTGGTGTCTAATGAATGGGTCAGAATGTCGGGACGATGATCTTTATACGTTAGTCGATGGGATGGATAGTGACGATGACGATGACGATGATGATGACGATAGCGACGACGATGGCGATGGCGATGACGGTGACGATGAATCTGAGCCTGACCATGACTATCAACCTGATTTCGACGAGTCGAATAGCACCAAAGAGTCGGACATAGAAGAGCCGGCTAACGAAGAGTTGGACAACGAAGAGTCGAACAACGATGAACATCACGAAGACGGACACCAAGATGACGAGCCGCACTATAGTCGGCAATATTCATATCGTCAGGTTTCCAGTGCATACGAACTCGACCATGTTCCTGGGCCTCTCAGATACTGGTCCGACGGTGGTGAGTGAAGCATTCCAGAAAATATTAGTTATGTAGCATCTGGTTTGATATTAAATGAAGTTCCGCTCATGTTAAGTTCGATTTGAGGTTCGGCTTGCGTCATGTGGCGGTCTAGGGACAGTCTCGATTGATGCCCAAATTCTTGGGGCATTTTTCATGCCCTCTCTTGAGTGCTGTATCCACTGGCCTTCATCGGGTCGCTCTCCTAGTCAAACAAACTCAACTATTTCATGAAATTTCCACAGCTATATAACGCTCTGTAAGAATTTCTCCAAATGTGCATGCGCACGCGCCGCGGAATACTCATGTTCCCGTGTGACCTGCCTAGTCTGAAAATACATTCAGATTGAACCACCTATATGTACATTATCATTACCTCACTTCGACACACCAACAATAGACATGGCTACGAATCGCCCTCCATGGAACTACACTCTAAGGACATTACCACAGACTATGTCTCCAGTCGAACCCCCTTCCCAGATTTACCAAAGAATCAGTGTTCGATATGGGTGGGTTATTTTTGGAGGCCATCTACGCACCCAGGGGTAAATGGGAGGAGAAGGCAAGAAATGCTCGTAGTGGCGGAGGAAATTTATTAGCCTTTCGCATTTGTGGACCATATTGTGAAATGCGATTGTTTATAATCACGCCAGGACCGAGCGTTCTTAGCACAATAGTCTCGCTGTTGACATAAGAAGCCATACACAGGCACAACCTGTAGTCGTAGAATGAAACTTACAACGGAATATGACAAGAATCAGATCAAAATATGCGACGAACGTCGGCACTATCTAAACTTTCTTTGTAACTCCAGTAAAGAAGTTAATTAGGTTAAGCTCATTCTAGCCATGTTCTGTGATATAGGTCACTATGCTGCACCGTCTAACAACATGTGGTAATGCGCTGAACAAATCCACACTAAATTTAAGACAAATCTTGGCATGGCTTAAGCCTTCGGTATAATGTCAGCAAGAGATTTCTTAGATCAAATCTATTCCTGTCATTACGTGATACATGATGACATGCCGTAATGCCTTATATCATCTGTCAACGTATAGAACAAGACTGGAGGCGTAGGGACCACTTGCTCTGAAATACTATCGAGGACGAAATAATCTCACTATATGTGCCACGCCGCTTGTACCTCTATTATTCTCTGTTCCATTACTCCCCCAAGATACACACTGACACACTATTCTCTCTCCCCCTCTTACCCCAATTCCTTTTCTTCGCCTTCATCCAAAATCCCATCTTCTCCTCTATCGGCTCCGTTCAAGGGCCACAGGAGCGTCTATCAGAAGTGGGCCAGGTATCCTCGTAATCTTGGAAGGATTGTATCCATATATTTCTGCTATGGCTGTGATGACGGGATCTGGGGCGGTAGCGGCGGTGTTATTTTTGCTTGAGGATGTGGACGGAAGGATGGGGGACGAGGAAGGAGGAATCCTCACCTTCAGAAATAAGTCACTAGCAACATGGTCTGGTAGAAATTGATCCGCGCCCTCTACCTCGTAGTTAGGTCCAGCGACTCCTTCTCTCGGATTAACTAGCGAGCTTGCCTTTGAGCTCAAATTCGCTCCTAGAACCAGGTCGTCTATATCCTCGTCTGCTAAACAATCGGATTGTTCCTAAGCTGGACCCTCAAGCCCTGAATTCCGGTGCGAGGTCCGGTGACTGGAGTTTTCTCTCCATCTATGAATTCAAATCCCTAACTGCGCCTTGTCAGAGAACCCATATCCTGCATTTCAGCATCAGGCCCGCCAAATTTCTCACTATATAGGGAGGCCCCCGGCCTTGCGAAAACGACGGAAGATGAAACTGAGGTTGCGCGTGGCATAGAGGATACTGATTTCGCGTCCAAATTGGAGTGAGAGTCTGATGGCGCGGCCAAATGGGAAGTCTAAGCACCGATACCGTATACACAAAGGAGCCAGACTTTCTGGAGACAGAAACGCGATCTAGCAATTCGTCGCTGGTGTTGAATTCACCAGCAAAGCCGTGGATTTCAGTAATAGCCTGTCCTCCAGTTTCTGTATCCAAGCGAGAGTCAGATTTCCCCGGAACAGAAACACGATCCATCAATTTGTTACTGATACCGGGCCCCGTGCCTAAACCCTGGATTCCGGCAACCGCCTCGCCTTTATCCTCCTCTTTATTTTCCTCCACGACGTAATTCTGTGGTGTGGTTTGGTAAATGGAACCGACTGGTAGCAGTGATACCGAGTGCGCCGTAGCTGGAACAGTCTTGGATGAGGATAGAGTCTCCATGGCGGTCTAAGACATTATTGAGTAAAAGGACTTTATATCCTCATATTTACCCTCACCTTCATCCTTAACACCCGACTCCGGCTCGTCGGGGATATAACTCTCTTTTTTCCCCCTCTTTTCTCGATCGAATCCCCCTCACTCGACATACCAGCAACGGAATCGGCCCTCTTCATCACCCCACCATTGTGGACCAAATAATCCACTGTATCAGTATTCCCCTGATATGTCAACAGCATACCATAAGCCGGAGCTGCTTGTCTAGCCTCAACCAAAGCCATGTTCCCACCAACGAACTCCTTCTCCCCCCTCACACCCCTCCCTTATCACGACCCCATCCAATCTACAGGTTCCAACTACCCGTCGACGCATATTAACTGGACCAGGGAACTTCCCAGATCCCATACGCTCCCTGTCTACACTTAAGGTGATGCTTCGAGCTGGGCTCTATGAATGGTGATGGTGGAGGGTTAGAAATAGCAAAGAGAAATTTGGCGAAATATGTGTGATGAAATATGAAGTGTGCGCTGAAATAGAGCCTTCGAGAAGGCACTCTATACTAGACTTAATGTTAGTCAAGCTACGATACAACTTGTCCATATAGATGTATGGTATAAATTATTGAAGAATCTTAGCCTGTAGCTTGGGCTTACGCAACTAGCTACCGATTTCTTGCTTGTGCCAAGTACTTTAGAGGAGTATGGAGAGCAGTGGAAAATCGGGGAGGGATATGAGAAGTAGAGGAGAGAATTTTTGGGCAAGATTAGGTTTTAATAGTTGAATGCGAAATGTTCCATTGAAACGGTGGCCTCTAAAATAGTATCGTGTGACGAAACTACGAGAGAATTTGAGCTTCAAATAAACCGTGGTTCGAAAGACACCAAAACATTTCAGCACGGCACGTATTACTGAAAGAAGGGGCGATAGATGGCAGCGAAACCGGAGCGATGATGTTGTAGGTCACCAAAGACAGGAAGTCATATTGTGGACACGATGGGCAGTAAATTTAACCATGGTTGACGGTTTTGAGGAGCGAAATCACCTTTTGCATGGAATCGATTCGATGCGGAATAATATTCAAGTTCTGTTGGAATCGGGAGTAGATGATCCACTACCACCAGTAAATTTGTTAGATGGAAAGGAGTACGTATCACCTTCACTGGAAGCGTATACAAGCTCCGCGTGCGTAGTCGGAAAAGTATCAATGAGTATTAATTTTGTAACGAAAGCTACTCATACGTGGTTAGAACGTATGACAAAGCAAGGTGCTCATGTTCGAGTTGAGTCGTCCTCATTTGGCTCGAAGTTTAGCTATTTCTTGTTAGGCCGTATTTCAACTTTTGTGTGTTCACTTACCTGATTGCCATTGTAGAACTCCTGACTTCTTGGCTCTCTAGCCCTCTGGTCTGCCAGTGTTCGTACCCGAACGGTAGAAGGATCTGCGGTCTCTGGTTGTGATTCACCTAGCGTTCTTCCGGGTAGGGGGCGTTCCTCTTCCATCGAGCCTCTTCCATAGCCCACTATTGCGCCTAGCGTGCTTCCAATATATCCAACAGTGGAGGACGCCAGACCAAATGCACTCCCGACAAGCCCCGTAACCCCGCCAACTACTCCACCTACAATGCCGCCGCCAGGAATACTCGAGTAAGCTTCTGTGTAGCCTTGGACGGGAATGAGAACAAGGGTAGCGCTCGGTGCTAGGTCGATATCACCTAGAGTCTCGCTCTCGTCGCTAGCGGACAATTCTCGACTCGGCAGCGGGGCGAGGATTTGCTTGAAGATGTACGGGGGGTGAGACTGTCTCGGGTTCTCTGCTCTAGTCGTAAACTCTTGATCTACCCATAGTCTCACATCGTCTTGGAGCTTGGCGGTTCGGGGAAATGTGGAGCGGACGGTATGGCCATCGAATAACCTGACATTCAAATGCACGTCCCTAGCCTGGGAGCCCTTCTTGCTTGTCGAGGTGGGGAATTGTGCCGATGTAGGGGATGAGGAGTGTGTTAGCCGTTCACGGTCGGCTTTTCGCGCCGCATCTTGAGCCTTACGCTCTGCCCTGTCTGCCTCGATGCGCGACTGTATTCGGGCTAGCTCGTCCTTCTCGTCCTGCTTCTTCTTTCGGAGAGCGTCGCGTGCAGCTTGCTTTGCGGCATTTGAGGAGGCTGGGTCGGACTCGGGGTCGGGTGGTATGGCCTTCCGTTTGCCTTTGGCTTTCGAAGAGGGTGGCAGAATAGTGGAGACAGGGTGGTATTCAGTTGGAGCTGGAGCTGGAACTGGAACTGAAGCTGGGACCGGAACTGGAGCTCGAACCGAAGTGCCATCTGCAGCTTGGTTCTCTGTAGTATCTGATGTTGTTATTTCTGCTGATGTAGAGGTAGATGTGGGTGCGGTTCCTGGGATGGCGTCTGCTCCTAATACTGTGCGTATCCTGTTGATGAACTCATCTTTGCTCACCCCACTCGTGATCTGATCGCACAGCTGCCCATTCCTACTCACATGTATTAATGAAGATAGTCCCTGATATGGCATGCAAGCACATACTGTATGACCACGAACGTAGGGATGTTCGATATCGGACAGAATGCGGAGAGGAAGCCAGCCTCAGTGGAGCCAGCCTCGAGTCGAAGCATGACTGCCTTTTGGACAAGGAGATTGGATATCTGACATCCGTAAGCATTGCTAGTAATAAAGCTATTGCGTGTGATGCGCCATACCCAACCACTCTGCAGCCATTCGTTCTCCCATGTTGCGCTCTCGGAATTGTCGTCTGGGTACAGTTAGCCCTGACATATTGTCGTGCACTGCCGCGCCATCACCTCGCACAAAACACGCAACAAGCTTCTGCTCTGATATGGCAAGGCTAATACCGCTCTGTAGAGTTCCTTGGTGGAACATGGTTGCTGTTGCTGTTGCTGTTGTTGCTGTTGTTATTATTGTTGTTGCTGTTGAGGTGTGGACACGTTCGTGGGGTAGCTGTTGAAGCTCTGGAGAAGAACCCCCCCCCCCCTGCATGGTGGGGACTCGGCGCCGAAACCGAGCATTCACCCCGAGGCAGGTACGTTTTTTACCATACTCATGGGAATTCATGCACGACGGGAGCTCTATTGTGAAGGGGAGTGCCATCGTGACTTGTATGTGAAATGCAACATCATAATTCAGGAACGGAATACACCACAAACAACTGAGCGAATCTTTGCCCAAGGAGAATTGCTTCACTTATCTACACTTAATTGAACAAAAATGCTGTTGTTCCCATGCTAAGTCCTACCATAAGCGGCCAAGTAATCGCACTGTAAAACCGACTCCTTCGCCTTCCTAAGCCGGAGGTTGATAGATGCGTAATTACGCCCAGTCCTGAATGCGCAGTCTCATCTAGCCCTCCCGACACGAATTGGAACCGAGTTAAGCCTTGTGACCCCATGGCTTGCTTGTCCAATTTCATATGGAGCCCTCGTTAAATGTCGCTGAATGGTATTCAAGCCTCCCGCGTCATCTTGCTACACCAAACAGCCACCTCACCTCACCCCTCCCACCCCACCCCTATCCCCTCCCATCCCATCCCATCCCCTCCCCTCACCTCCCCTCTCCACCCCTCCCCAGCGTACCGTGCCCCAAACCCACCCCAAATCTTGGGTCTCCACTTCATAGAATAACACAGCCCCTCCTCTTCTTAGTCTGTTGTATGGGGCGCGGACTGAGAACGGCTCTGCGGTGGTGTCAGTAAGAATTGAGTATGTCTGTGTCAACATGTGCCTACCGAATGGCCTCGTCAAAAACGCTCTTCAAATTTCGCTGCGTCAAGGCTGAACACTCCAAATATTTTTGTGCCTTAATTTCCTTGGCTACCATGACAGCCTGCTCGTATTGGATGGGCGTCATTTTCTTCTGGCGCAAACTCTCCTTGGTATTTTCATCGTCCCGCAAGTCCAGCTTGGTGCCAACAAGAATAATCGGGACACCAGGCGCATGGTGGTCGATCTCGGGGTACCACTAGGACTGACTCAGTATTTATGCCTAAAGGGGAGACTGTGGTGTGGCTGTACCTTGGCCTTGACGTTGTCGAATGACGGGGGGCTGACGATGGAGAAGCAAATCAGAAACACGTCGGTCTGGGGATATGAAAGCGGCCGCAGGCGGTCGTAATCCTCCTGGCCGGCGGTATCCCACAGTCCGAGGCTTATGGGCTTTCCGTCAACCATAACATTTGCGGAGTAGTTGTCGAAGCTTTGGCGTGTTAGCTCGTGTTTCAGAAATCATTGGTCGGACTCACACTGTGGGAATGTACTCTCCCGGGAAAGCATTTGTGGTGTACGAAATGAGAAGGCATGTCTGGGAGCTGTAGTCAGCGGGTGAGTTCCCAGAGGGGAGCAAAGGGGGAAGGGGCGTCTCACTTTGCCTACAGCACCGTCGCCTGTCACTACGCACTACAGGGCAGTCAGTCACTTTGTATTACCGACGGCTTCAGCGACAGCGGGATCGCACCTTCAAAGACTGGGTTGTGGGCGCAGCCATGGCGAACGTGCTTGTTCTCGAAGCTCCTGAGCAAGCGGCCGGCGGGTACTCTGGGGGGTACTTTGGGGGGAGGTGGGTTGGCAGTGGCGGGCGTGGGCGGCGTCTGCACGGGGGGCGGAAGGTTAGAGGCGGCGAGTTGTCGTGGTGAAGTCGCGAGGTGGACGGTCTACGGATATAATTTTGGTTGCTATGGACGGCGGTGGGAGCTAGCTGCAGCGCAGAAGGGGTGTTTTATCGCGCTTGGCTGCGAGGTGAGGCGGGTGTACCGAAGCTTAGAAGCGATCCCCAGCAACGGCCGGCGGCGACAGCGGTGATCTCGGCGGGTTCCAAGGTTCGCGCGGGCAATTGTGACGGTCAGCGAGTTCCTCTGTTCACGATGGCGCCCAGCGCAGCGTCAGATACGATAACGATTCTGGAGTGCAGCGCAGAGGAGCAGATGGAGCTGGCTTTCTGGCAAAAGGCAGGCGCGTATGGGATGGCTCCGTTGAAACCATCTTGAGACACCCTCCCGGCCAAGACGCACCATCGGCCACTCATCGCCTGCATCACACTGACCTGCACCACGCCCACGACTCCTCCTCCGCCCTCTGTGGCCTGAGATAGCTGATAGGTAGGGCTGGCAGCCTCTTCCCACCCACTCTGCGCCCACGTTGAGCAGCATTTTAAAATAGCAAGCCGCGCTGCCCGGCTGCCTTGCGCGAAGTCCGACACGACCTCTTTCACGAGCCAGTGCTCTCCCCCCCCCCGAATGGCCTCTCTTCTTCGCCTACGGGCGACCGCGCTGTGATGGCTCTGCATCTGCTGCATGACACGCAGAGGGCACGGAGACTGGCTCCAGACGGGATTTGTATATATTTGCAAAGGTAAAAGCAAGCCATGAGTCAAGCATGAAGTCTATCGATTAGACCCGTGCGTATCCATATCGCTTCTCACCCCACCGTCCGTGGTGCTGGAGCTGCCAATACGACTTTCAATTAATATTTTACACACCATGCATCCGTGATTCGCCAACGAGCCTGTCATTTTTGCTCCTCGGGACCCTCCTTTGCTCTTGGCAACAACCTCACATCGCATTCTGCCAGCATCAATTTCTCCCTTGATCATAGCCTGCAGAGAACGGAATCAACTCTGTCGGCCTTAGCGATCCCGGCCATGTTCCTCCGTGCCTGTCCGTTCATTTTCTATCTGTGTGTCTTGACACCGATACCTTCAGGAGGCTGGGACTGATGCCTTGGATGTGTGACCGATGGAGAGGCAGAGGCTGGGGGATTGTGTTCGGTCGGCTTGCCTCTCTGGATGTCGCTAGACTAGGTACATTTTCCACGGAGCGATTAGGAGAAAAACGTGTATGAAAAGTAGGGCATGTTGAGAATTGCTTTGGTCCTGCCAAATCTGAGAATTTCGCGTATGTCTATTGGTTGCTTGAAGTTGCTAATATTTAGCTGCAGATTGAGTTCAGAGTTCTTCTTTCTCGGCGGTTGAGTGTCGTAGGTACGCCGGACATTATAGGCAAAGCCTTGCACGAAGTCAGTCAAGTTGTTAATGGCTGTGAGCATTCACTCCACAAGTGAGTAGGAGTCAAGCGGGAATCTGGGGAGCATTGAAGGGACATGGGCTACCTCAGCACTGAACATGTCACTACTACCTGAATACATCGATGCCACATGACCTACAGACTTGGAGATATCTCTTGTGGATTTCACTACGACCTGGCCATTATAGTGTTGGTTACTTCATCCTATGCGCCTGTCAGCGAAGGCCTCGGTGGAGCGGGCACTCAGACAGCACCCACCAGACTAAATGAACCCCGCTACGCATAAAGCAGGCAATAGCTCCACCACTTTACCATTTACTAAATAGCCGAAGAAAGCAGTTACAAGATATAATTCGCTCAGTAGAAGAGCAGCAGATCATTCCCACCATACTTATCTTCGCCCATGAACTCCTTTCGAAGAAGCAGTTTGATCAAGGGTTCATGGAGCTCTCTCATATCGAGGATACCGCGTTTCTTTTGGTCGATATAGGAGACATCTATGACAATTTGCTTGAGATTCGCAGTAGATAATGCCTTCTGGTCTAGCAGAAGGGAAAGTCGGTCCGGAGTGCCAACACCAAAATCGGTTCTATAGATCTATCAGCAAGATTAGGATTTGAGTGTAAGAAACTCACGCACTTGAACCTGGTTAGTTGGGCAACCTGCTCGTCCACCTTGAGATGCTTCGCAAAAAGCTTGGCAACGCTTGGATTCTTCATGCCCTGTTCTGGGAGGCCAGATCTAAGAGCTCTGAAGGCGTCTGCGGCTCTAATGCCAGAGGAAGTCACGATAATCGTATGTGGTGCTCCGGTTGGTGTGGCTGGGGTTGGCTTTAACTTCTTGGTCTGCTTGTGGAGAAAAGCTGCAAGGTTCTCCAGAGTTCGTGGTTTGGTCCAGCTGCTAGTGTTGCGAATAGCCCGACCTAAATTATATTAGAGAATGGGGTCCTTGCAGATACACAAATAATACCTGGGATAAATCTGTCCTCAAGTTCAACACTGCTTAGCTCTTTCCCATAGTGCCTTGTTCGCGAATTGATGTAGTCAGCGAGTAGTTGGTTGTCCATTCGCTCAAATGCATGGTTAACTCGTAGCTCTTGATCCAGGTCATCTTCATCGATAGCTGTCCCTTTTACTTTCAGCCTTTTCTTTTCCTTTCTCTTTGCCTTCCTGAGTGCCTTTTTGGTCTCGGCATCCACCTCTGTTTCATCACCTCTCTTCCGTTTCTTTGATGTTAAAGTGGAGTCAAATGCAGGCTCTATTAGAGGGACACCACCCCCAGCTTCCGAGTCAGACATTTCGGTGGTTGTGTTCTATGAGAGAACTGTGAAACTGTACATGAAATTTCGTCATGGAGATAATTTCGACTTTATCGATAATGGTTCGCGCTAGCCATGCTTACATAAGGGCTGTGACGACGCGTCGAGCTCCACTGGATCAACAACTGCTTATGAGGGTATGTTCAATCGGAATACCAACCACCAGAAACGTTCGTCTTCGCCGTCTTCGCCGTCATTGACACGTAGCAATGTCTGAATCGGCTCGCAAAAAGCAGCGCACCACCTCACATAACTCGGAAGCGCCTGGCGATGCAGAGGAAGGGACCCCAAATTCAAATGTGGGTATTCGAATGGTGCTTGAACTAAACTTGCACTGAATCTATTCCAGCTACGCCAGTTAGCAGGTGTAATCCCGAAACCAATAACTCCTTTCCGCAGAGCATCCAGTGCAGGTCCAACGTCAGGAAGTCGGCGAACCCCAAACATTGCAATTCGAACCCCAGGGACTGCTGCACGAACACCACGAGGAGGGCCGACAACGCGCCCGATTACCGCCCGACGAGCTGCACCCACTACGCCTCATGCTATTCTAGCTCTTAGAGAACGCGCTGCTAGGACGCCGGGTCACAATCGAAGAAGGAGCGGAAGAATACAAAGAGAGACTCCGAGAGATACACTGCGCAATCTGAGTAGAGGTAAGTCCAGACTCTCTATTGGCTTTAAGACTGAGCTAATTGGGCTATCGCAAAGTCCTTGCCCGCACCACCCAGGCAGTCCAGCCGTCTGAGATCCCAGAACCCCCACCACGGAACCCCGCTCTTGACCTCCCAGACATCGAAGATGGCCCTGACCTCATTGCCCCTCGTCTTTCAATGCCTCTTGGAGATATGTACGATGATGACAGCTTCCACGAAGCTCCACCAAGACAATCGCTCCTTCCTGAACTTCCAGACGACGTGGACACGGGAACGATGCATTCCCTCGAGTTCGGAAGGCGGGCTCTTAGTGAGGACCCCCGGATAATGTTTACAACGAGAGTCAGTGAGCGCTTTGCCGACTTGAACGAGCTGGGTGTTGATGGCGATGAGTTTGAAGTTGACGGAACATTCATCAATAGGAGACCTACTGCAGACCAGGATCAACTCCTTGATGAAGCTATTGACGAAGTCTTGGACGATACCACTACGGAGATACGGGCACTGACAGGCCGACGAGATGGACGGCCTAGTGATATTAACCTTGGTGTATTCGGTGATATGGATGAGCCAGACGAGCCAACGTTTCGATTCACCATACCCCCGCGCATCCAAGTTCCACTACAAGAAGAAGCACCACAAGACCTCGATGGCTATGAAGATGCTGGCATGTACGCGGGTTTGGGGGTGCAACCTGATATCATAGCATCTGACGACGAAGACGATGCCGTTGGGGGCGGAGAAATGCTAGGCTGGGAATCAGACGATAACGAAGGCGAGGACCAAGATCTCCAAGCTTATCGCGGGGAAGCTTCAGCAGTGGACCGTAGCTTGCTCCCACAATCACCCGAGCCGCGTACTGGAAATAAAGGCGGAGCTCGCACGCAACGAAAGGAAACGAAAATCTCTCCACTTGGCAACGAATACCGTTCACTTCCTGCATCCATAGTTAAGCGCCTTGCAACCAGCTTCGCGAAAGCTCAGGGCAGTAAGGCAAAGATTGACCAAGACACCCTTGCCGTCATTATGTCGACAACAGATTGGTTCTTTGAGAAGCTGGGAGAGGATCTGGTAGCATATTCGCAGCATGCGAAACGGAAGGTGATTGAGCAGAGGGACGTGATTGCGCTGATGAAGAGGTATGGTACATTTAATGACAGTACAGACATGTACAAGCTACGCTAAAGGTCGCCTAATGCTGACTATTTTTGCTAGGCAACGTCAAATCACGGCCACTAACACGTGCTTTTCTCTCGCGCAGAAGATGCTTCCAAGGGAGCTATTGCAAGAACTTCGAATGGAGCCTCTGCCGAAGCTGAAGGGGGGAAGACAGAAGAGGAAGCGCATGGAGACAATCGAGGAAGAAGATAGGGAGTGAAGGTGGAGCTAATGCGTCTAATTGAGTTGGTCACTCAAGACCAGTCTAGACTGTGTTTGACCCGCCGCTGAGTGCCGGACAGTGGCTTCTTCACGACCATCCAGAACATGATCGAGGTTGCTAGGCTTAGCGCATACCTATGGAGTCTCATTAGAAACTCGGGGTTTGGGCAATGGGGGCTATGAACGTACCATGTGAAAATGTACTGTGTATGATTATTTCTGAGATTTACGGTTGCAGGTCTCCCGATCGGAATTCCCTTAGGCTCTCTCTCGTATGAAACGAGTAAGTCTGGAGCTGTCATTCTATTAGATACCCCGTTACCTATTTCAAAGCATAGCCACTCACTCATTGTCTCCTCTACCCAAACCGCCTGGCTCCCAGTGTACTCAGCCATCTGCTGTACATCCGGGAAGAACCATTTCCCCTCTTCCGGGAAATTCTGGGGCGTGAACATATTCCCCTTCGGCGGTTGCCTCAATAACCCTTCAATCACGACCTCCCCCTCAGGCAATGCTCCGTTTTGTTTCCTATACCATTGCTTGGCAACATTTTTATTAATCCACCCCCTACAACACAAGATCTTAGACTTGCGGCCTCTAGAGTCCTCCCGCTCAAGAGGCGTAACGACGATATACCCATCCTCTCCCTCATGCAACCGCGGCCCGATTAAGATCTCCTGATCATGCCTTAGCACACCTTTCGCCCAAACCTTCCTATAATCAAAGTCCTTTATCGCATCCGGATCTACTCGCAGCGGCAGCTCGAGAGGCGGAAAGGTCAGTCGATCCTCAAATCGCGCGACCAGTTCTGTTTTCCAGCCCAGACGTTGGACCTGCCAGCACCCCAAGCAGAACGCTGCAATTGGTATTATAGCGAGAATGATGAGACCAGGACCGTGTTGCTTCCCTACTCTGGCCATCCTCGTCGGCCGGTCGAGGATGGAGATAAAATTAGGGTCGAGCGGCGTCGGTCCATCGTCCGGTTTGCTGCTCATCCGACGGCGGAACTGCATCTGATGGAGCCGGAACTGGTCGTGGAAACGTTGACGAGGGCATTGAGCTCGTGTTGAGGGCCTGAGTGACATCTTTGGGTTTGCATTGAATCCATGATGTGAATAATACCGCCTGAATAAATTCAGGAAAGGATTTGGCCGCGACATTGTTGTTTTGCGGCTGTACTGGGAGCTTGGGAAATTGATGATGTCGGTCGGCTGATCTTCGGACCGGCCTTTCCTGAAAAGGACTGGTGGCCGAGGCACACCCCCATTGCTAGCTCTGGCTTCAACACCATCCTTGATCCTACAAAAATCCACAATGGCGGAAGTGCAAGCTCAACCAACCCCCAACCTTAGCGTTGGTACGACCGAGAAGGAGGTCTTCATTACGAAGCTTGATGGATTATTAGAGCAATATCTAAATACTCTAGATCAGTACCAGAGGGCGCAGCAAAAGCTGACATCCTCTCTCTCTTCGGTATGAGGTTGACCACCTTCGTTCATCGGGATTCGCTAATTCCCGTAATTGGTAGGGCTTTTTCTCTCTCGCCCAGGCCAATTTCAATAACCGCTCCCACTCTCGCTATGGCCAAGACTACTACGATGAACGAATGCAAGCAACTAGGAGAATGTATGTCGAAGCCCATCTTGATTCTCCTCTCCACTCTTGGATCCTTCATTCCCTTTTGCTTAACGACAAATATAGCACCGTGACCGCTGAAGGGACCCATGTTGCATTCGCGTGTTCCGCCCCCAATTCCTCCCCCAGTCCGGCAGAATCAGTTACTGATGCTTCGGCTGACGGTGAGGCTCCGTTGGAGAAGACATCAGAAAGTCCTTTGGCTGCATCAGCCACTGCATCTACACTGCCACCGGGCGTAAACAAAGCGTCTTATGGCGACACCGATACGCGTACAGATCCCCTTCACTGGTTTGGAATTCTCGTGCCCCCTGCATTACGCTCCACACAGTCATCATTCATCTCTGCAGTTGAGGGGCCTATTCCCCAAGTAGTTACTTTGATGAAAGAGCTGAGGAAACAAGAAGTTGAGATCGCTCGGCTTCGGAAGCAGATCAAGAAGCTGTAGCAGCACTCGTTCGAAGCCCTGAGGTTGATTAACTTCCTGATCACTCTAGTCCTAGAGCAACTGAGCCTAATGGCCACGGCGCGCCTTTTTTAATTATGCACGAATGTGGCCTTGTATGAGGATTGAAGCATTGGGCCAGACATACATGCACCGCCACGAAGGATTTTGTGAGGCTGCACAAGAAATTCCCCGGCTTTTCGTTTAGTGGGATCCTCTGATTATATCTCAACCAGCACTGAGTTGTACCTGCAGCATTTCCGCCCCTCAGCCTCCACAATTACAGGCTCAACTGTTTCAGGTCCTCAGTTAATTAAACCTATTCAATCGGAGAATTCGCAATTCTTCTAAACGTAGAGATATTTGAGAATAGTTCGCTGACAAGTACTGATTCTTCCATTTCCCGAATCTTGTCGCCGCAGTGTATGAGTGGTACGGGGTTTGTCGTGCAACAGTCTGCAAAGATGTCAGTGGAAGTCAATATTCTCTGTCTTGTCCTGCGTCCATTACCATGTGTATATGATTTGCCTGGACCAAAGTTGCCTACGTCCGGAAGAGTGGATTGGTTATCGACCTCAATTACCGCGTCTCACGTCAAACGTTTGAAGATTTCAACCTTGCAGCTCTGCGCAAAACCGGGCGTTTTGCTCATCAAAGAGAACGAATTTTAATTCAGCTCTCCCAATTTTCTAACATGTGGGGCAAATTTCACCCTCGTGCACTGACTAATAGAAGTCCGTTGGAAGAGACCATTTCCTAAATAAGTCTTGATCCGTGAAAGGGACCACGGGATATAAATGGACGGTCGTGGACGCACATTCAGTCCTCATCACAACACTTTCTTTCCAAATTCTCTCTCGAATTCGCTTCTTTGGCGGCGCCACTCTTTTAAAGTCAGCAATTAACTTTCTACAGTCTTTACCCTCAAGTTCATCCCTTTCACTTGACACCATGCCCGGCAAAAAAATTCTTGTTCTCTCCGCCCTTGGCAGCCTTGCTGCCGCTCTTCCCCATTACGGCGGTAGCCATAACAATGGTGGTCACAATGGGGAACATCATGGCGGTCATAACAACGGCAATTATGGCCCTCCAGGATATGGCCCTCCAGGATATGGGTCTCCAGGATATGGAACCTCTATCTCCGCGAGCACTAAGGCTTACACTACACAACCTGCCTCATGCTCGTATGGGTCGGTGTCTGGTTCTATGGCGACTGATTGTCCGGGCACCTCGGTCTTTCCCACTGGCACCACCGACTACTCCGACATCTATTCAAGCCGCACTACAGAAGGTCCTCTCCCAAGTGGAACTGATGTAACCTCCTTCAGCGAGACTTTGTCCGAGTTCCCAAGCACTTACTCTGAAGCGCCTTCCTGCGCTGACGAGGAATGCGGACCAACGGTAACTGGAACTCCTTACTCATTGCCAACAGAGTTTCCTAGCGGAACTGGAACTGAGGAAGCTCCATCATCGACTGCTCTCCCTACTGGATGCTCTGATGACGAGGATGAATGTGGTCCAACGATGACAGGAATTCCTTACTCATCAACGACCCTTCCTACTGGGTGTTCTGATGATGACGAATGCGGTCCAACGATGACGGAAATTCCTTACTCATCAACGAACCTTCCTACTGGGTGTTCTGATGACGATGAATGCGGTCCAACGATGACAGGAATTCCTTACTCATCAACTGGAAACGAGGAAGCCCCATCATCGACGGCCCTCCCCACTGGATGTTCTGACGATGACGACGAATGCGGTCCAACTATGACAGTGACTGATTTCTCACAAACAACTGAATTCCCCACTAGCACTGGAACTGAGGAAGTCCTCTCCAGTACTGGAACTGAAGAAATCCTGTCTAGCACGGGAACTGAAATTCTTCCCACAGAAACGGGCTGTGGATTCACTTCAACTGTAATCGTTACTTCGACATATGTCATTACTGTCTCCTCCACCGAGAACACCGGAACTGAAATCCCCAACACCGCTGAGCCAACCGCGCCCGAGAGCTTTACGAGCCCTGGAATGGAGATTACAAAGACCTGCACCGAGGAAGAAGGCCCCTCTGGGACCACATCCGCTCCAGAATCTACTTCGACATGTGACTTTGAGGATAATAGTTGCAATAATGGCCCAACTTTCACTACGGATCTTCCCGGGCTAACAGAAGTCCCATCATCGACTGCGCTCCCCACTGAATGCTCTGACGGCGACGATGAGTGCGGACCAACAATGACGGGAACGCCTTACTCAACAGGAACTGAGATTCCTTCGTCGACTTCTTTCCCCACCGAATGCGCAGACGAAGAGTGCGGACCAATAGTGACTGGAACTCCTTACTCATCTGGAACTGAATTGCCATCGTCGACTGCTCTCCCCACTGGATGCTCTGACGATGAGTGCGGACCGACAGTGACCGGAACACCTTACTCATCAGGAACTGAGATCCCATCATCAACTTCTCTCCCCACCGAGACTCCGTGCTCCGGGGACTCTTGCTCTTCGCAAACTCCCCAGAATACTGAGGCGTCTCCTACAGAAACTCCTACTCCCACCCTCTATGGAGGCGGATATAGGCCTCTTTACAGGGCTCACAAATTTTAAATATTCACTCACACTTGAGACGAAAAGATAGCCAGGTTCATTGCGATGGGATGATTATTCGTGCCTCGCAGGAACATCGAGCAAGGGCTATCAGATGTAGGGTATGGCATGGCATGGCATGAATTAGGGTTTGGGTTTCCTCTTGGCTTTGATTCTTGGGCTTTTCAATTTCGTATTCTCGGGCTCGCATTTGCAACTTCTTTGACTCCTTTATAATGGCTGGACCGCCGCAATTTCTACATTCCTAGAATTATGTGTGATCATTGTATTCGCAATTTATCTATTCCTATCTGAACTGTGCGCGCTGGTATATGCGAACGCACGTGCTCATAAGGATCATGATCCACGAACCCCCTGAGTTCTGCTGACGTATCTAGAACTCTGCACAGGTAAAAAACGAAGCCCGGACGTGGGCGTATAGTGCCGGACTCCGTATAGTATTTGTCACTGAAGAGGCGCGGTGGAAGGATTCAAGGAATGCCGTTATGTGTGATGGAACGCTGCACTACCTGCCTAAGGATTCGAGCACGGCTGTTTCAGATTTTTTTTTACTAGAAGGGTTTATCTGAGTCATGTGAGGTATGAAGGCATGGAAAGGGGACTGTTGTTTGAATAGTTTGAATAGGTATTATCATTAAAGTAAAATTAGGGTGATGGGTACGTATGCTAGAAATAATTGGTGCGACCTTTTTTAATGCCCGCGCCTTCCAAAGTTGCATCCTCTTCTAAATGTCTCCAGGAATATTTCGGTGAAGGACGGTCAGAGTCATTGGGGAGATATCCAGACGCTAGGATTACTAACTCCGGATCAAGTTGTTCGTAAGCGGATCCCGGGATTGTATTCGGACTTGGCTGAGTGCTGGTAAGACGTAGGAGATGTCAAGAAGCGCAGCCCGCTAACTTAATACACAACACAACATGCTGTGATCCAGAGCATTTAGTCTCCTTCAGTATGTTGTTTGATCGCTTCGGAATCTAGTCAATATAATATTGCACAGTTTCTAAGATAGCCAGATAGCACTTGTAGTGGTCTACGAGCACGGCGATGTTAGCAGCCAAAGAGATAGTGACGTCGGGTCCAGTGGGGATCTGATTAGTGTTACCGTGGAGCGCGTGAAGAAGGCGAGGAAGAGGAAGAGGTTCCAGTCCAAGATTGCCAGAGTTTTTGGCAGACATAGACCAGCCAAAGTGGAATAGGGGCTGGATAATAGATACGCAGAAACGGAGGAACCCCCAATGAGGCGTGGAGACGACATGATGATTTAAAAGAGGTTCTGGCGTTGATCATATCCCGACGCTAGCTGAAGCTCTTATTATTAGCGTCGCTGTCTCTATTTGTCCCATTGTCGTCTCTATTCAGGCCCTTTGTTTCAGCGATTTCTTCACTTAACCCATAAGTTCTTCATCTCCAGAAACATCATCTGAAAGCTCACCTGCCAGACTCGGATGACGCATCTTCTCCACCTCTAACAACTCTTGATACTTCCCCTCAAAGCTATCTTCCCCTCATTTCGCTTTTTCTAACTGCACATATCGCCCATAGTCTAAACTCGGATGCCCGCTGCGACAATCCGCGCAATTTTAGACCTTACGAAATACCAAACCCTATCCTCTTCCAAAGGTTCAGCCCGGAGGAGATAGTGTGCGGCGGAATTGTATGGAAGGTAGAAGGTGCGGTGGATCTAGGTCATGGTTCTAGGTTGCAAACGGGACGTTGGGGTTTCTGAGCGTGAGAGTGGGAGTGAGGTCAATGTGGAGATCTATGGTGTAGAATTCTTCGGCCATGGTGTCGCGGTTGCAATTTTTTCTGTTGTTTCTTAGGGTAATAGTTTGATTTTTTTTTTATGCCATGTGTAAAAGGGGGCCGGAGTACTACGGATGCTAGCAAGCATGCTGAATGATCTTGAAGATGCTAAATCTATTGTGAGTGATTAAGGACATGTGAACGAGTGGGCTTTATGCTACAGCCATGAGCCACTAACCACAAGGATATGCTCATTATTCTCGACATCAGGATTGAGAAGGCAGGCATTGTCCTCGTCATATAGCGTTTTTGAGAATAAACTGCACAGTCTGCTCGAATGGTTATGTGCGTCCTTCTATTCAACGAGGATCCATTGATGTGGTGTCCAAAGCGGTGAAGGATCCTCGAATCTGTAGAGAGCTAAGAAAATCTACCAGTTAGTACGTTGTGAAGAAGACGACTGGGGATGAGCTTTGCCTTTCCGGCCGCTTGGATCTTTGGCGAGGACTTCGACGCTGCTCAAGTCTATGGAGATATCCTGGTGCTGAGACTGGAGGTCGGAATCGGAGATGGGAAGATGAACGGAAATACAATTTGCTCAACCTGTTCCCTAGTAGCTAGGAGAGTGATATTAGAGGTTCATCGCTCTTAGCGGGCTGAGGTCTGGCCCCGGGCTGTGAGGATCAGCTACCACTGTTTAGACTCTCCAGCGCTATCGCTTTATTCTTCGTGCGCCATCTTTATGTTAAATGTATAGATGAAGATAGGGATTCATTGGAAAGACCCTGTCGGTTTCAGCAATAGTTGCAGGTAGATGATCCCTGATTGGACACGAGCAGATCTCGGAAACCTTCATCCTCTTCCTCCTCAAACACCACTTTCCCCACACTTCCGACCGTCTCCGCGCCTCCGCATCATAATGGCCCCAAGTTTCCTCAACCCCGGGTGTTCATCCGACTCCGATCTCTCTAGCTGTATCCCGCGTGTTGGGGAAGCTCGGAGAGTCGGCTCGGGGTTAGATTCTCCGTATGCGGCTTCTACTTCACCATCACAACCTTCATAACCACTTCTTTTCCGGGCACCATTGTTTCACTGGCAACGGTAGTATATATTGGGCTGGCTTGCTGGTACTGAAGAAGCTGCCAGGATTACTTCTTCCTTTGGACCCAGTCCCACTTCAGCTGTTGGAATGGATCGTCTGGCGGAAACCCGTGTATTACTTTTCTTTGGAGGTGGGGTAGCGATTGTATGTTTCCCCGAATCTCAAGAATTCATGAAAGCTGACTGGTTTCATATAGAGTTTCCTCTACGTGGTGGGGGTCGTGGTCTATCGACTATGGTTTCACCCACTAGCGAAGTATCCTGCTCCACTTCTGAACCGTGTCACACAAGTGAGTCTCTCGAAGCTACCAAAAGAGATAGGATCTGATTTGGGGAAGCTCCCTGCAATTGTATCAGTCCTAGTCGGCCGCTTGCCTATGTACACAAAAACATTGCATGACAAATATGGTAAGCCATTAGGACATATGCCGCTGATCAAATCGTCAATGATACCCAGGCCCAATCGTGCGATTAAGTCCGAACGAGCTTTCTTTCAATACCCCTCAGGCGTGGGAAGACATATATGGCCACCGTTTGGGAAAACCGAATATGGCAAAGGATCCCATTCACGTTGGAGCTGTTGATCGTAAGTGGGAAAGTGGTATAGCTTTTCATGCTATATTCTGACACCGTTTTTCAGCGGTTCCCGGAGTCTCCACTATATCGATGTCTGACAATGAAACTCACGCGCGACAGCGGAGGGCTCTTTCTCACGGCTTTAGCCAGCAGGCTTTATGGGGCCAAGAAGAGATAGTCCAGGGCTACGTCACAAAGCTTCTTAACAACGTGAAGACCTTCGCCGAAAAGAGTCAGTCATTTAATATCGTGGATTGGTACAATTTTATGACCTTCGATGTAATTGGGGATCTCTCCTTCGGCGAATCCTTCGGCTGCCTCGAACGCGGAGACTTTCATTTCTGGATTACCCTCATTTTCCGATCTGTGCAAGCCGGAGCTATTGAGGCTGCCACGAGGCGCTTCGCAACTGCAGGATCTCCTCTTCAAAGCTACCTTATGCGATGGATCCCTAATGAGATGCGAACGCAACGAAGAGACCACCTATCCTACAGCAGAGAAAAAGTTTTGAAGCGGCTATCAGACACAAAAAGCGACCGAAAGGACTTCATCTACTATATTCTCCGCCAGTCAAAACGAATCGACCTGTCCCAGGACGAGATCATTGTTAATGGAGCCCTGTTCATTGTCGCCGGAAGCGAAACCACCGCGATGACTCTGAGTGCTATGACAAACTTCCTCATCGCGCATCCGGAGAAATTTGAGAAATTGAAGAAAGAAATCCGAGGGAGCTTCAACTCGGAACAAGAGATCACCGTGGAGAAGGCAACTGCACTTCAGTACTTGAATGCTTGCATTGAGGAGACTTTACGGTTGCTGCCACCAGCCCCCATTGGGTTCTTACGATCTGTTCCCGCAGGTGGCGACACGATTGATGGAGAATACCTTCCAGGAGGTGTAAGTTTTGAAATGATCTAGAGCCTTGGTTGAAGCTAATGAAGTAGACGACCGTCTCTGTGAGTTCGTGGTGTGCTCAACACAACGCAGCGAACTTCAAGAACCCCGATGAATTCATTCCGGAGAGATGGTTCGATCCAGCATATGCCACAGACTATAAACTTGCCAGCCGACCATTCTCCCTCGGTCCACGAGGTTGCATTGGGAAGAAGTGAGTAGCGAGACCTTTAGTGACGCTAACTAGTCTAACGAAGATGTAGCCTGGCATACATGGAAATGAGACTTGCCTTCAGTCGACTATTCTGGCTTTACGATGTTACCACAACAGACGGTGCGCCGGATTGGAACATGGAAGGCCAGATGAAAAACATGAAGGCATATAGTACATGGGTGAAGCCTGAACTAAATGTGAAGGTCAGCCCAGTGCGGAGATGAGATGTTTCTTTGCTTCATGATTCAGATGAGGATAAGTGAGGCTGCATTTCAGGGAGAAAGGGATAGACATGATTTTGTAGCTGAGATCTGATGCCGGAAATTGAGACTCCTAATTTGCACTGATCTCCCCTCGCTTCGTAAAGAGAGATTAGCGGTGAACATGCCAAAGCCCAAATGAGCCACCAAGGCCCCCTTGTGGGCAGCCAGAATGCGGGGAAGTCCAATAAGAGGAGATCAACTCGTCCCCTCCGAAGGCCGAAGGGCCGTGCATTCCGACCTTCGACGATGAACCTCGCTGTCCTGGCGACAGAAAAAGCCATCAGTGCCTCTGAATTTGCACCCGCAATGGCAACAAAGCGGAAGCACGATGCTGCTGCTTCGATGGAGAATCCTCGTGTACGGTCTGACGAGGGTACAGCTTCCATGAGCCCCCAGAACTCCCAAGGCCATATGGCGGAAAATTATCCCCGTAAGCGCATAGCAATCGCAGTAAGACACCCTCCCAATCTCTCTGATGGACCCCGAAGAAAGCTCTAATTCGAATTTGCCGTCTAGTGCAATGTGTGTCGGTTCCGGAAGACCCGGTGCGATGCTGCGAAGCCATCTTGCGGATTTTGTACGGATCTTGGGATCGAGTGCAATTATCGAAAACCTACTGTTGGAGACAGGTTCGTATGCTAGTAATCCTCTATGCATGTGTCGTGACTCTCATCACTCGCTAGAGCAAAGCCAGTAGCCCCACCATCTGACGCCCTTGTCAATATCGAGAGACGATTGTCCCAACTCGAAGCCCGGCTGGAATCTACGCACCAATTGGTGCAGAATTCTTCAATGCTCTCTCCAAACGTGTCCACTAGTAGCGAAGTGCTTCTTCCAGTTGAATCGAGATCTCGTAGGTCAAGTCTAAACCGAGGACTCGTTGAATACATCAACACCAACCTATCCAATCCATCGGTTGGGACTCCGGTATCTTACGATTTTGCCTATCGACAAACCGCTACCGAAGCTCTTACTGCAAGGCCGAGTTTACTCACCTTTCGAGCTCCACCCTATATTCATGTGGAGAGCTGGGACTACACGGCAGAGTTTTACGACGATGAGATCCTTGCTGGCGAACACCTCTGTGATCAATTTGATATTCTACTCTCACAGCCACTGGACCTAACAAAGAGGACGACAAGACGCTTGCAGCAAAGTTTTGTCGAGAACTTCCTTCGATGGACTCCGATCTTCGACCAGAGAGCTTGTGTTAGCGCCCTTGAGGAAGCTGCTGCTGGAGACTTCCTAATCCCGAACCCATCCACATGCCTCACGATGCTATTCCTAGCATTGGGGGCGATATCGGAAGACCGAAGCGAGAGCCCCGAAAACCAAGCACCCGGATTGGATTACTTTGCTCGAGGTTGCCAGATTCTCGAACGACTATCGCTTCGCACAGGCAGTCTTCCTACTTTGCAATGCCGAGTTTTGCAGGCTTCTTACTTCAAATTCGCCATCCGACCCATGCAAAGCTGGAATTCTATCACCCAAGCGGCTAGAGATTGTATGCACCTTCTCACGTCTAGAGTCATAGAGAGAATGAGCCACTCTGAGCAAGAAGCTCTTCATCGTGCTTTCTGGGCTTGTTCGACCATTTTGCACGAATTGGAAGCTACTATGAAGATGCATCCTATCGGATTACGTCATTTCCATGAACTTGTCCCTCTTCCGCAATTCGAAGAAGAGGACTCGGGGTTTTACTATTTTCTAGCACAGATCAGCCTCCGGAAGTTTTTGACCCAGTCGCTTGAAGTAGTTGGATACCATTCTGGGAGAGTTATCTACGCCCCCGTTGTGACTAAAGAGCTACGAAAACAAGTCCGCGAATGGTACGATCACCTGCCCTCTAGCATTCGGTTCCCAATAGACACTGCACCTGTCTTCGACTCGAGAAAGTCATTCCTACGTGGTCAATATATCGCATTATTTGTAGTCCTTGGTTGGCCTTCGGTCCTCAAGATAATGGAGCATGGCGAGAGCGGAGATGCAATTCTGCTTGATTCAGACACGCTGGCAGCAACAAGAGATCAAGCCCAGGGCTGTATTAGGGGTTGCTGTCTATTCTTGAGTGTAGCTGATGAGCAACTCATGGGCAGGAAGATGGGTACTCATTTCACCCTTTGGGCGTAAGTTCCCTAGGCTATATTCCCCCTTTAAGTTGCTAATACTTTTGTTCAGCGCATATGCTATGCTTGCAACTTTAATCATCACATTCAATTGCTCAGCTTTGGCCTTTGTCGAAGAAACCAGACAAGAGCACCATATTCGGAATGCTTACGAGATACTGCGCCCATGGGATCACCTTCCATTGATACAACGTGGGCTTGGGAGAATCCGCATCCTGATGCGGCAAGCTGGTCTTGCCGACATCGATAGCGTGCCAAATGAGCCACCATCTCACGGCCTCGGTTCCAGCTTGGAGACAAGGCCTGGATGAATCCTGTGATTGTCCGAGCGAGCTGTACAAGTCGTTGCCACTTCACAACAATGACCGCTTTTGACGAGAAAAGTGGCGGAGATCAATTTCCGGGGCCCCGCTACTCTCCGAAAATGCACCCCACCAGATCAGGTGCCCGTCAGAAATGACGATGTAGATCACATTACATCTACAATACTATTGGGAAGGGACACAACCGGAACATCGCACCTGTAAATAAAACGACTACTCCATATCTAACTAATCACCCTGGATCCATCTAGTCGATCTCGTCATGGCTTCCAGAAAGATGACAAGAGCATATCCGAATTTTTTAGAATTACCTCTGGATCCGTCACATCCTCCGTATACGGCATGGGGACTTTGGGGCATGGATGATGAGCTTGGAACGCTGAACCACCTTACGCCAGAGAGGACAGTAGCTGCCGCGAAGGAAATCAAGACAGGTCGCCGGTTCGGCATCAACTGGGCACTGGAACAGATGGACTACACCGGAGGCTTTCGGGAGACAATCAAGCATGAGATTTTTGAAATTGGAAGGAACATGAACGTATGTGGTTCTTTGGAAGAACCAGCGTTTTCATCTCACATCTTGGGTAGGATGACCGCATAACATTCAACACTCAAACAAGTACACAGTGGGATGGGCTAAGGCATTGGGGGTTTGACGATGGGAAGTTTTACAATGGTTTTACGCAAAAGGAGATCCTCGAAAACAAGACTTCACGCCTAGGCATACAAGGTAAGTATTTATTGTCGTCTCTTAGGACACATGATTGACAGCTCAAAGCTTGGACACAGGAAGGCATCGTTGGAAGGGGAGTTCTGATAGACTTCGTTTCGTTCGCTGAACGTAACGGGATCAAATACGATCCACTAGAGTATTATGCCGTACCATTAAAGGTTGCAAAACAGATTGCAGCGGAATGCAAATTCGAGTTTCAGGCTGGAGATATTATCCTTCTTCGCACTGGTGAGCACCCTGCACCTCACCTACCGTCATTCCGACTGATTGCAACAGGTTTCACTACCGCGTTCGAGTGCGCAAGTATGGACAAGAAGAAAGAAGTCATGGCAAAGTCTCCCTTCCAATATCCAGGGTTTGAGAGCAACTTCGAAGTTCTGGGGTGGCTCTGGGATACCCAAATTGCTGCTGTCGCAGGTGATTGCCCTGGATTTGAAGCATGGCCTCCATCAGAGCATGCAATGCATCAAATCCTGCTCGCTGGATTTGGGATGCCGATTGGAGAGATGTTTGCACTCGACGAGTTGGCGAAGGAATGTGAGAAGCAGCGGAGATGGACATTCTTTTTGGCGAGTGAACCGCTGAATGTGAAGGGAGGCGTTGCGAGCCCACCAAATGCCTTGGCTATTATGTAGATGGATATGTAGATGGAGATATAGATGTAGATGCAAGGACTAGAAAAGGACTGCGGCGTCCAGATTAATCAGCAACTTCAACTCACTTCCAAGGTTCCTTGATTCTGAAATCTTAACGCGTTTCCCTTTCCACCTTAATTCATTAACATTTTCACCCTCTTGTTCATCATCTGACGATCTACCGTGCATTTGAGAATGACTTCAGCCACAATAGTCCGGCATCGCCACGAGTCAAGCCTCTTCCTTTAATGGCCAATCAGGGCGGCTTTCTGGAAATGGCTCGGCAAACGATTTCCTTCGTCGCGGATCTTCGGAACAACACCTCCTGTTGACCCTTTCTCCATGTTGGTGAGGTATGGGGTAGTTTGCGGGTTGATGTATGTTCGCAGAAATGTACTGCACCGCGGACGACTCGGCATTCCAGCATCTTCTGAAACTTGATGCCTCCAGCACCCCTAGATTATATTTAATGGAGTTGGCACTCATTCTTGCGACCCTCTCTCAAAAGAAACCCACCCTCGCCGGTAAATTACAAAGGTTCCTACTTGATTAATTGACTCCTTCATTTGAAGAGTCGCGCCGAAGTCTCCGAGCTTCCGAGCATCCCCGTCGTCTCGCTCCACATCACCGCCTCAACGGTTACCCCGGAGCAGAGAACCTGGCCAAGTCGCCCTCACCAATTCCCCATCCGTGCGCACATGGGGAAGGTCTCACCATACAGGATGTTGCCGAGCTCCGAGCCAAGAACAAAGCTGCAAAGAATTCCACATCATCAGGAAGCCCCTGAGAAGCCCTAGCCTCCACAAGCTGTCAGATGCAAGTCGTTCCCGCATCACATTTAGCAAACCCGGGGTTTAGTGCATGGGTAAGCAAATCCCACATCCATGTTGCCACCATGCTACGCCCAGAGCGCTGGGCTTATGGTTCTTAGTCTGCAAACATGAGTCCATCATTATGGTTTCGGGACGGACGAAGCTCGCTTCGAAAGCGTTAGCATGGGGGATGTGACCATGAGCGAACGTGGTCGGACCCACTGCAACGGATATTGGTGAATATATCTTGACATCCTCCTGCACCTCAAGTCTATCCATCCTGCAACCTGGGTTTGTGTTTCCTCTCGTTCGGAATCCAATCAGACAAGGGCCAACCATGGCCTTAGAAAAGATCGAGCAAGAGCAGCTCGAGGTCATAGAGAATTCTGCTTCTTCTCAAGTCTCGGATGCCATTGCCGAGAAGGGGGTTGTTCACACCAACAACTACATTCCGAATGAAGCAAGGGATGAAGATGTCGTTACTTTGAAGACATGGATGGTTATTGTCGTAAGTTACACCTTTAACTGTATGGGGTAACGCTAAATCGCCATCAGGTTCTCTCGGCATCCTATGGCCTCAGTTTCTGGGTCGTGACGACTCTTGGTGCTATTCAAGCCCAAGTATCAACTCAACTCGGAAATCCGGGCAACGCAGCGTGGTGGACGACCGTGTAAGCAGCACAACCACCTAGGCTATAAGTTCAGGCTAATAATGGTATAGGTATACCATGTGCACTGCTATCTCCTTCATGGTATTTGGTGGTAACTCAGATCTCTTCGGTCGACGATGGTTTGTCATTAGCGGAAACATTCTCGTCTTTGCTGGGTATATCGCCATCGGTTCTGCAAAGAACACTGAATCAATTATTGGGGGTTGTACGTCCATCGGAATGGTATGTCATAGGGTTTCCTCGCACCACTGATGCTGAAGCTAAGAAATGTAGGGAGCCGGTCTCTGTCAGCTAAGTGCTTTTGGCATTCCAGAATTACTTCCAAATAGACTTCGTCACATCGGTGTGCTCATTGCAGGTACGACTGCTTTACAACTATTTCCTTTCAAACGCTGATTGAGCCTAGATGCAAGCACGTGGATTGCTGTTCTTTTTGGACCTATTGTCGCTCGCTACGCCATTCGACACGGAGAATCATGGAGGTGGCTCTTCTACGCCGCTGCAATAGGGACTTTCATCGTCTTTTTTCTTCTCATCTGGCTCTATCACCCTCCGAAACATCCTCGTGGTATTCCTTGGGACCAGGCTTTGCGTGAATTGGACTACTTGGGAGCTGTCCTCTTCACAGCTGGCGCTGTCTGCGTTTTTACTGGCGTCATCTACACAACAATTATCCCATCATCCGATCCGAAGGTCATTGCTTTGCTGTGTGTAGGGTTCGCTGTGATTGGAGTATTCGCATCTTATGAGCGCTTTGCTCCACTCAAGCAAGCGATGTGTCCACCTGACATCTTTGCCAAGGATAAAGGTCGCGAATTGTATGTCTCCACTTTTTTCTGATTGATTTCAGCATACTAACATGTTCTGATAGTACATACCCATTCATTGCCGGCGTGATCGTAAATATGTTTTTCTACAGCGTCAACATCGTCTACCCAACCTGCATCAACGTTCTCTGGACCACAGCCTCCACACCCTTATCCACCCAACTCGAATACACACTCCCACAGAACCTAGGTCTCATATTTGGCTCTATGCTCCTTTGGTTCTTCGGCATCAAGATCGGTCACTGGAAATGGCAATTCATCGCCGTATTTGGTGCAATGACCCTCTTCGGCTCTCTTATGGCGCTCGCCAAACCAGATAATATGGCCATGATCATGGTATTCTGCTTCATCTGCGAGGGGGCATATGGCTGGGCCCAGACTCTGAGTATTACCTGGATTCAGATGGGTGTCCCACAGACACAGTTGGGTATCTCGGGTGCATTGGCCGGTGTGGCGAGGTGGACTGGTGGCGCATTGTCGAGCTCGATTTACCTCGCCATCCTTAGCAACGTGCAGATCGAACAAGCCGGCAAGCTGATATCAAAGGCTGTCGCTGCCACCGGAGGTTCGCAGGCAACTGCTACGGCTCTCATATCAGCGATTCCGCTTGGCGCAGAAGCGATTGCTAAGATCCCTGGAACGACGGAAGCGATGGTAGCAGCCGCGGGTGGAGCCTTCGTTCAGAGCTATGTTGTTGCCTTGAGGACGGTCTGTCTGACGAGTATTGCATTCGGGGTTGTCGGGACGATTTGCTGTTGCTTGAGTAACGATATTGGGCCGAAGATGAACGACAAGATTGAGGTGTTCTTAGAGAATGATGTTCAGGCTGGGAAGAATAGGTTTCATTAAAGTCCATCTGGCTTAGAAGGAAGAGGGTGGCCAGCAAATTGGAAGTATCTGGCACAGCAGAATTAGATTTAGATCCGAATGGTGTGACCATCGCTACTTCTATATAACAGACTAGATGATTCCTGACAGGACTATCCTAGAGGACCTCTAACTTAGTAGTTCTTAGAATAGCTCTTCTATAGTGCCCCTAGAAGCCGAACTAAATTGCTAAATGGAACTCGGGATTAAGGTGCATCTACATTCACGAGCTTCCAAGCTCGCAACATTCCGGAGCTGGAATCTTAAAAGATCCGAGCTTGTAGTGAAAGGTCGCCATTTCAATTACATATGCACACAACCCTTGGAAGGGCGCACATTTACGAGTCAACTTATCGTCGTCTGGCATGTGGGGCGTCGTTTCCTGAAGACACCCCTTACACCTCCACTTTTACTGCATGTTGTGGCCTTCCTCTTTGCGTCGCTGCGCCACAACCGCTGCTCTCAACCTTCATAACTAGGAATTCCCTCCAACTCTTACCTAAGTAGTGTTTTACAGACCATCCTATCGACCTCCACTACTAGAACACTTTTCCAAAATTTCACAAGGGAAACCACTCTAACCTAAGTAGCGTTGCAGTCTGGCACCACCACACCGTGATTGCTCCTTTCAACTCTGAGGTCACTACCAGAACCCCTTTCCTATACACCATAGAGATAAAACAGCACCCATTCACCTAGACGATTAGAATCCGTCATTTGTCTTGGCTTGCCATCACATGTACCTCCACTGTTGGAGTAGATCCTCAAGTCCAGATTCCGGCTGGTGATATCACGTACATATGGATGACAACTAGCACTGTCAAGCAATTCCAGAACATAAGACATGCGCACAACAACTCTGGGAAGGGTAACTTAAAGCTATTTTCGTGCCGTAGATAGGTGGTCGAGATACAGGATAATGGTTAACTTGCTTACCGGCTTGCGTATTTGCAAATGCCATTTCTTCGCCCCTCTAAGGACGCTTGCTGAATGGGAAGCGGGATAAATAGGAAATCATGAGTGAGAAGATCCAGGGGAATGGATTGCGGTGTATTCAGAGGATACTGAAGCGTAAAGGATGCTTGAGAGAACAGCTGAAAATCCCGCACACACAAATCTGATGGACTAGTTGGGTTGCTCATTTCGAAGGGAGAAGTGGGTATTTTTTTGATTGGCTGGAAGACTTCACTTCCATAGTAAGACGCTACAAAGACCCCGAGAAAGCATTTGGAGAGGCTGTGGAATTTTTACTAAGGGGTTGATAAGTGTAAGCGGCATTATGGTGTCAAAAGATGATGGATAGGATGGGCGAGGAGGATGGTGGATGACTCCAGGTCCCAGAAGGGAATGCCGGGGTGCCTGCCAAGTTGTGCTGAGAGCGCTAGAACGCTTGAGCGGTGCCCTGTTTTGCTGCAGGAACATCGCCTTCCCAGCTCCTCCGTCATTGCTCCATTCGCCATGTAATTCTGAAAACACCATCCTGGCATCTAATTCCCGGTATTTCACCTCGGCTATACCAATTGCTGGCTTTCCTAGCATTCACTATGATGACATCGTGCAATTGCTCCCCTTAAAGGGTGTGGGCTCTGCAAGTAGGTCCACCCTCAGCTTGAGGGTCTCAATTCTCAGTACCAGCGATCATGTTTCGTTCACTCACTCTTTCTCTTGCTCTCGCTAATTCTGCACTTGCAACCTACTCTTTTGACCCACTGGAGCATCTGGCTGGCATCGCCCCCTACTTCGAGCCCGCCGACCCACCGCTTAATCCCAAACCCCCACAAGGATGCAATGTCACCAGAGCCTCATACCTGGTTCGACATGCTGCTATTTATGCCAATGACTTTGATTATGAAGAGTATATTGAACCTTTCACCAACAAGTTGAAGAACACTACCGTGGACTGGAGCAAAGCCGGGCCACTTCGATTTCTCGCAACATGGCAGACACCAATATCGGACGATGAACAGGAGAAGCTGACCAAGGCCGGAGAGCTGGAGGCTTTCCAGCTAGGTGTCGACATAGGAATGAGATACCCCAGTTTCCAGGCCCCTAAGAGGGTGTGGACGTCAACAGCGGAGCGGACCGAGAAGAGCGCCCTATCCTTTATTGAGGGTCTGGTTGAACAAAGCAACGAGACACAGCGTGTGTCTGTTGCAGAGAGTGAAGCAGAAGGGGCGGATTCACTGACTCCATATGAGGGCTGTCCGAAATATAGCTCGTCCGCTGGGAGCAAACAGTCGTCGGTAAGACTCATTCTACCTGCTTAGGCAACCCTGCTAACAAAATGGAAGCAATACAAGGAAATATACACAAAACCAATCATTGAACGTTTTCATAACCTAGCGCCTGGCTTCAACTTTACTGCCGACGATATTGTGGGCATGCAGGAGTTGTGCGGCTACGAGACCGTCATTAGAGGTTCGTCTCTATTCTGCGGCCTTGAGGTGTTTTCGCCCAATGAATGGCTTGGATTTGAATACACGAATGATATCCAATACCATTACAACACCGGTTATGGAAACGCTATCTCTGGTGTGCTTGGATACCCTTGGCTCAATGCTACTGCTGGACTCCTTGCGTCCGATAATTCATCCCAGGACATCTATGTGTCCTTCACCCACCGCGAACTCCCACCCATGGTACTCGTCGTAATGGGTCTTTTCAATAACTCGGCGTATTCGGGAGCGAACGATCCCAATGCGACCATGCCCCTCACAGTTCAGAACTACATGCGAGCCTGGATATCATCCCGTATCCTTCCCTTCCTAACTAACATCGCTGTAGAGAAAATGGCCTGCGATAGCTACGGCTTCGATTCTGGCGACTACTTCAGAGTTCTCGTTAACCAGAGCCCTCAGCACCTACCTGATTGTGGAGATGGGCCTGGGGAGAGCTGCTCGAAACCCAGGTTCGGGCAGTTCGTGCAGACAAGGGGTGAGATGTTTGGAGGATACACGGAGAATTGTCAGCCAGAGTATAACAACTCGACGAATGTACTCAGCATTTATGAAAGCTGAAAAGTCTCACCTCTGGCCTTAACCATCCTTTATACTATGATACAATAGCATACAAACAACAAGCGTGGCCGTGGTTAGGATACATCCAAAAAAAAGATCTCACTAGGTCAGTTGTATAGTCTGGGGCGACCTGCTAAATTACTACTAAGCCTTTTGGTTTTCCATATTGCCGACGCGAGACTCATTTACACGTGAATTATAAACCGCCCATTAACATCATTCCGCAATGCCGAACATTCCGTGGCATGTCTGCCTCAAATTCTTATCAATCGTCCGATCTCTCCATCACAACCACAGAACTCTTTTCTCGAGCGAATCTCATTCCTCATATTGCTTTCCTTGGTCGCTTTGATGTCTTTGTATTTTTTCCGTGTTCAGCGCATTATTCCGGACGACTTTGATGGTCTTTTTGAATTCCTCGATCTCACGCAAATATCCTATTTGGCATACAATGGCCTCGCTCGGCCTAGTGTTTCGGAACCCGCACCTCCTGTTCCGCAAGGCAGGCAAGCAAGATCGCAGATCCGCCGAAGAACTTGACGGGACTACACCACGTCTATGTACTTTTCCAGAGCTCCCCAAGTGGTACCAAGACAATCCGCACATCCAAACTGGATATCGTCCTGTATCGAATAGCTACCAGTCTTGTCTGCTCTCGCTCAGCTACCTCCACAATGAGACTATCAATATCTACACACATTTCCTACCGGCGCTCATCCTCGCACTAGTGCTTCCAACACTCCAAATCCAAATTTCAAGAATCTATCACGACACGACTTGGATAGATCGATTCATGCTGACCCTCTCCCCAATGGCCGCGCTCTTCACCCTAACCCTATCAACAACATACCACACACTAATGAACCACTCCGCATTCATATCAGGATCCTGTCTCCTTCTCGATTACACTGGAATCTTAGCTCTCATTCTCGCAAGCTTCATCTCCGGAATCTATGTCGGATTCTACAACCACCCGTTCTACCAAAAATTCTATTGGACCATGATCACCGCGCTCATAACATTGTCGTGTCTCCTAGTCCTGCACCCGCGCCTCCAGGGTCCCCGCTATCGGCCTCATCGTACCACCGCGTTTATTCTTACCGCATTATCGGGGTTTGCGCCGGTGATTAATGGCGTTGTATTATATGGGTGGTATGATGCGTATTACTATCGAGGGGTGAAGTGGTGGTTGGCTGAGGGGCTTTGGTATGGGATTGGTGTGGCTTTTTTTGCTACGAGGTGGCCAGAGAGAAGGGGTAGTGGGAGGTTTGATGTTGTGGGGAGTAGTCATCAGTTTTTTCATGTTTGTGTCGTGTTGGGGGCTGTTTGTCACTGTTGGGGAGTTTGGGGAGCCTGGAGGGCGAATACTTGAGGGTTGAGAGGAGGTTGATGCCGAGGCGCTTCGTTAATTATGAGAGAGGGAAGAGATTTTAGATATCTTTAAAGGTGGCTTAAGTTGTTGGTTGCAGTTGTAGGGTTGACGTGAACTAAGGCTCTTCTAGACATGGAGATTCCACGCAATATTGATTGTCTGGCCAGGAATGCAGAGGGGTATCTTGAATACATGGCTATGAATCCACCACTTCTTAACCTCTCCTTTATTTTCCCACCCCCTGCCCACTCCATCTCGCATCCGTCCTACATCCGTCCTACCAAGCGTTCAAAGCCGCAGCACCGACCAAAGCAAGCAACGCAGAACCTTCAACGCCAAACCTAACCGCCGCGGCCGTTGTTTGCGCTGGAGGCACTCCAGAAGCCGTAGCGCTCGCTCCAGAAGCCGTAGCGCTCGCTCCAGAAGCCGTAGCGCTCGCTCCCGAAACCGAAGCCGCAGGAGCGGTCGCTGCACTCGCGCTCGCTTTAGTTTTCAACCCACTGCTCGTAGCCTGGCTCTGGCTCTGCGAAGCAGCTCCTGTTGCACCCAACAACTCTCCACCTGCAGTAACTGTCGCAGCAATGAACCCAAGCTCGGTGCTTGAAAGTACTGAGCTGGTCGCCGTACCGTCCATAGAGACATTACAGGTCATTTCCTCTTTCTTGGTGTTGTGATCGCAGGTGAATTCCACAGCGGACGCTGACTCGACAGATACAGTAGCCTCATATATGGTTGTTGAGACGATGGAGTATCGGATGCCGGTGCCCCAACCGCAATCTTCGGAGGAGACGCCTGTGGGGCAGCTGAGGTCGAGAACGGTAGTCGTGGGGTTGGCGGTTACGATAGAGGCAACGGGCGCAACACCATCATAGCCACCCGGGAAGAAGAATTCGAGGGTTTGCTCCGCAAATGCAATTTTAGCTAGGATGGAGAGGAGGGCGATTGATTGATACATAGTGGTATATTGAAGGCTTGCTCTGAAAAGACCGTGTATTAATTAAGAAATGATAGAGTAACTTGCAAAAGAGTGTGATGAAAATGGAAAGCAAAAGCGAGGCACCGTTGAAGAGGCTTGGAGGCGTCTCGGGGGAGGTCCTCATTTTAAACTCCCCCTAAGCTTGTAATAAAAGCTTATTCTTCGCGGTTGAATAAACCGAGATGAGGCTAGCACGCTAGATGTAATTTGCGCTAGCTATAACAGGCCAGGGACCAGAAATTCGTGTATCAGGGGAAGTGCACCTTTCCATATTAGGCATTTTAGCGATAGGTTTTCTGCTGGTCTGGAAAACGTCAGTCACTTGGTGACGTGCACCCTCCAACGCTGAAGATCGTGCATGAAGTTACAATCTTCACCGTATAGTGCGTTGATGGACATAGAAACCTTGGTGTCTGTTTCGCTTGGTGCTCCGGGCGAGATTTCGAGGTCGATTAAATGGTGAGATTGGAGTTAACCAAGTAAATTGTCGTCCTCAATCATATTCAGCATAACAATTTCTAGTGGATATACAATGGTGGAGGGCCTTCCCACCTAAGAGCGACTCATGCCCTAATAAATTAGCCATAGCTTAGAATACATTGCGCAGTACTCACCTGTTATGCCTCTAAGCAATCCTGTTAGTAAGGCTAGTAGAGTGCTCCCCTTATAAATGCTCTTCCTAATATCTTGCATGATAAATCATTGTTGGGTGCGATTTCGTTGCTGCATATCCTGCCTAACTAGGGAGTCTAAATATGACCGCTTAGGAGGCGGCATTAAAGCCTGAACACTGCCTGAAAGGGTCCCGCACTACGTCCTAAGTTTGGTGGTTGCCGTCCAACTGCGTCCTGGATTTAGTAGTCGCGGGGCAGCCACGCCCTAGATTTAGGGGCTGCGTTACAAAATGCGTTATCATAGAGGCGGACACTAGTTCTCAGTACTTAAATCACCTCTTCCTAGACTTAGTTCATATATGTGCTACTCGAGTTGTCCTAGTTGAATACACGTGAATTTGAGATTCGTACAAGCGACACTGCCGATTTTTTTTTGTTGCATACAGGGACGGAACCTAGCGGCTTAACAAGGATCTGCTATCGGATCCTGGTCCGCTCGGGGGTACAGTATAGCATATGAAAGCTTGCTTGAGAATCTTGCTACTGGCATATTTCTTTGCCAAGATAAAACCAAAGCATTCAAACTCTCCGGCATCCTTAATGATATCCACAACCGCTAAATCCTAGATTCTATCCCTTACTAACGTTGGCTTTATGAAGTGCGGTTATATATATGTGATATAAATGAAGACACCAGGCTTCAAAACTCGGATAACCTATTTCATAAGAGTTCAACAAAGGGTTTACACACTTCTCCCGATAGTCCCTTACCTCATCTATGCAGCTTCTATTATTCTTCTTTACAACCTCCGGAGGATCCTGCATACTTCCCGAAATCATGGAATCTAGTGTACCCTTATCAATAATCACCTTGAAACCTCCATCTTTCATGTCTTCCACATGTCTCACTTCCAGCACTCTCCACTCTATTCTATCTATTTTTGTGAACTGGGCAGCTATGTCCTCTATCACCACGGTGGAGAAGTCCATGCAAACTTGGCTTTTGTAGCACGGAATTTAAATCTGTCGAGCATTCATACGCGCGGGTGTTATGGATGGTGGATACAAAGGCGCCATCGCCGCGGTTCTTCAGGTGGTCAACCCCATGACTTACGGCTGATCAGGGACGCAAAGCTGACACGGGTGGCTTTTCATTACCTAAGCGAGCCCATAGAAGGTTATAGTAGCGTATATCAAGGCCGAACGTATGTCTAAAGAATTGGCTTGTACAATGGGGACCACTGTAAGGCAATGCCACTCCCTCCTGAACTTGGGCGAGAAGGGGTCTAAAATCGTAGCACCTAATTCTCTCCCATTCGGGACATTTGACTACTCTGCTTTCATGATACAGAGCGCCTCCTCCCTGACCTAGCCTTGTATGTTTCAGTTTACGTCTGAAAGATCCCTCCTTGTTGTAATGTACAAGGGAGCATTATTTGCTGCGAGTCGCTTGGCTCGTGGAAGCAGCAGCTAGTCACTGAGCTGAGTATTAGCATTTAGAATTACGCACCTCCTGTCATTACCCGACATTTGTCTTGGCGATGGGCTTCTGCCGCGACCCATGATTTGATATCATGGATCGGCCCGTGGAGCGGACTACTGTGGCGGACGCCTATTCCTTGGAAGAGGGCAACCGACACAAGGCTACCGGCATCATCCCGCCGCATTTGTATGAAAGCCTTATTACTATCACATGTACACTTCTCATTGGCATATAGCTGTGGGCAGCGTTTCCATCAGGAAGTAGTACGATTCGACTCAGGCTTTCTAGACAAGTTACGTCTCACTTATCATATACTTTTGTTTGCTTCACCTGACAGCAGGGGTTAATACAATTAAGTTACAGTTTAATTAAAGCTACTTATACTTCTTAACTTTTTACTAAAAGTTACAACATAACTGTTAAAGCTTTTAGAGTAGTAGGGTCCCCCTTACTCTTAATATAGCATGTAAGGTTATTTAATTTACTAAAAACAACCTTATAACATAGCTAGTTCTTCTAGAGTTGCAAAGCTTTAATTATAAAGCCTAAGAGATAATTACAGTTATAAGTAACTGTCCTTTTCCCCCTGCTAAAGGCTCTCTTACAGTTGCTCTCGCAGTCGCAGCTTGTAAAAGGTATACATAGGAAATCAAGTGCTATCTTAAAGAGTACAGGATAGTCGCGCTAACTAACCTAGAGCTACTAATCTAGAGGTTCCCTATACAAGGAACTATTATCTTTTGCTATAATAAGGCTGTCTAAAAGGTTGTTGTAGTACAGGGCAAGCTCTAAGGCTACACTAACACATAAATAGTGGCACAAACACATTCCCCTAGCCCTCACGCGCGTTAGAGACTGCAACCTTAAAATAGTCTACCTTAATTATATACTGCTTACTTTTAAGCCTTATTAATTAAATTGTAACAGTTAAAAATGTAGTTACGTTTGTTTGCCTCACGTAATTGTAGGTAGAGCAAAAGTATCAATTGTACTACTTCCTGTTGGAAACGCTGGCTGTGGGGGACATTCCGGCTACCTTCGTGACTTGACTTAAAGTGATGAAGGACGTCATCCAGTGTCCAAATCGCCAAGACACCTGTTAAATGGACGCTAATTCTAATGTTACTCACCCTAGAAGACTTAAGTCTCGGTTGGTGATGTGCTAGAACCGAGAAAGTGCCTTGGAAGTATGGGTATAAAAACCTCGTACCTCGATTTATTCTAATGGAGAACTAAGTATCCCAACTTCTTCCTTCATCCACGAGCATTTCACTACTCATATTTAAGCATTTTAAAGGGAACGGAATATTTGATCATCTAAGATATGGCACCACACTCGCAGACCGTCCGGGGCACCTTCGGCAACCTTAAAACCATGTCCGCCATAGAAACTGGCCGCAACCCGACCCAACTTGGTGATCCCACCTCCCTCCACTCCGAAAAATATGACTCCATACCGTTAGACTCAATGCCAGACTTCTCCGCTCCTGCAGACCCCTACCGACAGAACGAAAACAAAAACAAGTCGTCATTGGCTGATTCCAAAATAGTGACGGGCACTATGGGAAACTCGTGTGGACCGAAGGTGAATAAGAGTATGTTGGGAGACTCAGTTAGCTTGAAAGCGGAGACGAGTATGAGCGAGTGGGGCAGGGGCGCGAGGCTGGCGGGAGATGATTGGGAGATGAGGAGGGCGGCAGAAAGAAGGGGTGAGTATGAGAGGAGAGGGAGGAAGAGTAAGCTGTGATAGAAATTAAACACAGAAGCGGGTACAGGGGGCGACCGGTACTTTAACTTATAAAGGGTCTTGAATCCAGCTACGTATCATCCAAGCCGTCGAATGCACACCCCATCCTTTGCTCGAATTATGAAATCTCGTCTGCTTCTTGCTTAGTTTGCTAATTCGAGCAAAGTCATCTTTCTTCAACATACAGTAGAACTTCAAACAAAACATTTTCCGCAATTTATTCCTCATACTTGCTCTTGGGGATCACACTCGTGCCCGACTCATTGCCCAAGCTAGCACCGCAGCCGTACATCCCCTCTCTGTAATGTCCTCAACGACCCGATTCTTTAACAACAGTGATAAGTTCGTTCTCGTTGCCCTTTGTTATTGTACGTCGGGTTCATATTACCAAGAGGACTGTTCGTGATGAACTCAATCCCATAAGCGTTGTGCCACTTCGCCCATTTATCCTGGGAGAGAGAAGAATGTAATCGAATCTGATGGACTGTATGCTTTATATTGATGTGTTGTTTAAAATGTTCTATTTGCATGGGAGAGAAATTCGAGGCACTGATATTCCGAACACGATCTGTTTTCGGTAGAGCGGCCATGACAAGCCAAATTTGGAGAAAGTCATAGTGATAGGTCTTCTCCGAGGGCCGTTTACCAACAGGCCAGTTCATGAGGTAGAGGTTAAGGGGGGAAGGTTGAGATCGGAGATAGTTAGGTTGAGGCCAGCTTCAACGCGATTAATAACGTGGCTGCTTTAAGTTAGTATCCACCTTCCACCTTCGACCCAGTCTTGCATCTACAGGTCATGCGCTTACTCATCATTCCACAGCTTCGATGTCACCCATATTTCTTCGTGCTGGAGTCCCGCCTTCTTCAATCCTTCTGTAATTCCCTTCCCGACATGTTTCTCATTCCATATGCGACTACACGGTCCATTTAGCGATACCCAACTTCGATTGCGATTGCGACTACATCTAACGTGTTTGTTGGCTACTCTTGAAAATTCTCGGTGCTGAAACCTATGAGTGGTTGTTCAGTTTGGTTAGGGATAACTAACCGGTGTTCGTTGCGACATTGACACTATCTAGAAGGTGCGAGTACTGTTAAAATGAGGCATATGGTTCATACGAGATTATAAAAAGATGGAGTGGCAATTTAGAGAATAATTGTTGCCCGAAATTATGGAGAGAGGATGGGTTGTTTGAAGATTGCACAAGCCCCAAAATCATAGCGTTACAGGAAAGTCTTCAGGAAAGGGGGAGATGGACAGCGGGGATCAGATCTCAAGATCCATGTGCTGCGTGAAGAAACTCATCTAACGCTCGGAACAATTCCAAACCTATCGTTGCTCTCGCGTAGTAGAGAAATGGATGTATCATTTATTACTGAGAGATCTCATATCATTGCTCCTATATTGACGGAAAATGGCCGCTATAGTGAGGTTTTGAGAGGCATTTCCGGAGGTCATTCCGAGACATTGCTTGTTCCTCAATGGAGGCGATGGGTGGCATTATTGCCGAGTTGAACGATGTCCCCAACGTAGTTAGTAGAGCATGAGAGCAGCTGAAGACCCGTGCTAGGAAGAAATCGTCCTTGTCCTTCACGACAGCGCCTAGGCCCTTTTCAGTTTACGATGGATTTGGGCTGCTTGGGGTGGAGTGACAAAATAAATGAGAGCGCTCTGAAGGTTATGATACTATTAGCGAGGATAGAGACTTAGCTATTCTGTCAAAGCCTTGAGGCCGACTTTGTGGCTGGTGATAGGTGGTGGTTGAGCCTGTAGTAGAAGATCGATTCTCAAGCTTCACTAGCGGTGTGATTCGTTTATGCGGATCTGGTTTGTGAATATCCAAGCTGACGCCATATCGGACGATTCGTTCGAGGGCTTATTCCAACAACCATCCCTGCAACTCTGTCTGACACTGAGATTCGCGACCGGAAGACGGACGGATATAATGAAAGTTGTCTTACGCTTTGCATCTTCACATATGAACCCACATCGGGGTTCATCTCCTCACCTACCGAGCCCGTCAGACTTGGCAGAGTGATCAAGATCTACGGAAACCGCCAGATCAGTGAGGACACAACCCGGCCTGCTACAGACGCAATACGGGTCGATACCGCGCGCCTGAACCTAGTCTCCCTCGCGACCGGACGCGTACTGCATGGTAGCGACTCCTCATCGTATTCGAAATCGGATTCCCATAGTCTTGGTAACTACGGTGAAGGCCAAGGAGATAACTATTGGTCCGTCTGCCTTGCGCAACTCTAGAAGTCGGGCGAGCAGTTTGGACAATGATGATCAGAGCTTCGATTTGCGGCTACGAACTCCGGTCCTTTGAGGGAAGGGATTCAGCGAGGCTCTCCAAATGCAATAGACATTGTACTTTGCGGCCGAGAAAGTCAAGTCAAGGAACCTAAACGTATAAGTAATCCACAGATATTTGTGTCGATTCCTTTGAGTTAAGCATTGAGAGTTATGAACTCCAGATCAAAGATGCGCTCCTCATCCGGGCTGATCCGAACAGTAGGGTCGTCTATCCCACGTTTGTCAGTACGTTGACAATGCACAGCCCGAGACGGATCATATCGGTTTAAAACTGTTTATGTAGCGATTGAGAACGAGCTGTTACACAAGCCACACGATGGTGTCATAGGACGGAATCATAGCGGCTGGTTTGCCAGAGACCAGGGAGAAGAGTAGTGAGACATCATCGTACCAATAGGCGAGCCTTGCGAGGAGGGGACGACGAAGAGGTCTTCCTGGACAAAGGAATAGGTGGTAAATTCCGACGCTGATGGAATTGTGAAATGTGAATGAAACCTTCTGAAGGAGTCGCGATTCGGTTGACGAAGTCTGATATGTTCAAAGGGCCACGTCGGGCAGCTGAAAAGTTTCTCAATGCTGTGCCACGCAACCGTGCAACGCGAGAGCATAATATTGGCGGTGAAGGGGGTGGTGATGCTAACAAGAGGTATTGTTGGTGTTGGCACCGACTTCCCCACTCTTGCACCAGGCACATCCTGCCAACGTCTTGACCTTATCCATCTGTTCCCACGTCCGTTGGATGTTGGAAAATTTCCTTATCAACGGAAAAGTCGTCCGTGTAACTGAATTTCCTGCTTCAGCGTTAAAATGGCTTCATTGGACCCGTTTCCTATTTTCCAAGGCTCGAGCATCATGCGACGCGTCTCACGCTTCACCAACCACCTGCAAACCGTTGGCCGACCTAAATCCATGTCCAGGCACAGACGCGGTCATGGCAAGGGACGCCTGAGGCGGGTGGGCTAATCAGGACTGTGCTGGCATCCACTCCGGGTACGGCGTCCCGTGCATCTTCTTTGGCAGCTGTCCTTGTTTGTGATCTGTGCGAGAACAGACTTCGTATCCTGCGGATGGCGCTGCCATGGGCCACCCCGCAGCGCTGATGATGCTAGCACTCTTTGAGATTTATAGCGCATTCCCCTCCCCCATTTGCATTTCCCTCCCTCCAGACTCCTGCCGTCTCTCCCGTGGACTCGGGTCCGTCAGACTAGGGTGACAAGCACCTTAAGTTGATCAAATCCATCTCCTGACCAGGCGCCTGGTCTGGCCCTCGGCTCCACCCTCCAGAACTCAGGTCTCTTCTTTCCTTGATCAATTACTCCTTTCTCCGTTCCTTGCAGACCCCATTTATCCTCGAGGGCGGTGCCATGTTCACAAAACGCCGGAGATTCAAACTGAATTGGATGTCACTCTAACTAACAGACCGGGATGCGAGTTTAAGTGTTGACCGCTGCAATGAATAGCCCAGCGAACCACTTCAGCGGCACGTGGAATTCGAATACTCTGAGCGTGACCGTCTGTTCGGCCCTCGCACTTTACAATGCACTCGAACTTGAACTTCTAGTCTTCACGACGTTTCACGCCTACCGAGGACTCTATTTCTGGTCTCTGGTGTGCGCCAGCTTTGGCATCATTCCCTACGTCCTCGGCTACATGATAGAATATTATGAGCTCGCCCCACTAGCCCTCGGAATCGCAATCGACACGGCAGGATGGAGTCTTATGGTCACTGGTCAATCTGTCGTTCTATACAGTCGGTTATGGCTTGTGTTTGGAAGGGGTCACCGAAAGCTCCTAGGAGGTGTGAAGTGGATGATCATTATTGACGGTCTCTTATTTCATGTCACTACCTCTGGTATGCGGACCTGAGCTCGCCTTGGAAAATGCAATGTGCTGACTAGAGCAAACTGCAGTGGTTGTCTACGGTTCTCACTTTGGCGCCCACACGGCGAAATTTGGCGCGGCCTACAACTACATTGAACGGATTCAGATGATTGGGTTCTGTCTCCAGGAATTCTTTCTCAGTGGTTTATACATTTGGAAAGCCCTCGACATCATTCGCGTATCCGAACGCAAGAATTCGCATCGACTCATGTGGCAACTCTTCTCGATCAACGTTATTATTATCATCCTAGACATTGGGCTCCTAACGCTCGAGTTTCTCAACCAACATGTCCTCCAGCAAACAGTAAAGGGAGTCACATACAGTATCAAGCTGAAGCTGGAGCTCGCGGTTCTGAACAAGCTTGTGGAGCTTTCACAATTCAACAATCGCGCAAGTACGATGACCTTGGGCGATACGAACGACTTTCTCGATCCGACAAAGACGGTGTGGGATATCACGCGTTTTACTCCTGCATTTTCAAGCAGCATGCACACATACCCGAAGTGGATGTCCGATTTGGAGAAGTCTGGAATCCAACATCTGGAGAGCACTTACTCGCCGACGGACAGTGCCTGGGTCCGGACTAAGCACAGTACCACCATTTCGGCGGATGACATTGATGACTTTCCGGATGTTATACAACCAATCACTACCGTACCCGACCCACGGCTTGATTCACGAGACAAAGGATCCGCCACAGACCTTCTATATGCGGACGCCGTGAGGAGAATCGCAAGATGAAGACGAATCCAAGCAGAAAGACTCCTAATAATTGCAAATAATACGCTCTCAGCCATCCAGAGGCCCGTTTCGGCCAAACCCAAAACCAAATCATCGTGTTCACTGAGCTGCTACTCTTTACACGCGCTTGGTAGAAAGGGTCGGCGATGTCTTCAGGCTGCAAGAGGGGGGCGAGGAAGAAATGGAGTGATTCTAACTTCCTCGTTTAGCTCGTTCGGTGTATTTTCGGTGATTTGCTCACATACCCGACGCCTTGGGGAAGGCATGAAAGGGTGCCGATCCCAGCGCTACCCAGTGTATTTATGAGTAGGAACACTCGGCACCTGCCGAGTATCTCCTACAGCTTCGAAACAATGCCGACGTCGAGACGGCCATGAAATCGTCGGGCAGAGTCCTTTTTGTGACAGCAATTTAGAAACTGAGCCATTTCAGCATTGGAGAATTTGCCTGAGTATCTTCAAAAAGGGAAGAACCAAGGACTCTGAAGGTGTTAATGTTTCCGACATTGAGGAGTGAAGCTTTCCAGGAGGTTCTCGTTGAGAGGATGAGGATTGCGTGTGAACAACTCAGCTCCATTCATTTCGTTTTGTGTTGGATGAGATATTCCCTATCACGAACCCGTTTCTGGTCATTAGCTCAAGTTTCAGATGTTTCTTGTCTGCGAATTCCAACAAAGAAGAGCTTGATAGGATAGGGCGGCCTCAATTGAGTCCGTTAGAACCCCCGGCAAGTCAAAAATGCAAGTCACTAGCAACAGCTAGTTCGCGGTACTTTTTTGAATGATATTTGTTTAACATTTATTATCATAGTCACTATAGGAGTAGGTACCTTGGTGGTTACACTAACTATCCAAGGTTGGTGCTTTCGTTCGGTTAGGATTCAATGTGCGGTGCTTCCAACCTTGCTCAGCGCAATTACAGCGAAGACACGGGATCCGATAGAATAATTTATTTCCTATATGATCGAACGTGGTTACAAAACAACCTTGGTTTTTACCATTCTCTTCAGTGTCAGGGAAAGCCAACACCTAGTTCTCAACCGTTGAGGTGGTTCTCTATATCCGATTCTTGGACACGATAGTAGGATGAATATAAAAGCGGCTGGTCGCGATGCTCTGGTAGAACTGTAAAGCACCAAATGGTGGGTTTTAATGGAGATTAGGATAAAGGATTGAGCGGTAAGACAGGCCCGGAAAATACCTTCGAGACTTTAGCGGGAGAAAGGGGATAATGTCTCGTTCACTTCGGTTGATAGTTCAAAGTATTCTTTCAGCTTCCGATGCCCTCTGTCCTACTCACTGCTTCTTACTCACCTGCCTGGCTTTACTTCCATAGCGCGGTGACTTTCTCCGAGCCCCTTGCCGAAGTTTTTCTCTTCGTTTCTTCACTCTTGCCCTTCTCTACCTTGCTGGTCCACCCCACTATTACCTTTACCCTTCATGAAGAGACCTGACAATCTTTATCTGATTAAGTCCTAATCTCCCTCTTGAAGGCCGTGGTCTATTTCACTAGATTCGAGAATTCGACGCCGACGGGGTACTAATTCATCGCAACGGTAAGTGCAGCGCATGGAATCATCCTCCACCAGCACGAAGTTTTGATTGATTGGTTGACTGTACTATCCAATCACTAAAACAAGCAAACAAACTTACATTTTCGTGCCCCCAAATCCCTGCTTTCATATTCTACTTCGCATGAATCAGAGTTTTCGAGAGGATAAAGTGCTGATTAAGCTTTCTTGACCAAGCTAGACAAGTCCCTAGACAAATTCAATCTTCGCTCGAAATGACCAAGCAAGTCTCTACCCTAGGTACATACTCTGCTTCCTATTAACTCTGAGGGTTGGCATGGCACATCACGATACCTATGAGTTATCGGTTCTAGAGAACTCATAGGGAAAGCTAGCACCTAAAACGAAAGTATCACGATATGGATACGTTCGGCCATAGCGATGAGACTCCTCGTGGCCATCACTAGTTCTATGCGGATATTCCCGTAGTGAAGGCGAGGACTCCCACCATATATGACACCGTTCTCATGTCTGGAAAATCAAGAATGGCAAAGAGAAGACGTTGTCGAGCTGTTCAGCGCTCCCAGTCTAGGAAGGATGTTCCTCGTGCAAGGCCTATGTTCTATGCCCTATCTGGAAAACCAAGAATTAGCAACAGTGCTATTCTCGATGCGCTTTTTGGGTGTCCAGATTTGGTCGGCATACCAGCTGCAGATTAAGCTACCACTTCTTATGTCACATTAATCCATCACGAAGAACAGTAGCGACTTCGGGCCCAATATATTGAGCGAAGAAAAACAAAAAGGACTGTTCGAAGGATATATTCGTCGCTAGTTTTATTGCAACTTGTAGATGTAAGAAGATACCGAGCTGGAAGACGAGGACGGAGAAGTATTGGAAGATGAGGATGAATTTCAAAAGGTGATTTATAAGTGATTCATATGGCGGAAAGGGAAGAAAACGGAAGATTCACAGCCCAGGGCAGCAACCATAGAAGATATGCTGGACGATCTTTTAACACGTACGGCGACCCAAAAGTAGCTTATGCGCTCTGCTCTCTTATGACCGATTCAAGCATGACCTCAGGTGGCCTCTTGGATCGATACCTGGCAAAGGCACTACCAATGGAATCCTTCAGTTTGATCTTCACAACTCAGAATTGAGAGAGGACCGCAAAAAGATATCTTCAATTTGGTTCCTTATAAAATTCATCAATTTGCGTTATTGAAGAATGGCCTCTCTTTCATGGGCTTACCGGTAATGCGCAATCTATTATTCTTATCAATATCTTGCCAACTTTATGTGATTTGGTATCCTCGACTAAAACCAGGCAGGGGTGATAAAAATCTCTCGTGAGCAAGCTGGTGAGAAATGGTTGTCGCTGCGTGGGACCGCATAATATCAAGGGAAGATACTGATTAGAATATCGGGGATTAGGAAACTGACGCGGCGAAAGCAAAATGTTAGTTATGAGCAAGGCCGATCTAACTCATATTTTAGTCCTCGGACTCTTCCAGGAACTGACTTGACAAGCCACATCTTGTAGGCGGAGTCAATGAAATCAAGGGAAGGATCAACACCCCCTTGGAACACCTATTCCTACAGATTAAAACACTTATAGACAGGGCCAAGTGGGGATTCACTGGCGAGGATCCTGATATTTTTAAAGAATACCGGAAGTATCTCAACAAGGAACCTCAATGTGCTTTTTTCCACCTCTAAGCCTAGCAGACAAAAAAGTATGCAAATGCTGGGAGTCTCCTCAGCTTCAGCATCAAATTGCCTGACTTGGCTTGATCAGCTACGCTTCAAGGACCCGGATTTCACTCTTAGGATGGCTCGCGTCCCTGAATTAAGAAAGCACCTACTCAGCCTTCTGGCCGAAGGGAACTCTGAAGCGGACCCTAAGCACATCTCTTAAACATGGACATAATTTATAATACGAGGGAGCGCAGGATCCAGAAAGTTCCGGAAGATGATGGTTATGCTGAAGTGCGTCATTTTATCGCCCATCAGATCTTGTACTGCGAAAGAATTTCAACAGTCTCTCCAAAGCTTTGCTACTAGATCATATTGTCCCCATTTGGAATGCCAATAGTAAAGATCGAATTCTTCAGGACATGGATATCACAATTGATGGGTGAGGATTCAAGATCAGGGACTGGCAAACGTTCAATAAGATCATCCGAGAGGGGAAATTCCCACCAACAAGCCCGTCATGAGCAATAGAGAGCAAGCCAACCGAAGAAAGATCTTCTCGACGCCACGCGCCCTTTCTTAACTCGCTGGGTAAAGGTCATGCTTGACCGAGGAGCACGTTTGGTAAGCTTATTCGGTGCACCTATTCAAGTCTTCGACTTGTTAGGAATCCAGAGGATGTTTCCCGACTACACATACCAAGAGGGAATGAAGAGGGTCAAACTCAGACCCTCGACGGCTGAGTCGATCCTACGTCATCCACGAAGGAAGATGCATGAAGAGGCGATGGGACATCACAAAAGTCTTACCCCTCTCCTAGCACTCAAGATCATTTCATAGCCCTTTTGGTTTAGTCCTCTATTCTTTCCATTCTCCCCCACTACTTTGGGATTTATTCCGTGGTATTACTCCCCAACTCCTTCTCTATAATTTTCCAGTAATTACGGTGCATAGAGCTTGAGAGTGCGAGTGGCATATAGTGGGTTCTTTCAGCATATTTATCCTGAAACAAGATAGACTATTGGCTTGTCTAGACATTCCTTTTGTCTTAAAATATTTTTTGTCGGTATTTATGTCTCCTTTGCACTTAATTTGTAGAGGAATGTATGGCCGCAACTTAACACGGCCGCCTAACCATCCTCACGCTACCAATCGCCGGGACCAGCAAATAACTCACAAGAATTATGTGGACGGGACGGACTTGCAAGTAAGGAAGAAGCCCTTCACGCTCCTATGATATTCTAATGAAGTATGCAAATGGGATATCAAACCCCTCAATATATATACCCGAACTCCAGATCCGATCAGATCTCTACTAATCTCACCATCACTCCACGTAACTACTCAATCTCCCTCAACCTCTCCCAACTCTTCTTCCTACTAAGACTCATCTACTTCCTCGCTGCTTCACATCTTTCCATTACATTAAACTGACTCTCCTCTGCAGATTCTGCACCTTCGCTTCTAACGCATGATTCTCTTCTTCCTTGCGATGCAGCTCCCGCTGCAACATCTCCTTTTCTGACCGAAGCTGCTGCATCCTACCGCCGACCTTCTCCCTGTAACTCGCATGTTCCTCGTGAATGGACTCCATACGATGCCAATCTGCTGACCCCGTTGCGGATCCACCACTGGTACGAAGACGCGCGAGCTCAGCGTCTTTAGCTTTTAGCTTGGCTTCTAGATCTGAGACCGTGTCTTTCCAGGCCTTGTGTGCCGTCATGCGGTTTATGTCGTCGATGCTGGCGCCGCCTTTGAGAGACTCGAGCTGAGATAGCAGACTGGAGTTTCGTCGTTCGAGTTCCATGGCTCTTTGCTCAAGTGCGGCGGCTTTTGCAACTGCGAAGAGATCTGTCGTGTCTCTGCGCTCTAGGAGCATGCTCCCTGGGCGGCCTCGGGCGGGGCTAGTGCGTCCGTTCGATAATTGCGAGCGATCAAGTTTGCGAGTCGCTTCTGCTAGCTTGGACCGCACAGCTTGCAGATTCACGAGGTCATCGTCGCGGAGTTTCGTCATTCCTTCTAGTTCTCGCCGCGCTTTGGCAAGCATGCCTCTGATCTTGATGTTGTTGTCCACGTCCTCGTCACGGAGAGCGAATAGGGCTTCATGTCGTTTGTGCCATGTCTTCTTCTCTTCTTCGAGTGCTTTGACCTGGCCTTTTAGCTCTTTGTATTCCTCTGGTGTGACTGCCACAGTTGGGTTCTCGCGTTCCATGAATACTAAAGTTTTCATGAGAGCTGCCAACTGTTTTTCCAGGGGACCGGCAATATGCGGCGGTTCAGCGTGCTCGGAAGGTTCTTCATGAAGGGGATCCATCTTCCTTGGGCGATATGTGGGCGTTTTCTCAGGAAGATCGAAATCTTGTTCTTCATCTGCCAGGGTTGAGCCTCGGGAGGTTGTATCATCATCGGGCGAATTGCTTGCCGGGTCGTGTTGTTGCCGATGTCCTGTTCGAAGACGTGGTGGTTGTTGAATCTCCGTTACCTGTACATTCGCATTGCCAAACTTCTGAGCGAGTCTTGGGATAGTCGATGCCCGGTTCGGCGAGGACTGCCACATAGCCGGCATATTGTTCGATGGCACTTGGGGGAAGCTCGCGTTTTGAGTGACAAGGTCGTCTTCGGCAGCAGTATCGCTGGATTGATCAGACTCGTAACCTGCAGATCGTCGCTGCAGTTGCGGCGAACTCATAGAATTCGGGCGGCTGGCTGGATGCAGGGATGCAATTGAATGAATGGAGCCGGTTCGCTGGGGTCTCGAAGGGGCTCGGTTCGTAGTCCACATTTCACTCACCAGAAGTAGACCAGGGTAGCGTTCGCGATCTCGTTCCAAGGGTTGCGTAGATCTAGGTAGGATTCGATGCAGGTTCCCGAATTTGGGATGAATGGTAACAAGCTAGATCGATAAGGGTCGGGGACAAGAGCCGAGCTCGAGCAATGCAGACGCAGTTGCAAGACAGGTCTGGAGTCCTCAGGATGGGAGCGCATCACGAGCTTTTGATGCTGGTGGTGTGAAGGGGGTGGAATTGTGTAGGAAATCCTGAAACACTTTCTGATACCCAGGGGTTCTCCATGTCCGACTGCTGCGACGCGGGTGTGCGATGGAAGCGGCTCGACCGGGAGATCTTCCTGGGCCTTATCGCTGGGTAGACGGGTCGAACCGAGACATGGCTTGTTGTCGTGGAAGACAAATGCAAGTGTAGTCACATAGTTAGATGCATCATTGGGGTACTGGATTGAACACAGCACTGAGGGACCAATGAAATACTTTCAAGACTATTGACGCCGAATGGGCGGCAAAGCCATTTGCTTTGTGATAGCAAAAAACGCCCAAAGTTCGAGGATTCGTTTTGATAGTGAAATTGAAGGCACGAGGCGATGGTGACAAGCGAGGTTGACGATACCGCGAAAACGCATCTGAAACCTTTCCAGTCTCAACCTCGTAATCAACCGCGACAAAAGCAATGTTCTCGAACGTAAGATTGACTCCAACACAATGCATGCCTCAGCCGCCTAACTTGAGCCTCCGAATAAAATTGCCATGTACCTAGGATATGCGTCTAGATGCGCCTCATCCGAATCTTCGGCTAGTCAAGACCTTTGATGCTTGGCGTATCCAAGATTATCAACTAGCACGACGCTTTCCAATGTCTTACCGCATACAAATGAATAAGATATACCTATCTGGAACCCGACAAATTCTCGGAACCAGCACAAGGGCTCATGATAACTCACAATCCTTTCATAATAACACCAAGCCTTCATGACTATTGGGAAGGGTTGACAGCATTTCGAGGCCAACATCACGAATGATTTTAGGGGTACCTCCGGCTAAGATTCGCTTTCATTCTTGCAATTGGGAATCTCCAAAAACGTCTTCTGCATCTTGTCACCTAACCTAGAACATGGCGGGTATAATTTAGGACAGAAATTTGCATCCTAACACTCACTGATGCTAGCAAGGAGGCCGAGAGTTAGACTCTAGCTTGTTCATGTTCTCGATATGTGAGAAGGTGCATGATCTCGACGAGAGAATATTTATAGTTAGCTTCTACGGCCAGCCCAAGACAAAGCGGTCGAGAGGAGAAAGGTTGGTGCATTAGGGACGACCTCGTCTTCATCTTATTTGGTCATCTGTCAGCTTCCAAGCAAAGCAACTGTGATGCAATACATACGATTTGCTGCCCACATATCGTGATAATGATCCCTGGCAATAGAACCCATCCCCATTAATGCCAAATATTGCTAGTCGAGTGCTTTCTCCGTCAATGGATGCATGTTTCAGCAGCAATGAAGGTATAATCTAGTCAGCTTTTCTATTGCTCCATAACGCACTCTTTCAGCCGATATAAAGCCAGGGCAGAAGTCTGTTGCGATTTGAACATTCAAGCGCACTAACATCAGAATGGTTAAGATTGTAAAAGCCGTTGGCCATTCTTCTGGATGGCCACTAAGAAGCAGCTCCTCTGTACCCCGGATTGTACCTTGCAGAAGAGAGACAAGCGTTGCTGATTTATTCTGTCGCTCTAGGGGTAACTAGGAACTGTTAGGCAGTCGTCAAAGATGTTTCTCCGGCTGCATATGGTAGATCGCGTTCAGTACCAGCCTGCACGAGCTATGAGGTTTTCGGTAAGCTGTTCATAAGTGCCACCCTATCTGGCATCAACGTCTTCGAATTGGAGGGGGAATCTTTCATAAGCGCTATTTAGATCTCCAGATGAGGCGTCGTCAGCCAGAAATGCAGGTAGATCTAGTACCGCAAACTCGAACGCTTTGCCCAAACTGAGTCTGGTATAGTGGAGAGTGAATTCCCACCAACCAAACAGAGTCTAAAAGTTCGACGAAGTCTTCTGTCTGGTTAGGAACTCAGATCTGAAAGGCAAGCGAAACAGGGGTTAGTTACCGAGAAGGCCTCATTAAAGCCATCAGTGGAATTAGACTTTTGGCAGGGCAACTCTTGAGACTCTTCGTGTGTGCGGCATCCAAACACGTTTGACAAATGGGCTTGTCATTGCGCAATTCTTGCCGTTAGTGCGGGCGGGATTCCAGTGGGAATTGGTTGTACCATATGATTTAGGAGGAAACATCTACAGCGTCGGCTATGTTTCCGTGCAGGTTTCGTTGATGCTATGATAGAAATAGGATGTAGCTGGATGCAATTGTCGTGAGGATGAGGGGTGATGTGCGGGCAGGATCTATTATATGCAAAAATTAGAGCATATTTCAGCGTTCCTTAGGTATTTTTTTTCCTTACTAAAATTATATAAGATGACTAAATTTTAACAAAAATTTTAATATAACTATAACTAGTTAATAAATAAGCTTTTATCTAACTCATCTATTAATCCCATAGGCATAACCTTCTCCTATAGCTACATATGCTTGCTTTCAACAATCGACCAGGCACCTCCAAAGCTCCTTGCAATGCAATGGCTGCAAGCCTACTTCTACAGACCTAAATTTGTCCCTCCACTCATCCTCTCAGGTGCGTTATGCAACGCCCTGCTTGCGTATTGCGTGGATAATGTAGGGTTGAAGATGTGGTATGCGGTGGGTTGTTCTTCTAGCTGCACACAATTATTTTAAACAAAACAGATCAGGCCCCGCCGTACTTTCTAATTAAGCTCTTCATGATGCCGACGGAGCCTGACCTATACCCTCCCCCAAACAATGCATAATGGTTTAGATGGTGGTATCTGTAAGGTATTAGACTTTGGAGACATTGTATGAGAGGAATGACTCACAACTCATACAATTTCACGCGATCCTCATACTCTTCCACAGGGTCCGTCTTTGGACAAAGCTGGTGGTATTCTTTTAGAAAGCCGCCCCCAAACCCTCCAAACATCTTCATAATCCCCAATTCAAACTCGCTGTGTGCATAGCAAGAGCTCGGATCATACACAACTTCTTCTGCATTTCCACCTTTTGTGCCAATGACGCCTACGCTAGCATTTCCGCTCCACAGATCACCGTGAACTACCACTGGTGTCACCCCATTTCCATTATTAAGATGACCGTCGCCAATAAGACGTGGCACAACCTTTGATGCCGTTGTCTCTACAAGATTGTTCAATTCCTCGTCTTTGCCATTCAACTTTTCCGCGCGCCGGACAATAAATCGCAACCTGTGGTTTGCATAAAAATCTGCCCAGGAGCTGTTGTAGTCATTTTCCTGAGGCGTATCCCCACAGCACGTAGTCACCGGAAAGCCAAACATTGGTATATCATACCCCTCTGGTATTGGCGCTGGTGTGGTATGGAGTGTAGCAAGTTTCGAGGCCAAGGACGGTCCGGAGGACTTTGAGATGTAGCGGGATGTGAGGTTTAGGAAGTCGGTGACAAGAAAGAAAGTCGACGGCTGGGAGGAGAAATGGCCGTAGCCAAAGGGCTGCGGGCATAGCGAGGGTACGGCGTCATGGAGGGCGTTGAGGGAGACATGTTCGCCTGTGGTAAATGGTTTAGTAACGCCAGTCTCTTTATGTGCATTTTAGGCCATATATACCTTCGAACATGACTTCAGCATCCTTACCCCTCCCCGTCTTCATGAAGAAGCATCTCTCCGTCCCGTCACTAAGCTTCGAGGTTATCTTCGATGTCGACGCTGAGCTACAACCCCCGCCTCCAGATGAGGAAACTGAAGTGGTTTCGGGATCGAGATCGAGGAGCTTGATGACAGCAGGATCGAGCTTCATGGTGGATCGAATTGCGCTTTTGGTGAGGGTCTAAACCATGTAAATATGGTCATTGAGTTAATGGTGGGTGAGCTGGTGAGGTGTCATTCAGGGTTCATAACCATGACGTGCAAGGTGGCATGCAGCCTTCGCGGCTAAACCTTCCCTTCTCCCAAGCTTGATTCCGCCTCTCAGTTTCTCATTTTCTCATTTTCAGAGTTCAAGGTTGACAGCATGCATCGCCGGCGACACCAACATCCCCTATAATTGAATACACTCTTTCATATGCATCATAGTGGTTATCATCTATGTTGACATCCATCCATTTTTACGCCTCGGCTGAATCTTAGGGTTTACTTAGAGAAAGTGGAGCTGGATTTTTTGGATGCAGCTTGACTGACTAGACCTACATTCTTGGCAAGTTGCGCTGCGGAGGAACCTACGATTTGGCCGAAATGCGAGCACCTGAGTGGTCTCTTTTCTTGGCACCCTTGGAATGAATGCTTGCTTACATCAATAACAGTCAAGTTCCAGGATGTGGTTAACACCGCACCGGGCCAGTATCAACACAATCTTTGCAATCAACCCCTTAGACTCGCTAGGTACGTTAATGGGGAAAACAGATCTCCATTAGCAGGGTGCGGGAGAAGGACACAGAATCCTCGCTGAAGGACCGGTTTCAAATATTATGCCCACATTGTGAGCTCAAGGATTTGATCCCCATCAGAAAGCCACCTCGAGCACTTTGACTGGTCCCCGCCCAGGCCAAGACAGATAATCCAAGTCGACTTGAACAGCTTTGTGGCAAGTCAGAGCTAGACAGAGTGTCGTAATCATGACAAGATCTCAACCCACGGAGGATAAAGAGTGTTAAGGCTTCGTACGATCCACCATCCAGACTTCGCTAGCTAAAAGCACCTAATGGGATACTGATGTCTTCGGATTGGCTAGGTTACCAAAAAGGCTAAAGTTTGGATAGCTGGCTCTGATGTGGTGGGTTCAAAGATGGAGAAGTTGAAGGAGGAGGGGAAAGCGCAAGGCCAAGAGCAAAGGTAGGCGGGGGATTTATATATAGGGAACGTGTTCGGCTAGCTAGTAGACCGGACAAGCAAGCGGATAGATCGACCTTGTCAAAATGAAGTGTGCAATACACTGAACGATAGGCTAAACTTGCTCTTCTGGTAGGGGATTGATTGAGCGAAGCCACTGATATAGATCTTAACCTGTACAAATCACTGCAGAGATTTGTTACCGTTTATATACATGCTACCTCTTTTTCCTATGCCTTGCTGGATTTGGCTGTCCATTCCTTGTCTATTTAAGTTTAGTATGGACGCATCCGGCTAAGCTCAAACCAGTCGTGACAGACCTAAACAACTTAAATATAAAAATCTGTAACTACATAACTATTACTAATGAAATGCTCTTTTAGCGATTTAAAGATTTATTTAGAATAAAGTAAATAATTACGCTTACTAGTTTCTTTGTATTCCAGGATTCCTAATCATAAAATTATCCTGTCTTAGGAATTGGTTTACCACTAACCGCAATCCGAGAAACAATGAAAGAGAAATTAATGTTAGCAGTGGGGTTATAAAAACATCAAGACAGATCAGGGAGAATTAGCAAGCAAGAAAGCATCCGCGACTCCCTTATTGTCTACAAGGTCTCAAGTAGAATCGTGTCATTGCCGGGTGAAATGGGGTCTAATCAAATGTTCAAATAGCAGCCAACAAATATGTCATTCATGTAGTATGCTGAAGTCACCGTTCACGAATGTGAGTCCTAGTGTCATGCTGCCCTCCTAACATTTGTGCTCATCAATGTAATCTTCTTCGCTTTCTTTTTCTTCCCTCCGACTGGTTTCTTAGATGCCTCGCCCTCCCCCAGCGACATTGCCTGCACTTGCTCTATCATGTCTTCTTCCTGTAGTAAATCCTTCTCCCAACCTTGTAGCCACCCATCATCTGGAACGTCGTGCTCATGCGGCGTAATGATAGGGGATGTGGATGGAGCGATCGCTGCGGTGCCCCAGACTGTGCGGGGTGCGGACGGGCTGGTAGATGGCGACGCAAGAGACGCAAAGCCTTGACCGCGACGTGCAGGCCAAGGAGGTGATGTTGATGTAGTCTCTGCCCCACTCTCGCCTTCCGCTGACATTGTGTTCTCTGGAACGCTACTTGATGCAAGGGGTTGGAAGTCATCCGCTGTAAATTTATCCGAGACGCTGGGTCTCTTCCTCCGCGATGATGCCCACTGCGCACTCTCCTCTTTTTCAGCACGCATGCGGGCCTTTTCCTCTCTCGTCTCTTTATCTAGATTTCGTTTCCGCCTCTTTTCAATTTCCGGCTTGAAGCGCTCCAAGATCTCGGGTGCAACAGTATCTGTCCAGTCGCATTCCAAGAAATTAACCTCGCAGCCATATGGAAGATGTGCGAGATATTTGGTTCTCTTTCGTAGGTCGTCGTCGATGATATGGCCAGTAGACACGCGCTCGACACGAGGCAGGATGGTTGAAGGGAACGAGGCGAATGTCCCAAATGAGGCCTTCAAAATGCGAATGTCTAGTGGTGAAAGATAGTAGTGCAATAGCGCCTGATAGAAGAAGTATTCGGATGGGGTGTGGTGATGATCGAATTGTTGCCGGTTGCGTATCTCCACGAGAGTCGACCCAATGGCTCCCTGGTTTGCCCTTAAGGACTGCGAAGTGATAGAGAGTTTTCTGGAGCTTGGGTTCACTCCATTTGGAGTTTCTGACGAGCCAGGTGCAGCAGTCTCGTCTGCCTCTAGAGCCAGGATGGGAGGCTTCGATGAGACGCTCTGGCCAGATTTCAAGGCGTTCTGGACCAGGTACATCTCTGGGGTGTGCTCGGCGTCCTCATGGAAAACGATTGGAGCCTTCTTCGGCTTCGGTTCGGCAGGCTTGGTTGGCATCTCGGGCGGATTGCCGATGCCTTGGACTTTCTCTTTAGCATCGTGAATTGCCCGAACAGCCTTCCGAACCCACTCTACATTGTCTTCTCCAAACATGAGTTCATCTTCCTTCTCTTGTCTCTCCAGCTCCTGAATCTCGGTGTCGAATTGATCGATCATGTAGTCCTCCCCTCCTCGGATAACTCGAGCGTAATCCATAACTTCAGCGGCATAGTGCCATGGAATATCCTCATCTTTATCAAGGGCATCAGCCCCATCTCGGGGCAGCGCCAGCGTACTTCCAGCTGACCTCATGACTAGGCGAAGGACTACGTCGCCGCCTTCTCGGGGAGGTGGCCCTTCTTGGCCAGTATACCAACGCACCGGCCTAGTCTCCGAAATGTAGATAAGATCCCAACAGAGGGGGCATTTCTTCGAGCGGGCCTTCTTCTCTGGCAATTTCCCGTCCTCTTCTGAGTGCATATAGCGGATGAGACATGGTAGACAGAATATGTGGCCGCACTTTGCCATCCTCGGAGCTACCGGCGTTCCTAGGCAGATAGGGCATGAGGAATCCTGCGACTGAGAAGACACCAATATTTGCAGGACAGTATTCCAGTCCAGATGAATATCGGCGTCAGCGCTCTGAGCGCGGTAGTCGCCACGGGGATCCACGATGAATCGATAGTTGGCATGAACGTATCTTGAAGAATGTTAGCTCTAGAGACTGCAGGGCAAGATATGCTACTTTGCGCACCTTGCCTTGTCACCGGCATGATAGCCGGACCCCAGACCCCAGGCCGGATTCCGCCGGTAGTTCCTTCCATATCCGTGCGAGTGGTGGGGATGGTAGTTCTGGGGACGTGGAGGGAGACTGAAGTTCATGAGGTGGGTGATGGACGTTTGCCCCTTCCTGCTGTTGAACGAACGCATGGCGAGCTACAACGGATCACATCAGTTGGACATTTCATGGTGGTGAGCGAGGCGAACGCGTGCGAGACTCACAGACTCTGCGATTGCATCGTCATCCGCCTGGCGGAAGCGCTTTGAGCCCTTGTGCTGCTTCTTTGAGTGCTGGGTGTTCCGTGGCGTTGGTGATGCGCGAGAGGTCGCCCCCGCTCCGAAACTGCTGCCCCCACTTCGCCGTTGCCCGTAATTGTCGCCAGTCGCGATGGGGCCTGCCTGGGTCTGCGCAGGAGAGAGCTGGCCGGAAGGTGCAACTGCTTTGGAGGAAATCGAGACGGGCGGCGGGTTCGAAGACATGGCGATGCCCACCAGCAGAGGCTCGCGATGACGACGGATGACAGCTGCAACTCGGGGTGACAGATGCTCGCGGACTGGAACGACGGGTAGCAGAAAGGAGGAGGGGGGGGCAGGAAGTGAAAGAGAAAATGGCAGGATACAAGGGAGGTATGTGGAAAGCGAATTGATTGCTGGCAGAGGTGTTTGGGTCCCCCCAGAGCGGGTGATGGACTTGGGGGAGGAGTCAGAGCCCTAGCCACTGGCTGGAGATCACGGGCTTTAGGAGTAGTAGTCACGTGAGGGGTACCAAGCCCGAGTTATGTCGATTATTTTCGGACCAGGTCGCAAGCTCGGCTTGTGCGCCTTTATCCATTGTCTCTCCCCCACAACAGCACTCGGTGCCTTCTGCGTAGTTCCTCCACTGGACTGCATCACCTTGGTCGCGTCGCCCCCAGCTGCGCGAGGTGGACGCCGGAGAACAAGCGCACGCACAGGCCAGGTTCCAGCTTAGAGAGCCGCTTGAACATTCGAACTCCTTCCATTACCTCAGGCCCCGGACCGCAGCCCCCATTCACTCCTCCTCTCTCCCCTCCATTCCCCAATCCATTGCGCCGGGCAGCTCTCACTGCTCCGCAATGTCGTGCTGATAGAATGCGTCCCCTCCCCGCCTTGCCTGCCCTCCTTCTACCTGTAACCCCGACCGTGGTTCTCCTCGCCGCGCGACCTGTCCAACCCCAGCAATAATTCTTAAGCCGACCGCGACTGCCTCCGCGCCGCACCCTCAACCATCGCCCCTTCCCCCATCGCACGCTGCTTTGTACCGTCGCCGTGGCACTCGACGAACCTCACTTCGGTCCTTTCCCCCCTTGGCCCCCCCCCCCCCGGTTGCCTCACAAGTTGGTCGCTCGGTCGCTCTGGCCAGCGCTGACTGTGAAGGCAACATCGACGCTGGTCGGTCATGATGCCCGCCCCTCACGTACCGCCTGCCGTCCCCATGCATCAGGTAAGGAGGCAGCCTGAGTACCACTACCATATGCCACCGCAGACAAACTCGCCGGTACCGCACAACCCCTACACTCAATACCACCACCATCCCCAACACTATGGCGCTCCCCACTCATCGCCTTACCCCCAGCAATGGTACCCCTATCCCCAGCCCCAGCACCAGTATCCGATGCCTCCCCGCCAGTACCCGCCTCATGGTTCCCCAGTAGTCGTCTCTTCGCACCCCCACATGGCGCCAATACCCCCAGTCAGTCGCCAGCTCGGTCAAACCCCCCCAATTGCTCATTCAAGGACGCCTCCCGCACCGCGCAACATGACGCCACTGCCGACTCCCTCGACTCCTTCCGTGACTTCGCAAACTCATGTCTCTTCTCCAACCCCCCCCACGAACATGAGCACGCCGACTCCGCCTCCCACAACGCCCGCAAGACCACCCTTCACTGCACCCCCACCTCCTCCTCCTCCGCCGCCGCCCACACACCGCATGCCCTACTACCCTGACCTCCCTTGGCTCTCTGTACCTGATGTCGAATTCCCTCCCAGAGCGTCACAGAAGAAGCGGCGGAGAAAGATCCCTGTACCTTCCACAGAAGAAGGACTGGCATTCCCTACGCGTGAAGCCGCGGTGGAGGAGGAGCCGGAGAAGACCCCGACAGAAGCTCCCGAAGATTCCCAGGCGGACGAGTCTCAGGCCTCGACTGCTCCCGCTGCTTCAGAAATCGAAACCCCGTCGACTTCACACCCACCATCTGAGGCCGATTCGACGCACCCGACCACGCCATCTTCATCCATGCCACCTGCTTCTGCCCGGCCTCTGGCGGTGAATCACACTCGAACCGCTACCAAGCCTGCTGTGCCTCTGATCCCGATCAAGCCTGTGAAACCCGTGAGCGCCACATCCACCACCCAGAAATCGGCCACAGACAAGGAAGAAGTTAAGAAAGCCGAGGAAGCCCCAAGCTCCACTACCGAGCCTAGCGGTAGTACTGAGAACACACCAAAGGCATCACCTCCCCCTAAGCCGGCACCGAAGTCTTGGGCAGAGCTTCTGCGGCCAAAGGCACCCGCTCCCGCCGCCCAAACCCCATCAATTCCGAACGGAGTCGTCGCTGTAAATGGCTCCTCTGTACCCAAGAGCAACTCTCTTGCCGATGTCCTTTCTTCATTCTCGGTAGACTCTGATAAAAAGATTTCTTTTCTTGAGCCCCGTGGCCTTGTAAATTCGGGCAATTTGTGTTATATGAATTCTGTAAGTGTACTCTATCCTCCTTACAATCCCCACTGACGGTTTCCAGATTCTTCAAGTTCTTGTTTTCTGTGTGCCCTTCTACGACTTCTTGGATCAGGTTGCGAAGCGCGCTGTGCATAGTTTCAAAACCGAGACACCTCTTGTCGACGCCATGTCAGTTCCCTCGATCAAGTTAAATTCACAGCGACTGACACCATATCAGGATTCTATTCATGCACGACTTCAAAGTCATTGACTCGCACCCCTCCGTGGAGACACTTCGTATGCGCTTGAAGGACACCGAGTTAGAGCAATATGGCGACCCGTTGACTCCCGAATATGTATATGATGTTATAAAGCGACTCCCTCGCTTCGACAACATGAAGGTACCGCAAAATCCCGCTCCAAAATCCATTAAATCGAGCTAACCAATTCTAGCGAGGACAACAAGAGGATGCTGAAGAATTTTTGGGTTTCCTGCTTGCTGGCCTTCACGACGAGTGTGCGCATGTGATCAAGAGTGGGACGTTGGGCAACGGACCCCACAGCACCACATCGCCAAAGAGCGAGCACTCCGGTTCTGTTGATGGCGGTTGGCTTGAAGTTGGCCCCAAGCAAAAGCCTTCGGTCACGCAGTCTTCTGGTGCTATCGAGATCGAGACCCCAGTGACAAAGATTTTTGGAGGAAAGATTCGATCCGAATACCGCAAACCGGGCGAGAAGCCCTCAGTCACCCTGGAACCATACCAACCTCTTCAGTTGGATATTGGATCCCCTACCATTCACAACATCACGGATGCTCTGAAAGGCTTGACTCATTTGGAAACTCTTGATGCTACAACACGCGGTGCACGTGCCTCGACTAAGCAGATGTTCATCGAGACACTGCCGCCTGTTCTTATTCTCCACCTCAAGCGCTTCCACTACGATGCCAGCGGTGCTCAGAAGATTTGGAAGAAGATTGGATATCCATTGGAGTTGGAGATTCCGAAAGATGTTTTCCCTCCACACAAGCGAGGAAACTTCAACGTACGCGGTGGTGCTCCTCGCTATAGGCTCACTGCGGTCGTCTATCATCATGGCAAGAACGCAAGCGGTGGCCATTATACTGTCGACCTTCGTCGCCAAGAGGGTCGGGAATGGATCCGGATGGACGACACCGTCATCCGACGTATTCGTGCAGAGGACGTTGCTGAGGGCGGTGCTGAAGAGGATCCAAAGGTTTTAGCTGCCGCGCTCGAGCAGCACAAGAGAGATTCTAGTCGGAGCCGCAACTTCTTTGAGCAAGGCGGCTTGGGTGAAGAGGGGGAGAAGGCGGAGGAAGGTGGGTGGAGTCAGGTCAACGGCGTCGACAAGAAGGATACTGGTCCCAAAAAGTGGAGTGGGGTCGTCAATGGAACAGTGACTCCAAGCACCACGGGTAAGAGGACTCCGCTTCCAAAGGAGAGCGTCAGGGATAATAAGGTGGCATATATCTTGTTCTACCAGAAGATCGAGGCCTAAAGTGACTCGACGGCTGGAGGAACCTGGCGGCCAAAAGACTTGGGAGGGAGACAGGAATTCATGACGTCGCCTCTCCTACAAAGGAGAGGCGGCACAAAAGTTTTGCTTCATCACCTCGGCACTTGCAGCCCCTACGGGCTGGGACGGTAGAAAGGATACGACGGATTTTGCATGCATGGCATGGCTTTGACGACAAGGCAAGCAAACAGCACAGCTGGGAATCAAGCAGGCAAGGCAAAGCGAGATGATACCTTATCACCGGGTTGTATCATCGCATCCATGTAGGATGAGTGAGGATAATGAGATGATAGTAGCCCTTTACCCTTCACATCTTATAAGTTTTTGATTGATACCTGTATATAATTTTAGCTGCAGGAGCCGAGTGTGTACCATTTTAGTAGGATAGGGGATGTGTGGACTGCTGATTCATCCATTTGACCCATACTGGGGTGCCTACGCGGACGATACCTCAAACGCTCTTATCTGTAATCAGATATATCTAGCAAACATCCTCAACCTCGACCTCCTCTCCGCTTCGTGGCCCAAGGTCAGAACGAAGTGTCCGGTTAAACACCTCCTTCAGCATCTCAAAACAGATCCCCGCAATCGCTGGATCGTACCGTCCTTTACTAAGCTCATCGCGTATGAAAGCATCTGTATCTAAATCAGCAAGCCAATTCCCTAAATTCTTTCCATCTCACAGCGCCCCAACTCCCAAACATCCATTCAAGATCTCTCTCCAAGAGGGTAGATGAAATACTCACGCTGAGCCCACGCTACCTCATAAAAACTAAACGTCACACCGGCCTCATGCAACGTTTTCCTTATCAAATCCCGACCCGCAGGGGGCACATGGTTATCCATTTTCCCAAAAATCATAACCAGCTCCGCTTTAATCTCCGCTGCGCGAGCAAGACTATCGTCGTTCTTCCCCGCTCCAAGGCTCTTACTATGGATATCCGTTGCAAAGTAACATACCGCAGCCGAAACGCGGGAGTCCAGTGCGCAGCGGTACGCCAGGTGGCCGCCGAGACACATGCCTGTTGCACCGATGCGGCCGGTGCAGGTGGAGAGAGAGAGGAGGAGGTCGATGGAGAGGGTAGCGTCTTCGTCGTAGGCGGTAACAGTTTTGGTGATCTTCCATTCGTTGCCAGCGTCGGTGCCTGGGCCGTCGTAGGCGAGGGGGGCAGGACCTGTGAATTCGTGGTAGGAGGAAGGGGCTGCGACAATGTAGCCCTGAGCGCAGATTTGGCGGGCGAAACGGGATACGGGTCCGGTTACTGTAGGGAGTTAGGAGGGCTGGAGATGAGATTGAGGGGTGGAGGTTGAGGAGTGAGTTGAAGCTATGGGGATTGTGGATTGGATGAGTTAGGAGTGTGGGTGTTGTGATTGATGCATGCTCTAAGCTAAGTTGGTGTGGAGATAATGCGAGTGCAGACAAGCATGTTACAATATTGGAAGACAGCAAACATGCCATCAGGGTGGGATTGCGAAAATGGAAGAGAACAGGCGGTATATTTCAAAACTTGAGAAATCAGGGGAATATAGAACCAGCGATACAAGAAAATTAGAAATGTAGCCACCTTGATATATCTCACTGAAAACAACAACTCCGGGGAATTTTGCTTTTGGATAATTCGGAATAGACGGATGGAAGAGAAATATTCCTATACATTCAATGAGTGAATGCCCCAAAACTTGATTTAGGAAATTAAATACTCATATCCCCTCCTGCCTGCGTGGACACATCTTTGTGCGACTCCTGAATGAGCATGTTGACGTCTGTGTAGCTTGATGATGGAAAGTTTAATGGTGAAGTGGGATGGAGGGGCAATTATTATGGCACCCGCTCCGGATGACACTGTATCATTTGGTTGTTTTGGAGCAGTCGGTCCAGGAAACCTTTCTGATCTCTCATTCATCCTTGCGTGTTACTTTCTGGGCATGGTGACTGCTTGTAACAGTGATTTCAGTGATGAGGATAAAACTCAAAGGTGTAGGTCCTCTGCTGACGATTCTCCTCTCGTTTTCATTCTCCCGTATCCTCGCTTTTGTCTCTTCATTCACACTGCACTTGGCCGGAAATGCTTGACTCAGTACAAAGGTAACGGTAAGGCTGGTTGGCGGTGCAGCGGAAGTGTGCCGTATTGATGAGGAGCCTCTAGGACAGCCATGGTATTTAGAGAGTACAGGCGCTAGTAGACAATGACTTAGCTTGGTTACAGCAGCATTTATGTGCTTCGGCATATTCATTACTTAGGGACTATACAATTCCCTCTGTAGTCCGCTTCAGCACAGTGTCGCTCAACATAGAGTTTAAAGCACCCTCGCTGCTTCCTCAGTCCCGCACTATCCTTCGTCGACGCCACATTCAAGTCCTTTCGAGGTGCAAACCGGTGCTTAGCACCTCAGTCTCTAACCATATTCATTTCAACTACTTAGCTTTATATTTAGAGCGGACTCATCTTTACCACAAATATTCCCCTTGGAGTTCCACCGTAGATGGTCAACGTATCACTTAAGATTCATCATGGTGCCTTCTTCGCACCATCAAGCAACTGGAGCGTGTGTCAGAACAATGGCCATCGACATAACCCGAACTTCACTTCAACATACAGGCTCGACGGATACAAAGCTGCGATACCGTACTTTAGCATGGGTTACAGCGGAATATCCCTTGGAGATGGATTAAAGACGTTGCTGCGACGTGTGGTTTGAAAATTTTGAAGCATAGCAGTCCATGACGTAAGAAGGATTTTTATTCAACTAACAATCCAATCTAATCGGAAGGCGAGCCAACTGCTGTCGTCGCCGGACTGCTGTGCTTTGAGCTTACTTGTGTAGCCTTCGGTTTGCAGATATTTGAAGAATGTACATGCATTATCTTACGGTACGGCTTGCAGAGCGCTTTGGGCAACTCGAGATGCTAAAGGACCTTTTCTTAAAACCTAAAAAATTACGGTGGAATATATACATGGGATACCATCCGCGTCATGGGCTAGGACATCGAGAATGCTATTTTTAAAGAGAATACCGACACTGAAAACTGGGACGACAACCCGACTACTGAAGGAATGCTGGGCCTAATATCTCACGGGGCTTCTCTTTCCCAAAACCTTCCCCGATCGAATGAAGATGGAGGCTGATTCCTTTTAAGCTCCTCGGACCCCGATGTGTACGAGAGTAAACTCAAAGAGTCACGACGGTGGACTAAATCGAAGCTGCTAGTTAGACAAAAAGTTCTTGGAACATCCCTGCCCTATCATGCTCAACAACGCGCGCAGCTTCAACCTACCTACCCTACTCCGCATGGCGATCCTCACCTCGCAACTAATTCTCGTACTACCACACCGAATAGCAAGATATTTAAGCTAATTAATTGGTGGTGGGGCCAAAGGAGACTTGCTAGGACCTCCATATGCCGTGCGTTTCTCTTTCAGCAAGCGCTCATCTCTTCCAAATCTTACCTTCAACGTTGGCGAGTTGAACCTTATGTAAGCGTATTTAACTATACCTTCGAGTATGAAGCTTTAAAAGAAAAGAGACACCATGTTTGGCTTTAATCATAGAAGCCACTTCAGCGGAGGGGTTGTTGATGGGAGGACAGAGTGCTTGGGCGGCTTGCTGCGAGGTCTTCTAGTGTTAATGGTCTTTAGCTTCTAAGGAGCCATGATAATATGGAGGTAGTTGAGAGACTGCAATTTCGCAGCAACAGAAATCCTGCTAAAAGAAAAATAGAGACCTAATCGAAGCGCGTCTACTTACCGCCCGAAGTCTCTGTCATATAGATCCTTCGTTCTCCTGTCTTCGTCCTACTGAAGTTTTAAAAGGCTCTTGCATGGCAGCTCAGCTCCTTGGCTTTCTGGAAAGAAAAAATAACAGAAAGGAACCTTACCATATCGTAGGTTTGCAGAATTTTTTTTTTTAAAAAGGTAGGCTTGGAAGCCATGCTCATAGCTTGGTATGTTCATGCGCACTTATGCTCTCTATCACTACCTCACCACTATACTACATCCTTGAAGACTGTTAGGCTCAACGTTAGGAGAAGTTACGATGCGAATCTATTCAAAGTGCTACAAACTACATAAAATTTATGGTGAGCTCAAACCTTCCTCAATAGCCTTGATCTGAAGTGCTAGAAATCTCGAATAAATCCTACACAACGCCAAGCTGCCCCCAAAGAACCATAGGCGCGGATGTCCAGAAGGCCGCCACATAGCGTTTACCTCACCTTCATCGTCCAAATCCCAGACATCCTTGCACCGGCTAGCTACCTCATCTCCAAGTGCCTTTTGGACACTGGTGCGCATGTTGTCGTATCCAGTAGCAAGAACCACGATATCAGCATCTAACTTCCTTCCGTCAGCGAGCACGAGCGCGTTTGGCTCGAAACCTTTTATGCCTTCGGGAGACTGCTCCACCTTTACCTTGCCGTCGATGATGAGCTGAGAGCACCCAACATCGATGTAATAGCCTCCGCCACGTGTGATGTATTTGCGGTAGATGCCAGAGCCGTCGTGGCCGAAATCGATCTTGAAACCAGCTTTCGTAAGACCTTCGAGGTTCTCTTTCTCGACTTCCGCAATGTGTTTCGTTCCGTCTACGTTGAGGGCGAACTGGACGGGGATAGGTAGACTCTGGCTGTAAATATCTGCATCCTCGGTTGGTGGGCCTGTCTCATCGTAAAGACCCTCGTGCAGCATGAATAGCCCTTTGGAAGCTTGAATAACGTATGTGCCGCGACGCTGCAGCATAGTTACCGGCCCGGCACCGGCTTCATAATAGTTTTGCGCGATATCGTGGCCGCTATTGCCTGTCCCGACGACGACGACTTTCTTCCCGCTAAGGTCGCCTTTGTAGATTGAAGCGTCCTTATGCTGTGATCCATGGTATATAGTTCCCTTGAATGTGTCCTGGCCTGGGAAGGTTGGGATCTTGGGCTCCCCGGCATGTCCAGTGCAAAATATGACATGCTTCGGATGCAAAGTCCGCTCGGTTCCATCACCCCGCTTGACTGTCATGTTCCATTTCTTTTCGACATCGGAATATGTTGCTTTGGTGATGGTAGTTGAGACCCAGACGTTTAGCTCCATCAGGCTTGCGTAAGCCTCGAACCAGTCACCTAGCTTGTCTTTCGGTGTAAAGAGTGGCCAGTTTGATGGGAAGGGGAGGTAAGCCATATGTGTGTATTGGACGGGATCGTGTGTTACCAGTGTGCGATACCGGTTTCGCCAATTGTCGCCAATGCGCGCGTTCTTGTCGACAAGGAGGCAGGATATTCCGAGAGCTTGGAGTCGAGCGCCCATGTTGAGGCCAGATTGTCCTATCATGGTAAGCCAGTTATCAGAAAAAAAAAGAATGTAAGCATAATGCAATGAAACTGGAAGACATACCAGCACCAACAATGAAGACAGTGGGGTCTTCATCAATAAAGTCCTTCCTCCTTTCTCTTCGGTCTAGCCAATTTCCCTTGATCGCACCTCCTTCCAAAGAGTTGTTACCGCCATGAGGTCTCCGTGCACCAACAAATTCCTCGTTCCCCTTCAGTTCTTGAAGCGCAGTATAGATGAAATGAGCTTTCCAAGCGCCATCACCACCCTGCGCCAGCCTCAGCATCCCCTTCCCCCTGCCAAATTTTGTCTCAAAGTGGAACATTGACTCTACCCAATCCAGGCCATCAATAGGTGTCTGAAGACTCGGAGCAAATTGCCCATTTTCTTGCAGCTTGAGACCCGAAAACTGCGCCCCCTCTATATTCGTCAAGAGAAATTCGGTCATCTTCTGTACCCCACGGATAGTGTGAAAGTCCCAAGTAAGAGTTAGGAAGTCGCGCCACCAGCTATCTTCATGCACTACACTGGCGATGCGGGAGACATCGCCGCTGGCAAGAACGAAGGAAAACTTGTCAAGCCATGCTTGAGCAATACTCTTTGGTGATTGAGATTCCGAGACTGAGACTTTGATCTCCGGCTTGGAGAAGGTGGGAAGTCTTATATCGTGGGGATGTTGGACGAGCATTTTCGTGATATTGGTGACCAAAAAAAAAACGTTGAAAACAGATGTAGAAGCGGGAGAAGATGAGGATTGAAAATGACTTGGGCCTTGCCTATATACTTCCTAACATGCGTCTGGCTATCTCTGTTGATATATCATGAAAGTCAAAAGCAATTCAATGGATCTCAAACAATGGATCTGCGATAGGTTGAATGGACAAGCGATTTGGCTACGATCGGCGAGACATGGCCCGGATACCCTCCAAGGCTCTCTAGTTTGTTCATTGTGCATGGAACGGCGGTCGAAAGCGGGGATCAAAGGAGGCAACGGCAGCTCGGCAGTCAATTTCCAGGAGCTCCAACCGGACACGCGTAAGATCATGGTTTTGGATGGGGTGGTTGGAAGCGGAGGAAGTTTGGGTTCGGCAGAGTTGCTACTCTCGCCACACTTGCTGTTTTCGGAACGTCGGCAGAGATGCACCAGGGTCCCTGAACTTATCTTCGGGAGACAAACAAAGTCCTGTGAAAAGTCGACGTAGCGGATCGGTGCTTCAACCGAGAGGAGGGTGTTCATTGACACTAGCGAATTGCTTGAACCCCCCATTCTTATCATATTCTTTTTTAGTAAACGAAGTAAAACGCACATGCGTTCATGTATTCCAAGGTGTACAGTCAAGAGAGGGGACCATTGTATATTTATACTTGCTCTATCTGTAAATACATGTACATATCGAGGAAATGGGTATGCTGAAGGATTACGCTAAAATCCTGGCTTTTGCGAGGTAGATCAGAAACCCACAACCGTCGAATGTAAAGAGTCGTGATGGTTCAAGGCTCAATGTGTTCAATGTGTGTGGTATGTGTCTTCGATGCATCAACATCCTTGCCCATTTCCGCGGCCTCTATACGCATCTGCTCTGCCTCAATTGCCTCCGCCGGTCGAGATCGCTGTTTGGCAACTCTATCTCCAATTGGAATGATAGTCCTGTGTGGGGAGTCTTTATCGAAGTAGGCATCGAGGTCCTCGAGGGTACGATTGCTGGGAAGCATAAGTAGACGGTCGTGAGGCTATGGAGGCCCTATACGCACCTAGTTTCTGGGTAGAGGAAGTAGACCACAAAAATGAAAATGAGATTAAAGCATGCGAAGACTATACCATTTAGTTAGGAAGTCTCAGCGGCAGAGTCGCGTGTACTTACTGATGTAAAAGCGGTATCCTATGTCCCTAATACCCACTGGCGTGAATTGTGTACATACGAACCCAAAAAGCCAGTTGGTTGCGGTCGCCGCAGCGGCTCCTCTCGTTCTCATTGCCAAAGAATTCACTTCTGCCTGGTATACCCAAGGCACCATTCCCCATGTACATCCAAACGCCGCATAGTAGAAAAAGAGAAAAGTAATTGCAACAGCTCCCCATTCAAAGGGGGCGGTCGATAGCAAAGCAACTGCAATGGCAACCATAACATACGCAAGAAATTGCAGTGCAGCACCATACATCATGAGCGAACGACGACCAAAGCGTTCAATCATCCAGAAGCACAGGGCTGATGAAATGGCGTATGAGGTCGCATTACAGCCTGTCAGGATACGAGCCATGAGCTCACTCATGCCGATGTTGTTCTCCAAAATGACCGGGAACTGCACGTGGACTTAGTATTCTTCGCACGTTTTTAGCGAAGCAACTCACGTAGTAATTCAAAGCGTTGATTCCACCAAATTGTTGCATAAATTGTGTGCCACAACCCAAGAGGAGCCTCTTAAGATGGCCGGATCTATCCCTCTGAAGGAGAACCTGCTTGAACGATATGTGCGAGCGACGTTCGATTTCAATAGCGCCAGAGATAGACATAAGCTCCTTGGTAACAATAGGATCGTCATGAGCGAGAGCCTTTCCCAGATAACGCCGGAGGGCTTCATGCGCCTCGTCAGTTCGGTCATGCATAAGAAGCCATCGAGGAGATTCCGGAAGGAGAGGTAGAAGGCTGACGAGGACAAAACAGGGAACCAGCTGCTCGAGTCCGTCAGCTGAGATCTCATATAGGGCCAATTACTCACTTGTATAGCCAAAGGGAGCCTCCACTGAACCCCACTCCCACTGAATGAACAGCCAAGAGTGAGCCAACTGCCGATCATATAGAATATGACATTATGAAGCACGACAATGACCGAAAGTTTCCCTCTCCTTGCTCCTCGGCAGGACTCTGCTTGGTAAATACCGCACGTAGAGCTAGTCATTCCTAGCAACTATTAGAGAGGTATGCTTCATGAAAATGAACCTCAACACTTGCCATTTCCAAACCCGTTGATTACACGGCCAACAATAAGCATCGGGAAGGTTGCAGCTGCGAACTGAAGAACAGCTCCAATTGCACTCACGGCAGCTCCACAGCGAAGTGTGTTCTTCCGTCCCAAACGATCACCAAAGACAGCTGCCAGAAGGCATCCGACGAGGTTTCCAAGAGAGAAGCAGCTCGCTGTGATTCCTTGGATATCTGCATCCTTGGTTTGCGGGAAAGTATTGATGAAGTCAGAGCTGATCAAGATACCGCTAATGACACCCTTCCTATCCTTCAGTAAAAAACTCTCGGTGAGGGAGATACTTGCTGGTTCTAATACCTGATCATAACCGTACCAAGCCTACGAAGGTGGTTAGCACTAACGGTTCAAAGGGAGAATCGGTCACTCACCTGCGCAGCAGAGTTTGCGGCGGTCAAAGTGACCTCCAAAGCGTAACCATCAAGTTTGCCGAGAACCATATTAGCAATAGGTGGGCGTTCTCCTTCCAACTGAAGATACGGCTGAGGCGGTCCATTGGATGCGGGACCCTCGTAACTATTTATGCATTTGGTGAGGATTGAGATGCTTGCCCGCCAAGACCAGGACGGGGGCAAGACAGGAAACCGCATGGCAATTAACGAGGGTTCCACCTAGCTGGATATGGGGTGCCTTTGAGCCCACCATGCTGTATCTGGGGTAGCCGAAAGTGGACACCGGCAGAGCATGGGGCCCCAGGTTCAAAAAAGGCGGAGCTGAGTGACGCCGGAATGTCGGATTCGTGAGAGGAGTGCGGAAATAACGCTCGTAAGTCACTAGTAGGATAGCTAGAGGGGTGTTGAGGTTGAGGTTATGAGGTGGTGGGTGAAGTCGGCCCGCTCGGGGGTACATGGCCCGTGTGGGGTTCCCTACGGCGGACTAATCAAGTAAGTCCTGGAGAAGCCACAGACGATCACACTTCGCTACATCTCACCAAAGCACTCCTATCACGAGACGAACACGGCAAAAGCGTTCCACCTGGGCCCGAGCTCCGGTATACTATTACTCATAAAAGCACGACTTCCGTCGCGCGTTCGGCCCATGTCCGACCGCACCTTAGACAGATCTTGCTGCAACATCAAAGCTAATAGTTGAAGTGACAGAAACCTCTAAATTGGGCAGACTCGGGCCATGTTAGTACCCACCCCCCAGGGTAGCAAATTTAAGGCAAGATGAATGAAGATGCTTCGGAAATGCGTCGATTAAGCAAGACTGTGTAAGTCCTGGAAATTTTTGACATGCTTCGTTGTACTGATGCCCACATCTTGAAGGTGCTTTTTATGTCGTCAGCGCAAGATAAGATGTAATCGCCGACTTCCAAAGTGCGAAAGCTGTTCAAGAACAGGGGTGGAATGTCAATACAGTAAGAGTTCAGATCGAGCTGCCTCGGGTCAACATCACGTGACTGACTCCTCTGACTGATTTACAGTTGAGATCAAAAACAAACCGGGACTAAGAGCAGGCTACGTTTCCGAGCTTGAAGAGCGGCTAAGTTCGTCCGATATCTGATGCGGCGTCTCCATGTGTGCTAACATTTCATGTAGCGAGGTTGGAGCAGGAGGTTCGGGCGTTAAAGGCAGACCAAGGTAGTACGCAGGGAGCTCGTATAAGATAGACGAGGCTGATATATTGTAGGAACGGCCCCAGCGTTGGAAGTGTCCAGCGTGTCGAACTCTTCTGAGCCATCTCTACGGGATGCTCCGGATACTGTTGCGCATGTCAGTCCGCGAAGCTTTCGATGTTCGCCCTCAGATTTCGATCCCTTATCTGCGAATATTCTCAACGAACTTTGCGGGGCCTGGTTTGAGAAATATCATCCGTGGTTTCCAATTTTGCACCAACCTTCGCTTCTGGAGGTTCTCCAGACATCCCCAATTCTTGGAAGCACAGTCCATTACATTGTGTTCAAAGCAATCGCTGCTGTCACTATTCCTCACTCCTATCACTCGGATTCCTTGACGAATGAGCAACGGCGGCAATGTTCCGATGATCTTAGAAGCCAAGTACTCATGGAAGCAATCAGTCAGCTGTCTTTACAGTCGCTCCAAGCAGTCTTAATTCTGACAATTCGAGACTACGGCGCTGGTCGAATAAGCGAGTTCTGGAATCTAGTTGCTCTTGCCAAACGGTAAGCTTACTAAATTAGTCCCCAGTGATAGCTTGTTGTTGGTCACTAGCTCTCAACTAATGTTGTGAAGGATGGGAACACAATTAGGTCTGCGAGACTTAGTAGCCCACCAATATAACAATTTCAATAAAGCTTCGCCAATACCACCTCGCATGCTCCCATTACCCGTTTCACTTGTCAATAAAGAAGAACGGATTCGAGCATACTGGATGACCGAAGGTACGTCATCCTACTCTTGAATGCTTTGGCTCACTGAATTGCGCAGTTTTAGATGGATCGTCCACTGTTGGGGCAGCTTGGAACCTCAGCATCTCTAGACCCGAGAATACTGGGCTAATGCCGTGTAGTGATACCATTTGGGCGTTCCCGGAGGCTGTCATTAGCGCCTGGTCCTTCGGGGACTTTGAAATGTCTTCGGCTTATTCCTTGTATGTCATGTTAGTTACAAACGAACTGTGGCATGTCCACCGGTTTCTGCAGCAGTCTTTCGATACACAATCAGCCACGGAGCGAGTCAGATGGCAGAATGAGTGCAAGGTGGTGGATGACCGGCTCATCTTATGGCGTGCGAAGTTTGCCACTGCGTCGGGACGGATGAGTACTGAGAATGGAAACTCGTACGACCCAAATATCACATTGACGCAGTGCACGTTGGATTTGTATGTTTTGTAGCCCACTTGACAAGACTATCGGCTGACTTGGTCGTAGAGCGGTTATCTCGCTGTATCAAAGATTAGCTTTACCGCCTGCTGGATTGGAGCAAGCGCAAGGTCCTTGGTACCATGCAATTCAACGGTGCTTAGATGCATGCGACAGCATCACAACCAATCTGCGGGGAATGAAGGACATCAACCTCGAAAACATCAGTCCGTTCATCATCTCGTGCATTTTTGTTGCATCAAGGTTCTTTCTAGGTAAGATCATACCGACTTCGTCACCGGAATGCTTCTCATTCTGTCTAGTCCATGCGAAGCTTCTCAATGTTGAGATACCACGGAACCTGGACTTGCTCGTGTACAGCCTGAAAACATGCGGCCTTCGATGGTCGCTTGCCCGCCGCCTCGAGAAAGTGATTCGGACAGCTACTGCAGATCATAAGCTTCCATCATCGATGTCATCACTTCCGGTACAGTTTTATGACCTCCAATACTCGTATCTGGACATTGACGAGGCTCTTCGTGTCTGGGCCGAAGGGTTAGAACCATGGATGCATCTTGCAGGACTCGGACACCCCGCTTTGGACCAAACATCGATTTTGATGCCGAGTGTCAATCTTGGTAACATGGAGGACACAACGTTCATGCCCGCCCCACCCCAGATCAACCAGGCGTGAGCAGACGAACCCTGCATTCACGCGTAGAACTTTAGGAGCATATCCATCTGAGGAGACAGTTAATTTATAGTAAGGGAAGTCATTAGAAGTTTACAGCGAAAGGAATGGTGCGAGAGGGAGCATATTGACCCTATTTGAGGGATCAGAGGCCTGAGGTGGTTCAAGTGGGTTTGAATGGAACCTAGGATGGCTATCGCTGACTCTTCAGCAATATGTTGCACGACGTTAGGTTATTTCATGCGTTAACGGAAGTAACACATAGCGTGCGATAGGAGAGATATTTTAAACAACCTAATTTGGCTGTTGATGTTAGTTCTTCCTTCACGGCATTTGGAACTGCCTGATTAGGATAGGCTGCTACCGCCGCCTAGACAAGGCAACGATAACGGTATATTATCGCGACAAATAATTGTTATTGTTAATAAATAATTGCAATTATTATAATAAAACAGATTTTACTACACTAGTATTAGAATTTTATTTATAATTAGCCTCTATTAGTATAACGTACACTATAGGCAAGTTGCTTGCACACCTAAGTTACTTACTTTTACTAAGACTACACTAAACTACTTTTTCTACATTAATGCATCTCTAATAACACTAACGTACACTACAGGCAAGTTGCTTACACACTTAAGTTACTTACTTTTACTAAGACTCTACTAAACTACTTTTTTTACACTAATGCATTCCTAACAACACTACTTAAACGCACTAAAAGAATATTAGATATAGCTTATACTTTAGGCTTTTAAATAAAATAAAACACTCTTAAAGTAACATGCTATAGCTATATATAAAGTCTTTTAAAAAATAATAAATAACTAATATACTAAATAACTTTTATAAGCTAATTTTATAGCTAACTTATAAAAGCTAGATAATAATAAAAAGTAAGTAATTATTAAGCACATACTTAAGCTAAATGTAATAAGGTAGGCGCTCTGCCTGCTAAGCTAATACTATACAACTTTCCCTACTATACTAAAAGGTACGCACGAGAATACTTAAGCTAAGCATTCTTGCATAGTATAATATATATATATATATATAGATAGATAATGCTAGGGCTAGCACTAGCACTAGCGGTTTTCTCTAGTCTAGCCTAAACCTCTATAAGCAAGAGAAGGGCACATGGTTGACTGTGCCTACCTTGTTACACTAAATATGTAAGGATTTTCCTTTTAGCTAGCAGCTATAGCTAATATAGCTAATCCTTTATATGCTAAGCATAGTTTAGGTTATGTTAGCATAAACTAGCTTAGTGTGTTTATTAAATGTTATTTAAAGCTTAAAGTAAAGTTAATTATAAGTATAACTATTGTAACAAGGTAGGCACAGTCAACCACGTGGCCTTCTCTCGCTTATAGAGGTTTAGGCTAGACTAGAGAAAACCGCTAGTGCTAGTGCTAGCCCTAGCATTATCTATATATATATTATACTATGCGAGAATACTTAGCTTAAGTATTCTTGTGCGTACCTTTTAGTACAGTAGGGAAAGTTGTATAGTATTAGCTTAGCAGGCGGAGCACCTACCTTATTACATAATACTTAAGCTACCTAAAGGTTAAGAGTTTAAGTCCTAGTAATTACTCTAGCTTAGATTATAGCAGAGGCTATAATTAGAGTAGAGTAGATATATATCCTTAGCCTTATGTCTTAGAGACTAAGATAATAAAGGGAGAGGGTAGTGTAACAGTTAACCACGTGGCCTTCTCTCGCTTATAGAGGTTTAGGCTAGACTAGAGAAAACCGCTAGTACTAGTGATAGCCCTAGCATTATCTATATATATATTATACTATGTAAGAATACTTAGCTTAAGTATTCTTATGCGTACCTTTTAGTACAGTAGAGAAAGTTGTATAGTATCGGCTTAGCAGGCGGGGCGCCTACTTTATTACAACTATAAAAAAACCTTTTTATAAAAAATATTAAAGTAATTTAAAGCTAGTTTTGTAACAATTCGCATGAACCGTCCCATCTTAGGTTGCCCGACGAGCTGATATCCGAAGCGTTCTTGTATCTGCTCCGACTCTGCCCTAGCCTCTGCTGTACCTCTATTCCCCTAAGTATTTAGTCGCACCTCTCCCCTGTAGCTAGATTAGTAGTTTTCTAATATCCTTTGTACAAGGCCTATAGGTGTTAATAGCATTCTCTAGTTTCTAAGTCTCTACACACTTTTATATACTTCTAAGTAGATTTATACTGCATTTAGACCTATTATCTGTTACAATCCTTGCTCTTTTGAAATGGTAATTTCGAGAGCACTGCGGCCTATAGTGGTTTTAGCGGGAAGGGGAAGGACTTAGCTAGATCGGGTGTACAGTCCGTCTGGCAGAGTGTAGGGAAATGCGTATGTAAGGAAGGCAGGTTGTGGTTTAACCTAGCGGCTGTATGGTGAGCTAGTAAACCTAATCCAGAAGGATAGGAAAGGAGGTATATATAGTGCAAGATATACAAGGCGGCAATGTCCTCTTTGTAAAGGTATTAATGCCTCTTAGTCTATTGTAGGTAAAGACTAAATAGTAATCATAGCCCTCTAACTATAATTGTGATCATGACTATATACATGGGGTTGCATGCAGTGCATGCCGTGCATGCTTGCATGCTCTTTGCCTGCATTACCTGCAGGGCCTGCAGGCCTGCAATGCTAGGGTCCCTATTAGACGATGCATTCTTCTATGCATCCATCTAAAAGCCGAAGCCATTCCTCATCCGGCTTGTCACGTGATCCGTTCAATGCGGTGTTAAGCATTGTCCATCCGACGTCGCTTGGGCTGTGGGGAACAGCTGATTGGAGAATTACGGTCTGCTCGTTGGCCGTAACATTATCTTGCCTATGCTGTTATATTATATTAAAAAAGCTGCTTTTGCTAGTAACAGCTTTATTAATAATATTATATTAATTATTTTATTTAATTATATCTAAGTCTAAGATGTGTTTAATCTAGTTTAAGTTACACTACTTATATACTATTATATTAAATTAATTTAGTTACTATAAATAAGATGTCGCGTATATTAAGAGCCTGGACTGGGGCTCAGAGCCTGGGACGCAGCTCGGGATCTGGAGATATTATGTTCCGAAGCTCGGTGTATATAAGGAGAGCCCTCAGCTCTCTTAGATAGGGGAGTCACTTCATCCGATCTTCTGAACAGCTACTGCCAGGCTATTTTATCCTCCACATAAGATTTTAGAAACTTTTTATTAACTAAAGCTTTTAAGTTTAGACTTTTTTATTCTTTATAATTAAAATTACCTTTAAAAAAGGTTATAAAAAGTGTTCTAAAGTAGAAACATAAAGACTGCTAATAACTTATTAGAATTAAAGATAACGTATAATACAGGTAAATTACTTACACACCTAAGCTACTTACTTTTACTAAGACTCTACTAAACTACTTTTTCTACACTAATGCATTTCTAACAGCACTACTTTAATGTGCTAAAAGAATATTAAATATAGTTTACACTTTAGGCTTTTAAATAAGATATAACACTTTTAAAGCAACATGCTACAGCTATGTATAAAGTTTTTTAAAAAATAATAAATAACTAATGTACTAGACAACCTTTATAAGCTAATTCTATAGCTAACTTATAAAAGCTAAATAATAATAAAAAGTAAGTAATTATTAAGTATATACTTAAGCTATATATGCAAGAATTCTCTTCTTAGCTAGTAGCTATAGCTAATATAGCTAATTCTTTACACGCTAAGCATAATCTAGTGTTACAATCCTTGCTTCGGGAAGCACTCGGGTCTGGTGATATTCCTAGGTGGGAAGTAGGACGGAAAGTAGGGGCCAATCCGGTAGGGTGTACAGTCCTACGTACAGGCTATTAGGCTAATAGAGGGAGAAGAGAATGACTAGATTGTGGTTTGCCCTATGTGCAGCAGTAGGGAGGCTAGGGTTAAACAGTCCTGTTAGACAGGATTAGAGGTATATATAGTGCAGATATATAAATAGTATTGCAGCTCTTTAGAAAGCTAAATGCTACTTAGTCTATGTAAAAAATAAACTAAATGTTAAACACACCTTCTAAAGGTTGTTTAATATAGGAACTATATACATGTGCAGGGGATGCTAAGGTAAGCTAGATAAGCTTACTAGAGCTTACTAAGTAGGGCTTGCTAAGCTCTTCTAGACTTATAGGATTTACATCCTATTCTTCTATTAAATAACGCATTTTTCTATAATCTTAAGTAGCTGCGTGACTTCTGCGTCCTCTGTTTAGTCTATAAGTAAGTTCCGCTCTAACTGTACTATATTATAGAGCATCTTAGGTGGAGTTACGCTAGTCTAACTGTAGACTGTAACACGCTGCCCCTTCTTCCTAGCAGCGCTCTTGCTGCTCTGCTTACACAACTGCGTTAGTAAGGGCTTATTTATAATGTTAGTGCCCTTCTGCTAAAAGGCATTTCTAATATCTATCTTTTTTATGCTAAATAGCTTGCTAGTCTTGTTTGTCTTACTATCTTTATATTACTTATTATTTTAATCTTTTTTACTAGACAAAGATAAGGCCTTATAGCACTTACTAATTTTTAAAGTTGTCTTATGTGTTAACTTTATCCTTAGACAAGTGTGTTAAATGTGTAAAAAAAAATAGTAAATGTAACACTTTTATTTCTAACGCTGCGTAAGATTGCTTAGAGAAAGAGAAAGAGTTACTTCTTTATAAAGCAGTTACTGTAAAGGCTTAGAAATAAGACTTTAATAATAAAATGTTGTGTTAGGTCTAGAAGACTTTAAAGGCAAAGGCTAGGAAGTGTTCTAAACAGGACTGTATCTAAAAGTTGTTAGATTTGCTAGAGGCTTGTTATGTAAAGTATCTAGAGGGGGATCTATCTTTCTTAGACAAGATAGAAGCTTTTAAGGCTAAAGTAAAGGGCTATTTTTCTTTTTAACTATTATTAGCTAAGACTTATCTTTAAAAGCTGCTGCTATTTAGTAATAACATAGCTGTTTCTTTTAATATAGGTGCCTTATT